GGCTGCCCATCCCGCCCCGCTCGCCCGCTCTCCTGCACATAGTCCCGGAGCTGTCGCGGGGGCCCCATGTGCAGCACTACCCGCACATCCGGCACGTCGATCCCCAATCCTAGCGCATTTGTTGCTGCAATCAGCCCGCCCTGCTTCTTCCACTGCTGCATCTTCTCCATCTTTGCCTCCTGCGTCCCTATCTTACTGTGGAAGATCTCACATCCAAGCGCTGCCCCGACCCTCTCCACGGCTGCAATCGTCTGCGCGTAGATGATCATACGACCTGGGTTCGCCTGTGCCTCCCACTGTGCTACCATGCTCCTGGCCTGGTCGAGCCCGGGCATGTCGCCATCACCTTCTTCCTTGCCGCTCCTGCCGCCCTGGTGCGTTTCTAGCCCTACTACCGAGTATGCAATGTTCTTCCGCCGCGTTGGGCCGCGGTATATGTACGCCTGGCGCCTCGTGATCTGCGCTCTGTGGAGGAACATATTCTCATCCCTCGGCGGGAGTGTCGCCGTCAGAAACACCAGCTGCACCCCCCATGACTGCAGGATCCCCCCTAGTGCTGCCAACGCTGGCCGGAACCGCCCGACTCCGTCCAGGACCACGTGGCACTCGTCCAAGACCACCCGGTCCAGCAGCTGCCGTACCTGTAGCCGCCGGATGAAGTCCTGGAACCCCTTCGTGATCGCCGACTCGGGCGTCACGAACACCAGACTGGCGATCCGGCTCGGCCCCTGGCTCTGCCATATGTGCGTCGAGATCCCGGCTTCTTCGCACCGCTCGTACATGTCTGTACGCAGTGTAACAAGCGGTATAACCACCACCGTTACCCCATCCGGCGAGCAGTGTGCCGGCAGCATAAACGTCAGGCTCTTGCCCCCGCCCGTGCCTGTAATATACACCACCGGGCTGGCCCCTGCCATGATCGTTCGGATTACCTTCTCCTGCTGGCCCCGGAACGCCGCATCTGGCCCTAGCATCGCCCGGAGCTGCCCGTGTACAGATACCTGCTGTAGCCGGTGGAAGCGCTGGTACCGACCGCTCTCCTGCTGTAGCTCCGCTGCCTCCAGCGTCCGCTTCATCTCTCCGGCCACTGCCCGTCCTCTCTCGTGCGTGTCGAACCCCAGTAACCGATGCCACCGCTGGCTGATCCGCTGGAACCTGATCTGCTGCTGCGCTGTCCCGAATGTCGGCTGCTGGAGCTCTCGCGCATATATCATACCGGCGATGTGGCTCCCGTGCCCTGCCTGGATGTCTAGTATATGGTCTGATGTGGTACCGTTAACATCGTCCTCCTCCTCATCCTCTACACTTCCAGTATCCTCTTCTATACGGAAAGCCTCGTTTAGATAGCGGTTGGCGATAGCAATGGCGATATGCCGCCAGCTGATGATGGTGAGCGTGGTCCCCATGCACCGTTCGCTCTGCCGCTGGAGAATCCGCCGCATATGATCCGGTGACCATACTGACTCGGGCTCTGGTGCCGCCTGTGCGGATCCGTCCGTGTTGGCCGCCCTCTTTATCACCTCGTCCGCCCAGAGAAATACACTGGGTCCACCACTGCGCTGCCAGATGATACCCTGTACCTTCCGCCAGAACGGTAGAACCAACCACATATACCATACCAGCAGAGAACCAACTGCGCGTGGTAGATAGCGGTAGATCACCTTGTTGCGACCGCTGATCCTGATGTTCTTATGGTATGCCGTTACGAAGAATACCATGCCCTGGTTGCAGAAGATGTTGCGTAGCCCGCCATTGGCTGTGTTCCACATCCGCACCCAAGCAATCTCCGTTGCACGCGCCGGCATCGACAGCATGTGCATCAGCAAGAATATCCGCTCCCGGAACTGTAATAATGTATCGGTATACTGGTGAATGGCGCTTTGTTTGAGTGGGTGCTCTTTGTTACTAGCGCTTGTGCTGATCCATGTCTTCTGGAGTGATGTGGACTGCACGAGCTGTTTGAACACCCAGCCATCCCCCGCCTGCAGCCATGTGTTACGCTGGTCCTGCAGGAATGAGTAACCCGTTATATCGTTCCGCTGGTCATCCTCGAACTGCTCCCATCTGATCTCTGGGAGTCCGTCTACCGTACCTGGGGGGTTTAGCGTTAGTGCCCCGAGCAGCTTCTCCGCCTCTTGCACGAGCGTGTGTAGCATCTCCGCCAGCTGCGGCACCCGGAACCGGATTGTCTGGTAGCTCACGCGATCATCTAACCACTCGATGCTGCCGCTGCCCGGTGTGTTATATCGGATGTTCATCCCGTATGCTCGTGCCTCGAAGATCCAGTCTAGTGGTGTCGGCTCGGCCGTGGGCCCCCCGTGCACCCGTACCATGAACCGTGCCATCTTGCCGCGCAGTATGCGGAACACGCTCTCCGCTTCCTCATAGGCATCATGTGCCTCCATCGCCTGCGAGTGCTGGATCACCTGCGCCTCCCGCTCACAGTATGACTGATATAGCACGAGCATCCGTGCTACCTTGATCACGGCTGAGTAGATCGATGTGTAGTTAAGCACGGACTCCCACCCTCCATCTTGCCGGATGCCCATGACGGCCAAGCAGCTCACCAGCACGTTTCGGTATGCATCCCCCTTCAGTGCATGATCAAACCAGCTGATTAGTAGGGTTAGGCATAGATCCTGTTCATCCTGGCTGGGTTGATCACCCTGCTGCCTATCCTCGCTAGACATAGCCTCGATGAATGTATCCCAATGATCGCCTTGTGCTGTTGTGAAGATGAATGGCGGTCGCTCATCATCAGCCATCTCATCTACACGATAGATGATGCATAGTATCTGTCGGAACACATCCCTATACCGCTTCCAAGTATCCTCCTCCATTCTACTGTTAAATGGCCGATTAGGCTTCCCTTCTAGAGCGGTTCGGGCCACCTCGAATAATGCAGCCTTGCCCACCTTGGCGGCTGTCGCAGTTGCCCGTGCCTGGTTGAGCACATACTCCATCACTTTCCATGCTGACTGCAGTGCTGTCTCCTCCTCCCGGATATCCTGCCTTGTACTGTAGAGCTTGGTAACAGATAGCCCCTGGAGATGCGTTGCCCAGCCAACAAACTCGAGCCATCCGTTGGATTCAAGCCGGTCATCACCAACCTGGATGATCATTCGTGTCTCCTGCGCCTCCTTCGCTGCCTCCTCCCTAAATAGCTCCTGAACTCTTTCAATCGCTGCTTCTGTTTGGCCGGTATGGTCAGGGCTAGCAGTCTCTCCACCTGAGCCAACACGGAACCAGCTGCTCGCAGCCCTTCGGATAAAGAACCGCTGGCAATGCACACCGCTTATCCATGGCTGATCGCGAGCCTCTGCTGCTTTTTTCCTGATGTTACCACCCTTCTTCCAATTACTGATCCATTGGTGTGCTTTCCTGCAATGGTCTCGTATCCCAACCTCTGTACAAGCAATATATGGGCACTGCTTGCATTGCTTCCCATCTGTTCTTGGCGGGGAGATATATGGTACTGGCTCTGCGATATATATTGGTAATGGATATCTACGTAGTTCTTCTTGATCCTGTAGAAGCCCATCTATGGCTTGGATAGCTGCCTTGATTTCTCTTCTCTGGGATATTGTGAATAATGGGTGTTGAGCTTGGAGATGTGTTTCCACTTCCTTGGTAACGCATGCATAACTGCACTGCTTGCAGATAATAAATGGATATTGTATAAGATGGATAAATGGCTCCATTATGTTCAGTATAATACTATAGATTATAAGGTATTAAGGTTGAATATGTTAATAAAGCAGGTTTCGAAGGTAGTAGATAGTGCGGCTGAGGATCTCGATGAGGCCTGGTTTAACTAGGCGTTTGGTTGAGGCCTCACCGACATACCGGGTGAATGATATTCCTGGCGGGAATATCGGAAATATCGGTTAAATACTGGGTAAATAGCTATCCTTTGTGGGTCCCTGAAAATTATTGACCAATTAATCAACACATCCTACTCAACACATCCTACCCCCTACTTTTTAGTAGCGCGAAAATTCACCCACCAAATTTCAACACATCCTAGTAGGATGTGTCGTGGAATTACTGTTAGGTTTCGATAGTTAGTATTCTGATAGGCAGCTCGTACGGTTCTCAATTTTTAACCCACTTCCACTGAGGAACTGTATGCCCTCATGAAATGTGGAAAGAGTGGACAAGACAAAGATAGATATCAGGGCGGCCAAGATCAGGGGGCCAGAGCTAGCTTCTTTCACACTATGTGATGAATTTCTGCGTCAGATCCTTCATTTTAAGGCAGGCCCCAGGACTAATAGTTGCTATAAAATCCTCCTTACGAAACCCAGCATCCTGGAGTCATTCTTAGAACATTTCCAACCGGCGCGTACGGAATTATCATGTAGCAAATAGAATAACGCGACCAAGATTGAACACGGCTCCAAATCTGTAACAGTACTTGAACGAAAGAATGTCATACAATCTAGGAGGAGTATCCTTTGAGTTAGCAGTCTGGCAAGGTAAATATGCAGAAGATGGCAACCGTTATTCAATTCATTTTTCCACATTGGGAAAACCTCTACAAAACAACAAGTTTAATTCTTCTAGAACGGTAGGTAGGTGTACAATCAATCACAAATCAAAAATTTACCATGGCATCTGTTCCCAAGGTGCACTGTGCACTTTACGTGAGAAGAAGACGGGATGGCGACATCAACCCCTGCCGTTCCTACCGCCGGATCACGGACCGGGTTCGGATCGGGTTCGGATCGGATGGACGGGCTCCAACCTTGTTGTGCTAGTATCAAGACTTGTAGCAGTCATCAGCCCGAGATCAACTCGCCCTTTTTTGCCTTCGGGAACGGAAATAATGGTGAAAGGCCGTTTCATATGTACGCTATACTTGTAGATCGTTCGCCTTTAATGGAGAGATTGGAATGGCTTAAATCACAATCAGCTGCCCTCGGATTCCAAAACGAGGCAATTTGCTCTTTGTCAGAACGCATCATTTGTTGCTCAGGAGTACTCTCCAGACGGTCAAAATGAAGCACCCTTCTTTGTGTCTGGTCCCATGCCTGACTGCGCTGGGCGCGTTGGTCGTTGCTGACAGCCGCTTCGTCACCCGCCCAGAGCTCGCTGTGCCAAAGCTCAATATCACAGTCCCGGCTCGTGGTGGCGAGGTGGGAGAGGGTCTCATCTTTGTTGCCCCGTACCTTGGCTTTGAAGAAGGATCGCACGGGCCAACTCAGCCAGGCGCCTACATTTTCCGCGATGACGGAGAGCTAGTCTGGTCTGGCGTCGGCTACCATGCCGGCTGGGTGGCCAACTTTAGGCCGGATACATGGGGTGGCAAGCCATACCTCAGGGCATTCCAGGGCCGGCTTGACGGTCCTCATGGCCGCATGTATGGCTTCCATACCCTGTTGGGAGACGACTATGAGCTGGCCAAAAAGCTCAAGGTCGGAAACCATCGTCTAGTATCAGCCCACGAGTTCAAGTTAATTGAGGGCAAGACCGTCCTCGTAGAAACGCCCACTCCGGTTGTTGTATCTCTCAGCCCTTGGGGCGGCAGCAAGGACCAGAACTGGATTGTCTCGGGTGGCTTTCAAGGCAAGTTTCAGATACAACTATGAGCTGGATTCATTACTGATTGTCAATGCAGAGCTTGACATCGAGACGGGCAATGTCTTGTTTGAGTGGCAGAGTTTCGATCACGTCGATCCCAAAAGTGAGTCATCATCATTTACTTATCGAACCGACAAGGCTGACAATGTCAATATAGAGAGTGCGTTCCCACTCGACTTTGGACCTGGAATCCCCGGATCTGGTAGGAATGAAACGGACGCTTGGAACTATTTCCATATCAACAGTGTTGACAAGGACAACGAGGGTAATTACCTCATCTCAGCTCGTAACCTTGCAGCTGTGCTGAAAATCAATGGCACAAGTGGCAATGTGATCTGGCAGCTTGGGGGTTACCAAGGTGGCTCCGACTTTGCGCTGCGGGAAGAAGATATCTTCGCCTTTCAACATCACGCACGGTTCCGTGGCCGTTCTGATGATGGCAACATTGAGACTATTTCCCTCTTCGACAATGGCGCTCACTCCGCGCCCATCAACAAGACCCATCCCACGTCTCGTGCCCGGATCTATGAATTGAACCACCACACATCAACTGCCCGAGCCATCAGAACATATGAAGCCCCCGATGGTCTGTCTGCCCACACGCAGGGCAGCGTCCAACCTCTGGAAAATGGCAACATATTTGTCAACTGGGGCCAAGCGGGAGCCGTGACCGAGTATAGAAATGACGGCAAGGTCCTATTCCACAGCTACCTTGATTCAAATCCTAATCGCTTTGCTCAGAGCTATCGGGGATGGAGGCTGCCTTGGGTTGGTAAGCCAGCCGAGGAGCCAGCCGTGACTGCCAGAGTATCTGACAGCGCAAACTTGGATATCTACGTATCCTGGAATGGAGATACCGAAACATTTACGTGGCGCTTCTACGCTCAGCGAGCAGGGGGCAAGTCCCGTCTTCTAGGTGAGGTGAAGCGGGAGGGGTTCGAGAGCCACGCGACTTTTAACGAAGAATCCGACATCAAGGGAGCCCTGATCACTGCACAAGCGATCAGTGGCGATGGGGCGGTTCTCAGACAATCCAAACCTGTCTCGGTGGATCATGTGGCAGCTCATCCTTATAGATTTGACGGATCCAGCCTCCAGTGGGCTCTGGATGAGGAGCTATAGGGTAAGGAACCGGCCTGGAGTTCTTGGTTCTATATACTTTGGTAGCATTCTACTCTCTTAAAATCTACGGTTCGACTTTTTACTTTCGGGAAACTAGATGTATTACAAATAATTAAAAAAAGAAAAGGTAGAATTCTAATTAAAAGTTATAATTAATATACTTTAATTAGTTTTATATACCTATTAAGAGGAAAAAAAAAACTGCTTCTTTCTCCCTTCATGGAGCAGCATGTGGTCATTGACCCACAAGTATAGAGCACGGCCTCACCGCCTCTATGTTGGTTCCTAACGTTATACTTGCATCGTGCAAAATTTCACACAATTCACAACTCGCCACTCACACCTACCTCTACTTAGCTACATACCCACCAAGATCAAGATGCCTCGTATGAATCTAGGCCTTCCCTACAACAACTGTAGCCTCCAGTCTCCCCCGTGCCTGGTTGGTTTTCAGAGCCCCAGCCTCCTCCGCTGTGGTGGCTGCCATGTCGTTAAGTATTGCGGACAGGCGCACCAGAAAGCCGACCGACGCAGGCACAAGGTCCAATGCATCCCAATCAATCAGACAAGGGACAAGATGTCGGAGGAAGAGGCAAAGCTGCGGGCCAACCCTGGCGCGGACACGGACGGGAACCCTTTCGACAACATCGTGGGCCTTTTCTGGTTTTTCCAGAGCACTCGCCCTTATATGCAAGCTCGCTTTGACTATATCACTGCCATCCTCAATGTCCGCACCGGCGAAGCAGTCGAAACCGCCCTCGCTCATTCCCTCGATCTGCTTCGCCTCTGCAGGGGCGATAATTTGGGTGTTCGCTCCAATGTTCCTGCGCTGTATCTCCGCCTTGGGAGGGACCAGGATGCATACGATTTCATCAAATGGTATGCTGACAGAGGTGACTCAAACTACAATTGGCGCGACATGAGCTTGCCGTATCTAGACATGCATGAAGAGGATACGTTTGAGGCTGTCAACGAGAACCCCCACCACGCCGACCTATCCTTCCTCATAGCCTTGACTCTTATCAAGATTCGTTTGATGAAGGACGTAGAGTCCCTCCAGGCATTCCTGCAGAGCAACCCTAACGCGACAGGGGAAGCAAGGTATGACCACTTGCAGGAGGAGGCGATGAGCGATATACTTTTGAAGCGGCCGGACGTTGTTGCGCATGACAACTACGAGGAAACAATCGCCGAGTTACGGCGCCAGGTGCTACAGCTTTACAGATTGGTCAAGGAAAAGAACCCACACTTCTGGCCAGGCATTATGGATCCGACCCTGTTCGCTTACAGTGTGCCGACGATTTACGCCCCGGGTTCACGAGAAGAGGCTGTGCTTGTTTTTCGGAACTCATGGTATTCTTGGTCGGAAACCGAACCGGCCATACAGTTTATCAGAGGAGTTATAGGTAGCGATACATAAAGCGGCAGAAATGAAAAAGTTTAGATATTCTAACCAAGAGTAAACGATCTATTTTCAACTTGATTTGACTATGAAGCCCTAAGTAAAAAGGCGAGAGCTATTTGCAGAATACAGCCGTGGAATTCTCCACCACCACCTCGAACCGTTAGCGAGCGAAGTTCGGCACAGCATCCTGTGTAGGACGTTGCCTGGCAGCATCCGCTGCTTTAAACGAGATGTGACGGGTGCAGCTCCATGAGGTACCTCTGCCTCTACATGCTTCAAATAGCTCTCTGGCACCGTGATTTTCCGGTGGAATGCATATGTATATGAAGAGTACCTCAAGGTCAATGAGGAGTTTCGGCAAGGTTTCTCTAAAATGTCCATGCTAGACCAAAGATCTACGCCGGGGGATTGAATACGACTACCTTTGTTACACTTTACTGTTTGCCTGTGGCACCGGTGGCAAGCGCTTTTTTTGTACTCGCGCTTGGATACTGTTGGTGGCATCATGGGCATCACTCGACACGCGCATGTCTGGCAAGTGGGCTTGTTGCAGGCCTCGCTCCGGGAGAGTTATGCAGATATTCTTGGGAGCGGGCGGGGAATTGCCTCCGCATACCTGCTTGAGCCATGGGACTAGCATCTAAGAATATCCATACCATGTTGAGGCAACGCTCCACGACAAATGAATGGCCAATTAGCGTTACATCATTAACAATGGGCTATAACTTGAGGCTGATTCCTGCTTAATGTGAGAAACAGCACGTTCGATAGTGTTGTGCTACAATACCGTTGTTCGGTTACCATTAACCAAGACAATCATGGTTGACTGGAGACTGCCTTGCCCCCATCATGACTGCGAATTCGGCCATTAGCGCAGAGTTTGTACAGGTCTCTAAGAAGCCTAATATTTCTGTTTGTACTCTGTCGAGCGACCCTTGGATTAGTCAAGGGTAGATCCTTAGAGCGACCAAGGATTCGAAGAGATTTGCATTATAGCGAGGCATGCCTTATCCGCTCTCAATTGGATGGCCGTAAATTAGCTAATAGTCTCGTTCTCATTTAGTACGGCAGTATCGGTCGGCATCTCAAAACAATGAATCCACGTCCGGGATCCGTATTTTGACCAGTAGTAACTCTTATGATTTCAGCATCATTTCAGCATCACGGAAACTTCGGGCCGACTACTTTTTGATGACAGCCAACAGGATCGTTCATCTCAGGGTCTCCGCTAGGAGTCTAGTTTCGTCTTCAGCTAGGGAAGGTGTAACTAAACGCAAATGTCACTTCTACAAGGATCTTCTGCAGTCTTAAAGGCAGGCATTGCCACCAGAGACTGAGAGAGGCAATATTAACTTCTAACACACCGCTGTTCCCCACCACTATCCTTCCCACATCCAAAAGTTTCGGTACAACTTCAATGTCTCATTATGACACTATTGGCCTCAAGTATAATGCCGTTAAATCTACACCTTGGGGCCGGCTTGAGCTTTTCAACTTCAAGAAACACATTCAGCCGTTTCTATCCAGGCCACAAACAAATGTCTTGGACCTCGGCTGTGGAACTGGTTTCTACACAGAACTCCTGGCAGAATGGGGTGCCACAACTGTTACTGCAGTAGATATTTCCACTGCTATGCTCGCAGGAGCCAACGCTCGTCTAAGGAACAGCCGCTATGCTTCCATGGTGGAGTTCGTTCAAGGAGACGGTCTTAAGCCTACGGTATATGGCCCCAAGCCTCAATCATATGACTTGATTGCTGGTGTATGGTTCTTGAATTATGCAAAAGACTACAAGGAATTAGTATCCATGTTTTTGACTATTCGCAAAAACCTCAAACAGGGTGGCGTCTTCGTCGGCGTCTGCATGCATCCTGTGGAGGATGTGTGTAATTTCATCGCCCATCACAATTCAAAAGTTTGGGCAATGACTGGTCTCGAAGACATTTACCAAGATAGACTTCCAGACGACGCGGGATTTATGTTCAAAGCGGTCTTCCATCCTCCCAAAGCTGTCAAGTTTGGTCACACTATCGAGTTTGAGGCCTATCATTTAAAGAAATCGTTGTATGAGGCAGCTGCACGGTTAGCCGGACTACAAGGCAAGCTCGAATGGCAGCATTGCGACTTTCCGGATAGTCTTCGAGGTGGATTAGGCCTAGATTTTGATGTAGTGAGCTGGGAACAACTAAAAGCATATCCACAACTTTCTATACTTATACTCCGCGATAGATAGAAGATTCTGAGGCGTCTAGTTTTAACACTATAGAATCAGTCTAGATATTTAAGTTAAATAAGTAAATAAGTAAATAGGGGGTCCAGATTAGGTATATTAAAATAAATGAAATGCACTAATAAAAAGTACTTGTTTAAGACTAATGATATATAATTCAATGTCGAAAGGTCTATAGCATCGTTTGCCCTTTTCACGTTAGTTTAGATTGGAATATAATAAGAGCTAGAAGCTGATGTTTAACCTCGACTAGTATATATCGGTTGGAAAATAGTCAAATTAAAGCTCACGGTAGAAATAGAAATATCCCCTCTAGATATAATTCAAGCTCAAGATGAACTCGACACCTGCTATATAGAAAATGAGAAACCGTGCGGCGGTAGGGTTGTTTAAATAAATCGGCATTTAGAATCCTTCAAGAGAAGCATTCAGACACGATCATCATTACTTCGAATATTGTTGCTCTCTACCTGAACAATTTCGTCGTGGGTGACGGGCTCAGGATCCCGAAGGCCAGTAACCTTTGTGAGGATACCGCATGCGAAGATATCGCCTGAGACATTGACCATAGTGCGGAAGCGGTCGATGAACCAGTCGATTGCCACGACAACTCCAAACATACCCTGGTTATCAATACCAAGGGAAGTAGCAATCATAACAGTCAGGACGAGGGAAGAGGATGGGATAGGCGTAGTACCGATCGCGCAAAGAGTTGACAGAAGCACCAAGAGGATGTACTCGCCAGGATTAAGCGACTTTCCTGAGGTTTCGGCGAGGAAGACGACAACCATGGGAAAATAAATGGACGTTCCGTCCATGTTGATTAGGGTACCCAATGGGACAGCAAAGTCGACGACAACGTCAGGGTTGCCCCGCTCGCGACAAACGCGAAGAGTAAGTGGCATGGTACCCGCGGATGAGGCTGTGCCCCAAGCGGTAACCCAGGCTTTGGATGACTTCAACCAAACAGGGTACGGGTTCTTGCGAACAAAGGCGAAATAGATGATAGGAAGGAGAATCCAGAGGTGAATCAACATCGAGCTGATGGAGCCGCCAATGAGGATGCCCAGGTTGGTGCCAACTTCTTCAATATCTAATTTGAACATGTTTGGCAGAATCAGATGAAACACACCAATGGGGGCTATCTTAATGAGGAATGCGATGACCCTAGCAATCATGTCATTGACCTCGTTGACAGCGTGTAAGATAGACGAATTCCCCGGCTTGATGAGATATCCGACGACGATTGCTATCACCAGTACGGAGAGAAGCTCGTTGTTGGCAAATGCGCCGAACACGTTGGAGGGGACGAGGGTGTCGAAGAGCGTTTGAACGATATCATGGGGCTTACGATCCGAGCCGTCTGTCCAGGCCTTGTTAGGTTTGTCGGGGTCTTCAATATCCGATACCTGCATCAAGGGAGCCCAGACTTGACTGGTCATAACAATGGAGAAGGCGATGGCGAAGACGGTTGTGAGTACATAGTAGCCGACAGTCCACCGACCAAGTAGCTTGCCGCCACTGGTTATCTCGCGTAGAGACTGTATGGCAAGAATCATGGCGCACACGATCATTGGAATCACTTATTCTCAAATGTCAGCAAGGCTAGTACCCAGATGATTGGGGGTATTTGAGGGCCTTTACCAGCGGCTTGCAGTGCACGAAGCCAGAGACGTCCAGGGATCTCAAGAACCACGATAGCAGCTTCGGGGATATTGTCTGAGCCAACACCAGCTGAAACACCCAGGCCAATGCCGAGAGCAATCACAGCAGCAACAATGATTTGCGAGACGTGACCAGGTTCCATCCATCTCTTATGCCACGGCTTCTTGATGTCCTCATCCTCAGCACTAGTGGTTAAGTCAAGAGGGGATGATTGCTCTTGGGGAGGTGTAAAGGATGACCGATGATGGATTTTCTTGTCGTCGACGACTTCAGTAGCAGTCGTCCTGGAGTCAGCCATCTTTATCACTTAATTTGGTAACGGAAAGAGTAGTTGATAGCTGTGAAAGCTGAGAAGAGCTTGGTTGCCACGTCGAGAAGCTTGACCAGGTAGGAATCTTCACAGACAGTGGTACGGAAAGAATAAGAGGAAGAAATAAGATGGGCAGAGAGGGTAGTCGCACCCCAGTGGCTTTATAGCTAGAAGCGCGCTGGAACGTCCATAGGCGTGATCAAACTACCTAAATTTAAGCTTATCCGGGCAGAACAAGGTTTGATGTGCGGGGTTATCTAGCGCTGACCCCAATGTGGGAAGGAACAGACATGGTCATTGACAAGGTGGGTGTGCCCTCATTTACTAAAGGCGAATGGTGACGAAGCACATGGTAAGACTGAGGCCTTATCTCGCCAAGAGGTAATATTACTTCTTGGCATAACCTGAAAGGAAGGTCTTAAGGCTAGTGTCTGGATCCTTGTGATATTTAACGGTCTCTATTGCGCTGATCCGCTGTTTTCCTGACAAACCTAGTCCTTCAGTTTCTCGGCATTGTCTTGGCGACGGTGGTAGCTGACTTGGCTGAGACACAGGGTGGCGACATATGACCAGGTCAGAATAAAAGGGCCAGTCAGTGTGATGCTAAGGGTTGATTGATGCCGTCGTCTTGGGTGCCACCAAGGTAGGCCAGGGCTACGCCGGCGGTCGAGAAGTCGTAATTTTTTGAGTACAGCTCCCTACAGTCGAGTTTAGAATGCTCGACCAGATGAGTCCATTAGCATTTTACATGAAGGCGGCGCAGATAATATCGGGATATCTCATAAATCGGAGTGGCCCCCACATAGTGAGCAGGAGGCGGTTGGGCCTTGACGGAGGCCAGATGCTCGGCTTCTGCCAGTAAGTGTTTGTATGATCAACCTATCCCTTTTCAATATTTGAGGAGCCATCACCCATCTATCCCGTCTTTTTGCTAGTGTTGCCTGCTGCGTTAGCATCCATTGGTGTTATTTTCAACAACCTCTGTCATTGCAGCCAGCATAGAAGATTCCTCTGGCCGGTCGTAAGTTTTTTCTTCCACAAAAACCAGTAAACGAAAACGATACAAGCCCATGTAGCAGACCAGTAATTGTCTGCGATTTCTCAGTGAGGGTCTACCAGGATAGCATTATATTATCAGGTATGTATGAAAGGACTTGCTAAAGTGCACTCCTAACTTTGTTTATTGTTATGAAATCAGCAAAGGTGCGCAAATATCTATTATGTATGAATTAGTTATAGTCTTAAGAGGAGATATTTATTATTATTAATTATCATTATTAAACTTTTAAGTTTATAGGTAATAATAATAAATTATTAACGTTAAGTATTCTTATCCTTAGTGTACATGAGCCTAAATGTTGCAGACATCCTCTAGGATAACTTACTAGTGGAGAACCGCCGTCTTGACCTCGCCTAACCTGTTCCTTTCCTGCTCCAGCCGGCGGATCGGGAGGATAGACCGAGATCGCAAAGACAGTCCGTAAACTGTCTAAACACAACAGTAAAGATGATACCACTTAGTCACGGAACCACCAAAATCTAGCCATTGGACTTGGCATTATTGAAAAAATGGCCATGTATATAAGAAAGAGACTGGGCCACCTAGTATATGAAGGACGGATGGACTCTATCCCGGGTTTCATAATGACACCTTTGGAGGCCGTGCCACTCCTGACACGGAGATTTGAAGAATTGGTTGGTTTTCGGAGTTTATTTGGCATACCTACCTTAGATAATAATGACTAGGTAGGTAGTCATATACAACTTTCGGAAAATGTCAAGTTTCCCTGATTTGGCAATGGGGCAAATCGGGGGTTGGCGATGGTGTCGAAAGCGGTCGCCAGTCGCATCGCAATGTGGGCCCAGGTCGATGGCAATGCGGGATAGGGCTGAATCCGCTTGTTTGATAAATCATTTGAGGTATTTCAATGTCTGTAGGCATAGCAATCCATGGACAAACTATGAAACTGATGACGCCATCTTCTTTCATTGGAGCTGAGCGTTGTTACTTGAGCTTCGTGCAGCCCGAGCCAGGATACAACTGGACGAGCCTCTCGGCGAATGAGTCACCCGGCGTTACGCGGCGGCCATCCTACCATATTATCAATCTACCTACCTGTTATGCAAACTAGACGCTGTAGCCGTGATCAGTTGATTACTAATGTTTAGCAACTTATTCAAGAAGAGAACCAGCCCGTATTTAAGACATGATGTTAACCTCAATAACTGCTGGGCTAAGAGGCAAAGATCGCATTCGATTCCGACGTAAAATCTGATCATGTCTACTCATACCATGCCTACCGATGCGGTCATCACCGTCGCCATCGCTGGCATCACTGGCAGTCTCGGAAAGCTCATCGCTGAATACCTCCTGGTCAAGCCAAATGTCCGCATCCATGGGCTCTGCCGAACGCCTACCAAGCTCCCCCAGTCACTTCGTGATGAACCCCGTCTCACCGTCTACGCCGCATCCTCGACCGACACCGCCACGATCCGAGACGCCGTACGTGGTTCCGATGTAGCCATATGTTGTTATCTCGGTCCTCACTCCCTGATGGTTGACGGGCAGAAACTACTCATTGACGCGTGCATCGCCGAGGGCGTCCCTAGATACATTGCTAGTGACTGGTCGATGGATTTCCGGAAGCTGGAACTTGGCCAACACCCTCCGAAGGATCCGATGAAGCTTGTGCAGGCATACCTGGAGGAAAAGGAGGCCGCTGGACAGTTGAAAGCCGTCCACGTGCTGAACGCATGCTTCTTAGAACGACCTTGGGTGGGAATTTGGGACCCCAAACGTAACCTATTCAAGTACTGGGGCACGGGAGACGAGCGATGGGAGTTCACAACATATCGGAACGCAGCCCAGTTCACTGCAGAGGTGGCGGTAGACAAAGATGCAGTTGGATGGTTCTCATGTGAGATTTTCCCAGATATCATTTCCCCAGTATCTAAAAAGCACCTGCTAATGATTTACTGCATAGTCCGTAGCGATCACGTCAATATCAAAGAGATTGCCGCTGAATTTCATACCGTCTTTGGCGAAGAGCCGGGATTGGAACGACTGGGAAGCTTGGAAGATCTGTTCAAGCTTATGCATCAGACACGGGACCAGAATCCAGACAATGCCCCAGCCTGGCTGGGTTTGTTCTACACGTACTATTCCATCAACGGCCAAACAACTTTGCCGTTACCTCTCGACAATGAACGCTACCCTGCTGTTAAGCTAGTAACTGTCAGAGATTTCTTTGCCAAGACGCCCAAGGAACGGCTTGGAAGGTTTGGGGTCTTTCAATCGTGAGAATACCAAAATCTGGCAGTGTGACACAGTGCCTACACAAGCGTTACAGGTAGAATTGTACTTCTTAATGCAAATCTACTATAGAACCAAGAAGTTCGTTTCTTTATTGACCATCAATCGTGCTGTCCCTGCACATATCTAACAGTTGGGAATGTATATGAGGAGCAAGCCTGTTTTCCTCAACCTGGCTGACCAGTACTGCAAGCTCTTGTCGGGATTCTGCGTCGATGTTCCCGGGCTGAGCAGCTCTCGATACACTGCTCCCAAGAAGGTCCATGCAGTCGCGGTACATGTCTGCATTCTGCGATCGGTCAGCGAATATAGAGAGTATTGCCGTACAGTCTCTGATGGCACGGTCAACAGCCTTTGATACCGTAATGGCCCGGCGCCAGACGATGTATATCATCGTGACACCTATTTGAAATATGAAGAGCATCTTGAGAAGATTAGTACACGTCTGCGCTTTTCTTGCCGGGTAACGTACATCAAACCAGTGTCTGGGCAGATGTTTTCTCTTTTGAAGAGCCCGAAAGGTTGCACAAGCGTCACAGCAGGCTTGAAGAAGCTCATCCGTGATTTCCGATGCGGCCTCGATGGAGATGGAGCTGTACAGCAAGACTCGGGTCATGTGTCCGACGTAAACCACGCCAAGAGGGCTTGCATGGCCCCCCCTATTCAGATGACTGCCTCTGTCGTCAGCCCCAGCATAGTTATAAGTTTCAAGACGTACCCATTCGCAAACACCTCCTCACTTTTAGCCCATCCGTCGATCTCAGCCCGCAACTCACGCAGACGTACGATCCTGGAATCGGGAGGTAGTCGTCGCATTGTGGTAAGTATCTCCGAGTGAAGCCGTCTGATTTGGCACATGTGGGCAAAATAGCGTAGATCAAAACTGTACAGCACTCCGGCTGAAGAGCCCGGTATGTCAGCAGCCCAGGGCATGAAGAACTGAGGGTCGGGCTTGGCTTCATATGATGGTTTGGTCTCAACCCACTCTTCCGGTGGATAGGGGGGAATGCGTAGGGTTATCGCAACAACTTTGTCCAGGCTTAACAGTGTTAGACGGATGGAACCCAGGACGGCGTATTACTCACCAGTAGATGGACCACCAAGCTTTGACCTTCATGTCTGCTTCGTGAGTGCCATCGTTGGTGAGACAATGAAAACCATGCAGAATGGCAAAACGCATCGCCACGCCAACGATATGCACGACCCGCTCAGTGTTTTCGCCATGGAGCGCGAGGAACGCGTGGAGAAGCAAAAACTGGATTCGACGAGATGGGTTGAAAGAGGCATCCGAGATAATCTTTTGCTCTTGAACATCCAATCCTTGGCGCTGTCGGCGGGCTGTATGGTCGAGCCATGCATATTGTAAGATGGCACCATTGGCAATGATCTGCAGGTGTGAGTGAGTTTCAGGCATGAAAGCAGGCTGAGCACATACCAGCTTGAGAAGACACATGGACCAGTCTTTGTCGCTGAAGGATTTTGTCTCGCCTGTTTTCCAGTTGAGATAGGCTGTGCTGCACTCCTCTACGTCGAGGAAGGGATAGCGAGGGTGAATGATCTCGAAGTATGTCTGGAAGAAGGAGGCGCCTTCACGAACTGAAACATCAGCTATTGTGGCGTCCACTGATGCTTCCAGGGATTGCGAAGTGTCTACTGTATAGCTCCTTGGGTCTACCGTGTTGTTCAATTGTGTAGCTGGCTGCTGGGCGATAGAAAACAGGTTCTCGTCTGGGTATGAGAAGTCAAATGTGAAGGCTGTATTCTCGTGGGAGTGTATTGGGGGCAAATAGAATGTGTTTAGAGGATCATTGAAGTCCTGAAGCTCTGTGTAGATGTTTGGTTCCGTGTTTTGAGTCAGAACGGTACCAGGACCTTTATGAACCTGGGCCGTTGTCTCAAAACTCTGTTGATGGAGGCGAGCATGGAAACTCGCGACCTGTTGCTCAAGGTCTTCAACATACGACACGGTATACGTATCAGTAGGCTCATGACTAGCGGGTACACATTCTAAGAATTTCATTCAGCAGCTACAAATCAGTTGGAAAATGCAGATGATAACACTGACCAGCTTTGGCCGACCTGCAGTTCCGGCAAGCACCCTGGTCTTGACCATCGCACCGCTGCTTTCTCGCTCTGCATCTTTGACAAGCCGTCGCCTTCTTCCGCCGAAGTCTTGGCGTCCTTCGCTGTGTAAAAGTTCCTACCGGGCCTTGATTTGGTCGCATGTCTTTTTGCTACTCCGGTGACGGGTGGCTCCGATGAATTGCGACAGCTGGTGATGCTGGAAAGATTGGTGTAGAGGCTTTTTGGTCCGATATCTCTCATCAGCCCCGCTCTTCGGAGCCTTTCAGCCTCTCAGCATTCCCTCTGGCACACGCCTGGGGCTTTCGGCTTTTCACCCCGATGACCTCCTTGATTCATGTGGTGGCATGATCCGAAAAGCCGACAATTCGTATGTCTATGGCAAGGCGTGCAATGTTTAGTATAAAAGACCCTTACTCCAATAGCAAACAATGTATTTCAAATTTTCACATCGATTCTTATATTACCACATCAAGTCCTCTTCGTCTCTTACCTTGGGTACTTCACTATTACTTCAGCCACAACCATGAGAAATCCGCTAAGCTACCCAGCCGGCAAGCAAAACAAAGTGCACCGGCTGGCCGACAAGCGAGCGGCGTACGACCTCGAGACAGTCCACGGCATCATGAACCAGTCCCTTGTTTTCCACGTCTCGTTCCAACCCGACGTCGAAAATGCATTCCCAAGTACCATCCCCATGCTTGGTGCCCTAGGAAACTTTGACTATCCCAGTGCCGGCTTGAATGAGCCTCAAGACGCCTACATCCACGGGTACATCTCGGCCCGGATGACAAAATTGGCTAGGGAGGCCATGGACAACGGACTCCCCGGCTTACCTGTCTGCCTCTCTGTCGCCAAGGTCGACGGCCTCATCCTAAGTTTGAGCGCATTCACACACTCGTGCAACTACCGCTCCGCAGTTTTATTCGGGCATGCAAGCCTCGTCACAGATGAGTCAGAGAAGATGTGGGCGCTGGAAATGCTCACCAACAAGATCATCCCCGGCCGGTGGGGCCAAGTCCGCCAACCGCCAAACAAGGTCGAGCTCGTGCAGACGCAGATTCTGCGGGTTCGAGTCACCAGCGGCAGCGCAAAGGTGCGGGCAGGACCGCCGGCGGATGGCAAGGAGGATGTTCATAATGCTGAAGTCATGGCAAAGGTGTGGTCGGGCTATATTCCGCTGGTGGAGCGCATGGGAGAGCCGATTCCCAGTGCGTACAATAAGCTTGTGGAGATACCGGAGAATGTTCGAGATCTTCAGGAGGAATTCAATAAGGAGGCGGATACGTACAGCGAGAAGCTGGTCAAGCAGGTGCAGGAGGATGTGATCTCGTGGGGTACGATATGATAGTTTCACTGTCGTCCTGGATTTCTCTTAATTTCAGACACTCTTCCAAAGTCCACTACGGTAGGATCATAGTCACATTGACAGGGTTTGACATAAGGAAAACTGCAGAGCACAGAGAAGATGTAATCGATAGAGTTTATTTAATAGAGCTTCCAGATGTGTTCCAGGTACAGACAACCAAATACTCGATGGATCGATAGTGACAACAAAAGGGCAGAAAACAAGCCGAACCGTTCTTCTCGTGTGATCTTCCCCCTCCTTGCCGAAGGTTAAGGTTAAAGAATGAATGTGTAGAGTGAAGGGAAGCGACAAAGTATGGAACAACTATATTGATCCAATCGCGTTCGCTCACGAGGTTGTAGATGAAAGTGGTAGAGAAAAGGAGGTAAAAAGTTTATCCTTCTAGGACGCGATCCAAGACCTAGATGAATGCCATTTCACGTGCACTTTTCCTCCTCGGTCTTCACTTCCCTCTCTAGCTTCCGGGATAAGGGCAGTCGCTCCACATACTCTTCGTTCGGCAACAAGCCGCAAACGAGGAGAGTCGGTTAGAGATACTGCTGGCTTTGCAGTCTTCTCCGTACTGGAAACGACCGCCCGAGTCTTTGCAGCACCATTCAGTCGTACCCTTTCCAATGCCCCTACTGTGGAGACATTTGCATGCCGAGGAGACAGAGGCCAGGGCAGTTAGACCAAGTATCAGTACGTTAAACTGCATTTTGAATGATAGTTGGCGTGTAGTTGTAAGGATGTGAAGATCCGTCTTTTTGATGGTAGTTATGAGATTGTTTAAGTGTATTTGTAGTATAGAAAAAGCGTAAAGATACCGAGGGAAAAGAGAATCGATACAGAGGTCCAGTATGCCTTATATACTTTTTTCAAAGTATTCTTCTCCAGCATAAAGTTCTATTAAAAACTTCCCATAATTCAATTTCGCTAAGCATTACATCTGAGCCACTGTCGAAACGTTCCACTCAACATAAGGTACAGAAGTTCTAATAGTACAGAAGTTCCAATAGTACAGAAGTTCCAAAAGCACAGAAGTTCCAAAAGCACAGAAGTTCCAAAAGCACAGAGGTTCCAAGAGCACAGAGGTTCCAAAAGCACACGATTTTCATGCACGTCTAAGTGTTCAGGGTATAAACAAGACATAGATGGAATTTTCCGGAAGAACGCTCTTTGCAGTGAGGCGGAGACATGTTCACCTATAGTAAGGGGTGTATAACCAGTGACGAAGGTATTACATCCTAGGAAATCAGAAGTGCCAAGCCTGAGAGTTCCACTCAGGAGTCAGCCCTTGCGCTCGGTCATCACTAGACTCGGGTAGAGATATAGACCTAAACCCAGCCTGGGTTACAAAGCTGCCCAATTTGACCAAGTCCATGGGTTTTTCTGATGTCATAAGCGAGGCGCATGAGCAGGTTTCTACTTAGGGTTTCACGAGACGGGTTATGGTGGGAATAGAACCACCAAAGGTCTATAGCGCCTGAAACTGAGCCGTTCCTGAGATTCATTATATTTCTTTAACATATCTCCAACTACAAGCTTGAGTGTTCTTTACAGGAACGAAGAAGACAAATCTCACTTCTACGTCAGTGAAATAACAGCTCCTTTAGGGGCAGCCAAGTCTTAAATGTTCAGTGCACGTCCATTGGCATGAGCTGCTCTCCACAAACGATCCACCCAAGGGCAAGAAATAGCTCAGCATATACGAATGCCTTAGGCTGGAGAGTAGCTTTTTACGGCCAGCTTTACTACCGGGGCTGGGGTCAGCTAGGGTGCACCCTCCTCGGGCTACATGCTGTCCTGATTGGCTCTCCCATATTTTCGCACTTGGACAGATTATCTCCACCAAATAACGCAGATAATCAACAACGCCCAATAGAGCAGCAACTAAGTCTACGCCTCAGACTCTAAAAGGTAGGGTAATACTCTCAGAAGTGACTGTAGCAGAATCGTATGTGGTGGTTGATCCAAATGTGTCCGCAGGCAGATTTGATTGCCCATTGTTCCGGAAGGGATAAATAATGCTGCTTCTTTGCCCGTCAACTGAATGATTCGGTCCTTGAGCGCATTCACTGAGGCATCTCCTCTTTCGTCATAGACGTCGTCTCCGAAAGTCGCAGAATTCACAATAGCCTACGAGAATCAATCGTCAATTCCAATCTAGTTGTAAGAAGGTAGATGTCGCTTGCCTTCATCACTTTATCATTGGGAACAGTCACTGTATCTTAATGGAAATCTCTGCCGGCTCTGTCTATCGCATCCTGAAGAGTTTACGATACCATAGTACCAACATTATTATATTGAGTCTGGTTGCAAACAGGCTGTGCTGATCCGTTAGTAAAGTTAGGGCTTTGAGGATGTTTGGAGAAACTGTCTCTGATCTTGATGACGGCTCGGCCGTGCATATGCCCTGCTCGCTGTCAGTGATGGGAATGAATGTCCGCAAGATCCAAATGCAAACCTTTCTCCATCATGCCGTAGACTTTGGTCAGATCTGCAAAATCGACTACCTTCGACTGAAGTTGGAAACCAGAGTTGGCCATGATTCTGAGTGCTTCCTCTGTCTCATATCGGTTACCAACAAAGGAACCTTTAATATTGACCTTTTGCGTGACCATGGCAAAAATGTTGGTTGACATCTGCCCGGGTGGAAGGCCCACCGTGACGACAGACCCTCCGGGGCGAATGTACTATATTTGGTCAGTTAGTGATTTTCAAGATTCTCAGGGCATGCCTTCATTTACCTGTAGTGCCTGATGAAAGGCTCTTCCACAGGAGAGACAATAATTGCAGCATATGGCCCACCGTTTGTCACGCCCTTCACCTCATTTACAAGGTCCGGGGATTTATAGTCGACGTAAAAATCAACTTCTAAGTTGTCCAGACACACTCTCTTCTTCGAGGAGCCGGAGGATAATACCAGCACCCAAGATCTGAGCAAGGTCATGGACACATTAGCACTCAAGTCATATGTAGCTCGGATTACACACCTGTCTTACCGGAGCAGCAGTTTCCAGTTTTATACCAGGTGGAATCCGAATAGCATTATCTGCTTTGCAAATTCAATACTGTTGAAAGGTTCCATCGACGGCACATCCCGAAAGTTGAAGTGCAGGGTAGAGTGGCTGATTCCCAGCCGCACAATACTCGCAGTTTCCACAGGTTCGGTTGAGCCATTATAATTTCTCGATCGATCAGTAACTTCCCGCCTAACACTATCAAAACCCTGAATATTATGTCTCTTACCTGTATTCCAACCTTATCCCCGATGTTGAGGTCATGCATCTGAGACCTAAGTGCCGCCACATAGCCGCCACCTTCATGGCCACCTAAATTTTCCCGATGATCAGCATTGAAAGCTTTGAGGCGCAGCAGGCCATAAGTATTGTCGAAGCGTGCAAGAAGGCAGGGGTAGAAACCATTGTCGCATCGAAAACTTTCAATACTGAGGAAAAGGCCCTATGGGACAACACTGTCACTAAAGAGATTGGCTTGCACGGCTATTACCAGTCCAAAGCCTCGGTTGAGGATATTGTCCGCGGTGCTGGGTTTCAGGCTTACACCATCCTTCGACCATCATTCATTCACTTTGACTACCTGCTGCCAAGCGTGTACATGAACTATCCTACGCTTCCAGTTGATGGAATATTGCTTCATTCACTGAATGATGGAGTTCCGATAGCCAACACGGATGCATATGATATCGGGAAGTACGCAGCAGCGACTTTACAGGGTCCTGAAAAAATTGGTGGAGAGGAGATTGACCTCGCCAATGAAGTCCTAACCCCTGTGGAGGTGGGGGAAATTTTGAAGAAAGCCAGCGGTAAGGATATCCAAGTGAGGAAGCGGACTGAGCTAGAAATGAATGAGGCGAGTAACACTGTTGGCTTGCACAAGTTTCATGCTTGGATCAACACTCGGGGCCTCAAGCATGGTCCAGAGCGCATAAAAGCAATTCAAGTTAAATTTGGGATTCCTTTCACGTCTCTGAAGTCAACTTTGCAGAGGGAGAAGGCTGCCTTGCTGGAGTGCTTGGCCAACGTGAAGCAGGCTTGATTGCATGAGTGGGACAAGGTAAATAGCAAATGCGAAAGAACTGTAATTTCTAAAATTATAGTCAAGATTATAAAGAAACACACTTTGTAAGCATTCTGTACAAGGATGTCAATGTCAGTACTAAGATATGGTACGGTATAATATCCCGACTTCTTAAGTTCCCTTATTAACTACATTGCGTCGGTCTGGTTTGAGAAATGGTGTGCACGCAACGGCCAGATCCGGCACGACGTGGATAAAACATACCTCATTTTAGGGTGTGCTCGTGTAGCACGGCTTTGGGGGATGTTCCCCAACAGTTTATCGGACAAGAGATGTAAAATACCTAGCGAGGTCTTTGACATGGACTGTAGGCCATTGGTATGCATAACTTAGCTTGAACTAACCCCCAGTAGGTCGCCAGGGAGAAACTCACCCTGTCTTCGTCAAAATGGGACGCCTTCTTGTCAGCAATGGCGACATGGATTAATTTAGGTATCTGGACGGAGATAGTATATCCTACCCCATCACCCTCGGCATCTGAGTATTTCAGCTCTAGTTTTATGATTTCATTGCCGGGTACCATAGCCATCTCTCCACTACCCACTGTTTAAATCGCCACGAGACCTCGCTTTTTCTCCAATGATGCTAGGCCTATCTATGGCCAGGTGTCTGTCACCGATGCATTACTCTAGTTCAGCTTTCTTGTACGTTGGCTGCCTCCGGCTATACTTAAAAAAGGCCCGATAAGATCTATCATTAGGGCATTTTTACCTCTGTAGAATTATTTCTAGTCTTAAGGATTAAACTATTGAATTCAGATCATCATCTCGGAACAAGGGTTTAGTCTCACCTATACATTCAGCTCGTCTGAATCGGTCATGCTCCCCGGAAAGAGCAGGGATTAAATCCTGAAAAGACTTTAACCAGGGTTAATCACCCCATTCAGCGTGATTCACTAAGGGTGGCAACCTCCCTGCTCGGTTGTCCACGTTTCCTAATCTCGACATGCCCAGCCATTGGACATCCGGAAAACTAGAATAGGCAGTGATTTCATCGAGATGCCCACTTAATATCGGGGGTAATAGTGCGCTATTGAAGAGCATCCCGGCTCACCCAAGTACAACCTTGTTCTCTACCGGGCCGGGCCTCCGCACTAACCCTAACTCTACCATCATTCACCACATGATCCTTCTTGATATTCCATACATCGCCCTTGATTCTAGGTCTATATGGGCTAAACGCCCGCCACTGCAAGCCACTGACGACATGCGGGCCGATCCAGCGCCAAAAACACGATTCGGAATAATCAATCGACCCAGGCTTGTCCAACGGGGTACGGGGAAGCAACCTCGCTTAACTAATGTATGTAAAGAGGCCTTCCTTCGTTGGATTTTGTTTGGTGTGATTGGTACAATTAGTTATGAGGCATATGAGGATCTTTGTCCAATAGTTCATATGTAGGACAGGCTCGCTTATGCATTGTATTAGAGCTATTCTGCAGGTTTCATTCCTCAATGGACCTACGCCTGGTCGTTAGCCTAATGTCAGAAAAGTCTAGGTTTAGGTGGCGATCAATTATATATAGGGACTTCCTTCTAGTTGCAATTATATAAAGAGACTAGATAATGCCTAAAGCTTTATCTGTATAGCACGCTCAAACTTCAAATATATAAGTTTTATTCCACCATCTCATCTTACTAGAGTGAGAACAGTTTAGAGATGCGTGCCCTCGGTGCTTTACCTGCGGTACTGCTCATAGCGCTCGCTAGAGCTGATACCTGCACATCTGTTGAGGCTCTTGGAAGCGTCAAAGTTGCTCGTCCGCTCACATTGGCATATACGAGCGAGCAGAATGAGTACTGGTCTGAGACCTGCAGTCTCATCAAGCCATCCTGTATCATGTTCCCAACGTCCGCAGAGGAGGTTGCCGCCATTGTGAAAATCCTCAAGGACACCGACGAGGACTTTGCCGTCAAATCTGGCGGTCATAACCCGAACAATTACTTCTCCTCAGTTGAAGATGGACCCCTCATATCCACAGCGAAGCTCGACCACGTTGAACTTGACCAAGAGACGGGTGTCGCCAAAGTTGGTCCCGGCAACAGGCTTGATGGCATATCTGCTAAGCTTGACGGCACTGGCTGGACGTTTGTAGGTGGACGTATCGGCAATACCGGAGTTGGCGGTTTAATCCTTGGAGGTGGTTTGTCTTATATGTCAGCACAATATGGCTGGTCGGCCTCTAGCGTGCTCGCCTACGAGGTCGTCTTGGCCGACAGCTCTATTGTCACCGCCTCAGCAACGGAACATGAAGATCTATACAAAGCTCTCAAGGGTGGCGGCAATAACTTCGGTATTGTGACCTCCTATCTGCTCCAAACCTACCGACAAGGTGATATATACGGAGGCAACCTGGTCTATGTGCGGACTGAGAAAACAGACAAGAAGCTACTCAAGGCTGTGCGCGACTTTACTGAATACAATACCGACGATAAGGCTGCAGTTATTGTCACAGCTGAGCGCACCAACCTAAACTTAGTTGACTCATGGATTCTGTTCCTCTTCTATGATGGTCCTAGCCCTCCGCAGGGCATCTTTCAAAATTTCACCGAGGCCAATCCTATATTAAACACTCTCCGAACCCAGTCGTACGCTAGTCTTATGGCAGGAAGCAACTGGGTCATTGTTGAGGGCTCGACTGTCCAAATTGCTACGGAGACTGTCCCTCTGCCCTCCGAAGAGAACAGCGACAAATTCTTTGACAGCATCCATGCCCATTGGCGTTCCATGTCTCAATCTGTCCTTGCCGTCCCCGGCATCGTCGCATCTATTGCATACCAGCCCTTTCCCAAGCGTATTGCCCAGCAAGCCCTCCAGCGCAGTGACGATCTCATCGCTGCAGAGGCTGACGCCGACAAGCTGATCATTGAGATGAACTACAGTTTCCTCCCTGGACCGTACGATACCATGGCAGATATCATGGAGGAGACATATACGGGTGTGCGCAGCAGGGTTCTTGGGTGGCAGCAAGACGGGACTTTAGCCAGCGAGGTGTACTTACCATTGTTCATGAACTACGGTTTCTACCGCCAAGATTACTTTGGTAGGCTGAAGCCAGAAAATGCAGCCTTAGCCAAGAGGACGTCTCAAAAGTATGATCCCAAGGGCTTGTTTCGTGAACGCACAGGAGGATGGAAGCCATAAGGAGCCACATGGTAACTTTAACCATACTTGCTTGTATAGCTCAATTTTACTGTTAGCTGTGTATACATAGTGCCTGTTTAATGCCTAAGGAGTAACATCAAACGCTAGTCTTGAAGCTATGATGCTGCGCAGCAACCTGTATAGCTTCTTCAATTTGATCTAACTTGTACTTGATGACTTCTAACCCTGCCTTCTTCAGCTAGTCCAAGTTTCCCGCCGTTATCAAGTATTGAACTTGATTCCGCCCGTGGATAAACTTCCCGCGAAATGTGAGATTCTTCAAAGCCACTTCGACATACGGTATCCCAATCTTTCCCCAATGCCACCCATAGACGAGACCGTCCCCCCTCGCTCGGCCAAGGAAGAGCACGCCCTTATATGGGCCAGGGTGACTTCTGCAGCTGCTGAAGCTATTAAACTATGTAATAAGGTAACAAAGTTAGGAATTCAATTTCTATTAATACGTTAACCTTAAGAGCAATCTTTCTATCAGCTTCGAAGCTTGGGTACTAAGTGAATAACAAAGATATGGCATATCCAGTCTAATAGCTTTCAACTCTTCATCCTTAATCTTTTCCGTTGGCTTCTCTCACGGAATGGATTCCCACGGGCAACAATGAAAATATGCTGCTTCGTTGTGCGTCTTATTAAACCCGGCATATTATGTATTCTCGCTGCCATCTTATACATAACCCTAAGAACAGCCTGCCTCTACTCGTCTATGGATTTTCAATAACATTTTTGTCACCCAGAACCAAGACCCAGTAACTGTGCTTCCAGCCCAGATGGGTATATAGAAATTGTCCCTCTAGCGTAGCAATCAACCAACCCGTCCTTGCACCTCTTGCGTGCGCCTCTGCGCCTAGCGAGCGCATAATCAGCGACCCCAGCCCTTTCCGTCGCATATCCTCCTCCGTCTTGATTTTATCGAAGACGGCCATATCCCTTTGAATGCCGACTTGTCCCGACGCCGCCGGCTTATTGCCTTGTTCCTCGGTCGTTGTCACCGTAAGCCGGCACCTCGTCGCGATACCCATGTCCTTGGCCTCAAACTCCTTGACAAACGAGGCCGTTGTTGCCGAATCGGCCGCAAGTCCAGACAGGTCTACTGTCATGAGTGCCTCTTGCGCGAGGATGTCAAGCCCATGCTTGGAGGCCATTTCCCGGTACTGGGTCATGTCCTTGCCAATGACTGTGAGGAAATGGTCTTTGCTTTTGAGCACGGCGTCGATGGCTGCGTCAAACTGTTGCTTTGTAGGCTCGAACCCGACGTACTCATACGTCCCCGCGGGCCGGTCGGTGCGCAGGCAGGCAATGTTACCGGATTGTTGCCGCTCGACGACGTATTCACGGATGGCCGCCCAGACGTACACATGACGCTCAATGTCATCCTGGCTAAGTTCTATATCAGCCATTTTTAACAGGATATTGTTAAACACTTGTTGGCAATCACTCGCAATTGTTTCAAAATAATTAGGCAAGATTAGGAAGAGAAAGAAGTCTGGTTTAGTTGCATCCAACGCCTTGAAATAAGCTGAATTTTCGGCGTGAGTCACGGCGACGAAGACGGCTTCGGCTTCGGCCTTGTCCCTATATGGTAGGTAGATTGGCTCCTGTAGCCGAGACGGCATTGCGCGGCTCCCTGGTACACGCAAGCCATTTCGAATGCGTAACCCAGTGCCAGCTCGTGTATGCATTTCTCTTCTCCCTGACCCGAGCCATGAAATACTTCTTAGCTCCTAAAAATACAGGGAAAGAGAACACAGTATCTACTCAACGTCTATGTTAGCATCCCGTATGACATTGTCAATACACGACGCAACGTAGGAGACATTGCTGCTTTGGACTTGCATGCTTGTTAATTGTTCGGACACCACTAGTGGGCAAAATGCGATTCACTTACGACCAGATAATGATATTCTACCAGACTGAAGCATGTAAATGTGATGTTGCCGGCGCATGACGGAGACTTGACGAGGTCCCAGACCAGTGTAGGAGAACATGCCGACCTAGGAATGAGTTAGAAAGACTCTCGATTCAATAGGGACGAGAAATGAAATCATACCTGGGTCAAGAGGTGCTCCCACGAGCCAGGGGTCTGCAACTCGACGAGCTTGCGAAACAAGGCCTCTCGCATCGAGCGGATGCGGCGGCTCATTGTGCCCAGATCTTGGATCCACTGGCTGCGCAACTCCGGATCTTTCAGGACTCGCTTGACAATGGTGCTGCCCCAGCCAGGAGCTGTCGAGTACTCGGCGCGGATGAAGTGAGTGAGCTCGGACAGAATGGCAGCCGCATCCTCGGCAGAGGGCTCGGCCAGCGCGACGTGAAGGACGCCAACCCGCTGCCCATAAAGGCCAAAGTTTTTGGAAAAGGACTGGGCCACGCATATATCAAGCTTTTGGCCGAAGAAGTAGCGCACTGCCCAGGCATCGTCGTCGACGTTGCCCGTCGCAAAGCCTTGGTAGGCAGAGTCGAACAGGACAATGAGCCCGAGTTGCCGGCAGGTCAGGGCAATCTTCTTCCACTCGTCCCGAGTCGGATCTGTACCTGTAGGATTGTGTGCACAGGCTTGGAGCACAATGGCATCGCCTTTACATGCTTGGGTTGAGAGCGTGCCAACCATGGCTTCGAGATTCATTGACTGGGCCACTTCATCGTAGTATGGATACGCTCGGCAACGGACGCCTACAAAGTCCCAAATCGTGTAATGGTTGCTCCAAGTCGGATCTGGCAACCATACGTTTATCGGTCTGAACCGTCGTGCTATGAGCATGGCGCCAATATGGTTGGCACCGGTTCCGGAGATTGCCTGTACAGAGACCACGCGGTTCGCGTCTTGCTGATGTGTAGTCTTGTCAAACCCGAACGCGAGGTCTCTTGCGGCCGACAGAAAGCCCTCGTCCCCAATGATGCCTTTATACTCGTGGCGGTAGGGGTCTTGTTCTTGATGAATGATCTGCTCGGCTTTTTGAACAACAGGCAAAGGCCAAGGAGCCGCTTGGTCCGACCGAAAGACGCCGATGCTCAGGTTGACCTTGCGAGGGTCGGGGTCAAGTCGGAATGCATTATTGACCCTAAAGGGCTCGTCACTGAGCGACGCATTGTGCGCAACCAGATCTAGTGCTTCCGTGTGAGCAATGCTCTCCGAGACGGCAAGTGTGGGCGATGTTTCCCTGAACATGTTGACGGTTTCGACATCAACTCCTACCGATGGCTACCTCCTTCAGCAGGCGCTGCTTAGTTTTATCATGGTAGACAGACCTCCAATATCCACTTTCCAATCATGATAACATCAGTCTAACTGTTACCTGGGAACCACATCAGCCTCGCGGATACCTGGAACAGTAATTCCGGCCTCCCTCCGGCCGGTGGGGCGGGTGGTTTCAAAAATCCGGAATGTCGTGTGCGCCCTAGGGTGGAGGCCATCTGCAAATTCCATGCGGGTCATGGAATTTTTTCCAGTTCCGAAGCATAACTGAACCTAAATCATTGAGAGAAGCTTAGTCTTGCTGGATAGCAAAAAACATGGCGTATAAAACGACTGAGTAGTCTGTAGTCGGCAGGGCTGTGACGGCCCCTGGGAACTCGCATTGGTTTTCTTCCTGGAGTTAATATCACTATAATGGCCAACGAAATCGACCTCGGCGAGTACCTTTTCAAGCGCCTGCGTGAAGCAGGGGCAAGAGCTGTTCACGGAGTCCCTGGAGACTACAACCTGACGGCCCTCGATTACGTCGAGCCGGCCGGCCTTGCCTGGATCGGCAATTGCAACGAGCTTAACGCTGGCTACGCCGCCGACGGCTATGGCAGGATCAAGGGCGTCGACGTCATCGTCACGACTTTTGGTGTGGGCGAGTTGTCGGCCCTCAACGCCATCGCAGGAGCCTACGCCGAGCGTAGCCCCGTCGTCCATATTGTGGGCACACCGGCGCGAGGCCTGCAGCAGCGCGGAGCCAGGCTGCATCACTCCCTCTGCAGAGGGAGCCCAGACGACTTCTCCATGTTTGCGGACATGTGCTCGAAAATCACGCTGCTCCAGGAGAATCTGATGGATGCGGAGACGGCGCAGGAGCAGATTGATCGGGCCGTCGTCGCTTGTGTTAGACACCAGCGTCCTGTATACATACAGCTTCCTGCGGACATGGTTGATGTCAAAGTATCATCAGCTCCTCTAGGTGTGCCCTTGGACCTGACGATGCCGGCCAACGATGCGCAGACGGAGCATGCCGCTGCGGAGGCGATTCTTGAGAGAATCTACCACGCCAAGCAGCCATTCATCCTCGTCGATGCCGGTGCTTCTCGGTTCGGAATGGCGGCAGAAACCAACAAGCTCATCAAAGCCACCGCCTTCCCTACTGCCACGACCCCATTTGGTAAGGGAATCGTGGATGAAACGGTGCACAACTTCCACGGCGTCTATGGCACAGTCGGCGATAATTTGTACGTTGGCTGGGTCAAAGAGTGCGACTTGGTCCTCTACATTGGGCCATTTGAAAACAATGTCAACACCTACTACTTCAAAACCATACCCGAGGCCTGTAAAACAGTGAGATTTGATGAAGAATCATCACAGGTCGGTTACGCCGACGGTGAGCCCAAGAGGTGGAGCCTACACCCCAAAGGACTCATCCAGCGCATCATTGATCAACTTGACAAACGCAGGTTGAATCAATATGCCGAATACCCCCCGTTGCCCGATTTACGTCTAGATCTCAAGAACCTGCCGCAAGTCCAGAAGACGGATGCACTACTGCAAGACACGTTCTGGAAGCGAATCTCTGAATTCTTTGAGCCAGGAGACATCATCATGACTGAAACGGGCACACCCAGCACCGGCGGACGTGATTTCGTCTTGCCCCAGCACACCACACTGATCAACTCGGGCGTATGGCTGTCTATTGGCTACATGCTAGGAGCTTCTCAGGGTGCCGCGCTCGCCCAGCGAGACTTGGCAGTCGACGGCGGGTCCAGGAACGGGCGAACCATCTTGTTTGAGGGCGATGGCAGCTTTCAGATGACAGCGCAGGAGCTCAGCACCATCATCTACCAGAGGCTGGACATGATCATCTTCCTCATCAACAACGACGGCTACACAATTGAGAGGCTAGTGCATGGCAAGGACGAGGTGTACAACGATGTTGCCCCATGGAGGTATCTGGAGGCGCCGAGCTGCTTCGGTGCGCCAACTGACGGCTCATACAATACAATGACGGCTAGGGCGACGAACTGGGGAGAGCTCTTGGATATAATTTCCAGGGATGAGTTCAAATATGGCTCGGGGCTTCGAATGGTCGAGGTCATCATGGATCGTATGGATGCCCCGGTTATCCTCAAGCGACTGTTGGAGAGTTACTCGGCTTCAGCCTCTTAAATAGTCGACGACTATCTGTATTTTTGTGTAATTCGGACGGTCTAGCTGTCTGCCAAATAAAAGCAATTAAGACCTCGGGTTATAGTTCTGTGTTGGGGGGTGGTGCTGTCTCAGAGACATTTCCGGGGTGGTACCCTAGGAACGACTGTCATGTACGTCCCAAAGAGTGTTGCCCAACCTTTGAATGCAAGCAAGCCAATTCAAGCCAATTAACTCGATTGTCTAAATTGACCCACCGCGCTCTTACTTGAATCGAATTGATCAAGTTGAACGGGTTGATATTAGCAAAAGTAGCTCCCACCACCTTCATGTGCATTGACCTTGTGGGTCGGCGGAATGCGGGGTTTCTCACTTGATTGGCGAGTTAGCGTCTGTGTATTTATAAATACCGGCTGAAGCAGGCGAGCAACGCAACTTCAATTCCTTCTCCTCCATATCAATGCCTGCCCACTAAATACTAGCCTACCCTAGACTCATACTGGAACTGCAACGTACCCTCTCTGATAGCCAGTCTCTCCAAATAAATTTCTCTCCAACCGGGTTGTGATACGACATGGATGGCAATTACTGTCTGCGCAATGGAGGGTCACAGTCAGGACCAAGACGGAAACGCGGGCAGTACACCATTTTGGCCTGGTAACCCCCCACCACGTCGACTTCATGACTACCAATGTGATGCTGACCAGCCGGCTTTTGTCAGTTACGAATGCAAAAAACGCAAAACAAAATGCGACAGTGCCCATCCGTGTGGCCAATGCGCCAAGGGTGGTAGGAAATGTACGTCGTCGCCAACCAGCAGCTTTCATTCACATCTCCCAGGCTCACATCCCCCAGGCAGTTTCCCCCCACGAGCGCCCCGTCGGAGGGGCACGACGACCTTGTAAGGATCATCCATCTCAGACCACAACTTGTCCAGTTTCTCACATCTACAGCGGGGCAGCCGAGACGAGGCAGATTTTAGACAGGCTTTGCAATATCGAAGACCAGATGCGGCCCTTGCGATCTGCTTCACCTGTGGCTTCGGATCCTGCTTCCTGTTCCGAGGTGCGCGATGCCGGGCCTGGCCCCCCCGAACTTACAGACGACAATTCTACGCTGGGCCCGTCTTCCCTCGAGCTGCCCCCCCCTGAAGATCCTCCTGCTTCGCGGCGGGCTGCCATGGGGCCAGAGGTGCCGCACAACCGACATGATGCGCTCGACATTGGTGCCCCAGCCGAACCGTCACCAATCTCAAGCGCCCTCTCCACCAACTGCTGCCCCGGCTCCGAGACCGGCACAGCACGCATCTACACGCCAGCAACGGCCCACTACAAGTTTAACATTGATCTTGCCCAGACGAATCTGCTGGCTCGTGGCATCTGTCCGCCCGCCCGTAACGGCACCACCGCAAACGCCAGTCGCGCGGCGTCGCCAAGTCCGCGGGGCATCAGTCCTACTACGACGCCTGTCGACCCTGTCTGGCTCATCGACCGCAGGGAAGCGATGCGTCTCTGCAACGTCTACGAAGAGGAGATTAACCTCTCACACCCGTTCCTTGACATGGCCACGATACGGGACAACGTCAAGAGGCTGTACGACGCCATAGACGTCCTCGTTGGATATGGATGCACGGAGATGCCACTCAATGCCACCACCATCTTGGAGAGAGATGAGTTGCACATCATCAAATTGGTGTTTGCCACTGCCTTGATCACCGAGACGGGTGGTCCCGGCGGCCTGACCGGGGCACTTTTCAACGACGTCAAATTTTCCACCCGCGATAGGTTCTGGGAGGACATTACCCTTCCAACCATTATAATCTTCTTCCTGCTGGTAGGTAAGCCCACATCGAAACATTTCCGCGGCCGTACGCGACTGACTGCTATACATAGGCAATGTGGCAGTTCCTCGCCGACAACGACCGTCTCGCCTGGAGGCTGACGGGCTTCGTTGCGCGCTGGTGCCTCGAGATCGGGCTGAACCAGTCTCGGTTCTTCCAGAAACTGCCTGCCAGCGATCATGATGGGAAAATGGCGGTCCGTCTCTTTTGGTGCATCCATGCCCTCGACCGACGCTGGGGTTTTGGGAACGGACTGCCATTCGTGATTCAAGACTCTGATGTCGACGACAAGTACCCGCAACCGGTGAGTCAGTCATGGCAGTGAGCGCGGGAGTTTGACTGACAACGGGGGATCCTGTAGGACGACGACGTTCCGTATCTCAAGGCCATGGTGGCCTTTAGCCACATCATGTCGGCCGTGTGGAGCGCCTCGTACGCCTCCCCAATCGATCGGTCCAAACCCCAGGGACGGGACGAGGCGTCTTATCTCGACTTCCGCATTACCAAGTGGTGGGACGAGCTGCCAGCAGACCTAAAGCTGAGCGGCCAAGACGACCAACTGCCACGAGGCATGATGCGCCTGCGGATCCTCCTGTACCTCAGGCGGTGCCAGCTCAAGATTCTGCTCCACCAGCCGGTGCTGCACTCGCCGCTCCTCTTGCATAATCATGCGCAGGTTGCCGACGGCGTGGTCCAGCTAGCCAAGGACGTGATTCGCAGGCTGGATGATCTCCACCGCCTAACCGACATTTACTCGACGCAGCAAATGTGCTTCAACTACTTTCTCGTCCTCTCGCTCGGTGTCATCTTCCTCGCCATCACACAGGCGCCAGAAAGGTTCGTCCGCACCGTGCAGGTCGAGTTCAACACGGCACTGGATTTAATCGAGAGCTTAAGCTCAAAGTCGTACGTCTCTCGAAGGCTGTGGAGGTTCATCAAAAGCCTGAGGCCTCTCGGTGATCGACTAGGGGCTAAAGATGCGACCCAAGCTGCTCATGCCGGAGACCATGACCAAGGCCACATTGTGCCGGATCAGATTGATCCTTTTCCTGAGTTGGGCATGGGCGTCTTCTACTCTGCTGAAGACGGCTTTACTCAGTTGTTTGACGAGCCGATTGATACTGAACAGCTGATGGAGAGTATGAAGTCCATATTTGATGCTATTGAGGTAGACTCAACTTGATTGAGCGTCCGTAAATACTCTTAAACGGTAGCAAACGGGCGTTTATTGATAAAGCGAATACGAAACTGCGTGTTCTGTAACCCTTGTGCCGTTCTCTAGCTCCGGGATTTTGTAGAGGGATGTAAAGAGATACTTGAGTTGTAAACGATAATTCTTAAGATAATGAATCTAAGTAAGCCTTAAAAGAGATTAACTACCTACACTGAGTAAACTTAGGTAATCAGAGAGTATAAGCTTACTTAAGTAAGACCCTTAGTGTAGACTTAGGCTAAAGTAACCCTCTCTCTCTTAGAGGTTAACTCTTTTTATTAATCTAGTAAGTATTAATACTTCTTTAGCTAAAGTAGTTATATATATATAGCTTTTACTATTTATTTTAATAATAAAATATATTATATTAAGTATTTCAAACGACTTCTCTTAAAGGTAATAAGATTATATAGACTAATATAAAAGTCTAGGAGTAGCAGTAGCGATTTCAAGTATACTAATTTTGCAAAAAGTCTCTTAATTAGCTAGATTAATTAGCTTAATTAAAGCAAGCTAGATAATAAAGTGTTAAAGTATTAGCTGTTCCTAATAGTTAGAGCAAGGTTACTATAGGAGAATAGTCTTATTTAGAAGAATATATAGAATAATATAAGATATAGAGAGGAAAGATATAGAAGGGATTAGGGCTTATAAGAGGATACATTTTATAGTGTACTTTCTTAGCCTTTAAAAGCGCAATAAAGGAGAATACCATCAGAGAAATCTTGTATATATATTCCTTTAATTAACTACCGGTCGTACCCCCCATAAAATCGCCCCTTGATACTTGACTGTGACTAGTTCAGGCAAGCCGCGTACTGCGTGTTACTGAAGACTACCATTATTGTCCTAAACTATGAGGGGCTGTGGCATGCTTTCATTCGCAGCGAAACTGATCCTCCCGGCCAGCAAAAAGTATAGAGCAACCACTGCGCCCTTTCGTACCTGACATTGATATTATTAATCAAAGATTCCACGCTCGATAGGTCTGTGGCTTACCTCGGGGTAGTGGTGGGTGCCCGCGCCAGGGCTTGTCCAGCCAGCGCCTTGCCATCCCTTCATCCCCTTGAGCTCGGCCCCCTCGTCGATCTGAATGACGCAGTTGATTTCTCCATACGGGTGCGAGTGGTACTCCCCCCTGTACACCTCTTGGCTGTCCATAAACACAGTCGTGATGCTGAAGTGATGTGTGGCAGGCTTGGGAAGGCTGACCCTCGACCGTCGGTATCGGGCGCCGTCTATCTGGATCGTTGCGCACCAGCCTTCATTGTTCTTGATTCCTTGTCGGACGTATTTGCAAAAGTCTTCGTAGTATGGGTTGCCCGGTCCGTAGTTTTCATTCAGGTACTTTTCGAGGTCCTGTCCCGGAGTCCTGGGACCAGTTTGTTAGTTTGAACTGTTTCGAGGGAGAGAATTTTGCTGCCATACATGTTCTTCACTTCAGCAAAGAACTCAGACGCCCTCTCTACCAAGGCTTTTGCTGTCGGATACTTGGTCAGGTCCACTTCTTCTCGCTCATCTGTAAACGTAGTGGGGAGATTCCTGGCGTTGCTCATGGCTGCGGTGTATATCGGTAGCGTCTTTAATGATTTCAGATGCTTGTTTGGTCAACTTATCGACACCGGATGCCATTTTTAATTACAGAGATTGGAATGACCAAGTAATGTCCAACTGCAAGTTCCGTATTAGCCGCCCCCAATCAAGTCCGGAAACATGGAATTAATTCCGATTCGGAATTTCGGTTTGAACAACGGTGGCCACACTCCTCACAACGGCCTCTAACAGGATGCGGAAACATGTTTGGATTCGGAGGTTTGCAATATCATGTTGCTCCCGAGATTAAGGCGTCTCAACCTGACGGGTATCATTGTTGACACCTCAGCCGTGCCGCCCAGAATGAGTCGCAATGTTATTCAACAACACACGAAGATTATAAACTCAGTCCCTCACTCTACAGCATCCCTTGCAAGATTCCTTCCAAGACACCATTTCTATACAATCAACATATCTCAGCCAAATTGATCATCTCGACAAACTCTACGTAACCATGAAGGAACTAGACATCGCAATTATAGGGGCGGGTAGGCCTCCTATTCTACTAGCCCTGTCCTGCTTTCTCACTGGCTAACTCTTACTAGGGTGGCATGGGCTTGCCATGGCAAAGACATATCTTGAAGTGTGTCCGGATGCAAACTTGGCAATCTTTGACGAGGCAGCCTCTGTTGGCGGTACCTGGGCAAAGGAAAGACTGTACCCGGGACTGAAGACGAACAACCTCCTTGGAACCTATGAGTTCTCAGACTTTCCCATGACGCCAGATCGGTTTGATGTCAAGGAGGGAAACCACATTCCCGGTCACGCTGTCCACGATTACCTCATACAGTTTGCCGACCACTTCCATCTCTTGTCGCGTCTGCAGATGAGACAAAAGGTAGAGACGGCAGAGCTCTTGGAAGATGGCTCTTGGTCTTTGAACATTATGACTGCCGGCGCCACAGACGGCAAGCCGAGGACCATCGTTGCGAAAAAGCTTGTCGTGGCGACTGGGCTAACCTCCAAGCCTTTTATGCCCACATTTGAGGGACAAAAAGATTTCAACAGACCATTGTTCCACGCTAAGGATCTCAGGAGTCGCGCCGGCGAGGTCGAGCAAGCTCAAAGCGTTGTCGTCCTTGGCGGCAATAAGTCGGCATGGGACACGTGCTTTTTGGCGGCCAAGACGGGGACGCATGTCCACATGGTTATGCGACCTGGAGGAGGCGGACCGAGCTGGGTCTGGCCCGTGTTGTTCTCGCCCTTCAAGGTTTCGATCCAGCGACTGGCCGCCACCCGCTTCTTCACCTGGTTCGACCCTTGCATCTGGAGCGAGTCTGGAGGGTCGGTGGGTTGGCTCCGCCGCGCACTCCACGGCACTCGTGCCGGACGAGCGGTTGTCTCGAGATTCTGGAACGCTCTGCAAGGATATGCGCAGAGAGCTCACTGTTACGACAACCACCCTGAGACGCAGAGGCTGAAGCCCTGGGTGAACCCATTCTGGATGGGCAACTCGCTGAGCATCCACAACTATACCTCTCCGTGGTTTGACTTGGTCCGCGAGGGTAAAATCACTGTACACATTGCCGACGTCACTTCATTGTCTGACGGTGTCGTTCACCTCTCCAACAATGAGGAGTTACACGTAGACGCCTTTGTATGTTGCACCGGCTGGGCGACCGAGCCTCCTATCCGTTTTCTCCCAGAAGGTCTGAAGCCGGCCCTAGGTCTACAGAGGGGCAATACCACCAACGAACAACAAATGACGGAGAAGGCACGGACGGAGATCTTTGGACGCTTCCCTGCTGTACAAGCTTCTCCACGTCGGTGCCTGCCGCCCGGAACAGCAGTACCCAACAGCAAAGCAACCACGACTTCTCCCAAGGCTCCTTCTCCCAGCTACCGGCTCTACCGTTTTCTCGTGCCTTCAGGTGAGAAGTTCCTGAGGCAGCGTAACGTTGCCTTTATCGGCTCGCACCTCGCACTCAATGCCACAATGATTGCGCAACTGCAGGCTCTGTGGGTGACTGCCTTTTTTCAAGATGAGCTGCCTCATCTGACTACGGATTCTGTGGACTATGATCAAGTGAAGTACGAAGCCATTCTGCACAACGAGTACTCAGCGATCAGACACCCACATGAGGCTGGCGGTGCCGGTTCAAGATGCCCCGACCTTGCTTTTGACTGCCTGTCCTATATGGACCTACTTGGTAGTGATTTAGGGCTTCCAAGGTACAGGAAGTATGCCCGGACTGGGATATGGTCGGAAATGTTTCATCGATATGGCCCGAACGACTTCAAAGACATGGTGCAGGAATGGTTGAACAAAAAGCGTCAGACTTCAATGCATCGTCATTAATGGAAGAAAGAAGGGTCATTTTTAAATCCGGTCGTTTGTATCGACGTTGGGGATGTGTGGAAAACGTGAATGTTGATGCAAACTGTACTGTAAACGTGCATATGACAAAATTTCACAAGCTTGCTAAGTCTAACATATCTTTTCTTTCCCAAAATGCTTTCCAACCTCAGTTTAAGTCATGTTATTATCTTTAAGAGAAGTTGTTAAGATTACGGAAGAGAGTTCGAGTATAAGTTAAAAACAGCAATAACAAAATGCCAGACCCGACATCTCAACACAGGTGATAAGGTTACATCTACCATAATCTTTATTATCAAGATAGATGATAAAGGCTACATGTATGTTAATGTAAGCGATAGCTAGGTAGGTGCGGTTGAGACGACACTCCTTGCTCCTACATCAAGGGGAGGGTCCCAGAGCTTTCCAATCTGCATCAATGATACTGCGTCGACGCACGTGGATCTAAACTAACTCAAATTATTGAGGCGTGGGGAGGGGGTACAGAATCGAGAACATGACACTGGCGTCTATATCTTGGCATAACGCCGAAGTCGCTATTCCAAGGATGCTTGGTAATAGCTCATAGACCTTGAAGGATAGCTCGATATCCGATACTTGAGTAATGATTAACACGATGAGGAAGGCTTGAACCTACGGAATTTGGAGTTTCTTTCTTGTCCATCTGGCCACAATCACCGTCAAGATAAACCATACCTCTCCCCGGTAATTAATCAGTGTTCCGGGCAATATTGGGATAAGAAAGCTCGGAAATCATATCAATTCGGTGAAGAATTGTGGATGATAGGACAGGAAAAAGACGGAAAGACTTCCGGAAAGCCCAAGTTTCTAGGGTCCGGGGTTATGAGGGTGAGATTGACTAGCCTAGAGATCGCTGATCAACTTAAGACATACCATCAATCTAGAAAGAAGTTATTGGAAAAAGGTAGATCTGATTGGTGAGCTTCGCAAGAGAGCTTGACAACATGAAGGCACGGAATCGGGGATTAGTTCAGACCTTAGCTTTAATTTACCTCGGCTTAGCCGCATGTCTTGAGACTTACCTCCGTGTCTATCCAGAGTTTTTAAAATAAATAAGGTGCATTTTCACCACACTTCTATTAAAGTTCTGTTGAAGTTGAAGTGAGACAACCACTCACCAAGCAACCCTACCCAACCCCCCTTTCTTGTCCTATACCCCTTATATAAAACCCTTCATTCAAAATGGAAAACGTCGCCAAAAGCTTTGGTGACAAAGTCAACATTGAGGTTGAAGATGCTGGAAAAGAAGTTGCTTCCCTGCCCGCGCCAGAGCCGATCGAAGATGTTCATCTCTTCACGATCCCCGAGCAAAACAATATCATTCGACGCATCGATCGGCGATTAGTTGTCACCATAGGCGTCCTATATTGCGTGTCTCTCCTCGACCGAAATAACATGAGTGCCGCCAGCATCGCTGGAATGAAAACTGAACTTGTCCTTACTGGCTTACGATATGTTGGTTTTCCCGCATGGATACTATGAGTAGTGCTGACTGTGGACGAAGAATACGGCCAACTTGGTCTTCTTCATCCCTTATATTCTGTTCCAAGCCCCGGCCACTATCATCTTGCGCAAAGTCGGTCCGCGCCTCTACCTTGGAAGCATCGTCGTGGCCTGGGGAGGTGTCATGGTGGCCATGGGGTTTGTTCAAGACCATAATCAGCTTATAGCCATGAGGACTCTTCTTGGTCTCTTCGAGGCAGGGTTCTTCCCCAGCTGTGTCTACCTTCTAAGCACCTGGTACACTCGATGTATGTCCGTCTATCGAGGTATCTATGGCTATGAACTAACAATCGTCTCCGAACAGATGAGGTTGGCAAGAGGTATTCCGTCTTTTACCTTCTTGGTTGTCTGGCGTCTGGATTCTCCGGTATTTTGGCTTATGGCGTATGACTCCCAGTAACTCCCTTTCTGCGAAACCCCTGGAAGCTTTCTCGAGTTAGTGATAACAAATTACAGCTCATGCAAATGAACGGTCGCCAAAACCTCAGCGGGTGGCGCTGGATATTCATTGTCGAGGGTGCTCTTACAATTGGCCTCGGCATAATGGGATATCTTCTCATTGTTGACTTCCCGGACTCACGAAGAAAGACATGGCGATTCCTCAATCAGGAAGAGTGTGACTGGATCATTGACCGAATCCGCCATGATCGCGGAGACGTCGATATACCCACATTCAAAATCGGGCGTTTTCTCCTCAGCGGGCTAGACTGGAAGGTCTGGGCCTATGCTCTGATTTTCTTTAACACGGCGGCGATTACATATGCTCTATCCTACACCCTTCCCATCCTCCTGATTGACAATATGGGTTTTAGCATTGCTCAAGCCCAGTGCCTCGTTGCCCCCCCCTATGTTTTTGCTGGTCTTGTCATGTATGGCACCGCCTGGGTCGGAGACAAATTCCATCTCCGTGGACCAATCATCATATTCAACATGATCCTGTGTCTCATCGGACTACCCATCTTGGGGTGGGCCAATAGTGCACCTATCCGGTACCTCGGAGTTTTTTTCGTGACGGCGGGGGGAAACAGCAATATACCTGCAGCCATGGCCTTCCAAGCAAACAACATTCGTGGCCAGTGGAAGCGAGCCTTCTGCAGCGCTACCCTCGTGGGCTTTCTGTTCTCCATTGTTCTGGTTCTATTGTGTGACTTGGACTTTTACTGGCTTAATCGCCAGGCTGAGAAGAGAGGCAAAGTGCTGGAACGTCACGAGGTAAGTCATCTTTGTTGGGAGTTGGGCTGGACTAATTATTGCTCATGTAGGAGAATGCGTCCGCTGAATTCCGTTACACGTACTAAAACGCAATCCAGAGAGTGGCGAATGGGTGGAAAGGGCATGAGCCCGTCAACAACGAGCTCCTACACTCAATATGCTTCCTGCGGATCTAAGGTCGATGGATGACTTTCCATCAGTAGCTGTAGTAACAACCTTAACAACAGACGCAAGTTCCAGGCGTATCAATTTGCAGCAGAGGGTTTCAATTATCCGAGACGAAGTACTTGTTGCATTTCCATCCTTCCTATAATTCGTTTTACTCAGTGAATGATTAAATATCTGGGCTCATTTCCATGATCCTAAGCTAAGTTGGTTGGGATCTAGCTCCCCTAAGATAACGGGAGCGGAGTATAAAAACCGTCGAAAACGGAATTATAGGTTTTCGAATTCCGGGGAGAAGGTTTTGGCGACGAGAGTGGGGGCAATGTAGATTCAGCAGTGGTTGGAACAATCCATTGTCATCTGCGCCGTCACTGACCTACCCATTCAATGTTAGGGGCTCAGGCCTGTCAATTCCGGACTCATGTTTTCCGTGTTCAGAGATAAGGAAAGTGGAAAGGTAAGCAAACTGATTGGATAGATGACATTACGAATCTCCGGAAGTCTAATGCGCCACAACACCCCTTTCAACTGATATTCCGTGACAACTCACCTCATGCGGGCTCGACGTTGGATCACATTTGGAGATCCGTCCTACTCCGCTTGGGTTTCCGAACACTCCATGTGGTCGATAGCTTTGACGGAACGTGATTACATTCTTGCTGAATGGGATAGCCGTTGTAATGGTATATTTACGTTTGCCATTTGAAAACGACGAATCTTGGTAAATGTTGATTATAGACCATCCGGCGTCAACCTTACCAATCAGAACTCAGCATGACCTCCCAAATCGTGCCAGTGGTTGAAGCTGTACCATTCGTGGACTGCTCACCAGCATACAGGTCTCTACGACAATCGTTGCTTGAAGACTTTAGCGCCAAAGTCCCAAGTCACCTCAGACTTGCGCAATCAATCATCGATAACCCACCAAAGAATGTGACCAGTATTCCTCGAGATTGCGGTATCCTGTCTCCAGAAGAGATTTACATAACCGAGGATTATGATGTCGTCTCCCTTGCAAATGCCATCGCATCCAAGAAGCTGTCTGCTGTGGCCGTGGCGACTGCATTCTGCAACCGAGCTATCATCGCCCATCAGCTCACCTGCTGTCTGACCGAATGGTTCATGGATGAAGCAGTCGAACAAGCACGAAAGCTTGATGAGTACCTGGAGGAACACGGAAAGCCCATAGGTCCTTTACACGGAATCCCCATAAGTATAAAGTTACGATTGTCCATTGCTGGCCACTGGTCCATGGCTGGAACACTCGATACGCTACAGAAAGCTGACGTGGATTGTCAATTGATTGGAATTCTGAGAGAAGCTGGAGCCGTATTCTACTGCAAGACCAATCAACCGCAGTCAATGATGCACCTCGAGTCGCTCTCCATCTGGGGTCGGACCCTGAACCCGTACAACATCAACCTGTCCTCAGGAGGCTCCTCTGGAGGTGAGGCAGCTCTCATTGCTCTGAGAGGATCTGTCTTTGGCCTTGGTACAGATATTGCGGGCAGTGTACGTAGCCCAGCGGGCTATTGTGGAATCTTTGGGTTTCGCCCAACCTCATACGTAATGCCCAGCAAGGACTTTCTTGGTGGCATCCCTGGCTTCGCGGCAGAATTGAATGTCATGGGATGTGTTGGTCCTATGTGTACAACACTATGAGACATGGATCTATTCATGAACGTTATCTTGTCCTCGAAGCCTCATCTCGACGATCCCCAACTCATTCATACCGCATGGCCGAGCAAACGGAAAGGAAGACAACCAAATGTCGGTCCGCTAAGAGTTGGGTTCATGATGGATGACGGAATGATAACGCCACAGCCCCCCGTCACAAGAGCGCTCATGTGGGCACGGTCGCATCTCTCAAGATCTTCCTCCTTCCACGTGAAAGACTTTCAGCCTTTTGAAACCGCCGATGCGATGAAGAACCTTGCGAGTGCCTATTGGCCTGATGGCGGCAAATCGCTGAAGCACCACCTGTCCATCAAGGAAGAACCATTACTTCCCCTAACAGCCTGGGCTCTCAAGGACGTGGATGATATCGACATCGGGGTGTCGGGCATCCTTAAGCAACGTGGAAAGCGTAATCAATTTCGCTATGACTTTGCTCAACATTGGGACGCTCAGCAAGTAGACATTGTCGTCTGTCCCGTGTCAGTTGGCCCCGCTTGTTCGCATGACACAACTTTCTATTGGAACTATACTTCCTTCTGGAACTATGTTGATTATCCTGGCGTGACCATCCCCACTCGAATTAAGACTTTTGAAAAGGGGGCTGAAAGCTACATCTCTAGTACTCCTCTCAGCGACGAATGCATTCATGTCAGAAAGCTTTGGGAAGAAGGGGACTTCGAAGGTGCCCCCATTGCCTTGCAAGTCATTGCTAGGAGATATCATGACATTGAACTATTTGATGCCGTGAAAGCTTTGGACGATGTTTTAGCGATGGGGGTTCCCGTATAGGTAGCCAATCTAGGTAGGGGAGAGACTTCAGACCAGTGGTACGCGGACCTGAAAACGTACATTGGCGGGCAACCAGAGCAATCTCGATCGGTTCTCCACTATCTCGCGACTCTTTATTTGTACGAAAATGACATGGGTAATTAATTCGGATCATTGAAAATTCTGTTCTTGAAGACGTTGTTGATTCTTATCTTTCACGCGAGTCTTCCATTGCCACCCCCTTCAGTTTCGACATGGAGTCTACGGTTTGACTAAGATATCATTCCAATACCGTTGGCCTTCTAACGGCACACTTGCCTGACTCTGATCCTTCAAAACCTATCCTTGTCCTAAGGGTAAACTTCTTCCTTGGTTTAAATGTATCATCTATTCCATACTTCTATTGTAGGTGTAATCTAGGTAGCCTAGTGATTGCCGCTGCTGTGCCCACGATAGCCTTGACATCTCGTGGAGCAAACGCGATGCCAAAATATCTACTCATAATGTCCAAACGCTCCGTTTCGGAAGACAGCTCTTGCTCCCAGACTACATCACCCCTTTTCCGCCACCTGAGCCGGTTGCCGTCTAAAATCAGGGCACCATCGATGGCTCCCGTGTCTGCTTTGGTGCCAGCTAACCCCTTGTCGACAATGCTCTCCAATTTGCGATCCCCATGGTACACCTCATTCTCAGTCGTGAACTTCACTACGACCACCTTTTGAGTAAAGAAGCTCGAGGGGCTCTTCGCGGGAGCCCAGTTAATACAGCAAATATCATCGAATAAGAATTCAGAGTCTGCAAAGGAGTATTGTGGAACCCATGGGGACTCGATGTCTTTGCGGTGTTCATAAATCCACCACTTTTGATCAGGGGATAATGCCTGTGAGATGCTATCATATCGCACGCGCATCTGTCCTGGGTCAGAATGACGCTGGACTGCTGTGTCTTGCAATCTCAAAGGAAGAACAGGAACTCGCGAACCAAAGCAGACGTCGATGGCATAACGAGAACCATTGATGACGGCGATGTTCAGGCAGTGCGTCAGACCTCCATAACGGGATAAGTCTTTATCATAGGGCCTGGCACCGACCATGTAGACACTGTATCCAAGGGTACGCAAGATGATGTGGAAGAGGGTGTTGTTTTCCATGCAATAACCTCCTCTTCCATGACTGCACACAATCTTATCAAAGAGATGTTCCGGGTCCAGATCAATCACGCGATGCCAAGAGTAATGAAGAACAGTGTTCTCAAAAGGTACTTGCATTAGCTGATGTTTTTGGAGAACGATAAGGGTCTCAAGCTGTCTCTCGGGCGAGAGACTACCGACTTGGACATGGCGGCTGGAGCTTGGAAGTCGGACTCGATCAAAGTATCGATGAATCTGTTCCTCGGTATATACAAAGTTTCCGGCCATTATGTGTAGGTGACGAATAAGGTTAAGGGAGCGATGAGTGTACAGGTTTCACACAGCAGAGTATCAACCGATGGGGTAAGACTTGGCCTTTACGTACATCTACTCGTCCATCTCAAAAATATTCTTTATATAGAACTTGATGAGCAAATCCGACAGTGTCGGAAGTGGCCAGCTGTGTTTGGGTTGATAAGTGTCGGAACGCAATAGGCCTTTTCCGGTCTCGGAATATTAGGATTGATATATTCCGTATTTATGATGTACCTAGGTTCCGGTCATAAATACCACAACTAGCCATAAGATAATTTACTATCCGTAAATATACTATAACTAGATAGGGCTCTTAGGCTAATAGCTAGGGTCTTATATAATTCTATATAATCCCTTGTATTTTTGATATATTATTAATAACTATAATATTATGATAATAATATATATTATTCATATTAGCTAGAAGGAATTAATGCTTAATAGAAGATACCCTTAATAGGAATACTTCTTAGCCCCTGAAAATATAGTAAAAATATCCGACGAAGATAGTGGATCGAAAGGTGTCAGGGATATATGGGCAGGTGCTTGAACATCCGGTGGGCGACCACGATTATGTTTGGTCCTTGGCGGGCATCTCTTTCTGAGAAACCCATGCCATTACTACAAAGTTGGCATCTTATATTACCCAAGATTGGAAGATGTGGAAAAAGGCGCAATTGTTTGTTTAGTTCCTTTTCATGGCAGTTGTTAAAAGGCTCAACCACTGGGCAGACGTCTTGCAGACAGTCTCAGCTGCCAAGTTTGAGCCCGGGCGCGTGCTACTCCTGCCATGTCTGTAGTCACGTTGCAGTACATAGCTTAACCAACCATCCAGAGTTTGTAAAGTTCTAAATGTAACTGAAACACTGACCCAGGATCAACATGACCAACAGCCCGACTATCAAAGATCCCCCACATGAAACTTTACATTTGATAATGCTACACTAACCACTCTCGATTCTCATCGGCCATTCGCATGTCTTCCTGGCATTAAACAACCACCATAGCCCAGCAAGAGCGGTGGTGCCCCCCCAGATCAGAGACGTGTAGTTCATACTGTTGGCATCGGTTGGCAACGAGTAAGGGAAGCAGTAGATGGCAAACCAAACCATCATGTATGCACATGCAAAGATGTGAACAGCGTGCCCAAGTGCGCCTCGAATAAAGAATGGGCCTGGCACAAATTTGCCATTCAAGCGCTGTAACAGAAACGGCACCGCTGCCGCAATATACGACGAAGAAGACAGCAGGATAAAACTAGCCACGAAACTGTTGAAAGCCGAAGTGCTGACGAGATATATAACGCCAATCAGGCTCACCACGGCAGTGCCTGCCACAGTTGCAGCCACAGGCATATGCCTGGATGCACTCACCTTGCCAAGAGTCTTCGCGAAGGGCGTAGCGTTCACTCGCGCTAAAGTCCAAAGCGTGCGTCCGAACGTAACGTGTAGGCTAATAGTGCATAAAACTGTCGACATGAGCATTAAGATTAGGAGGGCTGTGGTTCCGATGTCAGATCTCCGTGTTGCTTGAGAGTAAATCTCAGCAATGGGAAAAGAAGAGGTAAGAATGGCGCTGTAGTCTCTAATGGAATAAAGAACAGCAATCAAGTACGCGAAAGCCGAGATAAACCCAAGTATGTATTGAGCGGCAATGGCTTTGGGGACATTCACCTCGGGAAATGGTATCTCTTCAGCAAGATGGACAGTTGCATCGGGTGTTCCCATCGCAAATGCGCCGTTGAGCATGCCAGCCACGAAGACGAATCCATCCGGGTAGCCAATGTCCGCTTCCCAATCTGTCCAAACGGAAGAATTCTTAGTTGCTCCAGAATCCGTGTCCATCATGGCGGCACAAACAATCATGGTGGTCGACCCGCCGACAAGAAGAACTACCAGGCCGACAATATTCAACCGTGGCACCGCCTTGTTTGCCATGGTAACAAATCCGCATGCAAGCCAGTTAAGAAGTAGGTATCCAACGAGCGTGTGCCTATAGTTTCGTTACTTGAGGCTACCTAATTAGTCCCAGAAAGAATATGGGCTTACCATCGCTCAATCTGGTATGTGGGATGTAAATAGGCATAGATCTCGACGCAAAGGTTGCCTGGTCAATGTTCAGTATGGTGAGCAATTCAAAAGCGTTGGCAATACTTACTAGCAATTGAGGAGACGGATGCGGCTGCGAATATCCAAGCAAGACAGTTCCAATAGCCGGCAAAGTATCCGACCAATCTGCCATACTTGCGCCCTGCCAGAACCGACGCCCAGAGATGAACACCTGCCGAAGAAGGCAACGACGATGAAAGCTCTGCAATTACTGCTCCAACCGAAAAATAGCAAAGTGAAACGGCGAGGAATTCGTAGATGGCTCCAGGCGGACCGCCATTGAAGATCGAGGCGGCCAGTGAACCAGCTAGTGCAGGCCAAACGTTTCCAACCACAAGTCCAATACCGGCCAGCGAGACTAGGCTGAAGTTTTTCTGGATTGGTTGATCAGTTTGTGCATCTTGTGCTGGGATAGGCGTCATATGTCCACACTGTCCGGTTGAGGTCAGTCGCATTTCGATGTTGTTGCCTTTGACTGTAACATCGCGTGTCTCCATCGCTGGGTCAGGCATCTTGTTCTAATGACTGAAGCTTTTTTCACTTATAAACCCAGTTGGCATATGTCATGGTCTGATTACATGTATAATTTGTCACAGGGCGGTCGACCAACTTATAGTTGCTCTTTCTAGTATTTACAGCAGAACGAAAGATGTTACTAGAAAGAATGGGAGCACATTCTGGACCTTACTATTGGTTTTCCTGTAGGCTTCTATCCAATCAAATCACAATCTACTAGCAGTTGTAAAAGTTCGTGACAAGACCTAGCGCGTTGCCTGATTGGGAAAGTATAGCCTACGAAACACCATCATTTACCACCCGAACTCTTATCAGATACGATTTTGATAAACCCACAGCTCTAATTCTTGATATAGCCTAATGCCTTTTATGTGCAAGGATGCCGAACATGTCGTGGTGGATATTGTAAGGAGAATCCAAAGCTGAAGTGGTGCTTTCATGAGTACCTAAGCTAACGAGAAGTTCTTCAACCTATGGCTACTCCCAACTGCGACTTTGCTGTCATACCTGGGATTCTTCGGGGATGATTTTGAGAGCATTATTGCCTCATTTATTATACTCTTGGGGATATAACAGACTGAGAGGCACTCTACTGATGGCCTTCATTCATTCATTTTTTACCCATCTTCCGTTCATAATTTCCAGCGGCCATCCCTTGATGAAAACATGGCAGAGCAAACTAACCTCACCCAATTTGAAGCGATATATTCTGAGCTCAGGGAGCTCCTCCTCAACCATGCCAGGTTCTACAACCTACCTCCAGGAGACCTCGAAATCTTGAAGGCTGTAAGACTAATAAGAGGAAGATGAGGGAAACTCATCTGTTATTAAGAAGTATAACTAACGTTTCTGCGGTTGTAGAATCTAGAAATCAACCTAGTCGGTGGAACATACGATCGCGGCATAGCTGTTCCTAATACCGCCTCCATCCTCATCGGTGCAACCCTTGACAAGGAACAATATAAACAAGCAGCAGCTCTCGGTTGGATGGTTGAACTGCTTCGGGCTTCGTTTCTAATGTCTGATGATATCATAAACGGCAGCATCAGCCGAAGAGGCAATCCATGTTAGTATTTACAGGAAGGGATTAGCCTTACAGCCATCAATGATTCCATTATACTAAAGACGAGCATATACTATCTTTTGAAAGTTCTGTTTAGATCTCATCCAGCCTACGTGGATCTGGTCGAACTCTTTCTCGAAACAAGTTGGCGTACAGAGATTAGACAGCTCTGTGACCAACTTGTTAGTGCCTCAAACTCCGGTAAAGAGGCTATGAACCAATCAGATTCATTGTCCTTGCCGCTGTATAGCTATATCGTTACCAACAAAACTAGCTACTACTCTTTTTATCTCCCTGTTGCTGTTGCGCTTCACTTTATTGGAAAGGCAACGGAAAGAAATCTTGAGCAAGCAAGAAAGATTACTCTTTCAATTGCAGAGTATTTCCAAGTTCAGGATGATTACTTGGAATTTTTTGGCTTGCCTGAGCAAACGGGAAACCAAGGTACATATATCAGAAACCATAAATGTTCCTGGCTCATCTGTCAAGCTCTCGAGAGCGCTAGTCCGCCCCAGAAAGAAATTTTGGAGAGGAATTTTGGTTCTGAGGACGAAGCTAAGAGGACCACTATTAAAAATCTCTTGGAAATATTAGGGCTTAAGCAACGTTATTTCGAATTTGAGGAGAAGCGGTCAGAAGAGATTAGCCAGATGATTACAGTGACGGATGAAAGCGCTGGTCTAAAAAAAGATGTATTTTATGCACTTTGGGACAAGATACGCGAAAGACCTATGTAACTAGATGAAAAATCGATGCCCTTTGCCGCCATTTGTACTAGAGAATGTTGTAGCCTATTGATTGCTATTTCGGCCAAGTCAACACATGGCAATTGAACCTCCGTCCAAAATACGTAGGTGCTGCTGCTACTTCCGTTATGTCGTTTAAGTATAGTTTAATAACCGATGCTCTCCACCACCCAACGCAAACTCCGTACCGCTCTCTTGCAATTTGAAGGTTGAGGGATTTTTATAGGCTTTCAAAATCTGATTGGAGAGCTATAATTATCGTGGGACCCTATGTCGGCCAGAAACGATCCAATCAACGTTCAATAGGGGAGGAAGACAGCTTTGATAGTTTTTATCTCTTGTCTCCGGTTATGGTTGGCCGGAAGACCCCATCGATTCCAGAGAAATTTTGTTGTGCAGTCCACGTTACCCATGCCAAAGCAAGCTCGGATATGCCCAAGCAACCTTGCAATCTCGGTCCTGTCATCGACTGCGGAGGCTGAACAACCAGCTTCAAACAAAGGGGGTAGAGTGGCAACGCCAGGGCATGGCTGAGCTACAATATTCATGCTGCTGATACATGATATAATTCGTTTGACAGAAAAGCTTATAGAATACTGCAGCGAGGTGTCGGCAAAGTCGATGCGGTTGTAGAGTTGTAACAAAACCATGTGATGATATGCCTCATCAAGCAGCCAGAAATCCAGTTTGATTGCCTCGGAAAGATAGTCTGCTACTTCTGGCCTAAACTGAAGTGTCCGCAGTTGAAGCATGGCGTTGAGCTTTGTGACAAGATCCAGATATGATTCAGTCACTGGAAAGTGTGGCCCATGGTAGGAACGTGTGTCAGTTGATGTATCTCCGTCTGCCCACGCGATCGGTCAAGGGCCTGCATAGCGTCGATGATTGGCTTTAGAGAGGTGGAAAACCCCGCAAGGTCATCGATGTAGTCTTGCATACCACTATCAGACTGGACTGCGTATAGTGGGACATCACTCGGTATACCACGACCGGCAGCAATGGCTGTCAAAGACGTATAGAACCGGAGCAACACGCGAGTAGACTTTTCAAACCTGTAGCGAGATTCGTCCAGCTGTTTTATGAGAGCCGAGGTTCCTTTCAGATGGACTCCCCACTCTTCACTGTGGCTGCTCGAGGATACGATATTGCTAAGGCAGAGCACGAGGCTCGTAGCCAAAGCCATAACAAGGACATCTTGTCTTGTTGCACAACCAATAGCGTCTTGAAGAAGCCTTGCGGATACGGCGTGCAGCTTGAAGACATTGACTTCTGTTTGTTCTAGACCCACCGACAGCCGGTGGCTGGACGCGACGCAAAGCATAGCGGCCATGACGTGCTGACTGGCCATAGCCATTGGAACTATCGTTGAGCATATCTCCCGTTGCATTTCCTCATGGCAGGAGAGTGACTTGGACGTCTCGTGCTGAAAGTAGTCCACCAAGATGCGGAATTGATCGTTAGATATGCTGACGTCTGGAAATATGTCTAAATGGTCATGTGGGCTGGAGTTGAGAACCTGTGAATGGTTGAAGACAGTCAGAGGTAAGCATTCACTAGTCAAACCCATGTCGGTTGGGCCACGTCGGTGCCCATCTCTCTCATGTTTCTGGCTATCGGAAGGCTGCTTCTTCCAATCGATACTTGAGGAAACATAGACAAACTGGCCACGAGGAGAATGTCGGCCGTCGTGGGTGGTTCGAGGCACACTGTCCCTCGAAGCGTCTGCTGGTCCACATGGTGTCTTGCGAATTCCGGACGTGGCTTTGTCCAGACATTGCCCGAAGCGTGATTTTTTGAAGGGCCGGCCACCCCAGGACAGCTCCCGCGTGTATTCGCATCGAAGATTCACGCTGCGACAGTAAGCGCATGTGGGTTTGTTCTCATCACAGCGCCTATGCCGCCTCCGGCACTCTCGGCAGCCGTTTCTGGATCTCCGGATTGGAGCCGGTGTTGCCGACATTGGCGGCGAAAAATCCAGCATAACGCTTCTGCTGGCTTCTGCTGGGATGGCGGGGATGTAGACTGTCGCTCAATCTGGGAGACGCGACGGACAAAGGCTCACCGCAATGTGCTCAGGGTGACTGTTGTTGGAAGCCTGTAGACTATAGTTGCCTCAATCGGTCCTTGGGGGAACAGCGATCAACTCTGTGCTTTATGAATCTCTCTGCAATCTACCGATGTCGGCTTACGCACTGAAAGTGGCTATACATTCCCCTTCGAGTTTAGCTCATCCAACCTTCCACTCATAGACTGAATCGTTCGAGGCGAGCGAGGTTAACTAGCCATGGAGCCAATCATACTTACTCCGCTGATCCTAGCTTACCGGCGGGGTGTGGTGTTATCAGTCTGTGATCTGTGATCCTGTGACATTGAAACGAGATCGGTACAACATATCAATCCCGCTTGACCTATCCTTTATACCGTCTAAGGTCATGTTGTTCTTAATATCTCTTCACGTTTCCCCATTACCTCACCACACTCTTCTGATAATATTTCCGGAATAATAACTTATAATTGATGCCCATCAGTTGGTAGCCTACTCTGCCTGAAGCACCTCCACGCAATCTCTACAACGATGTCGCAGCATGATGAGATATCTCCCCTCCTCTCTCACCATAGAGAAGATGGAAATCAGCCCGAAGGGAGAGCATCCAATACCATCTACAGAGAAGTGGTGGATTTGTTCAAGGCCACCGTACCCATATCGGCGTCCTTTGCTCTACAAAACATTGTACAAGCTGTGAGTGTCATCATCGTTGGACGCATCGGCCCCCGCGAGCTTGGAATAGCCTCCTATGGATATATGTTCGCCACATGCACTGGGAGCATGGTCGCAATTGGCGGTGCAACCGCACTCGATACGTTGTGTGGCCAAGCAATATCCTCGCCAACCTTCAAGGTTCAGCCCACAATTTTAGGCAAGCACTTACAGCAGAGTCTGTTCATATTGAGTCTCCTGTTTTTCATCGTCATCACTCCGATTTGGATATTCTCTAGCCGCTTGTTCTTGATATTGGGTCAAGAATCGTGGCTAGCGGAGGGAACAGGCCAATTTCTCCTCTGGATGCTGCCTGCTGGTTACAGTCAGATGATTGCCGAGTGTCTCAAGAAGTACGCCCAAGTCCAAGGTCAAAGCAATGCTGTCGGTTGGGCCGCCCTCGCTGCTACAGTGATTGGTTTGGGGGCAAATTTTGTCCTTGTTCACGCAACTGGTCTTAAAACCCAAGGCGCGCCTGTTGCCTTCTTCATCTATCAGTTCGTTACGATCGGCTTCCTGTCATTTCTGTTGCTGAAACAAGAACGCTCTGTGAAGACGATTCGATTGGTGAGGCAATGGGGCCAGTTCTCAAACGGCTTGTTAACTAACGCCTCGTTGGCAATCACTGGACTTCTCACCATTGCTACGGAGTGGTGGAGGTAAGAACATCTAACATCAACGTAAAACGTGCTCTTCATAGAATAACACTAATAATAGCATAAAGTTTTGAGATTCTAGCGATCATGGCAGCCAATTTGTCGACAAATGAGATCAGTGCACAAAGTGTGAGTGATATTCACTATGCTGATTGCAAATTCGTGTACTAATTCCACGAACCCAGATCCTCATGTCAGCAGATCTAATTTTCACCACGATTTCCCTCGGTATAGGTGTTGCAGTCAGTCATCGAGTAGGGAAGGCTCTGGGTGCAAAAGAAATCCCACCCGCACGGCGCGCAGCAATGTCATCATATCTGCTTGCCGCATGCCTCGGCATCTTGGAGCTCGCATTAATCATGTCTTTTCGTAATTCCTTTGGGTATCTGTTTACTTCAGACCCTGAAGTAGTGGAAACCACAGCGAAGGTGCTTCCGTTCATGGCTGTCTTCCAGATTCTAGATCTTACAAATGGAGGCGCGGGAGGAATCTTAAGAGGCGCGCGAAGGAACCATCTCTCTGGCATGTGCAACTTCATGGCCTATTACGGCGTCGGGTTGACGACGGCATGGGCGCTTTGTTTCCGTCTAGGTTGGCGCTTAACCGGGCTATGGGCTGGAATTATCATAGGTAGTGGTGCTTTGTTGGTTTTGCAGACTGGCTGTGTATTAACTCTACCATGGACCAAATTGGTAAACGAAGCATCTGGAGACATCTAGAGTTAATTAAGTCAAAAGATAGATGAGTTGAAGATAATAGAATGTGCACTTGACAGATATGGTGAGGTTAAAGTTAGTTGTTACAACTGCGTATTAGCCCTTCTATACTACTACTCATGAATTCCTAGTATTGATGTCAAGGAAATTGGGGCAAACAGCCTAATGCATCTCTCTCCCGCCATGAGGCAAAGTGATAATACAAATTGTCCACTCATTTCTTGCTGACTCACATGTCCAGGACGAAGTGTTGAGTTAGTCTAGGCCTGTCCAATGCTGTGGATACTATGCTTACCAAAGGGGAAAGTATAGCCTATGAATTGAGAAATTGAAGCTCGGAAATACACGGATTCGTTCTGCGGAGGTAAAAAGCCAGAGTTTGTAATTCCTTCCAACAGACCCGGGGAAAAATCGACTTAATAATCGTCTATCATTTTAGATCCTGGACGAGGAAAGTGTAGCCTATGGAGTAAAGAGTTGAGCTTGCAAATCAATATTGTTAGTTCCTGAATGAGGTAAATTGCTACGTTTCGATAATTGAACTACAGGGATCTAAAACATGGTGAGATGACTTGACTCGGTTTATTACATGATTATTTTCCAAAAGAGAAAAGTATAGGCTACAATTTTAATGACCAAACCAAGCAATATGCATATAGCATTCAACAAGAGCATGGCCAGCGCTTTATAAGTAAAAGATTACTACCGTTTCATAGAAAGAATAAATCCAAAGCTCCTTTCCTCGCCGTCACTTCGTGTTACCATAACTTCTACCACGCTGTATCATACCTCCCAGTATCAATCATGCACACACCATTAATTCTGGGCCTCTTCATTGTATCGGCCTATTGTGCACCAGCAAGCGGCAATAACGAACAATGGCCATTGGTGGCCAGCGATACTCGCCAAAAGAGTGGCTTTGATTTGGAGCCAAATGCCAAATATGCGTTCTCCGGAATTACGACATTCGCCCAACTTCCAGCAGTGGAATGCCTCTTAGAAGAGGGCCCAGCTGACGATATCTTGATTGTTGGCTTTCCCTTTGATACAGCCACATCGTATCGCACCGGAACGCGGTTTGGACCCAACGCCATCAGACAAGGGTCCCGCGCTGCTTCTCTAGCGTAAGTCCTATACCTCAATGAAGCTGAAGTCAACTTATACTTATCATGAAAATCGTTATTTCGCAGTGGACACTACAATTATCGGCAGGGTATCAATCCGTTCACACAGAACATCTCCATTGTGGACTGTGGTGATTTCCCAATTTCTCCCTTTGATAATGCCTTGTCATTTGCTCAGATGGAAGAGTGGTCCTCCAGGCTACTTACCAAAGAAGTCAAAAGCCAGCAGAGTGGCGTTGTGTCCAAAATTGTAATGTTGACTCAAATATTAGAGCCTAAAATGAACTGTTTCACTGATTATTTAGCAGACCGGACGAAAGCATCCTCAAATCGTCGCCCTAGGTGGTGACCATAGCATCTCTCTTCCCATTCTCAGATCACTACACAAAATTCACGGTCCCATGTCGGCGATACACATCGACGCGCACATTGATACCTGGTCTCCAAAAGTGTTTGCAGGATCCAATGGCTCTCCCAGCAAGCAGTCGGAGTTTGCTGATGGCACGCCTTACTACTGGGCTGGTGTGGAAGGGCTCCTTAGCAAGACTTCAATCCACGCGGGCATCCGTAGTACACTGGACTCTGCGGCTGATCTCGACCTTGATGCAGACATGGGGTTCAAGATCATCCCTGCCGGTGCGATACTACAGCAGGCAGGTCTTCAAGGGGTCATAAAGACCATCCGGGACACTGTGCCCCATGATGAGCCAGTATACGTCTCGTTGGATGTTGATGTGCTGGATCCCGCCTTCGCGCCAGGTACAGCCGGTCCCGCATCAGGCGGCTGGACACCAAGAGAGCTGATCCAGATTATCATTGAGTCCCTCGCGGGATTGAATATCGTAGGTGTAGATGTTGTCGAGGTACTTCCTGGGATGGATAGCTCTGAGATCACCGGTATTTCTGCGGCCGAATTCACTTTCGAGGTAAGTTACATCATCTCGAGCAAGAGGTCCTACATGTGAATTCTGATTGAATTATAGCTCCTTACCACACTGGTCAAAAACCGAAAGCAATATGATATACAAACATCTTTGATGGAAATCTTATATGTATCTCGGATTAGGGAGAATATTGTTTTTCATTTTCGCCGTTTTGATAACCAATATAAAGACTATCAGCTCGATATTTATTTCAACTGGCAGATAGTCTGAGGTTTCTGCTTACCTGAGAGTACGAATTCGAGAGATTGGCTTTATAGTTCCTTCTGGTGAAAAACCTTGACTCGCGGTGTCCACCTTTTAGTTGCCCAAAACTTTGATCGATCCATAAATTTCACAATATCATTAGTCCAAGGCAACCTTTCCAACGGAGAGTCGCGTATGTCAGCCATGAAGAGGTCAGCAGAGTAGGGCCGATGGACGTAATAAGCTCGGTTATCGGGTCTTAGCATTGCCGTCCGAGTTCCTCAAGTTCAAGGCAGAAAGTGTTTAGAATCTACAGCAATTATTATCTATATGAATCTAGTCAAGGAGAGAAACTTAAATTGGGTCAATTTGACTATCGTGCTTGTACCCCTACTCATTGGCTACTTCATTGAGAAAAGAGGAAACACGAACAAACCCGCCCAAGCCCTTGGTAGCGTAATTGTATATGCCGTACCTGTAACCCAGGAAGAACGGCCAGGTTCGTCGAAGGTCAAATCTAGCCAACTCGGTGAAGCTCAGGTTATCCACGCTGAAGCTCAGGAGTCCCTGGCCCATTCGGTTTGGATGCACGTCGGCACTAACTCGGAGCCATACCTCGCTGAAAGCAACGTTGTCGACGCGGGCCAGTTCCTCTACACTTTCCCCGTATTTCTTTCCTTCATCCATGACGGACCTCCGAACTATGAGTGACCATGAATCTCCTTCGCGCTCGATTCCGATCATTGCGGAGTCGTCTCGGAATAGAGACAGTCCGGCACGATCTCCATCAGCCATCCCAGTAAAGTCTAGATGGACGGTGCCTGTACCAACAGGACCCCTGATCCGATGGGTCAGTGTGTTGCGAGCGAGATAAATATCCTGCGTGACAGTGGCAGTCCTCAACTCTAGCCCGTTGTTCACTGTAAAGCTACCGGGGTCGGGGTTGTGGTTCCACTGCCACTGGGGCCCTAGGGTAGAGCCTTGGAACTCGTACAGGCCTAAAGTGTCAGACTGTTTGACCTCTGGTAGCGGATATGGATAATCGCCCCATTCTCCATTGATGGTCACGAGAGATGGAAAGCCATCGTCACCCCAAGTAATCGGAGCCAGAACAGGCGCTCGACCTCCAGGATATATGTCTGTGAAACCCATGTAGTACCAGTTGCCATCGGGAGTATCTATCAGACTGCCCTGGTGGGGAGCACCCCCGCCAGGGACTGAAGTCAAGGCGACGTTGTCACACAAGACACGATACTGAAACGGGCCCCAGGGGGACGAGGATTTGAGCATGTATTGGGCATTAGGTGGCCGAGTTACAAAAATGTAATAGTTGCCATCGCGGTGGTACATCCTCGAACCTTCAAGAGCGCCAATATCCGTTGGAGTCTCAAACACGAGCTCGTTGGCAACCACTGAAGTCAGATCGGAAGACAGTTGGGCTACATTAATTTTAGTGTTTCCGTAAGCTACGTAAACCGCATCGCCTTCGAAAAGGAAGCCAGCGTCGTAGAAGCACTGGTCAATAGTACTATGGCGAGACCAAGTGCCATCGGCTTCGTCGGCAACGTAGATGTAGGTTTTGGAAAACCCGACACAGGCGAGAAAGTACCATTTATCATCAAATTCGCGGTGGCGGAGGGTAGAAGCCCAAATTCCAGCAACATAGGCTGTTTGGGAATCCGTCATGTCGTAACCTGGCCCAAAGTCTAGCGTTGGCACAGAGTAACCGATTGGCTCCCAATTGACCAAGTCATAGGAACGCAAGATGGGAGCACCGGGGGAGAGATGGAAAGAAGAGGCAGTCATGTAAAAGGTATTATCAACTCGAGTGACCTCGTTGTCTGGTAAGTCCTCCCAAATGATGGGGTTGCTGAATGTTTGCGCAGCGGCTGCTAAGAGACCGCTGCCGGTAGCCAATAGTTGTTTCAGGAACATGATTGATTCCGAGAAATAGATTTGAGAGTAGATTGACCGAAACAAAGAATTGTTTGCAAATCCTGGACTTTTTATTTCGAAGCCTAGAAGACAAGACAGTCATGTTCACAAAGGTTTCCCAGGCGCAAAACAAGACTACAACTTTCATTGAATATGACATGCCGCATCCAACAGGACCCGCACCAATAAGAAAGAATTAGTACGAACTACTTTAACCGGTATCCCTCGGCTTACGTGTAATAATAATAATGATCAACAATTACCGCTGGATCATGCGGTCTCCGCGGTCTCCAGGTTCTCCACAACCCCACACGCAAATCCTCCACACTGCCAGATCAGTCTAATGACCCTGTTGGGGCGGTTGAAGCAACTAATGAGGGTCCTGGTCAGACAAAGCGGATAAGGGGGAAAATTGACCCTACCCTTCAGCCGAGAAGAAAAATGGATATTCCAAACAGTTGCTGATATTGCTGGCGGGTTTGAGAGAATAGCATAGTTGGATATTAGCCGTTCAAATTCATCCTACTACTACTGGTAAATCCAGTATGCCTAAACGAGGAGAGAGGTTGTATAGACCAAGGAAATAGTCATCGTATAGGATATATTTAAGTATAAAAGTGGGAAGGCCCTGAACATCAAGGAGGTGGCATATCAGTCTTCCTCCAAAACATATACTTCCTTTTCTATACACGACATTTTTTCAATCATGAATCGACCGATATTTAAGACCTATTTGGCGACAGTATATATCATGCTGACCTCAATCAGTCCCACTACAGCCACATGTGGTCTTCCCACCACTTACAGATGGCAGTCAACTGGTGCACTGGCTGAGCCATCCGAAGGGTGGTTCAGCCTCAAAGATTTCACAATAGTGCCATATGGCGGGGACCATTTAGTCTATGCAACGAACAGCAACGACCAGGGTTTTGGATCCCTTGGTTTCGGTCCTTTCGCAGACTTCTCAGAAATGGCCAGCGCTAGCCAAACCGGCATGAGTGCCGCCACTGTCGCACCTACGCTCTTCTACTTTAGTCCCAAAGACATCTGGATACTTGCGTACCAATGGGGAAACTCTCCTTTCTCCTACCTGACCTCCCAAAATCCCGCCCACGTGAATGCATGGTCGGCCCCGGAGCCGTTATTCACTGGTACCATTGCCAACTCTGATACCGGCCCTATCGACCAGACTCTGATTTCTGACGGAGTGAGCATGTATCTCTTCTTTTGCGGGGACAATGGGATTGTTTATCGAGCAAGCATGCCACTGGAAGATTTCCCTAGCAGTTTCGGTACCCAATCTACCATTGTGTTGAGCGATACAAAAGAAAATCTTTTTGAAGCAGTTCAAGTCTACTCTCTTCAAGGGCAAAACAAGTATCTTATGATTGTCGAGGCTATTGGGAGTGTTGGGCGCTACTTTCGCTCGTTCACAGCTGATAGCTTGGATGGAGAGTGGATCGCCCAATCTGGGTTTGAGGAAAGTCCATTTGCTGGCAGCGTCAACAGCGGCGCGACTTGGACTGACGATATAAGCCACGGAGAGCTGATTCGTATGTCGGCTGATGAAACATTCCCCGTGGACCCATGCAACCTTCAGCTCCTCTATCAAGGAAGAGATCCCATGGAAGAAGAACCGCCACTGGACTATGGTGCGCTCCCCTACCGACCTGGCCTCCTGTCCTTCGCTCAGGCTTCGAAATAAGTGCAATGGTAGAACCCTGTACCAAGTGATTAACGGGACGTCAGTGTTGTGTTTGCTACCCTAGCTGGCCTATGGATTATGCTATGTGGCCAAACTCAAAGACTAGTCATATTTTAAGAAGAACATATGGGTAATTCAAGAACCTAACATATGCTGCAGCAACACTCTATTTGCAGTAGATAACTCTCAAATTTGCTATACTACTTAATTAAGATACAACCGTTCCAATATCTGAAAACTTGATGAATTGCTTCTTGTTCTAACTGGACCTAAGGTAGGGAGTTCAATTGCTCAAAACTAGACTGCAAGGCATATCAATGTTTAAAAGTCTCTAGGGAATTCAGACTAGCTGCAGAAAGCATCCAATTATTCATTGAGACGCGGGCCAGTAAATTGTTTTCCGATGCCAGAGAACCAAGCGAATATCGTAACAATAAGACTGATCGCAAAGACGACGATCAAATAATTCATAGAAGTCCCAGTGACAGGGTAGCCGATGGGAAACGCCAGCACGATATTGAAGAAAATCCCAAAGAGCGTCGCTAAGGCATTGATAGCATAGCCGAACCTTCCGAGGGAGAAAGCTCTCCTGGGCAATGATTCACGACCTCCAAATAGCAAAGCAGCTTGAGGAAGGATTAATGTAATGTTGAGAGCGAACAATGTTAGACTGACAAAGCTGCTATAAGCCGTCTTGGAAGCAATGTAGAGGAGGCCGACGAGAACCTGCAGGACAAGCATGATAGCAGTGGCGCGGACAGGACTGGCCCACCTAAGGTGTGAGAAGTAACTGGAATAAGGGATACCGCCGTCGCGAGAGAGTGACCAGATCATTCGGCCTGAAAATATAAAGAGGTTGAGAACAATATTGTAGAACAAGACGAGGTAGTAAACGGCCCAGATCGTCGTTGCGATCCTCGAGTTGAGGGCGACTTCATATACCCCCAAAATCGGTATCCCGGATTCAATGAGTGCCAGGATGTCTGGGACCACAAACAAGAGGGAGATATTCCATGCGACGACTGTGATAATCCCTAAGCCCAACGTGATGCCAATGGCAATGGGAACGTTGCGGCTTGGATTGGGGACTTCCTCGGAGATGTGTGTGGGCGCGTCCATGCCACAATAGGCCCAAAGACAGCTTGCAATGCCAATGACGGCAGCCCATCCATCTCCCCAACCAGACACATTCTGAAAGTTGGTAAAGACTGCCGTACTAGACTGCTTTGTCTCGCTGATGGCTAGAAGCGTCGCCAGCGAGGCGATAAATCCGGCAATAGAGAGCCAGAGTGCAACAATGCCAATTCGGCCAATGGCATCTGGGAAACGCGACGCAGAGAGAAAGGCAACACCGGAAAGAAGGACGTGTAGAAGATATACATGCCAAGCCTCCACCACATAACTCTCGATCCATAATGTGATTAGATTTAGCACTAACTCGCAGACGAAGAAACTGCATGAAGCCGTAGCCGCCATAATGAACACGACTGAGATCCACCCCGTGAAGAAGGCAGCGACATGGCGTGTCTTGTGAGGGAAGACCATATACACGATATGATACTGCCCACCTGCCGAGGGAAACGCAGAAGCTAATTCGGCGAACCCAGCAGCGATAATGCAAGTGACCACGCCACTTACGATGAGGCCGTAGATGAGGATTGGGCCTCCCCCGCATACCAAAGGTACGGCAAGGCCTGAGGCGAAAGCTACCCAGGAGTTCATGGTAGTGAACCCAAAAGCAATCATAGACATGAGCGAAAAGCGCTTCTTGAGGTGCATGTCATCCAATTCTCGGACTTCGGATCTGCCCTCTAGCTGAGACTGACATCCGACGATAGACACTCGGTCTGAGCTCTCTTTTTTATTCTTGGTCGACTCCATAGTGAAGTAGGAGTTTCAGAATTGTCGGGATTGTAGTTGGGATTAAGATGAAAGTTGTGGTGTGGAAAGATGTGTCACGAAAGCCAACGGTGAGACCTTCGACAAGATGTTAAATGTCTTGAAGGCAAGACATGTCCTGTGCGAGGCCTGCAATGTGGAAAAAAAGAGTATGCTGAGGCTACAATGAAACACATGGCATGGATATTTCTATACGAATACAAGATAAATACTTCATCCTGAATCGATAAAGCGTTCCATCGAGTACTAGACCTCGTTCCTTGGAGTGATCAATGTCTCCTGTGTCCGGAAGGGCAAGAGTCTGCGAGAAAAGGACTTAGCCCTGGACACACTAGTATATGGACTGATTTTCGGGGCCCGCATGATAAGGGAATGGCATTGAAGCCGTAGGTGAGTTTGACCCGAGGTGAGGGCTAAGAGGGAGAACCAATTTCGCTATAGTGGTGACCGCATTTGTCTTAGGTCATGAAAAGGCGATAAGAGCTCCGTTTAGGACTGCCCAATTTGGGTTAGTTGTCCTTCCTCCACAGATCGAGTCTAAACTTCATGGCCTCCAGACGCCTGCACTTCGATATAGGACCTTGAAGACGAACAGGAAAGATACGCTCTAGGAATATCAAGTAACAATAACATTTGATAAACTTGATAGTATATTTCTCATCCCTTAGCAAGTGGTATCTCTTTTTGAGGAGGCGTTCCAACTTGGTCGTCTGACCCCACAACTGCGCCCCACCGCGCCGTTGACGCCGTTGACGCCGTGCATGAACGTATTGTCATTTACATTACCTACTTATCTTGGTTGAACATGACTCGGGTCGACCCCGCCTTTGACGTCCTCAATATTCATCCTGCTCTTCCTCAGAGTGTCCGCCGCCCTTGACGCTCACCACTCAGAGCCTAAAATTTTAAATCCATTATCAATCATAATGTTGCCTGCAGAGAACCCACCAGAATCCCATGCAGCTCATGAGTCTCCTGGTCCCGCCGTAACGTCTTCTCAACCAAGAAAAACCAAGCGGCCCTTCACGCGGCAACGCCGGGGGTGCCTGACATGTCGTCAACGCAGGAAGAAGTGTGACCAACAATCACCAGTCTGCGGGCACTGCTTACGGCTGAACCTGGTTTGCGAACATGAAAGCCCCCGGAAACTTGAGGTTCCCGCGGTTGCCTCAGCGGCACGGGCGATGACGACAGATGCAAGAGCCGGTAGTGATACCAGGCCCGCGATTGTGGTCGGGGTCCAACGGCACGGAAGAACATGTATCAATGACCCTCTCGATCTAGTTCGCCCGGACGAGGGTTATCGCCAAGACTTGAGTGCCAGCCGCCGGGCCATGGTACGATATTACACCATGACTCTCGCCACCATGCTGTCCACTACCGCAGAGAATAATTGCTTCCTTTCTGGTTGGTCATCTTACATCAAGTCTCCAGACTAAGAATCCACTTATTATGGATGTTGACTTAGTGTCGTTATTCCAGTTCTATTACCGATGGCTTTCGATTATCCTATTCTGCTTGACGCCATCGCTGCATTGTCATCAGCCCATCTCGCCATGTGCTACCCAGGGTTCAACAATGTGTCGCTGGAGCACCGTGGCCGCGTTCTATCGGCTCTCAGCCTCCATCTCAGACAAAATGACAGTCTATCCAGTGACATGTGTCTTGCCGCCGCTTTGGTCATGTGCGCAATGGAAACCATCACAGATGGGACTAGTAGCAGTTGGGCCAGTCATCTTGCCGGTGCGGCAGCGGCAATCCAATCCAAAGGCCATCCGTTGCTGAGGTCACAGCCCCGAGATGGACATCGCAGCGACCCGTTGTCGGATAGCATGAGCTTTGAAAGCAAGTGGCTCCGCCGAACCTTTGCCTACCACAATAGCCTCATGAGTTTCTCATTAAACTGCCGGCCTCTATTAACGGATGGATACTGGAAGGCATCTGATGATGCCTTGGCCGACCCTTACTGTGCTTATGCATCTCAAGTCATCTACATACTTACCGAAATCAGTGACCTCAATGTTGAAAGTGCCGAATCCATCAAGACATCCGGGTTGATGTACGATCACCTGCTGCGAAAAGCTGGCAGCATTACCAATGATCTGAGAAAGTGGGAGTGTCAGCCTGCTGGGGCTTCCACTGAGCATCTGGCTCTGCTGAGTGAGACATATCGCTGTGCTGCCTTTATATACCTCGAATCCGTTCTACGCAAGTACCATCCACATCTCATCTCAGAACTGATCCCTGAAGGAAACATGTTCTACATTGAATCCATTTGTAAAAATGCAGAGATAATCCCCGAGGGCTCGCAGGTTGACTGCTCTTTGCTCTTTCCTTTGTTTGCCGCAGGTGCCGAGGTTGATGATCCTCATTATATTGCCCGTATTCGAAACCGTCTAGTGGGGATGAACAAGTGGAGGAGTTTCAAGAATGCTGATTCTTGTGTCGAATTACTTGATGAGGTCTGGAAACTGAGAAGGGAGGAAGAGCATGACATAGACCGGAAACAAGTAGATTGGCGGAATGTAGCCACGTCTCGGGGATGGCGGCTAGCATTGTTTTGAATTTATATCTTGGATTAGATGAGTTTACGTTTGTATTGGCACATCTACAGTGTCATGAATGCGATTTCATTTACATTATAACAGGAATATCCTCGTAGTGATATTTGTCGAAACTACTACGGTCTTTCGATGGACTATTCCCCAAGTTTGGTTTCATCTAATTCAGCACTATAGGCGAGCCTCCTCTCTATTCACTGAAAGTCGAAAGATGTCTGGCCTTTTGTAGTGTCCTGCCACATCAAGGTCATGCTTGTAAGCAATTGTCTGTGAGAGATCGACATCGACCACCACCGGCTCTGGACCCAACACAGGTCCTACAATGTATTCACCGTCCGGACCGATCACGCCGGATCCGCCGGGAAACAAGTCTTTTGTTCCCACGCCCTTTTCAAATGCCTCGACGAGCTCTTTTGGAATAACCTCTGCGTCCAAGTACGTAGCTGCTGCCACCACAAAGCATCTTCCTTCAAAAGCATATTGCCGAGAAGCAAGCTGGTGCGCCGAAGGCATATCGGGCCACAGAGCGATATGAATCTGCTCGTCTTCCTCGTGAAGAGCCTGCCTGATCAACGGATGGAAATGTTCCCAGCAGATTGCCGCACCAATTCTTCCCGACGGAGTGTCATGGGCTCGCAAGCCGCGAGCGTCGCCACCCGCCCACACGATGCGCTCCGTGTGGGTGGGCGTAAGTTTCCGATGGATACCGAGCAGAGTACCATCGCTCCCTATCAGCGCCACGCTATTGTAAATGGTCCCGCTAGTTCCTCTCGATCGTTCGTTGAATCCGAGGGCGACTTCGACATTGTGCTCCTTTGCAGCGTCTCTGATCCGCGAAATGTGAGGGCCGGAAGCTGTCGGGCTGGACTCGACGAGTTTTCTATACCATTCGCGTGCCTGGGCATCGTTCCAGCCTGCCATGCCAAATACCCAGGCGGGATACCCACCTAACCAGGTCTCGGGAAATGTAATGAGGTTGGCTCCAGCCTTTGATGCTGCAGCAATCTCTTCAATTGCGGTTTGTGTACCTAATTCTAGATCGAGCAAGCGAGGGGCTCGCTGAACAATGTAGATACGAGTGGTCTTTGTTTCGAGGCACCCAGCATGAGGGGATTTGGTGGAAGCCATGATGGCTAGGTTAGGAGGCAGGGGTCTTGTAGGACAGACACATTTAAAGTTGAATATGTGAAGAAGGCTTTCAAGAGTACTGGAACACTTGAAGTTGCGTTGCATGAAACCGATCCTCACTCTTTTGCCTAAGACACAGCCCTGCATCGAAAGACTGAGGTCTCATTTATGCAGTTTCCCACGAACTGCCAGAGCTGAAATGGCATGTGGAAGTCGTAGAAATGGACAAAAACAATAGCCCGATACTCTGATTGTCCTTGCTAGGTAGTCCCACACGGCGTCAACGGCGTCAACGGCGACCGGCGCTAAAACAAGCAGACTCCGATAGACCATTCTACCCCAGTTTTTGCTCACCATTTACGTAAAAATCCCTTTTCTATGCCATATTGAGCTCCTATTATCAATGTGCAAAATCACATCTCTCCTTAGTACTGATGACAAGGTGATGGGGCGCTGGGATTTGAAAGGGGTTGAAGGGACGCCCACCTCTCTTGTAATTCTACTCCTGATGCCCATTCCTCACGTGCTGTCAGTATTAACACTAACTCGCAGTTGAGACTAACGAGCCCGGAGTGAAATATAAGTCAATGTCAGCCAGGAGTCTTGATGGGTGATAGCAAACATCGCCACACCAACTTAGGGCGAAAGCAAACCCTCTTCCCATCGCACTTTACTGTGAGTAAAAGACCAACCATCCTCTTATTATTATAGAAGCCATATCACATTTTTTTTCGGAGCAATTTTAAACAATGAAGCAACGCTGTCTAGAACCTGCGATCCCCAGGTACTTGCAGGTCAAGCGCACCCAGCCGCTTCATCAACCATCATGCTTCAAGGGCCCCCAGCAAGCTTCACATTCTGCCAGGTTTCCGGAAGCCGTCAAAAGTATTATTACTATGGATCTGGGCATCCAATTCATGCCGTCGAGTGACTCGACATTTGTCATCAGCCTGATTCGTGGCGCAATCAAAAGTCCCTTTGGGCCCCAACACCATGTCCGATCCAGCTTCACCGACTCAAATGGCTATGAAAATATTGTCTTTACTCTATATTGGAGTGATACTTCTCTCTACCAGAAATGGGAAGACAGCATGCCTGCCGACTGGTGGCACCGAGGGCTCTCTCTTGATTCTAGCGTTGGCGTGTTCAAAGAGTTTTACGTTGTCCCAATCACAGATACAGAGACGACTTTTGCTCTCCCCGTTCCTGAAGGTTATTCAGTCATTGCCGCCGCGATGAGCAATGAAACCGATACTCATGAATACTGGGGTTCTTCTAGAGACCGCATTCCTCGAGCACAAACAGAGAGTCTCGAATCTTGTGGATGGCCAGAACTCGAAGGTTGTGGCCCCCTTGCCGATTCTCGTGGGCGACTAGTCATGGTTCATCCTCATCAGAATATGTGTCTGATCCGCTCTGGACAAGTCTGGGATCAAAGCGACGAGAAAGAAGTTGCCTCTTACTACACAGAAATCAAGCCAACGCTTGATAGCGGCATGGAAGAGCTTGTGGCTAACAAGCGCCGCTTCGGGTGCTTCTCAAACCGCTATCTGCGCGTCGAAGACGACGAGGGTAAACCTATTGGCAAATCCTGGAGTATCAGCTCGTGGGAGTCTCTAGGCCACCTCGAGAAATGGGCGGTTACGCCAAAACACAAGCAGATTTTCGGGACGCAGATCAACCATTTCACTCGCATGGACAAGGAGGGTGTTGAGCCCCATCTCAACCTATGGCACGAGTTGATGGTGTTGCGTAAGGCTGACCAATCCTTTGCTTATTTCAACTGTCACAACCAAACGGGCATGTTATCAGCAGTCTTCCATTGAATTTTCAACTTTTTCTCTTTGAAGTTATGATCATAGTCGCATATTCAAATCTGACAATCTGCAGCCAAGATCAAGGGTTACCCGTGAGCGTGACAAGATGTATATTAGGATATGCCCCAAGCGACATATCAATATGATCACAATCTCTTAGAGGATATTGCTATGCAGCCCGGACCAGAATTTCAACGCCGTTTAGTAAATGAGGGCATTGTTAGCACCAAAGGCTTGGAAGACTTTTCTTGGCTACAGGGAAAACGTCTCGTGATGTTGCTGAAACAACAGAGTCTGTTGGATTTATTGCTAAACCTGGAGAAATCATACAAGGCCTTATTCTAGGCATCTTTTGAAGGGCCTAGCTACATAGCTACAGTGTCGGGAATTAATTCCGGAGATTAAAGGCAGAATTAATTACTCCTACCCGAACCGAAACCCGAGATGCGAATCCGAGCTTGCTGGCTAATTTCTCCATATCTCCACCTTTCTCTCCCCTTTCCAGGATCGGATTCCAAGGTACAGTGCTCCCTTATTTCAAAGAGCTACGCAGTTTTGAAACAGACTAGCAATATATGAAACGTTATGTGCCTTGATATCTCCTACAGCGACCACGATATATATTGTAGTTGTCCACAGCAACGCTACCTAGGTCGGAGAGTCCTCAACAGTTATTCCGCGTACTTAGCTTGTGTATGTAGCTTGTACATGGATTCTTCTTTTAGCTTGTTGTATCTCTATCTGCTGATTAAGTCAATTAAGTGTTTCTATCAGAACTTGGCCTGGGTTGATAGAGCACAAGTGCGAAGTTAATGTAAACGACCAATTCAGGACGGGAAGAGCTTCTTGCCTTTTAACTAAGATTAAGCTTTACCGACGGTCTCCAAGCTAGCTAATTTTAACCAATAATTATTGAAAAGCAGCTGCTTGATGTAATCAAAGTTGACTACAGCATGTGAGCGAGATTACAGAACGCATTTAATTGTTTTGCTCGATTTTCTGTGATGCTAGAGTATAGGGTAGGCACTCACTAGCCTGGTTCTACCTATTCACTGGCTACAGTGGGGGGAGAGTTTCATGTAATTTCCCCACACACGCTAAGACGCGCTTTTTCGTGTTCATACCAAGTCAGCCCTTTCAACTTTACAATACAATTACACAGCCGAAATGCCTCCCCGGCGTCCAGAAAAGAGCTCTGGCGCTCACAAGCGAGGGAGAATTATGCAAATAGTTAGATAAGGCTACATTGCCAAGCAGGTTGTGCAGAAAGAGCGAGTTGACCCGCTCACCGCGTACGGCATTACATCGCGCTATGGTGTGTAATCAAAAAGTGAGGTCAATCTCGAGACCGGTCTGGCTGCCCACCTATGTTAATCACAAGCTTCTCGCCGCTCACGCCAGCCTTAAGAGTATCAAGCATGCTTTGTGCCCCCTTCAACCCTCCCTCAATGACACGAACCTTGGGTGCAGGCTCGATGCTCCCATCTTCGAGTGCTTTATATAACCAGGAGTCGAAAAGCCAACTTCCGATATCCTGTCGATCCTTGACGAACCTAAAACAGTTTGTAGAGAAAGTTTCTATCCCCTCCGGCCTTGGTTTGTCTGCTGGCCATGGCAATAGCGTGGCAACTCTGCCACCAGACGTAGAGTTAGCCGCGACTAGCGCCGCGGTGACCAAGTCGAAAGACGAGTCTTCGGACCGGGTATCGATGGCGCCGCGAATCTTCAATCCTGCGGCTTTGGCAGCTTGGCCTATGTGTTGTGCAGCCTCTGAGTCACGGTAATCCCATGCGTCCGTGGCACCAAGTTTCTTCAACCACGCGTGATGCTTTGGACTTGCTGTCGTATAGACGGTCCACCCCAACGCATGTGCAATCTGGATGGCCCCAACGCCAACCGCCGAAGCTCCGCCCCAGACCAGGATAGCACCTTGCTCGTTGTCGCGCTTCTCACGCATCGGCAGCTCGAGGTCTGCAAATAGGGCTATCGCGGCGGTGGCCATTGCAACTGGAAGCGTGGCGCCCTGCTGGAATGTTAGGCTCTTGGGCAGATGCGACGTCGCCGCCTCATTGAGGATCGTAAAAGTTTGCAATGCCGCTCCATCAATGTTCCCGAGAACCATTCCTAACGCAAATGCCATGACATGGTCGCCGGCTTTGAAGCGTGTTACACCTGGCCCAACAGACACGACAATGCCGGCAACATCACTGCCGAGCACGGCAGGGAATTTGTCGACAATGACGCCGAGGCTCTGTACTTTCCAATCGGAGGGATTTGCAGCGACAGCCTCATTGCGCACCAACAATTCTCCTGGACCAGGCGTGGGAATGGGGCGTTCTGAGATGGTGAGGCGTCCTTGCTTCTCAGGGAGAACGGCAGCGATATTAGGACCCAGGGTGTTGGCCATAACGAGGAATTAGCTAAAGGGGTAAAAAATGATGTTTAATCTTGAAGAATAATCGTGAGCTGGTTGATGAGCTTGGTTATAAGCGAGTAGAACTCTTGGGCAAATTAGGGACTGAGCGAGAAATATATAGTCATCGACTGCAGCCATGTTACCAATACGGAATCAGTATCTACGTTACTATGCTCTTAGAGCTTCAACAAGCCTTAATCAGACTCGGATCGGGCGGTGCGAAATGCCATTGTGTGATTTAAACTTGCCTCGTTCGGGGCGACTCGGCTAGACTTGGTATTAGTAATATCAATGATGATATGAACCCTCCAGTAGGTCCTACTTTAATTGGCTTAAAGCGGTTTTAAGGCAAGAATTCGCGGGACTAGCTTTGAAACGATGCTGTCAGCTTATGTAAAAAGGACACGGACGGAGATATGGGACTTTCTAAATCCAGGCTGCGATATGATAGGTGAGTTGCTGGAAGGGAGCAAGTATTCGCGCTTGCTGTCGTAATAGCGAAATACAATCAACCGAGGGAGTAAATCCATATAACCCAAGACTTCTACGATTTCCACCTCAAGGTTCTATGTAGAAGCATACGTTTCGTTAAATGATCAGGGATCTTTAATTTCGCAATATATATATAATAATGAAGAAGGGGAAAAACAAAGAGCTCTCATGTTTAGGCCCTATGTAAACGGCAATATCCATGGATACGCTTGGATAACACAGCGTAGCTTGTCATTGTAATGCAATAACCCAGAAGGATCAAGATCATTGTAGTTCCACATTGCCTTTATCAACTCTTCGACCATGCTCATGTGCTTTGATTTGGGTCGTTCCTGAGTTTGAAAAATAATATTGAGCATAATCCGCCGTTGTTCATCCGTTCGAATTTCGCCAGCAACAATAAATAATGGCCAGGGTAGGTCGCATATCTTCAACTGATCAAGAATTTTCACAGCCTGTGCTACTAACCATTGATGAGATCCCTCAGTCCCGAGGTAGCCATTGACAGAACGGTTCACCCACAATAGTGCAGCGAGACAATGCAGCATCGTGATAGCATGCATCCACGACGAGGTTCCCGAAACGAAGCCTGACTTGGGTATTCCTGCGAGCTTTGTACGGAGCTGACATTCTAGTCCTAGAAAGTCTGCTGGCTGTGATGGGGCCAACCCGCCTTTCCCATTGGTTAGATCAAAAACTTTGGAGATAACCTCTAGAATGTGTGGATCACAACCCGTCGCATCCATTTCCTACAACAAAGCGCGATTAGCAAAGGACCCTGGTAGAATTTGAACCTACTCACAACATTGTTCTCATCTTCAAGGTGCGTCCGGAAAGAACTAGAAACCCTATCGTGGCAAAATGGTGTGAGCCCACCGTCTTTTGGCCAGTATAGTTGCCCAAACTTGACCATTGTCTCGTGATAGGTAATCCAGTCCAGTATGGCTTTGTAACTTTTTGAAAAAGGACTACATCTTGTAGATAACCGAAGAACTTGCTTAACGCCGCCTAGATAGGTTGACCAAGCCTTGGGAGAAGACATATGGAGTGTCTGTACGCATGGTGATTAGCAACAACGGGCCAGTACTGCATCTCTAGGCTAGGGATTCCGACTAACTTCGTATATATATAGAAGCATACTGGCAGCTAGGTTGCCTATCACAGTCGAACCCGATCCTTCAGCATTCAATGATGCCTTGGTCATAGCAATTGCCTTGGTTTTAAATTTGATAGCTCTTTCCTCGCCCGAGACATGCAAGGCCGATATTGCCAGGAGGCCGTTGAGGACTGCGGCAGAAGATGGAGAAGAGTCGGCAAGCCCAATTTGTAGGAGCAACTGTGCCAGAGATCCCAAGGGATTCAGGAAGAAACTTGCCGCATTTTGCAAATCTGACAGTTTAGTACGACATTTATATCCGCAGACCTGGAGTAACATACAATAATGGAGCAGACTTGTGTCTTTCTCGTCTACTAGTAACAAAGGGATGGATTTCGGTATCTGGTTCTGGGGTACTGTTTGTTTTATAATACCTATGCAAGTGTGTGGAACGTGGCAATTAGATAATATTAAATAAAATGCGATGTGAGAGGGCATCGAGGTGCCAACTTACGAATACTACTTGAAGACATGGCGTTGTAGTAAGCAGCAACATGCCATTCTTGCATATTGATGAAAAAAACTTGAATTAGAAACGTTCACCTGTGGCGCATTGCAGTTGTCCCATGACCCGAGATCAGGGGCCAGCAAGGCCCTTTTCCGGTCACCGACTTTGGGCCAGGATAGACGGAGACCGTAACCCTGGCATTGCAGTTTTGCTGTTGCACAGTTGGCGCAAGCAGGGGCCTGGCGATCGCATCGGATTCGGCGGCCTATCGTGGTCAAAACCCTGCTTAGCCAAGATTGTTTTAGAATCCACCAGTTGCATAGCATACCTCTGCAATTCCCGCATGACCTGCTTGCTCTGCTTTTCTGCAGCTCTTCCATGTTGGACATTTGCTCTGGCTTTCATGGATGTGTTGAGGTTAGTTGGGGAGTCAGATAATGCTGCTAAGATAATTACAACCGAGCAATTACTAATCCAAGCTCCGTGCGCTCCTCTGGCTACGTACTCGCCAATCCCTGCCAAGGTTAATCTCCAATGCTTACATTAGCGAGAATTTGCTAGACCTGTGCCATAATATTTTCTTCTCTTACATCAGTAACTGTCGTCGATAGCCTTTATGGACGCCCCTTCTGAATCGGAACTTCCGTGACTGGTGCACACCTAGATTCATCTCATTCCTGGTGCAACCTGATTCACAATGCACTGTAGCCTGTGTTGCCTAATATCTCCTTGTCTTGTGAAGCCGCCGTCACAGCGATAGGTTGAATTGGGTTTAATGGCCCCGCCTTGCGCTATTGATCGCCAAGTCAAATGACCAAATCAGAGAACGTAGGCAGCCAGACATTCGAAGCACTGCCCGGCCTGGGCTCGTGGTTGGTTGTACGTTTACAGCGTAGTTGACCAACATGCATTTATCAGGGGTGCAAGAAGCGGAAAGCTTAGGAAGGGCCCGTCGGTTGTGTCGACAGAAATTCCGATTATCATCCAGTCGCCGCAGGATTGCCAGACCACTTGGGACGGGGTGGTGTAACGCTGGTTCGGGTTGTTGGTGTGGCCCCCATAAAGCTCGAGCAGTCACACATGGAGATTGATGCCTTCCGTGCCTATTCTAGAATAATCTTAGATAGGAAATTGACTTGATTGATGATGATCGATAAACTTGATCACATTTTAAGCACCAGGACTCCCCACGAAATCATCCAAACTCTATATAAGTAAGATAGTGAATTTGATATATCTACCTAGCAATACTCTTCAAGAAGGCTTAGGTCAAGTCACCAACACCATCCTCCAGCTCCGAAAACCAAAAGGGGTGCGCCCCAGTCCATGTGTTCATAAGGTCATCAAAGGCCATGGATTGGTAGTCTGGATGGAGTGCCGAGATAGTTTCGGTATCAGGCTGCCTTGATGAATCTCGGTCGTCTCTGGTGTTGGTACTCGCGTCCTATGTCAAATTGTCAGTCGAACCAACTCTCACTCGTTAATGGAAAAGCAGGATTAAGCGCACCGCCAGGTAATTGTAGCTTAGCCCCGATATGCTGAGAGTTGCTTCGCCTACCAGGGTGTGATTGGGGGCTTGAGTATGATTTGTCATAACAGGTGAACCCGGTCTTGTAGGTTGGCTCATCCAAGCTTCCCAAGCTTTACGGCCTTGGGCCCTTGTCGTTTGCCCATTTGGTTGTGTACCTTCCGTGGGGGCTCTGATACGCGGCTTTAAGTAAGGTTTAAACCCATTCACGATGCCCTCCAAAGAGGAGTTGGCTGTTTCACTTCCCTTACTGAGCTGCTGGAGAAGAAGGACCCCCTGGATGATGATTTCCTTCATTTCTGGTCCTGGTGGCTCTAACTTCGCAGCAAGGAGAAGAACGCACAATGCAGCCGTACAGTATAGAGGATCCTGAAAAGCATATTGGCATAAGAGGCCTCTCTCTTCCAGCCCCGCGAGTAACCGGATCGTAGATACAGCAGCCGATATGCATTGTCGAGCGGCATCAAGCAGAAAATTAGTCTTCATTGAGTGTTTGGAGTTTGGTTTAAAGCCCACAGTAGCCGCCACGTGGCTAAGCGAGGTTCTAGTCATTAGCATGACGGCGTGTTGCTGAGTTAAATGCAAATGGACAGTTCCACGTGTGGAAGTGGGACTGAGTTTGAGTTTCGGGGGCAGGTCCGATTTCCATTGTTCAAGCGCCTCTTGGAGCTCAATAAAAGACTCCATATTAATTACCTGTCCTTTTCCTGGGGAACTAGCCGTAGAAGGGTATATTCTCTTCACGATGCGGTCGATAATGCGGCATATTTTGATCAATGCAATTTGTCCGCGGACGGACCCCGTCGGCTGTTCAAGTCGGAGCTCGGGAAGATCTTCTGGGAACGGCGTATCGCAGTCGTTGTCATCGAGCATTTTGGGACGGCCCATCCAGTGTCCGAACAAGCAGTCGAGTGTCATAACGCTCCACCAAAGCCTGTTGCGCAATTCTCTTACGTGAGGATGCAGTACACCCTCACCGGCTGCTTGGTGAAGCCCCATGTTGACGCACATGCGAACTGCCAGGCCCCACATGTTGTATGCAATGTCGTGCGCACTCGTCGTTATCAAAAACACCCCCTGCAAGGCACAGGCTTGAATGCTAGTCATAGAGCATGAACACACCACGTCGGCAAGCAAGCGTCTGGAGACCTGGTAAAATCTCCAGCCGGGGTTTCGTTTGATTGCTGGTACTTTGATCCCGGATATGTCGAACCTATCATCGTTGGAGAGTTCTGGCCCAGGCAGATCTGGCGGTGGGCGATCTTGATCGAGATCAGCATATTGGCTGCCAAGGGCAAGCACCATAAACAGAGAGCAAATGAACTCGGCGGGCCGTTTCCCCGGACTTCGATTTTGTGGGTCGAACTCGTGAGTTCCATTGAGAAAAGCGTCCTGCTTTCTGGAGAAAATCTCTGGGTGAACCCAGAAGAAGTTGCTTTGGGAGTAGCGAAAGAATGTTGACGTGAGGAAATCGAGGACTTCACGAGGTGGAATCGCGGCCAATAGGCTTGTTCTTAAATCGTTGAAGAGAACCTCCGGTGATTCGATCATGAAATGCTTGTATGCCTAGGTTTCATCGTCAGTGTTTTCATACCTGCATATCAATATCCCCAGACTCACCGTCGTAGCCTCTCCTCCAGGTTGATGAGATGTTTGATCTCGTGCCACGGTCTCGTGAACACTATCGAAGAATGCCCACGCTGAGAATCCTCCATTGAAAACTGTGATTTAACAAGCAACTTGTGTCAGCACCAACCAACATAAGGGCTGATTTTGCTGGCCATGACAACGTACATGTTTTGCCTTGATCATGGACGTGGGTTTGTGATTTCGGAACATGACCTACGACCACGCTTGAACCATCCGAATCTTCTTGCTCATTTTGTACCTCTTTCGTCGGCTCTTCGGGTCTAGATCGTTGAGGAGTTGTACTCAAGCTGCGAGCAGAAGGCCCCAGATGTTGTGGGCCAATGAGGTTCGGCCTGTTTGTCTGGCGCGAGCTGTACATATGCTCAACGTACAAACGTAGAGCGTCGAGGTCATCTGGAACTGAGATTCCATACTTTTTCAAGATAGCCTCGAGGAGTTGCTCTCGTTCAGATGGTCGTAGAGTCCCGCCAGCACCGCCCGGAGTCGTGTCAGCAAAATGGCACGCTGTGCTTGTTTTCTGGCATCGTTGGCAAGGGCGCTGGTTGTCACATTTGAGCTTGTTTGATCGGCACGGCAAGCATCTGTTGAACCTTGTCAGTACATCGGATTCGAGAAATAGATGCCGAAATAACCTACGCGGCCTTGACACGCCTGCGCTCCACATCCGGGACGATTGGCCTCCGACGTTTACGAGGCTGTGGGAGTTTGCCAGGGGGCAATGCTGTATCCGCGCTCTCTGCCATGTCTGCCTTGTGACTCGGTCCGTGTAGGCCTGGTAAGCCAACATGTTAAATATGAGAAGGATGTTCGGCGTCGTTTCGGAACGCGTGCCGATGGATCAGGTGGAGTCATCACGAGTCGTTGGGTGACCACAATTGCAGTGCAATTGACCAATCATGTCCATGGTGCAGATAGGATTTAGTTCGAAGAGGAATGTAAGTGAGGGCAGGCTAACAGGGATCATGATAGAAGATATACCTCACTTCATCAATGTGAATTCAAACGGACATGGCATATTTGCCAAAGAGAAGGCTGGCTATTGCTTTATATTTCTATTGCTCTCTCGGACAAAACTCATAGTAAAGCGAATTCTAACAAAGGACTCGACCCAATTTCATGTTTTCTTTGATCAAAGCTCACAAGTGCCTACCTAGCGTGTAATGTACAAACTTCTACCAAGGATCCTTTCCAATTGTCACGGGAAGCCTATCCAGCTTGCTGAACGCGACATATCCATCCTTGACCACGGCAAGCAGGTTAGACTTGTCATCTAGCACAGTGATATCTTCTAGGGGATTCCGCTCCAGCACGATCAAGTCTGCGAGGAATCCTTCCTTGATCTGGCCAATCTGGTCCTCCATGCGCAACATCTTTGCACAATTGATTGTAGCGCTTCTGAAAATTTCCAGAGCCGATTGAACCTCGGACCTCAGAGTGAACTCACGACGCTGAAATTTGTGCATCCCAGCGAGCAGGTCAGACCCATAGGACAACGTCACTCCGGCCTCGGACGCGATCTTGATCGCCTCAAGTCCAGAGCCGAGGACCTCTAGATTCTTCTTCGCACAGCTCTCGTTGAGGAATTGGTCGTATGGGGGTGTTCGGAGCGCATCATACGTCACAAGGGTAGGTGTGAGGAAAATGCCCTTCTTAGCCATCTCCAGCGCGAGTTCGCGGTCGATGAAATTACCATGCTCGATCCCAAGCACTCCGTTGTCAATCATATGTCGCATGGCACGAATTGTATAGGCATGAGCGGTGACATAAGTGTCGAAACTTGCTGCTGTCCTGGTCATTGCTTGGATCTCTTCAGACAGGAATTGCGGATGGCCCAGGTTGTTGAGCCGACTGGCAACACCGCCACCACCCATGATCTTGATAAAATCGGCTCCTTTGCGGATTTCATCCCGCACAGCGACCGAACACTCTGTTGGTCCATCGCAGATGCGGCCTATGCCAGACCGATGCCCAGCGCAGCACTTCAGCGTCGGGTCCTCGTCGTTGAAGAATGGACGCTGATCCCCATGCCCTCCAGTCTGAGAGAGAGCATGCCCAGCGATGAGAAGTCTTGGGCCTGGAATCAACCATTCTCTTATAGCATCCTTCAATGAGCTGTCAGCGCCGCCACAGTCGCGCGCGGTGGTGAAACCCCGTTGCAGCATTTCCTTGACCAGAAATGTAGTGCGAAAGTTGTTCATAGACGCTGGGGTGTTTTTGTACGTATTCTTGAGATCAGACTCTCCCGGAGTCGCAGTGACATGAACATGGCCATCAATCAGTCCAGGGCAAACATACTTCCCTTGGACGTCGATGATAGTGGCATTGCCAGTTGTATCCCTGCTCTCCGCACCAAACGATACACTGTCGAATTGGCCATTGACAATGGTAATTTGGCCCCCCTCTGTAACTTTCCCCTCGACTGGATCAATCAATTTGGCATTGATTATCTTGTACGACTGGTGAGGGGGGAGAGCCCAAGGCTTGTCGCCCACAATGCTTCCACCAGGGGGAGTGGCTTGGGCTGGGATTTGGGTCATGGCTGAAACTGGGGTACAAACGAAAGAATGAGTGTAAGGACTAATAAAATTGATTCGAAATGAAAGAAGCCACAGCCGAGAGGATATTTAAGTTTACCGCAAGGGGCATATGTCGGTTATGCTACTCCTACCTTTGGCACTCGATCCGAAGGCCTTCCTTATCGCTCGCGGGGTTGCGGGGGCTTTCGGCTCCGGTGCCGAAACTGTGAGGAGGGGTTTGCTGGCAGACGCCAACACATTTCCACGCAACTCTATCTTTCCAAAGGTTTGGGCTCGAACAACTCTGTAAAGGGAGGGGCTCAAGGGTATAAATCCATGCCCCTACCTCCTATGGCGGCTGTGTCAGTGATGCAAGCATCTTCCCGTCATCCACTTCCACGTCTACCCACGCCACATCGCCCATGACAACGTCCAAAGCAATGTCTATTGAAAAAAAGGCCATGCCCGAGTCCGAGGCTCGAAATGCTCCAAGCATCAAAAATCTAGATATGGAGCCCCATCTTGACTTCACTGAAGAAGAGGAGAAGAAAGTAGTTCGGAAGATTGACCGCGTTGTCCTCGCGATGATGTGCATTGTGCAATTTTTCCAATGTGAGTATCTGCCCAAACCAATCTCAGGGCTTCCCTCGCTAACCGGCTCAGATTTGGACAAGCAGTCGATTGGATACGCTGCCGTTTTTAACCTTTCTAGCGATCTTGGAATGGATAGCAAGCAATACTCCTGGGCAGTCAGCTCCTTCTACTGTGGACAATTCATCGCCGAATACATATTCATCTACCTGATGAGCCGCTTGCCCATTGTTCGTTTTGTCGGACTCTCTCTGTAAGAACGACACCCTTTATGTTCTCTCAAGGCTAGATCATCTCCTAACAAACATGTGGCAGCATCGTGTGGGGTCTTCTTGCTGGAACCTTGGCTGCGCCAAACAATTTTGGAGGATTTACCGCAGTTCGAACCTTGCTCGGATTCGCTGAAGGAGCTGTCACGCCTGCATTTGTTATCATAACCAGCATGTGGTACAAAAAGTCAGAACACGCAATCCGAACAGCGTAGGCAGCCCACCAAGATACCCAAGTACAATAATCCAATGCTAATAACCATCCAGGGGCTGGTGCAGTTTCAACGGTGTTGCTCAGATTCTCGGAGCGCTGGCCATGTACGGCGTCGGACTCGCAGACGATATTGCGATTGCGAACTGGCGGCTTATGTTCCTTCTCTGCGGTTCCGGTACCCTCGTTGCGGCCGCACTCTTCCTTTGGTTGATGCCTGTAGGGCCCGACACTGCCTGGTTCCTCAACGACCGGGAGCGTCACATTGCAGTCCAAAGACTCTCCGCCGAGCGCTTGTCGAAGGAACAAACATCTTTCAGCTGGCCTCAAATCTGGGAATTCGTCAAGGACCACCGAGCTTGGCTATTGGTATTGGCTGCTTTCTTTAACACTCTGGCTTCGCCTGTTATCAAGGTCGGTTGATCCTACATCCAAATTCCGTATTACGGAGGCTAAAAACCATCCTTTAGTTCGCAACACTTGTCATCAACGGCTTCGGGTGGTCGAAGTTGAACACAATGCTTGTCAGCCTACCAGCTGGCGTGATTCAGATCATTTGGATCTGGGTGGTTGTTCTTGGCATTCGCTATACGAAAATCCCTCGATCATTCTGGGGCATCATCGCTACGATCCCACCCCTCGTAGGAAACATTGGCGTTGCTGCGCTGCCGTCGTCTTCCAAATGGGGGGTGGTCGTGTGTACATGGCTAGCAACTGTTCTCTCACCTTTCATGGTCGTTATTCTGAGTTTGATCGCTTCTAACATTAAGGGCAACACGAAGAAATCGGCAGCTAGCAACGGATATTTCATTTTCTATGCCGCGGCGGCAATTGCTGGCCCGCAACTTTGGACAAAGGGACCTCGCTATACGGATGGTATCATCGCGGATATTGTCTCCATCGGTTGCAACATTGTTATCTGTGTTCTGTTTTGGCTTTCTGGAACACTTGAGAATCGGAAAAGAGATAAGCTCAACATCTCTGCTGACCAGCCCGGAGATGCGGATGTGACGGATCGACAAGATATGAGCTTCCGATATACTGTGTAACTATTTCACTGGCGGGAAGGATTCATTGTCTAACAGTTGCCTCATAGACTTTGGTAAGCCTAGCCACACTCATAACTCACTGCTAGTTTATATACAGATTCTTAACCTGCCTTTTGTTATGACCTTGCAAGATACCCTGATAGGAAATACACACGTTAAGGAACCATGTATTATATTTCATTGCACTTCTAGACCCCCAAAAGGGTAGTTCATCTACAAGTTTATTCTCTTAGGCATAAGATTTCTTTATTTGCGATATTTTTAGAATGAAACGCCTGAGCTTTCCAGCCCGTATCAGCTTGATTGATTCGCGATGCTAGGGAAGATTAAAATGTTTAAATATAACCTACCTTTTTATATTTGCAATGCGCTTATCGCCTCATTGAAAGGACAGGATATTGTCCCTGAGTCAAGCTGGACGTTGACTTCGACAATAGTAGATCATGCTTCTCTTCCTTGATACCAGAACCCAGGTGGGTCGTTTCATGATTAAACCATGTATTTAGTTGGGGAAAAATATGATTGCATTTAGCCGTTTCAGGTTGAGATGGGATAGCATTATTTTGTTTGCATTTATTTCGGGTAGGAGAGCGAATTGGAACACTTCTCAACACCCATCTAGACGATCATTTCTAGCCCGATACCCAAGACTCCCTTCATGCTTAATATCGATCGGCCCAGTTAGGCTATGAATCGGGAACGGGGGTATCCGGCATTTAGTAATTCTTAGGCAAGAAGTGCACTACCCGCAAACGCTCGGGTATGGATAACCTCACGAGCCCCCACCCGGATGGCCAAGGCTAAATTTCCAGCAATCTTGTTGCAGGAATCTAACGACCAAAGATGTGAGCTATCCGGCCGGAGCTCATCCGAAACCGAGATATACTCCCGCCCAAAATGTGCGCTGCCGATTATCGGAAATCCGCCATACAATCTTCACGACATCGCCATCAATCGAATACCGCGTTGGGAAACGAAAAAGAAGAAAAGAATACTATCACAATGACGACGCAAACACTGGACTTACCTTGTGGCGACAAGGTCCCTATGGTAGGAAAATCAATTGGGCCACATGCTCGAAATATCTGACCGGTTCCAGCTAACCTATGGCACCGGGACTGTTTGGATGAAGAGCGCAGAAGACGATGTCGACAGGGCGACGGTGGACGCAATAAAGGAGGCAATCGATCTGGGTTATCGCCACCTTGATGGCGCGCAGTGTATTACGCCGATCTCTCCGTCTCCTCATTGCCGCAAGTCAACTAACGCAGTGGAACAAGATTACGAGACTGAACCGGAGCTTGGGCTTGCCATTGAGGAGTCCAAGGTCCCACGAGCCGAATTCTTTATCACCACGAAGGCTGTTTCGCCGATCGATGTTGAAGGGGCGCTCGTAACGAGCCTCAAAAAACTGAGAATGGAATATGTCGACTTGTATACTTCACCCACCAACATTGATACCCTGGTGGAATGGCTTACTTATGCATGACTTAGGTATCTGATCCACGAGCCATTTTCTTCGGGTGGCAGCGAAGAGATCCTCCAAGAGGCGTGGAGAGGCATGGAGAGGTGCCGTGAGAAAGGGCTGGCTCGTTCCATTGGCGTTTCGAACTTCTTGATACCTCATCTGGAAAGTATCCTCAAGATTGCCAATGTGAAGCCAGCTGTCAATCAGATCGAATGCCACCCATACCTCCAACGCACCGAGCTTCGCGAATTTCTGAAGAAGCAGTGCATCATGACTGAAGCCTTTGCTCCCTTGACTCCGATCACCAAGGCCAGTCCTGGTCCTATCGATGCGATGTGTGGCGACCTGGCTAAAAAGTACTCGGTCTCAACCTCTGCCATTCTTCTCAGATGGATCATTGACCAAGGAATCGTCGTGATAACGACGAGCGGCCAACGGAAGAGATTGCTGGAATATCTTGAACAATTATCTAGGTTTAAACTCTCGAACGAGGAAATATTTCAGATCAGCCAATTGGGTAGGGAAAGGAACTACAGGGCATTTTTTGTGGATGGGTTTGGGAAAGACTGTTTTCTCTGACTTAGGTAGTCTACGTCAGGAACAAATAGTTTATACCGGTCAAATTTGAAACAAAAAAACAAAAGTCTAAGCATCTAGCATTTGACACTCCGATGAACGGCGAACTTGTCACCTTGCACACAAAACGCTTGCTTTAGCCTTACCCTATACTTGTACTACCTCGTGAGGACTCAGCGTTCAGTGGCTTTCAACGTGCATTAGTCAACAGCCAGAGGTGCATCAAAGCAGAATTAATTTTATGAAGATCGATTTAATTATTCACTTGTTCCATAAGGATACTTGCCTAGAATGAGGAAATTAAAGAGCCGAGGTCCTGAGTGTTCTCCTTTATCGGAGCAGCCGAGCAGCCGCGCAGCCAATGACCCATGAGAGATTGTGCTCCATTTATGATAAGAGTAATCTAATTAGGTATAACGCGCTCATATACGTACTCATGCTTAGTCAATGGCTGTTCAACCTTGACGCAAAAGTGAAGCTATCGAGAAGCCCTAATCCGGAAAGCTTCAATTGTCTCAAGCGGATGTGTGATCTCGTCGACCACGTCAAATGAATCAAATAGTAAGAAATGATTTATGAGAAGGTGGGATTTTTCTCTACTCGCAGAACTAGAGTAAGGTAGTTTAATATACGTTCTGACCCGATCTATGTGCCCCCATGCATGCTGTGTGATGGCTGACCGAGCTTTTGCGTTGACAATTATGAACCTGTGAGGGATAATGCATTGTAATTAACCTGAATATTTTGTATTTGGTTTGAACTGAGATAATAATCGATGTCATGTTTTTATTTGACTTGTGGAGTACTTGAATTGCAGGGCATCGGGAGCGGTTAGTGACCGCAACTGTTATTTAGATTGTGCAGACCTATTTTATGGCTATTCTTGATTCATTATAACAATCTTGATGTCTTTGCGGCTATGCTGTGCTTCAAAAGCCTCTCCACATTTCGTCAAAGGGTAGGTTGAAGTGATTAAGGGCTTCAAGTCTACCTTTTTGCGGCTGAGCAGATCTATTGCATCCGCAAAGCAACCTGGAGTATATCTGACCGTACCTAATGAAAAGATCAGTCAAACCAAACTCGAGATAGATAATATTGGGCAACTTACCTTTGAGATTTAATTCCTTTGCTGTCAATAAAAATAAGGGGATTGAAGTCAAGGGTTTGCCCAAACCTGCTTGAATGCCTGTGACAAAATTAGCTGCTATTTCTAAGCACCGTTGAAAGCCTGGAAGACAACTCACATGTTCCGCCGTTCTTTAGTAGGCAAATCGCCATTTGAGCACACACCTCTGCACCGCTGGCCTCGACACTCACGTCAAAGCCAGAACCCAAACCCAAATCCTTGATCAGGTTGGCAGAGTAATCTTGCGCAAAAGCCAGGGGCTCCACCGACTCTTCCCGCCTCGGAGGGACAATGCCAGCATCAGCGCCATATTTGATTGCAAAGTCTACTCGTGATTGTTCAATGTCGAACATGACAACTTTTCTCACGCCGTATGCTTTCGCAACGGCCAAGATTAGTAGTCCCAGAGGTCCACAACCACTACAGGTTTGTCAGCAACTCCATCGCCTATTGGCCACCAATATCAGCTCTTACAAGATGGCAAGCGTTTGGTGCGAGTTAAGAGATGCTCGTCGAGCAAGCTGTACGGCGATTGCCAGGGGCTGTATTGCGCCAGCTTCCTCCCATGACACATTCTCGGGGATCGGTACGGTCATTGAGGATCGGCAGGTAAAGTATTGGCACAGTGTTCCGTCGGTTGGATCGAGCCCGCAGTATTTGAGGTTTGCGCAGATATTGGGGTTTCCTTTGACACAGAACTCGCAGCTGAAAGTAAGGTTTAGTCTCCGGCCACAGTATGCTTTTCGATGGGTTGTTCAAATGATTGATCATAACTCACGTCATGCAAGCGAAACCTGGTTCAATAGCCACTCGCTGGCCGACGACTCGGTCGGTAACAGCCTTGCCGACTTCTTTGATTATGCCAGAAGACTCGTGCCCAAGGACCAACTGTCTTGACACTTTGTCGCTCTCCCAATTGTGGCAGTCGGAGCCGCAGATTCCTGTCGAGATAACTTGGACAAGGACATCGTTGTCACCAACTGGTTCAATGGGCCTTTCTTGTACTTCGACCGTTTTCGCTGCAACCCAAACGCAAGCTCGGTTGGAGGTTTCCATCGTGCTTGGTTAGCTTGGTGGTTGTAAATAAAAGAAATAGCGAGAGCGAGGAGGTGTATTATGATATCTGCTTAGGCAAGGGCGGCGGGTGTTGTTAAAAGATCGGGATCTGGTGGTCTGAGCAGAAGGCGACGGCCGTGTCTGCATGAATGGGCTTGATATACCTAGGTCTCGAATGCAGAAGACAATCCTGCCTTGGTGGAAGCAAAGCAGGCCGTGTCAAGGGCTTGCCGTGACATTCGGTTCGGAGCCCGGCCCGCGGTACCCCGGCAGCTCCACCATACCGATAGCGTAGGACATGACTCCGCTTCCCCAGATAACGAATCCTTTCTGATTACTCTAGCATTCATGTGTCTTTGCATGATTTAGCTAAGAGTAGGCGACTTTTACATAAATAGGTCTCTTGGGGACCTTTACTATCTGCCATCTATCATCAACTCAATCGTGTTGAGAGTTTCAAGACCTGTCAGCGACACTATCTTGGCTGTCACTTGCGAAACTCGATTAATCTTCAAGTCCTCTCGTCTTCTTCCCTAGGTAAGCTTTCTGGTAGCTAGGAGGCCTATGATCACGGAGATGAGCACAAGTCTGACAGACGACAGGATTCTGATAAAATGGATAAAGAAAAGATAGCAAACAACGACCTCGTCGAAGTCACCACCATCCGATCTGCCACAATGGCTGAGACATGGGGCCCAGACGAAGAGAAGGCCCTCGTGCGCAAGATGGACATTCGAATCTTCCCAGTCATGATTCTCCTGTTCATTCTCAACTTCATAGATAGAAACAACTTTGCCAACGCTCGCCTCAGAGGTTTGGAGAAGGATCTGAACCTCACCGACGTTGAATACCAGACCTGCATCTCCATTTTGCTTGTTGGATATGTCAGCATGCAGATCCCTTCCAACATGATCCTCAACAAGTTGACCAAACCCAGCTGGTAGGCCTTCCTTGAATCGCCATGCTGTTACGCCTTTTGTTAATCGTTCGCAATAGGTATTTATGTGGTTGCGTGGCCACGTGGGGCGTTATTTCTGCTGCCACTGCAGCAGTTCACAATGCGACGGGTGCCATCCTTTGCCGATTTATCCTTGGCTGCGTCGAAGCTTCGTTTTTCCCTGGGTCCATATACTTCTTGTCTCGTTGGTATACAAGGAAAGAGATGCAGCTGCGGGTGACCATCCTGAATCTTGGTAACTTGGCAGCACAGGCCTTTGGAGGCCTCATTGCTGCTGGCATTCTGGCCAATATGGAGGACAAGGCTGGTATCCGTGCTTGGAGATGGCTCTTTATCATTGAAGGTGCTTTGACTGTTGCTCTCGGCATTGGTGCGGTATTCATTCTGCCAGATTACCCACACACGACATCTTGGATCACCGAAAGAGAGAGATTTATCGCAGAGAGAAGGCTAACCCTTGACATTGGTGAATCTGATGAAACAGAAGATAAGAGCGCGTTCCAGGGCCTCAAGCTTGCTCTGGTTGACCCCAAGGTCTGGCTCCTTGGAATCACCTACCATGCCACCATTATGGGTCTTTCGGTAAGCTTTTAAACCACCCAATAACGTCGGCAACGTGTGTCTAACTGCTAGAGTTCAGTTTGTTTTCTTCTTCCCCACAATCACCCAAGCACTGGGCTATGGCACCACTACAACTCTCCTTCTTACTGCACCTCCCTGGATCTGGGCCTGCTTGGTTTCTCTGCCGAATGCCTGGCACGCGGATAGGACGGGAGATCGGTTCTTCCACTACTTTGGGCCAGCGGTGCTTTGTATCATTGGCTATATTATTTCGATGACAACCAAGACTACGGGCCCGCGATATTTTTCCATGTTTCTAATGACTAGTGAGTATCCCACGTCAGATGCTGCTGGATCTTGAGTGCTAACTCCTCGGGGTAGCTGGGTTTGCGTCTGGCTTCGTCATGCTCGCGTGGATCTCCAACACAATCCCACGTCCGGCTGCAAAGAAGGCCGCCGCCATCGCCCTCGTCAACGCCATGGGTAACATTGGCAGCATCCCTGGCTCATACATCTGGCCTGCCAAGTTCGGTCCTCTCTACGTTCAGTCCTTTGGTGCAGAAATCGGCATCCTGGGCCTCGCATGCTGCAGCGCCTTCCTCTTGCGAACTCATCTGAAGAGGCTCAACAAGAAGCTTGAGGCGGAGGAGGCGAATATGGCTACGTCGGCTGTTACTGGGGAAGCTTCTGAGAAATCTCCGAGTGATGACCTTAGGCCTGCCAAGAACTTTAGGTACTTGTACTAAGGAGTATGCTAATTCGCGGTCGAGAATTAGTAGGAAGGGAATGAGTGGAAGCTGGGCCTCATTTAATTCATCCAATTCAGCTGGAATAGTCACTTTTCTATATTATAATTTGTTGTGCCCCATTTGATTCACCTTTGATTCAAACTAAACCTAGCATAGCAGCATGTAATTTGTTGAAAATAAACATATGTCCGTTAGGTTTCAAACAAGAGCACTTTTACCCCTTAACTGGTCGCTAGGAAGAAAATATATGAAAGCGGTCTGGGGCGGGGAGAAACAAGTGAATGCTTGTTCGGCCTAGAGTATTGAGGTAGTTTGCCCCTGAATGAAAGGTACCAGAGGAGAATGGAACTATTTGAATGCAGAGGATATGATTAGTTAGTGCTAGCCTATTGACGTCCATGAACGGCGACCGACTTTGCTAGCACACCATTCTTGACCTAAAAACCCAAAATAGTAGGTGGAAGGGTTGGGCTCTGGATCTCTTGTAGAATTATCTGTCTAGTTGTATTCTAGCTGTTGTCCATTCCCATTGAAATGATCAACTGAGGCCTCATTCTCCACTCCATCCTTTTTGGAATCCTTGATACCATTGGTTTCACCACTGCTGGCCTTTATGGGGTGTGAAGTTAGTTGACCAAGTGTGGTCATCGCAGTTCCCATCCAAGCTGTGATGGCCACGATGTCTGCTCCGCAGTTGACAAAGTGGAAGCCCTGATCATACTTTTGCGCCGCTGCAGATTAATCTTGAGTCAGCCATGCTTGATTCCTGCTGCAGAATCGATATCGCTGAGATTATGGGACTTACCAATCTCTGGGCTGAGAGCAAAGTGTCCGACGTATTTCCCTGCGTCGAGACCTGCCTTGAGGATTCGCTTTGTTGCCTCCTGGACTTCTGGGATCGATGCGTGATCAAATGCGACATATCCCATCGAAGAAGCCAGATCGTTGGGGCCAACAAAAAGCATATCTGCAAAATTTTGGCGAGTATTAATGAGTGATTCACCGCGTATATGAGGCGGAACTGCTCTTCCTTACCGATCCCTTCAACACTGGCAATAGCTTCGACGTTCTCAACTGCCGTGCGGCTCTCTATTTGTACACATATCATTACATTCTCATTGGCAGTGAGTAAATATTCGCGACCGTTCTGGTTGAACGCGGCAGGGGCGAACATTGCACCGGCGCCTCGAACGCCGGCTGGCCATTTTGATGACGGGTACTTGCATGCCCTCACGATCGACTTGGCTTGTTCCTAGAGTATTGAGAGTTAGTGTACAGATGGCATAGATGGAAACATACTATCTCACGAAGATAGCCTACCTTTGTTTCACACATTGGGACCATGATGGCATGGGCGCCAGCATCGAGAACTCTCTTTATCATCCATGATTCACTCCCAGCTATTCTCACTATGGGAGACACTCCCGATGACGAGATGGCTCCCACCTGGAGATACATGTCATTGTCGTCGATGTTGCCATGCTCGCAATCGATGAGGACCCACTGGCATCCCCGTCAGCGAGCTGAGGAAGTGGTTTGGGATATTGGCCATCAACTCACATCTTCACCCAAGCTCGCCACCGTCTTGGCAAGCGTATAACCAGGGAACTCTAGCCACTGGCCGACACTTGGCCCTTGCCGGGCTTTGGCTCGCTCTAGTGACTCGCGTAGTCGGGTCTTGACGGGGGATTGGGCCATGTTTTGATCGGTAATTCAGGAGCGGCGAGATATTGGAGATGGGAGAATGCACAGTGGGAAAGATAGACGTTTGATGGCGCTCAAGACTTTTGACAAATCATGGTCGTTTCTTTCTGGCCATTTGTGCTGACTGTTCTCGAGTCAAGCTCCAAGATAACGTCGTACCGGCACGGATCTCGGCCCGGCTGAACCCTCCCAAGTTGTGGTTCCCCGCAGCTTTCTCACGTCCGTTATCCCCGGGAGGGTACATCCGCTATCTTCTATCAAGTGACAAGTGGATGGGAACCTGGAGCAATAGCGGACCATATCATTCTTTAATCTAGATCAATAGCGTGGCTCCGGAGAAGTATAGAGACTTGAGGTGAGGTGATGCTTCAAATCTGATGTAGTAGCTGGTTGACCCCATTTGTCGTCTTGACTTCCCGGCGATATGTTGAAATGAGTGAGACACCATCTATTCACTCGTCATTCACCTCGGCATGCCTACATCCGTTACGTCTCCGTTCGATAACACGCAGACTGATGGATTATAATTAGACGCCTATTTAGGGTGGTGTGGACCTGCATTGTGCATTATCCGATCTACATGCATGGAGGAGGACTCGGGAAAGGTTGAGACTCGAAGTTGTCCCGTTGGCCTCCAGGCAGGGGGCGATGTCCGGAAGCGGCTTCGAAGGAATCACGTGCACCCCCAAAACCAGGCCCAATCGCGGGGTTCGCCACATGGCTGGAGATTGACATTGATTTCCTGGGTTCAATGTTCTGATGGCTGGATTGAACACAAGCCATGTCACTCACTATGCCAGTTTCTCCAACAAGACCAATTTGATCTCCCCCAATCTTTGAGTTTTTGCAGCAATCTCTGCCCCATGGCCGATGGAAGCGGAGACGCGGCAGCTCCGAAACCGCCGCTGCCTGACGGGTTTGGCATGAGTAGAATCAGCCAAGCTTGTCTCGCATGCCGCAGGAAAAAAGTAACGAGCAACCCAAATTTTTCTCAGTTTCATCAATCATTCATTCTGTAAGCTGACCTAGAGACTAGGTAAAATGTGACGGACAAAGTCCGTGCCATAATTGCAGCTCAAGATGCTTGACCTGCGAGTATCCGAAAAGCAGTGATAACGCGTCCTCCAGTCGACAGTAAGTACTTGAGCCAACAAAATGTTCAATTCTTTCCCCACCATTTTCTAACAGACATGTCCAGGTACGCTAACTCTCTCGAAGCACGATGCCAACAACTCGACCAGTTCTGTGGCAGACTCGAGTCCCTGTCCATTGAACTGACAGAGTCCATCCTCGAGATTAAGCATCTCAGACACGCTCCTCCGGATGTGAACTTTCACATAGATGATGAGCTACAGCAAGCAGCACACGCCCTCCAATCTCTTCCAACGGTACACAGTGGTAGCATACCTACCATCAATGAGTTATCGATAGAAGTCAATGCCACGCCCGATGCTGGTGAATTAATCTCGGAACATGCACAAGACAACATAAACGACGCCAATGACGACCAGGACACATCGGATGACAGCATAGATGACGACGACTTTGGCTCATCGAAGGACAATGGTGAAATCAAAGGCATGCCTAGCAAATTTGGATCACTGGTGACGGACTCGTACGGGAAACTACGGTAAGACTTGCTGTTCCTCGATCGACAACACTTCCTCTCGGGAGAAAAACTGATAAAGCGCAAATAGGTACTTGGGTGGAGCGACAAATAACGTCTTGGTCGAGGCGGTCAAAGGACTCTCACCTGGTTCCCTCACTTCCATCCACAACTCATCCCCCGGATCGTCGAACCTTGGGCAAGGCGCATTCAACAATATCGAAACTGCTCCTCCAGAATTCGAGATTCCATTATTTGTTCGCGGTCAAAGATGGCAGGAACTTCCATATCTTCCACGAGCCGAAGACGTTCCTCGTCCTCCCAAATACGTTGCGGACCTCCTCGTAAATTTATACTTCGACCAGCTGCACTACACGTTTCCTGTTCTTTACAAACCACATTTCATGTCCTGCTACAGAGAAATGTCCTCGCCGCCCCCAGGTTCCAACGACAACGTGGATGCTAAGTTTTTGTCGGTTTTCTTTGCTGTCTGTGCTTGTGCCTCGACGCTTATCCCCCTAGATGGGAAATCAACGTCTTTTCCTGGCCTGGATTACTACCAGAAGTCATTGATCCTTTACTATGCGTCGACGGGGGAGGCTTCCGTTGAGAGAGTGCAGTGCATTGCCCTGTTGGCAATGTGCGCTGGAGGTTGGAATACGCTGACCCAAAGCTGGACATTTGCGGGACAGGCCGTCCGGGCGGCGCAGGACTTGGGTATGCATCTTAGCAGCCTAGTAAGTAATAAAAATCTCGTATGTTTCCACCTACCTGCCCTTCTCTAACTTGACAGACTGCAGTTTCTACCGAGCCGGCAGACTTGATAAAGCAGCAATTGTCGCGGAGGATCTGGTGGTCCGTTTACTGCCTCGATCGGTAAGTGGTGTCATGTGAATTGGTGTGTTGGCAAGTGGGCTATAATTGACTGTTTCATAAAGAGTCACATCCATATGTTTGGGCCGCCCGATGGCTGCCGACGACGCAGACTGCCATTGCGATCTCCCCATCGGCAAAAAGGATGAAGAGTTGGAGGCACATTTCCAGAATACTGAACCTTCTGTTGAAAGCCCGCCTATGACAACATCCTCTCCGATGACTGGCTTCCTAGCATTTATCCAGCTTTGTCGTATAGGGGGAAAGATCCAAAAACTTCATTCACCATCACGGATAAGAGAGCTCCAAGATCCTAAAAAGGCGAGAAAATTCCTCCGCTCCGTTGTTTCTCTCCAGAAAGCCTTGGACCGGTGGCTTGCAGGTCTGCCAGATGATATTCGCTTCTCTGCAAATGCTACCGAGCGGGGTCCTAATCTGACCATGTGTGTCATCATGTTTATTGTCCATGCTGGATCCCTATTGAATCTTTATAGGTGAGCCCGGCAAACATGCTAGTTGTTGAGCCTGTCAGATTGTTAATTGTCCCAACAGGTCGTTGTCGGGCAGTGCCGCACAAGCAACACTAGGTTCTCGTGGCGACGAAGCCATGTCTCATTGTGTCAGTGCGGCTCGAAGTTGTATCAACGCCGCGGAACTTGTTCGAGAGCTGGTTCCTCCATCGCATCATCTTGCTTTTTGCGTCCATTATCTGACTCTATCAGGTTTAATCTTGTGCGTTCCAGCATTGTCATTTCCAAACTTTGGTATAGTCAAATACTGACGTTTTCCGATCAGACTAAGAATACCGGAACATCCGAGAGAGAAATCCCAGGCCGATGTTGAGAAGTGCATCCGGTTTCTCAAAGGCCTGGAATCAACGTGCTCTGGAGCCAGCAAGGGACGGGCTATAATTGAACACCTGCTTAAGGAATCGTCTGCCCCAGACATGGATGGATCATTAGCTGACTTGCTGAATGATCCTAATACTTCGTGGAACCAACTACCAGGCTCGGAGTTGTTTAGCTATAGTTCTTTTAGTCCAGATTTTCTTAATTTGTAATGCCGCAATTCAAAGTACCTGCAACAATGCTCAGGCACACGAGTATACTACAAGAACAGCTTCTCATATGCAATACTTATCCTTCATCACAAAAACAGTGGGAATAGGATGAATACGAGACATGGGGGTCTTGTTTGTTGTAAATAATTATAACTATCTCTTTTGAAATATTACTACTTTGTTAAATCATCGTACTATTCCCATTCTTCAATAGCAAAGTAGAAGGGGATTGTATGAGTTGTTGATACCTAAGAGAAAGAGAATAAAGTTCAACAGCAATGGAAGCTGCCAGAGCCCGACAACTCAACACAATGAGTATGAGTTGTTGATAAATGTCCTTATGATATATCTACGTGTGTCTAGTTCTATATCGAATTTCTCTTATCATATAAACACTAGGAACTGGCATCTTTCATTGTTGTTTTTACTTTGTACTCGAACTTTCATCCGTAAATACTAGGAAGGTTCTTTCTATTATTTTTGCAACGATAAAAAATCAAGCAAAATGACATGAAATCATGTTTATAGCCTGCTACAGCATCCCTCGTTATCCTTGCGCGGGTGGTGAGCGATGCGAGTTTCGTCGTGCAGAACAGACTTGTTGATCGACTGGTTGGAGGCCGGTACGTCAAGCGCAGGGTTCTTGGTAAAGAATCCATCCGGTCGCAACGTGAAGCTGATTTTCTCAATGGGCATGACGGGGAAATCCTCAACGCGGGGGTTGTGGGTAAGACCGAAGGCTGTGAAATAACGTTAGCGAAAACGAGGATTAAATAGGGACGGTGGGGGAGCTGACTATGCCAGAAGACAACATCCTTATTAGTAACATCGTCGCGGCGGGCAGCCCATATCTCAACACCATCAGAGGCCTGACTCTGGTTGGTAAACTCTCCGGCAGCATAGAGCTCATCTTCCTGGTACGACGTGACCCAAACAGGTCTCGTGGAGAACCGCGCACGCTTCGAGTTGAAAGACTCCTCACCCATGAGCAACATCTGGCTGGCCACGGTAGCGACCTTCCAGGCAACAGGCTTCCCGGAGATGGGGTTGATGACATTATCGTTGCGGATCTTGTAGACACGGTTCTTGTTAACGTCCGTGTCGTAATCGCCAGCGTGACTGATGGTGGTTTCCTCGACGATGTAGCCAGCACCGTAAGGGTTCAGCTCCTCGCTATGAGGTAGCGCGACGCTCTCCTCGTAGAAGATGGTGTTGTCGTACCCGTCAATAGCAGGGTCTATCCGCAGGGAGAACATGTGCTGGTGGTTGGCTGCCATGACACCAGGGCCGACGTTGGTCCCCCACTTGACGCGGAGGTCGCCGTCGATGGGCATGGTTGAGAGGATGCCTGTTGCACGGACCTCGAGCTCGATGCCGCCGGCCTGGTCAAAGATGTATGCGAAGAGGTATTCGTAGTTGGAGACTGTGCAGATCATCTGCACAACCAATTGGCGGTTCCTGACGACGGTGGCAACACCATTGCGATAGTTTGTATGCTTTGTCTGGAGACCGCCATCCTGCTCATGTAGGCAGACGACATTCTGGAGCGCTACAGGGTCACCCTTGGAGTTGCAGCGGTAGCCACTAAAGTATTTAATTAGACCCAAGCAGTCACAGCCGAGGGTCAGCTGGTTGGCAGTGATGCCAAAGCCGACATCTCCAGCGTCAAACGCTTGCTTACGGTGGTAGGGACGACGAGGATCTATCGTTGAGTCTTAGTCTCATATCAAATTATTGGGCTGCCGCTCATGACAAACTATCTTACCTCCATAAGGAACAGTCATCTCGGAGACGGCAAGGCGGTACAGAATATTCCTGCCATCGTAGGTGACGTTGTATAGAATGAGACCCTCTCGGTTGTTGAAGCCAACGCGGAACCGCCACTTCTGCCACTTGACGAGCTGGCCCTCGATGGTGAAAGAAGCACCCTCGGGTTGCTGGACAATCAAGGGCTTGAGGTCAGTACGCAGAGGCTCGTCGATCAAATCTTGAGCGTACTGCACCGTCTTCAACTTCTGCCAGGGTCGCGTCATGCCCGAGGTGGAGTCAGTCTTTGTGGGCAGGTAATCTATGCGGACAAGTTCGTGGGTGAGCTGGTCGAAGACGGGCGAGAACTCGCAGGGCAGTGAATAGTGGTTGCACTCGGGGTGGTCAACCTCGCAGATGTACATGTAGCATTGGACCAATCTGCGGGTCTCGTTGGGGTCATCCGTGCCGTATATCCAAGGATCGTTGACGACGCTGTAGCCCGGAGGCAGCTCCAGCTTGGCAATCTCGGCTTTGACCGCCGGATGCTCGTTGCAGACCTTCTCTAGCTCCTCCATCTCGTCGACGTCGGCGGGACCCTGGATGTTGCATCGTGATTAGACCAGCGAATCCTTTGTTATCTTAATCCGGACCGGAGAGGGAAAACATAAACACACCTGTACGGCCTTGGGCAACTCTATGACATGCTCAACGATGCGTGTGCTGGCATTGATGATGGTCTTGAAGAAGGTGTGGGTTTCAACCTGGTGGTAGAGGGCAAAGAGGTGGCGGGCAGGCCTCGGGGGCAGTGGGCGATTCAGTCGCTCGGCCTCCAAGTAAGGAATTGTGTACTTCTTGATGGGCTCGCGAACATCAATTCGCTTGAATCTCAATCTCTGGCCATTGTGTCGGTCTTTCAGCAGCTTTACAACAAGCTGGATCTCCTCACCAGTGATTGGGTCGAAGGGGTGTGGTGCCATGCTGGTGTTGTCTAACAGGTTGGAAGTGCAAGGCAAAACAGGAGAATTTGACACAAGTATTCTTGTCTGTTCAGGGAAGATTAGATGACTGAAAAGGAAGAAAGGAAAGGCGCAATCACAACAGGACAGAGAGTTATTATTTATGTCTGTCCATAGCCGTGGCACCGCTCCCAGGGCACCACTAGATTTCCGGTGCGTTGTGTCATAACAAAGTGAGAATCGGAGCCCCCGTATTTGCTATCGCGGTTACTTGAGTCCCGTTTGGGGTAAAGACATTCAGTCACAGCCAAGTGACCGACCGCTCTACTCCCGCGTGAGTGCTTCTCCTGTGCGGATGTCCGGTGGTGTAGCTTTCCCAACAAGGAACGACTCGCCGCGCGCAAGTTGTCGAACTCAGCGTTATCAAGACCCCCCTGAGCATCTTTCCAACCGTTATGGGTCAGCCAGGTTATGTTACCTCTTTTCTCGCCCCCGCACCGAAGCTGAAGCCCCGCCATTGCGTAAGTCGGTGCACATTTGGGATAGGCAGTCAGTATGCCTCGTCCGAGGGCTGGTCTGGTCTGTCTTGGAACTGTCCACCTTCTCCACCTTCCGTTTATGGGTGACCGTAGCCGCGATGCAGCAGCATGACTCTAAAGCTGATCCTCTTTTTTTCCCCCTCACACTCCCCTAGCGTTCTCACTCGGGATGGAGAGTCCCCGCAGAAGTGGTCCTTCTAGAATCTAGACGCCATTAGATCTACACCCTAACCCCTGTTTATTTCACCCCGAGTGACATGGTCTTATTCACGTTCAATCTCCATCAATACTTTCAAGCCCCAGCTTGAAGGTTGATGTTTCAATTAACTGATCTATAGCTGCTGTAGGTACAAGCATACAGGGGATGGGGTGTAATACCTGCGCTGTGCGAGTCTTTGGATAAGGAAATTGGACCTCTGGGCTCCATTATAAGCTTCATCAAAACCGATGCTCAAGGCTGAGTCACAATCTTGCACCCAACCTCAAGTCGACTGACAGCTATCTCATGGCTGTGCTTCCGGTTCAAAGATGCTTATTTCCCCGTCTGGTTTGTGATGAAGGCGTATATCAAGGCTTTATGCTTGTGTGTTCTTTTCATAGCCAAAGGGGATACTTACCATTGCATCCCATCGCTACACACACTTTACTGAGGCCGCATTCACATTTCTCACTGCCATCTCCGCGTCTCAAGATCTCAAGTGTCGACCGAGACCTAAAATGCCGGGCGATTGCTACTGCGGAGATGCATGGGTTCTCAGCTCAGAAACTCGCTCTACAAGCATCCGAGCTTCCGGCTCGTTGATGCCGAGTGCTCCAACACCACTGAAGACATGGATGGGGATGGGGCTTTTCAAACATGGGGGCGGGGTTGAAAACGACGCATGACTTGTTACTACTTTTGTGGAATGTTCGCAGCAAGCCTAGGGTGGTGGGCCGGGAGAGCTCTCCCTGCAACACAACGATATCTAACCATCATTTCTGATTGTCTATTTATGACTCGTGGCTGCAGAAAGGGATTGTTGGCGCTGGGAATGTAAAAGATTTCTATTCTCACCCTCCACACTCTAATCTATAAGAATGGTGGCTGAGTACAGAACCTGTGCTCTGACCCTCAATCTCTCGGACACAGCGCGTGTCGATGGTACTTTGTTAGAATACAGGCCTCAAGAGGGAGGCAAAATATTGATCCTGGCTATCAACAGCCCCTAGTATCTTGAGTCTGACATCCAGCTCGGATTCAGAGACGAATGGGGCTCTTCCACAAGCTACAGCTTGATTTGCGTCTTTGCCACCTGCTGAAGGTATTGTCGATATTTCCTGAAGACCACCTAGACCGGGCAGGCGCGGAGTGGCGGTGACGTAGTCGATATTGATAGACTTGATGACTCGGATCAAAGGTTGGGGTGACATTGTTGGCTGATACGGAGCGTAGGGTCTTGTGAAATAAACTCCCGTCGCTCTCGGAAGCATGTGGATACAAGATGAAGGATATTTAAATCTGTATCTGTCTCGTGGAGCTCAGTAGTGTATCGATTACATCAACAATGGCTGTCATTTCGTCAGATCGATAGCCGATCCTAGCCACAACACCCTTGGAACAAACGTAGAGTACAAGTTAGGCAGTCGAGTAGAAGCTCTAGCAATACCGCGCCTGTGCAAGACCCAAAACGGTTCGTAGTTACCGCCGATGTATGGCCATTGAGAGTACAGTGGGGTGTTGCACATCCTAACTAGGTCAAAACAAGTCAGTACAAGCAGCGAAGCATATACGCTCAGATACCGGCACATGCCGTTCCCGACCCCACGTCTCCATCTACCAGCTCACGTGTAGGAACACTTAGTTGGGACCGTTAACCTATCATAGAAGCAAAATCAGGAAAGTTTAATCCTACATCTCAAGCTTCAATAGCGCGACCGACTCGTTCCGCTCCTCCTATCCCCACCCCCCGCGTGCCTCTCATGGCGTAGGTCTGTGCAGGTCCCGGCTATGCTGGACTCGGCTCGTCTTTTGCGCCGTTAGTGAGGTAGGAAATATTGCCCTTATCCAGCAAAACACGGTTTCCCAAAGCTCAAAGCAATCAGCTTGGCAGGGCTACCCACGCCTTTGACTGCAATCTGCAGCATGGGAATAAATTTCCGTTGACGGTGGTCATTCTTGGTTATTCAGTTGTCTTTGACTAGTTCTCTTGCACGGCTTTTCTTAGTTGAACGCACTCGCGATACTCTTCCTTCAAGTCACTCACTTGTCCATTTTGCCTATCTCCCTTATTATTTGAACGTGCAAATGGCGCTCACAAACAGGGATGTGCTTACCTTCTTGCCTAAATGCCTCTGGATCTTCCTCAGGCTATCTCTCAACACCCTCTTTGCGCCTTTGAGATCGGGCAGGGCTCGCAGCAAGACCATCGGCGTCTATATCCGTCAGCGCTGGACACAGGCCCTTTTCTACATTCTGACGGCAGGACAGATTCAGTAAGTCTGAAAAGGGCCTTGTTTATCTTTTAATGATTCAATAAGTGCTAGTACTTACAAGGAGTCTGGGAACAAATAGGTTTATTTTCCCAGTATGGCTTGCCGCGTACAAGGCGCAAATGAAGAAGTCGCAGAAACCTACCGCCGTTGACAATGTGCCCAATACCCAGGTACAGGGTGTGTGGTTTGGCGATGCGAAGACCGCAACAACAATAATGGTATACTATCCAGGCGGTGGCCATGTCATTCCCGGCCTGGCCATCCACGCCGCGGCACTTGATCGATGGACATCATGGTGCCAAGGCCGCCTTGCCATCTTTGCCATTCAATACTCCCTCGCACCAGCTGTCATGTATCCCACAGCCATTGGCGAATCAGTCGAGGCTGTCCGTTTCGTTCTCCAGGGTCCAGGCAAGGGCAAGGAGATCATGGTCGGCGGTGACAGTGCGGGCGGTCAGATCGCGCTGGCAGTCATGAGTCACCTTGGTGGCCATCCGCATCCCGATGTAGATATCGTGCGGCCACTAGATCTTAAAGGTGGAAAGGTTAAGGGCGTTATTCTTCTTTCACCGTGGACGAGCAGCGACACGGCCCGTTTTGCATCGATAACTGAACTCAGTGGGGTGGACATCATCAGTCCGACCGCCATCAAATACTGGTCAGACCTATATCAAGGCAGCAAGCCCGACGACCCGTACATTGTGCCCGAAATGGCAGACGCGAACTGGTGGATGGGCGTAGGAGAGGTAACCCAGTCCATATTCGTCTCTTATGGTCAAGATGAGTCGTTTAAGGATGCAATCACGTCATGGGCCCGCAAGTTCCAGCAGGGCGTCGGAAACGACAAGGTGAGGGTGGTGGCTGGCGAGAATGAGGGCCACAACGGGCCCCTCAGCCTGCTTCCAGAAAGGAAGCTCGCTGCCGAGATTGTTGAGCATGAGAAGTCAGCTGAGGGGGCTCTGCGCTATTGGTTATTGAGTTTGGTTGGTTTGATGTAAATGCTGCTGTCACAAGCCGATCCACCTCCACTTCGACCTCTCTTCGAGGACACTTGGGGGTTTTGAAGAGAGGAAAGTATTTAAACTATGTTTATTATATTTAAGATACATATATTCGAATACCTTATATTTAGATTAGGTAGTTTAATTTATTTAATCTCTTCCTTTTTTCTTTCTATTTTATTAAGGTTTGAATTTACTTTATCCTTCTATAGCTTATGAGATTTTTGATATAAAAATCCTACTTATTTTAGAGTTCCCATGTTCTTACATCCCGCGAGGTTAATTCTCTACAGTGTTGGAGCTGCACATGATATTCACTGGATCGGCATCGCTTTTAGCCTAGCACTCAGCTCTGTTGGTATTGTGACGGGTTCTACCATAGCCCACACCTTTGTCGTCAATTGTTACAAGGAGGCTGCCGGAGAATGTATCATCGCCGTCATCTTGTGGCGAAACACAATTGGTAGGCTACACTTCTCTCACGACTACGTTGTCCCGCGTTACAGAAGCTGACGTATATCGATAGGCTTTGCTTTTATTTATTCGATTCTTCTCGAAGGCCAATAACATGGGCTAGCAAGGGGCGTTCATATTGACTGCCATGCTCGTAGTAGGCTTCTGGGCCATCCGTTTCTTGTTTATCTGGGAAGTGAGAAACTGGTGAGAGATTACTGCTAACAAATACTGTAATATGGTGGAGAACTATGGGATGAAGACACACTAAAAATGGAAAAATTAGTCTGGTGAGAGCGATAGGTTCTGTGGTGACTTGGAAACAGTGCAGGGCCTTTCCTATCAACGTGCTAAAGAGCTTGCCTACCCACGAGGGCTATCGGCAGTTTGGGTCAGACTAGCATAACAGTGTTGGGTTTCGATTGGACGATTTCAGCTGGCAAAGGTTATAGTCGATGGGCAAGGGGGCCTATACTACGAAGTCTAAAGTCCTACAAGATGAATATTAGGGATAATAAACTGTGAAGTTATTCTAAGCTACCGTGCCCATGGCTTTTGCTTGTCTGGGTGAGGAATGATTCACGGTGTTGGTTGACACGGCATATACGGGATTTGAAGATGAGTGATGGTATTTTCGAACATAGGAAATCAGCACTAGAAACACCATTTTGCGAGATGCTAGGTGACATGAGTTATGCTTGTCTGGTGTGAATAGACTTCTGAAACTTTCTTTTCCAATAATCGCGTTTGTATTTGCTTTTTCCCCATACGTATGGTAAATCACTGCACCAATTATTGTATGGAATGCTTCTGCAAGTGCGTCTTCAACTGCAATGTTGGACCTTTTCTTCATACCCTCTCTCTCTGTTCAAGTGAAGCAAATGCCTCCATTGGCACACACAGTTGACCCAGTGATCCAGCGGGAGGTCTCATCGCACAAGAAGGCAACGATGGGCACAATGTCCTCAACCTCTCCTACACGGCCCTCGGCGGGCGTGCTCTTAATGAAAGCAGCCATATCCCCAATGGACTCCTCGGGAGTAGCGCTAATGGATCAGTCAGTTTTGACGTTTATTTTTGCAGAACCTGCGTTGTTATTGGGGCGGGAGGGGAGGGGACAACAAGACGTACGCCCACATTTCGGTAGCGACGGGGCCGGGATTTACGCAATTGACAGTAATGCCATGCGATGCGCCCAGTTCAAGAGCCCATGTTCTGGCCAAACTCTCCATGCATGCTTTAGACGCACCGTAAGCGCCTTGCATGGTATATGCTGTTCCCCCCCCATGTCATCAGCATGTAGAAAGCTCGACGGGATGTTCAAAGGGGATTCTCACCTTGCCTAGCCACCACGCTGGACAGGTTGACTATACGACCGCCCTTTTGCAGGTACGGCAGCGACTCCTTGACCAGGAACATGGGGAACCTGACATTGGTGTGGAACAGCTTATTCCAGTGGTCCATATCAGTGTCCTTCAGGTAGACCTCGTCGCCAGCGCCCGCGTTGTTGACAATGATGTCGATCCCCTGCCCGAAGTTGCGGACGCACGTGTCGACGACCAACTTGGGTGATGCCTCATCCATGCAGTCGGCCTGAACGCTGGCCGCCTCCCCGCCCTTGGCCTTGATGGCTGCGACGACAGCGTCTGCCTTGGCCGTATTGGAAGCGTACGTGATGAGGACTTTGGCTCCGCGGAAGGCAAGCTCCTTGGCGGTTCCGGCACCCATGCCCCGCGAACCGCCCGTGACGATGGCGACCTTGTTCTGGAGAGACATTTGATGGCTGCTGCTGGTACTTCTGGCTTGCGGGGAAAGGCGAACAATTCTGCTATCGCTTGATAAACGACCGAATCCGTTCCGGGCGCACATCTGCCAGGAAGCATATATATCCTGCCCTGACCTGATAGCTTGCTCCACCTGTATAAGCACATGGCAAGGAATTGCACCGACCCACTCAATGCACGGCGGCAGATGTGAACTGAAAGAGGGATAACGCACCGTCGCTCGTTTGCTCCGTCCACGCCCTTGTGGTTCCGTCCGTTGCCCCGTCCGCACGCTAGGCTATACCGGGTTGTGAACTGCCGCGGCGGCGCAACCTTGATGCCGAAGACGGAGGCTAGAACTCAATAGTCGTGTCGGGGCACTCGCTTGAGACTCATGCAGGCCAGGATCAATTAATCTGCCTTGGTTCTCATCATGAGGCGGAGGTAGCCATAGATCTAGACCCATAGGCTAATTCCTAGGTACGAGGTCGGAACAGGAAACCCCGCACAATTTACATACAATCGGTCATCCGTGGTATCAATTCAACTGCGAGATAAGTAAAATTGAGCTTGGTATGATACGAGTCAAAGAGGCGGCTCGCGATCCGCTATGTGGCCCCCAGTGCATCCCATTCGCCGGAAGGATTTCTAGCCTTGCCAAGTATAGGCTATTGATAGTGAAGTAGTGGCTACAAGATTATCTTCAAGCCTGACTTTCAGCGACGCAGCTATGGTGGAGAAGACGTCATGGTTTTGGATGAGATTTCTAGTACAGAGTTGAAATATCAATGAAAGATGCCACAGCCGACATCTCAACACAATGAATACGTGACTCATGGTTTCATTGACACTAGACAAATCAAGCCTAGGTATGTCTTCAAACCAAAATGACTGGCAAGTCCAGCTGTGCAAGACTGGTGGCAGCATCTTCCCAGCCCGGAAAGGCTGCTGCCTCGGTACGTTCCCTCTCTTCCCTCCACCTGGTCGCAAGATACTTGGAGGTCTGGAGAGGAATTGGGGATCTCCAGCCCGCGTGAATCGTCTTGAAGCGCGCCAATATGACAGTCTGGTGCCTAACACTCACAGCACAGAGCCCGACGACGAACAACGGCCAGCAGAGAACCCCATTGGCCGAGTCATCGGCTGGGACCGCTTCGAGGACCGACATGAATGTCGATACGATGGATTGGATGCCCGCCTCCTCCTTGGCCCACTCAGGGTGCAGGACTCTCTCGGTTTCAAGCTGGCAAGCCCAAAAGTAGAGCTCCGATACCAGTATCCCCATGTCGACACCAGACCCACTGGCCGTGTTTGCACTGTCATCCATGTAGAGAGCCCACAAGTCCGATTGAATGACCCTCACTTGTGAATGAAACAGTTCCTTATCTTGGTGAGAGGCTGGTGCTTGTTGCAGCAGGCTGAAGAGGCGATAGATGAGCAGGAAAAGCTCGGGGTGATCCCCCAGAAGCATGCCGTGATTTCGGTGTCCCTTGAGCCAAGGACATGCAAAGATGGCAGCGAAAAGTGAAAAGTCCAGGCTCAGTCGGCTGCTGTGGGTGGATGCAGCCAGTGTGTAAAAGTAGCAGAACAGCTCCAACAGGAAGCCGAATAGATCAGGGTCGTCCGGGGTGCGGCACAAGGAACGCGACAGCAGCATGGCGGCCCCGTTGAGGTGAGTGAGTAGCCGCTCGCAGCTAGAGAAGTTTATAGTCTGGATAGGCGTCAGCGTACAGCATGTGTGTTGGTTGGCAGGGGGGGTTTAAAGGTACTTCATGGACACATAAAATGAGCACAGCAAGCAGAGTCATGTCTATCGGAGCATTGTCAATAAGACGCAACATGAATAAAGGGCGAGAATACCACTCACCCGAGTGGATTCCAGTGGTTGTCTGCATGGCCTCTGTTTCTTTGTTAATGAGAGTAGGTAGCTTTGCCAAGGCGAGCCTGTAATATTCGCACGAGAGCTGCTCCAACTCCTTGGGCCGGTCGCTAAATTTGGAGAGATCTTCTGCCGCAACGGTCAAGACGCAGTCCAAGATGAGCGGGTCATTGAGAGCGTGCGGCATGACGTGCTCCAGGAAACGGGCACCTTGACCTCGGTGAATGGATGAAATCCAGATGGGGCTTGATACGATGAAGTGCGAGATGAGCCGCTCTGTGAGATCCGTGCTCGGAACAGCAAAGACGGTCATCATGCCGGTTATCTGCTGAGGAAGGGCAAAGTCCTTGTTGTAGCCCTGCTTCCGCCGCACGCGAGGCTTTCGTCGGGCGGGCGAATCTCGCCATTCGCAGGGTATGCCGTTCCTTGCGCAGGCGGTGCACTGAGGCCGCACCTCGTCGCATTTCTTCTTTCGCAGCCGACACGTTAAGCAGCCGGTAGTTGTGCGCCTCAGCTGACGGGGCTCACGGTTGCCGTTGTCGGTGGTGCTCATGGCTTTTGCCTGATGGATGTCGCAGAGGCGTGGTGGAACTGCGGCGGGGGAAATCAAGGAGTCTGGTGTCGTGTCGATGTACGATATGGCTGACGCCGGTCGAAGAGATGGGACTGATTGATGAACAGTTAACCACCTGGCGACTTGTGTGTCAGCGATGTATTGTCGGCCGCGTTTTCGCCAGATAAGAAAAACGAAGGCTTCACTCAGGGTGCTGATGCCAGGCAAGATTTGGGGCGGGGTTTGAAGGTATTAGGCGGAATTGGCCAGGGCTTTACCACTAATGTTGGACCATGCCATGAGAGATTGAGAGATTTACAGAGGGTGGACAAAAGTGACGACTAAAGTGGATTTTACCCTAGATCTGAGAATAAAACTAACTTTTAAACCTTTATAAAATTTAATAAAAATAGATAATAACTTAAGAATATATTTTTCTTTATTCTATATTAAATAAAGTATATTATTATTAAGATTTAAGAAAAAAAAATTATTTAAAAAAATTAAAGAAATTTATTCTAATTCTAACTTTTATCACCTACTTTTATACATATATTCTTAGTTATCTACTACTCTTCTAGACTATTTAAAAGACCTTCATCTAAAGCTATTTATATTTATCTCTTAATTAGCTAGTTTAATTAAATAACCCTTTCTTTAAAGAATAAGGTATAGTTGTATTATCTAGTCTATATATTTCAGTAATCACTATAAGTTCTATAATGTCTTAGTAGAATATAGTTCAATCTAGATGAACGGTGGGTTAATATTGTGAAATGACCGGATTGAATTGAATTGCTGCTAATCACCATGAGTCATGGCATGGTGGCCATCCACATGTAATTGATTGCCTACTGTGATTCTAGCCTTAAAGGCGTTTAGTTCAGTTTTGATGGTAATTTTGCTGGTTCCTACAGCGCCTACATACAAATAGATACCTTTAGCAATCATTCTCGACGAACCAGATTCATTCCTGTCAGTTGGAGTTGTTGGTCGCCGTCACAGTTGGGTCGGCCCGCATGGCTTCCTGTTCGGCCTTGTACTTTCGCTCCAGCTTGCGGACCGGTCGAGCTGGGCTACCTACCGCTACATGATAGGCTGGTATATCCTGGGATGGCAAAGTACATAACATTAGTGTTCAGAAGCCCAGGGGTTTTCTTTTGTTTTGGTTTTTTAGGGGGGAGGGGACCCTGAGGCACACCTTGGTCACTAAGCTGTTTGCACCGACAGTACACCCGTCACCAATTGTCACACCTGGGAGGATGGTCACGTTTCCACCTATCCAACAGTCCTCGCCGATGGTGATTTTCCCTCCGCTTTCTGGGCCTTTGGTGCCGTTGCGTAGATCTGGGTCGATGGGATGTGTGCTGGCAAAAAGTGACACATTGGGACCGATCATGGACCGGGAACCAATAGTCACAGTGCAGGTGTCGAGGATAGTGCAGTTGAAGTTGATGAAGATGTTCTTGCCGGCAACGATATTGAATCCGTAATCAACGTGAATAGGAGGCTCGACCCAGGCAAACTCTTCGAGAAGCGACTCGTCTTCTTCCTCTGTTGCTGCCGGTGGTGGTAGAGGCTCTGTACTGTCGACAATGCTGTTCACCATGATTAGGCCACCGGTGTTTCCTCGATAAGCCCAACACCGCATCGCCTGTGTACGTACTTGTTCCAAAATTGGGCTCTCTCCCTGCGGGTCATCTCATCCACCTTGTTGAATTGCCGGCACGCATTCCCGCACCTGCGACGGGCTGCTACCAGCTCTGCCGAAAAAGAGGTGAAAAGATCTCCATCCTGCATCCGCGCAAAATTCTCCTTGTCCTGGAAATTCGGGATTCTGTTTGGATTTTTCATCTTGTCGAGACAGATGGATCTTGGGCACAGAGCTCGGCAATGGGCTTCTACCGATTGAATCTGAATGGAAGTATCCGTGATAGACATGCAACACTTATAACCACTGGAAAAGCAACACATCCTCTCATCGGAACGAGATATGAGCCCACAGCCGGCTGGCTTGATGTCTAAAGGATCCATAGCGCGGCTCTAGCCAGCCCTTTGAAGATGCTGCTAGCAACAAAGGTGCCGAGCACCAAAGTAATAGACTCACATCCCATGGGCAATCACACCCCCTACGCGTCTTAGCCTGCCCCATCGCGTCCAAATTACCCCAACCAGGCGAGTAGTAGCGCGCTCTCATGTCGGGGTGTATATTGAGTAAGCAAGTAAGGGAGGGCGATACCACGGCTTTTTCCTAGATGCCAACTCGGGGGGTAAGGCGAACCGAACCCAAGTTGGGTAGATAAATAAGGTTGATAGTTTCCTCCAACTCCTTAGCTTGGGCCACACTGCATTCTCTGCTTCAATCCCATCTTGGTCGGGCATAATGGAATCGCGAACCTCGGATGGTTATGCCTGGACATCCTCAGCTGGTCTACAGCACGGCGAATTCGCTTGTGACGGTGTCATCAACCCACCGCGAAACCTGAAGGCTCCCCCGGGACACGTCTACGATATCGTGATAGTTGGTGGCGGCTATGCTGGTCTCTCTGCCGCAAGAGATCTTACCGTCGCAGGTGCTTGAATCCCATGTATCTTCCCAGGCCGTAGAAGTCTTTCCATCCTTGCTGACACATTACGTTAACAGGCCGAAGCGTCCTCCTTCTCGAGGGCCGCGACCGTGTCGGTGGCCGCACCTATACGATTCACGAAGATGGATACCGCTACGAAATGGGCGGAACCTGGGTGTCTCATGCTCAGCCCTTTACTTTCCGGGAGATGCTGAGGTACGGAATGGACCGTGATCTGATCAAAACCCGCACCGAGGGAGGAAAGAATGACTACCACACATTGAAGGTCCCGGGTTAGTATTCACAGCTGCCGATATGGTTGTGCAAACTGCGATCTTCTCTGACCTTTGACCAGATTGTGATGAACTGAACCTATCCCATGAGGAGGCGGGCAAACTTGCCCAGAAAGGCTGGGATCTTCTCATCAACGTTGATGGAGAGGGTGGCCGCAAAATCTGCCCTCTCCCGCATGCGCAGCTTGACAACATTGAGATTGACCGCAAGGAGGTTGAAAGGTGGGACTCGTACTCGTGCTGGGATCGCTACCTAGAAATCAAGGACCAGCTGACCGCCCAGGAAGCCGGAGTCTTGAAATCACTTCTGCTCCACATCTCCGGGGGCGAGTACGATCTCAAGAACTCTAGCTTATGGGATATGATTCGCAGTCATGCACTGGGAGCCCACGACTTTGTCAACTTTGGCCCCGTTTGGCTGCTCTATAAGCTGAGGGCCGGCCAGTCCAAGCTCGCCCGGAACATGTTTGATGAGGCCGTCGATAACGGCCTCCAGTACGCATTCAATACCCACGTGGAGAAGATCACCCAGCCCAACGGCCTGACCCAAGCCCTCGTGCGTGGTGGCCAGGGCTATACTGCGAGGAAGCTCGTCTGCACTGTGCCTCTCAACGCTCTCCACTCCGTCCAGTTTGATCCTCCCCTGTCGCCTCTTCGTCAGGAGGCTATCCAGATCCGCCATGTGAACCGCATGGCCAAGATTCATGCTGTTGTTGATGGCCCTGGACTTGCTTCTTGGAACGGCTGCGTCTACCCCAGCCCATTGATGTACTGCTACGGTGACGGCGTGCTCCCCAACGGCGACACGCACCTTGTTGCCTTTGGTTGCGACGAGGAGAAGACATTTGTGCCCGAACGCGATCCTAAAAAGGTCGTTGACGCCTTCCAAAGATTCCACCCCATGGATGTTAAGAAACTCGTCAGTATTGACCATCATTTCCCCTCTTGAGAAGCACTTCTGACGTGATGGTTGTAGGTTTTCCACAACTGGAACACTGATCCGTACTCTCAATCCGGCCCTTCGTTCTGGCCGCCTGGGTACATGACCAAGTACCAAGATGAGCTTCAGAAGCGGCATGGGAACGTGTTTTTTGCGTCTGCTGATTGGGCTCACGGATGGCGCGCGTTTATTGATGGAGCTCTGGAGCAAGGATTCCTCAACGGGATGGAGATTCTCAGAATGCTTCGCCAGGAGAAACCTTCGGTGCCCAAAGAAGCAAAGCTTTAGATGGGTGGAAGTACTAGATTAAGAGAGGCGCATAAACGTGTTAGACAAGCAACAATCCTTGTTTCTTGAAAAAGCCAAACGCAAGCAACAAGTAAATAAGATCTCATGGGTGTTTAATGTAAACATGATTCCAGCTCTGAGGTAGCATCCGCGTTTTTTCTCTGTGTCGCCCGTCGATAACGTCAACACTGGACTGCGGAGTTTCGGTCCGTGATGGATTCTTTTTTCTTTTTTATGTTTTCCATTGTCGGTTTCATCTATCTATCTACACTAGAACAAGTGGCTCAGTAAATGAGTGCTTCAGCCTGCAACTCGACTTCCATGCCCTCCAACGCCAGACCGGCAACGGCAAACGTCATGAAAGTCGGCTTCGTGTTTGGACAAAGTTCGTTGAATACCTTCATCAACACTGCCTCGTTCTTCATGTCTAGAACAAGCGCTGTCCATTTGTACACGCCCTCAACTCCCCGTGTCACGCCGGCGTCTTTCAAGATCCTATCCACCAGCTTGAACGCAGCGCGGACCTGGTCCTCGACCGATGAAGTGACGAGCTTTCCCGTTTCTTGGTCTAGACCGCCCTCGCCAGAAGTAATAACTCGCTTGGCGGAAGCAGGAATGATGGCAGCGTGGGAGATTCCGCCTCCGTCGTACATGTCCCCGACCGGACCGGAGAGCTGTGTATACTGTATAGAAGCCATGTCGTCTGACTTGAAGTCTGGAATGCCTGATCTGATGGCTGAGTCTTAGATGAGATACTGATCAATGCTCCTCAGAACGTCACAATACTCACAGGAGGTCGCCTTTCTCCAATAAGCCTGCCAACACACTCGTCGATGTAGGAGGGAGCTAGTGATTGTGAGTGATCAACGTGGGACAAAGGGAGCTTATCGAAAGAAATGAAATGATGTGGTCGGAGGATATGCTAACCCTTAGAGAGCGTGAGGGTTGCCCTTGTACAGAAGACGGTTGCACCTTTTAGGCCTCATAGTAGCAATGACGAGCGGCTATGAGTGACCCAATTTGGTCCATCAGAAGCGCGCTCGTCTCTTACTCGATCTCCACTGGATCGCCAAGCCATAATCAAGACATGGAGTGTGTGTGTGGGGGGGGGAGGGGAGTCAACCGGCCTTCGATCATCTGGAAACGCTCCATGTGGGGGAGGGGTCCGGCATCGTGGGGACGCACTCGCTCCGAGATCAGCATCTAGATGTACATACCAAGTCGTCTCGTAGACCCAGCCAAGCAGATAACACTACCATATAGTAGTGGCATGCGCTAATGCTGGGGCATCCCCGCACGGATGGCTGTCAGCCAGCACTGTCACTGATACCACACCCCCTTTCAGTCCCTATCTTGTGGCTGGGTGGATCGAGCGGAATGCCAACAATCCTAGACTGCGAAGAAGACTATTTTGAACAAGTCTGTTCTGGGGATCATATCACCTAGTCTCCTTGAGGTCCTCGTGCTCCCTACATACGCCCTTGACAAATACTCTCGGCAAGCAGACAAACATAAATAGGCTCGCGATTCCTACTCTGTTCGTGCCTGCAAGGGGCTATTCTTCTGCCGATTCTTCCATCATCGCCTTGAAGGTGTCTTAGCGCCTTCTGCAAATTTTCTTCTTGACACTAGTCCTGAGCAGCGATGGACAACCATAATTCCTACGTCGCCGAGCCGTCCAAGGCTGGCGTCCTGTTGGACGATGACGCAGCCCGGTTGGCGGCCATGGGCCACAAGGAAGAGATGCCCCGCCAGTTCTCTCGTCTCGCAGCGTTGAGTTTTGCTTTTGGCATCACCAACTCTTGGGTCGGGCAGTCTGCCACATTCCCCTATCCCCTTCTGTGCGGAGGCGGGCCTGGAGTCTTCTTTTCTCTCATCCTATCTGGCATTGCTTGTTGGTTTATCAGTAAGTTCTACTTCGTGCGATGATTTCCCCACAAAGTCATCTTGGAATCCCAAGGTTAACTCGGAATCATCCGTTTAGCTCTTGGTCTTGCCGAGTTGGCCTCGGCCTACCCTACTTCCGGTGGCCAGTATCACTTTGCCTACTGCGTAGCCAGCAAGAGGAGCCGCGTCCCTATTGCCTTCGTCACTGGCTGGGTTAGTCTGCTCGCATGGTGTCTGCTGACTGCTGCCTCGACCATCTATGCCGGTAAGTGCGCAATGCTTTTCATCTCTACCCATGTTCCCACCTCGAAAGAGAAGAAATGAACAGAGGAAAAGAAAAGAAAGAAAAAGAAAACTGACAACCATCGCAGCCCAAATGATTGCCGCCCTAGCCACCATGTACAACCCTTCGTATGAGTCAACCGCTTGGCAAACTTATCTCATTTACATCCTCATTATTATTGTGGTCACCGCCGTTCTGTGTTTTTTACCGCGGCAAGTCCCTCTCATTGAAAAAATTCTATTCTTCGCTAGTTTACTCGCCTTCATCGTCTTCTTTATCTCTGTGCTGGCCATGAGCAAAGAGAAGACCCCAGCCTCGCAGGTTTTCACCAAGTGGGAAAACCAGAGTGGATGGCCTGATGGCTTCTCCTTCATCCTGGCTACTGGTACAGCCATGTACTGTTACATTGGTACAGATGCTGTGATTCATTTGGCCGAGGTGGGTTTTGTTCTCCCGACTCGTAGAGGCCTCTATTTTGCCGGCTTGACTAATGACCTGAGGTACAGGAAATCCCCCACCCTGGGAAGAATATCCCTCAAGTCATGAATATGACAATGGGAATGGGAATATTCACGGCTCTCCTATGGACTGTTGCCTTCCTTTTCAGTGTTCCCGATTACGCTGCCATTGGCGGCGCTGCCCTTCCCTTGAACGAAATTTTGAGCCGAGCTCTCAGTCATCCAAGCCTCGCAACCTTCTACATTTGCTGGTTCTTGTTCATCTATGTCGGCTGCGCCTTCTCCAACTTGGCAACCGTTGGTCGACTGGCATGGGCCTTTGCCCGTGACGGTGGAATGCCTGCTTCAGAGTCCCTCGCCAAAATCCACCCCGTCTTCCCAATGCCCGTCAACGCCACTATCGCCTGCTCCATCTTTATCATTGCCTACGGTGCAATCTATTGCGGCTCTACGCAAGCATTCAATAGCTTCCTCAATAGCTCTATTCTGTTCATCAACTTGTCTTACGCGATACCCCAAGGCATTGCGGTCTGGCGAGGTCGTGATAATGTTCTCCCCGAGAGGGAGATGCGTCTCGGTCGCTTTGGTACCTTTTGCAATGCGTTCTCTGTGGTCTGGGTTTCTGTCTATATAGTCCTCTTCTGCTTCCCTACCACGGCTAATACCTCGGCCCAAACCATGAACTACGTTTCTGCGGTCACCGCGGGGTGCTTTCTGATTATTGCCGTGGTCTGGTTTAGTGGGAAGAACAAGACATTCAAGGGACCGGTAAGCCATCACCCGCACCGCAGACATTATTTCTTAAGCTTATATTAACATTCCTCGTAACTCAGAACATGCCCGAAAGCTTGGTTGCCAATATAGATATAATTGATGGTGTGGATACAAGGATTGAGAGGACTAAGAGCGGAGTTAGTTCTGAAGGTAAGAAGGTGTAATCTTAACTTTATGACCTTCTTCCTCGGCCCTCTCGACTTAGTGTCGAAACGACTCAATAGTAATATGAGCTGGGATGAAAAGAAATGGCTTTTGTTTTGTGCTTGCGAAATAACGTATAGATTCTTTCAAGCCTGACAGTCGCGTAGAATATTCCTCGCGACGCTTTTGATGCGTTCATAGGGTATCCTAGACACCGCCTCTCGTTGCGCCTTGGGCCTACCCCTGCCGGCCCGCGCTAGCCCTGGTATAACAAAGAGAGGACGAATCAAATGTGATATTGAAGTAGCTCACCTATCTCACCTACAGCTCCGGATCATACGCCCGAGGTACTCTACCGATGATACAGATGGGCTGATCAACCACCGCCTCAGCGGGCAAATTCCAGGCCATGGTGAAGCTCGCGACTTCAAAGAGCAGGAGGTTAAAAGGCCTGGCTTTGATTGCTCCCGTGCGCCGACGCAATTTACTGGATTCCCAGACCTGAATTAATCTTCATTGGCAATGCCAAGGACTATCCTTTGAACAAGGAGGCCAGCCATGAACCGATCGGCCTATCACGAGCAACTACAGCCCTGCATCGCCGGGTTGTGGGGGCTGGGGCTTGTATCATCCGCTCGGACACACCTAGAACGGGAAAAATCCGACAAACTATTGAATTAATAGCAATCTTAATGATGCATTCAAAAGAGCGGTAAACGAGAATGCGAACCTCAGAAATGAGAAATCCTTCCACTAATGTTGACTGTTGCTCGAGAAGCATTGCTTGTACGCTGACTGCCCCTGTCTGTACGCTGCTGAAATGTCGCCTGTTGCCAAATAAGGCCTTTTCCGAGCTTCAAATTTACTTGGCGTAGGATATATTGCAGCTACACACGGAAAATTCTTTTTTCGCATGGGCTTACAGATGATTTAACAATGCCTTGCCACTGACATTTACCTCAAGGGCCCGTCTATATAAAACGTGTAGGGCATCCGATTTCCATGTCAATAAGCTCACTACTCAGCCCATCTACAAATATCGAAATAAAAAAAAAACTCAAGACATTCAGCCGTTTTAGAAATTATCATTGCACACAATGAGACCTTCTCTTGCCCTCATTGGCTTGATTGCCGCCCCAGTACTCTGCACGCCCGTGGACGCTGACCTCGCCGCTGCCGAAGCTGAATGCGGCCCCCTCGGCGTCCAGGAATGGGACCTAAACGACCTCCCAGAGGGCACAGACCTCACTGCACTTCGCAAGTGCAGAGACCATCCCGCCGATTTTGACATTGGCAGCTCCCTCGAATACTCTTCTGCAACGCCCGAACTGCTCGAGAGCTCTACGGGAGATGGCTTCAACCCCGACGAGATTCCCGAGGACACGAGCCCCCGAGAGTCAACCGGGCTGGAGGCCAGACAAAGCTGGTCAGGCGAGTTCTGCCCAGGACTTACAGGCCGTGGGACTGGCGCGGACTATGATTATGGATGCACAAAGGGTTGGTGCTGGAGAAACTGCAATGTTCATATTGAGCAGATTCTGCAGCCATGGCACCACAAGCCGTGGTGTTGGTTGGCGTACAACGGCGGTAATGGAAAATGGACGCCGTGTGGTCGCTGGCAGGATTGCGAGTGGTCTTATAACAACAAGAAGGCCAGGTGTGGAAAGGCCCAAAAGGGCAAGAAGTGCTCGGCTTGTGGATGCGGGTGCACGTAGTATACCTAAGAGTGTCTACTATAGATACCTATGGACGGATCATTAGCAGACTAGCTGAATGATCCCAGCGCTTTATGGGGTCTCTGAAAAGTGATGAATGTAAAAATGATATAAATCAGTCTTCTATTATGAAATGCGTGTATATAAATGCCTCATTGCCATCAACCTCTAAAGTATAATGGCCCTAGCAGTGCTTTAGTATTTCGTAAAATGACGACTGGGGAAAGTAAAACCCTTCCCTGTAACTTCTTATAGGTATAGGTGAGAGTTCTAGTATGTAGTAAAAAACAGCAATGAAAGATAATAGACCTAATATCTTAATATATTAAATATAAAATATAAAGATAAGCTCTATTAGCCTAAAGCTATAGCTATATAGAATAAAAGTTTCTATAAACCTATATTTACTTAAAGTTAATTAAGAAGGAGAGGTAATTAAGAAACAAAAAAAACAAAAAAAAAGTATCTTACTTAAAGCTAATAAATATATTATAAGATTATTAGCTCCTTATCTATAGTAATAGTAATTAGTTATTAAGGAGAAGGTAATAGTAAAGAGAATCTTATAGTAGAGGAAGTAAAGTACTTATTATATAGTAAGGGTAATAACTAAAAACTAGAGATATAAGAGGAAAAGAGTAATATATATTTTATATTATATCTCTTAAGTCTAGTAATAACTCTATAATATAAAATCACTAAGCCCTAGGATTATAGGTATTACTAAACTAAATAAAATATTAATACTATAAAGGGCTAGTAATCACCTAGCTCCTCTAAAGCTTCTTCAATCCCACAGAGTGACGACATGTACCAATTGAATTTTATTGTGATATGTCAAATAACTTAGAAAGCAATTTAATAGTTCTCGCTTTTCTCTCTCCAAACCTACTGATTTGAACAATAGTAGGTAGATACATCAAATGCTCCATTTGGCCCCTGGTGCATTACGCTGTCGGTACGGCGCCCCAAACGCCTAGCAGCAGAGTAAACACGGATATACACATCGAAGTTCCATGGGCGGATGCTATAGCCTTGGCCCGTCAGTAAAGAAAGCCACTGCCGGTTCTCCAAATTCTCCCCATCGCCAAGCTCTCTATAACAGGTGTATCGCGCATACAACCAACTACCGCTGCCTAGCTCCAAAACACACTCTGCATCAGAGTGGCATATTTCACAGGTCACCATTTGGACGTGCTTGTCGCGAAGACTACTCCATTTCTCCGTAGGGTGACTTGGGCAACGCCGAGGCCAATTTGTGATCTCTATTTTGACCTCTTGGAAGCCATTGGTCGTCTTGAAAACTGGCTTAGATAGGTGTAAACGGTGATGAGGACAGCATTTGAACGATTCACCCTGGTTGCTATGACTTGGAAGCATTCTGTAGGCAACTTCCTGTTTTTGCAAGAAAGTGCCGTTGCCGTAGTATATATCGTTGCTCCAAGCGTAGGTAGTCCCCCCTGCGGCTATGACATCGTCCTGACCACATAGATCTGCAACTAGAACCATCTTCCTTTGTGGGTCAAGACTTTGTCTACTGCACTCCAGATTGTCAAATGAGAGGTGGTATGGCACGACTGAATGTATTGGCTCGAGCGTGTAGGTGTGGAATGTGGTCGAGAGCACCCCTTTGTGATTGGGAAGGCCAAGCTGCGACGAAAAGATTGAATTTGGCCTGTTGGGCCGGCACGTCGATCGATGTGCCGGGCAGCAGCCTCGATGGTGTTGACAGGTACATGGCTCCTGGGGGTATGATGGTTGCTGCGTGATGGCTTGCTTCTCCTGCGCAGACGAACTGTCCGTTTCTGATGATCCATCACCAGAACCAAGGAGTTTCGAAGCACGGCGGGACTTTGTAGCCACAATTGTTTCTTGGCTGGCGTTATCAGGTATCAAAGTTGTCTCACTGCAAGAATCACCTCGAAGTGTTGCGTTTTCGAGGTCATGGTCTTGCGACGTCATCTGCCTGAGCCGTGATGGGAACAGCGAGGAGGCAAAACGGCGGTAGCCCCAAGGCATGGCTGGCATAGTGAGAGTGTTGCTCTAGGGAGATAAATTGAACCAAGTTGAAAGAACGCCGACCCAAGGGTTCAGAGCGATCATTTAAGTAGACGGCTTTTATTCAAAGGCGACATTCAAAGTTTGACACGGAAAGCTACGACATCCCGCTTGCCGGAGGCTGGCCTGAATGAGCTAGTCAGGCAATCAAATAACTTGACGTAGCCCCGTTACTTTGCAGAATGCTTTCTGAAGCTTTCCAGTGGCCAACAACAAGGTTTGGTGGTACAGTAACTGAGAGTCTAGAGTGGCTAGTCTCATTAGATGTAGCGCATTGGACATTTTCCGATTCTTTGTTAGTAATTGAGTGTTGATTTCTCTAAAAGGGCTTATCTTCAACGTAGCTTGGTAAAATTAAGAAGAGTCAACTTCAACGTGAATATAACAGTTCGGATCCACGCGCTGGCGAAAGCAATGGAGACAGTCAATATGAGGAACCTGATCCGCTCTGTTCGTAATACTGCCGTACCTTGTGTGATCAATGGCCGAAGCGTGAGGGTGTATATATATATTTGAGAGATCGAAATGTCTTTTCGCGACGAAGGGTCGCAGGATGAAAGGTTGAGGGGCTTCCCGAAGCCATCGCGAAACAAAATAGGCTCCCGAGCTGGCCAACTGGCGGCTGATTCCCACACGTAATCTACTCGTTGGTGCCTCTTGTTACTATTTGATTGGATTAACTGGTCAACCTTGTTGGAAATTCTTTTCTAGAGGACTTTATCTACATCACATCCAAAAGGACAATGTGCTAGTAGACTTTTGAAAAGATGGCGCATCCTGCCCATTTTTGTGCATCCCATGATAGGTTGTAGAGATGTCGATGAGTGACGGTATGCCTGGAAGCGTAAAGCTTCTACCACTGCTTTGGTAAATTATGGTTAAACTTACCATGGTGAAACAAACTACGTGGCTATTAGATTCACGCTACTTTCGGGTTGATGTTAAAATTTTGACTTCACTTGCAGTGACCAGCAGTCCAAGTCGCAGATCGGGCATAATGGTGCTAAGAAACCCAACCTCTCTTATGACTGATTTAATATCCCTCCAAAATATGTCACCCTGGATTCTTGATAAAAAAGGCGAATTTGATCAAGACATTGGGCGAGCATGCTGGCGGCCAGTGACGCAGAGCAAGAAAACCTGGGGAATTACCCTTTACGAGTCAGTGGCTTATTTTCTAAGATGGGGTTCGTACTCTTTCTCCACGAAAGCCTGGGAATTACCCGCTACCAGACCATGCAGACATTGATCAACCAAGCAGTGAGAACGTGCACAGGTGTTGATTCGCTTCACTTACAGAATGTAAAATGACTTAGGAATCATATCGCAACGAAGTTCGACATTTCGCTTGACCGAAAGAGCGGCCAAGGCAGTGTTTGGCCTGGCGCATCGTCCAAGTACCCGACTAGGAGCGCATCGCCGAGACAAGACCAACATGAGGCGTTGGACTTGCTGATATTGAATGAAGATGCCGCTCCTGAATGGCTGGAGAAAGTCTACTCTTAGTGGTGTGTGGCGTAGTTTCCTTGTATGGGATGATGAACAGGAGACCTACTTCCCTCTGTACCAGATGCCAACTAAGCGAGCGTTTCGAAACGAGCAGAATGATTGTGAATCTTTTCCCTTGGCCGCTCGAGAACGAGAAGACAGCAACACCAGCAACACCGACAATAACGACGACGACGACGATGACAATAACAACAATAACAACAGCTATAACAACAGCAACAACAGCAACAACAGCAACAACAGCAACAACAGCAACAGCAGCAACAGCAACAGCAACAACAACGACAACAACAACAACCACGACGATAACGACGACTACGATGACGAAGAAGGAGATGACGAAGACGGCGATGATGGTGATCTCCGGCGCGGCGGTTTGGTCCGCGACAATGGCTCCCGGGCCCATCTTTTCGGAGCAGTGGCTCCATTACCAGTACGAGCCTGCTGGTGTCTTCGCTGGGTGGTGAGTTATGCTGGCCGCATTGCACCATCTGTGCCGGCGTGTTTACGTCGACTTTTTGGGGATGGGACTCCAACCCTGCCAGGCCCACCTGGGCCGAAGGGTGATCAGGGCCAGAAGTGCCCTAATTGCAACGATGAGGCCGATCCTCCCGGCCCCTATAGCCCCCCTGGCCCCCCTCGTCTTCGTGGCCGTCAAGGCCCTGCTCTCCCCGCCGTCTCCCCCGCCGTCCCCCCCACGGCCGCCGTCTCCTCCCCGGCCATCGATCTCTCCCCCGTCGATCTCCCCACCGTCCTAGTGGTTCCTTCACAAAACCGCCAACAGCCCAGATATAAGGGCACCGATAAAAGTGTTGAGCAGAATAATCACTATAAAACAACGGCCCCATAATGGGGTAAAATACAACAAGGAGGAGAGGAGGAGGAGGAGGAAGAAGAGAAGCCCGCTTGGCGCCCCCAAGGGCCAGGTCGCCACCTCAGCCAGAGCTCATGTCTGGTTGGGGCCTGAATCACGGACACTGTGGGCCACACGCTCTAAACATTCGCGTACCCTTCCCTCTCGCTTAAGTACGCAGAGCTTTCAACATTTGGAAAGGGATAATTTTATCCTACCTTGATTTCCTTCCTCTTTTTCCATATGTTTGTGCGTCATTAAGCTTCAAGATGTGGCTTTATCCCAAAATCGAGGGATATCGGCCTATCCCCAAGGAGGTTTACACCTTGCGAACCTATCTCTTTGCTGCTATTTCCTCTACTTGTGGTGCTACTATCGGTCATGACAGCGTGTTCATTGGTGGCGCACTTTCCCTACGGTCCTTCAAAGACGAGTTCAAGTTTGAGAGCATATCCGACGATGAGGTTAATGTTCTCACTGCCAATATTATTTCCTACTATCAAGCAGATGCCTTCTTTGGTGCTATCTTTGCCTATCTAGGGGGCCACTACCTTGGAAATCGCCCAGGCTTGCTCATATTTGCTATTCTCTTTGTTGCTTGAGCTGGTATCATGCCAGCATCCAACGGCGCTCGTGGGTTCGGCCTTATGTATGCTAGTAGAGTTATCGCCGGCGTGGGCGTCGGGGCTGTCTCTAACCTTATCCTCATATACATTTCAGAGCTCTCACCCCCCAGCTGTTCGTGGTCGGTTAGTTGGTATATGGGAAATTGGATGGCAGTCTGGTGGTCTGGTCGGCTTCTGGATTAACGTAAGTCCAACAGTCTCTGATTTATTGCATTCACGAGGCGGATTAATACTAATACTTCTTTGAATAGCATGCTGTTTCACGAATCATCGCCCCCTCACATAGCAGTGGTTCATTCCGTTCGCGGTTCAACTTGTGCCGGCAGGCATCCTTATCATCGCAGCCATTCTCACTGATGAGAGTCCTCGATGGCTGATGTCGAATGGAAAGCGAGAACAGGGCATCAAAGTCCTAGCTAGGCTCCGAAATCTCGCTGCAGACCACCCATAAGTCCAGGGGGAGGTTTCTCACATCGATCGAGGTATTGAAATACAGGCCCAAACAATCGACCTTGGCTTTTATGCTCCTTTCAAGGAGGCGAGGCTCAATAAGTCTAGTTTCTTGCTGGTAGTCTATTTTTTTTTTGGCAAAACGGCTTTGCTTTTAACGTTATCAATGTGCCTCCTTATTAGAACTCCCATCTCCGGACAATAGTAGCATTGTTAATATTTCTTTTTCTAGTACTACTCTCCTCGTATATTCCAAGCGATCGGTCTTGTGGGTACAAATGCTTCCTTGTTTTCCACCGGCATGTTTGGTGTGATTAAAACTTTCGTCACCGATATCTGGATTCTCTTTATGATTGGCTATCTTGGCCGACGTAACCTTCTCGTATAGGGTGCTTTGGGTGGCTCGATATTTCTCTAGGTGATATGTGGTTACATTGCCGTCGCCCGGCCAAGCAAATATCCCGGTGCTGCTAATACTGATGGTGGAAGGATGGCCTTCGCATTCTTCTACCTCTTTACAATATTCTTTGTCCCTTCACAGAGTGGTACACCCTGGTCTATCAGCTGTGAGATCTTCGACCAGAATATGCGACGCTTAGGCCAAGTCATTGCTGCTTCTAACAACTGGTTCTGGAACTTCGTTGTAGCCTGTTTTACGCCCAGATGTTTACGAAGATGAACCATGGCGCCTTCTTCTCAATTTCTTTGCAGCTCCTCTGCATGGTCTATGCATACTTATTTGTACCGGAGACCAAGAGCGTGCCTCTGGAGCAGATGGACAAGCTCTTCGCCAAGAGTTTAAAGCCAAAGCACGCACATGCCGTTGTCATGAAGCAGCTGCGGGAGGCTTTCAGTCGCGCAGCCGTCGAGAGCACCGAGGAGAAGGAGGATGATACCCACCTTGAGAGCGCTTAAGAGGGATAGACAAAGATAAATCATCTTATATCAATGATGGCAAGATAATGCTATAGGCCCATTCAAAAAGCGAGATCATGCCAGCTATCCGGAATGTGCCCGGCATGTCTGCCTGTAGAATGTAGATAACGTACAATATAAACCATGTTTCATTTCTTGACCAAAACTCGCCTTCCAATTCCACATAGGAGGCAACTCGGAAGTCTACTTATATTCCCATAGTTATAAGGTAGGAACAGCTCATGCCCTTTAGCCCGTTTCAAGCCTACAAAGTACATGCATGGAAGACTGCTGTTCAAGCTCTGCGGGGACGCCTTCACGGTACCCAAGGTGTACCTTAGTAATCCAAAAAAAAAAACCCTGATCGCATATGATCTTAACCCCTTGCTTACAAAATATGCCATGCTCGGTTGCCTGATTGAAATCCGACGTATATCACATGTCCTCACTCTCCTTCCTTGACTACCTACTCAAAGAAGCGCAATGTCTTCCGGGACTGATACTTAAAAGGTTTGTGGAACTGCACTGAAGCGATGGATATTGCCATGACTGATTGCCCGATTGACCCGAAGAACAGGCCACATAGAACTAACTGAGCGTGTTCCATTACGCGCCTGGCAATGCTGACATCTGCTCCTGACTCGCCCTAAGTCCCCTCTGCAACGAAAATTCACACCACGCTTCGTAGTCTCTTTTCTTTCACTACTCAACGGCATTCCCTTCCGTCAATTTGATATCCGGCAGTTTTGGTTCTATTGGCCGTATTTGCCAAGTCACTCAGGATGCCTCCGCGCTCACCCTCGCGTTCGCGTTCGCCATCACCCCCTCCGCGTCCATATGAGATCCGTGGGTTTGAGATTGGTGGCGACAGTTTTGATATCAACATACGTGTCAACAACGTGCGCTTCGATATCCCTCTCTCGCCTGACCATTTCGTGCAATCTCCCAAAGCACTGGTACTTTTCAACAAGATCTTCGGCTTGGTCAAGAGGGATGATGATGACGACGATCCCGATGTGTGGGACTACGCCAGGGAGATTGCGGATCATTTCTTGCCAGATTTCCACCGTCTCGCGCCGAAGAAAGTTCATACCGGCAAGTTGACTCTTGCGGACCTCAGAGCAACCGGCTACTTTGAGTGTGAGTATAAAGTCGTTAAGGAGCGACCAACCATAACAACCGTCCAGCCTTGGGGGAGACAGGATGGCGAGGACGATCCTTGTGCTGATAAGGAGTGGGATTTGCGTACCTATCAATCAACATTTCCACTCTTTAGTCTTGAAGATGTGGAGGTCCCTTACACTGATGGCGAATCTGTTCATGATATCATCCCCCAAAAGGTGTTTGTGAATGGGAAAACATGCTTTTATAAATCTTGTTACTCACCATGGGACGCACTTGAAGAGGTGACCAAGTATTGCAAAATTGCCCAGTCAGGTCTTTCAATGTCCGACCTTCGCACTTCAAGGCTATCGGGCATTGTTACATATCGCGATGGACTGGCTAGAGGGCTCCTTTATGATTGGATTGAGACCAAAGACCCAGGAACCCTAACTTGGGCAATTGAACATGATGTCCCCCGCTCCCAAAAGAACAAGTGGATGCTTCAGATCCGCGATGCTGTGAGAAAGCTTCACAATTTGGGGGTTGTGTGGGGTGATGTCAAGGCCGATAATGTTTTAATCGATATGGACAAGAACGCGGTTGTGATTGATCTGGAGGGAGGCACAACAAGGGGCTGGGTTGACAGGGAGCTACTGGGAACTATCGAAGGAGACCAACAGGGCTTGAAACGGCTTGTTGATTTCATCCTCAATGATGACTCGCCGTTGCGACTCCGGAATCGGGTCGGGAGCGATTGTGAATATGAAAGTGAGGAGGAAGAATCCTGATGAGAGTTCGAGTATAAAGTAAGAAACAGCAACGGAAGAGGCCAGACCCGATATATCAACACAATACTGCACTGCACTCATATGTCTAGCTAGAGGCTTCTGTTGTTTCGTACAGCCGTGCCAATTTGTCAGACACTCGCGAGTTTAGCCTCGACAAATAATCCAGCAACCCAAAGAAGTGTTTCTTTGCCCTTGTAAGGACCTGAATCGATTCTTGCCCTTGCATCACCTCAAGGAGAGTAGCACAGATGTATCGGAGCTTCTCGGCCTGAGACACTCTGAAATTAGTAAACAACCACCTCTCGCACTTGTAGGGCTTCTTGAGAGCTTACCCCAGGCTCGCCATTCGCATGGAGCGCTCGGAGAGGAACGGCTTTCATCAAGTTGAGCACCTCATGCGCGATGTCTGTTTTTTTCCAGTCAATCGACAATCGGTCATTACTCAACCACAATAGACTAAGAAGTTCAGCAGCTGCAAAGCGATTGAGAACGAATAGTTGCAGAAAATAATATGAGAGCATGATGTTGGACTTTTGAATCCAGAATGCGAGTCTTTGATGCGTCTCGCGCAGTCTGTCAGGGTTGCAGATCGTCGGTGGTGACATAATGAATTCCGGTACATCATCGAGGATACTAGAAAAGCGCAAAAGTGCCTGCTTTAGACTGCCCATCTGTGCAATATCTAGAGTTCGGCCGCCAGATGCCCGAGAGTTTGCAGACAAGAAAAGATCCAGGTCAAACAGAATGCCAAACCCATGTTTCCAAAGCTCATAGTTTTTTTGAAATCCCATCATGAGGTGTCTCTCAAAGCAGCCTTCATTCTCTGGTCGATTTTGATCAAGCAACGATATGCGCTCATCGAAATCGAAACAAGTGGTGACAAAGCTCTGCAAACGCAATTCGTTCAGGTTTTGCTTTTTGCCATTTAGCAAGGAATTTGACCGGTCGAGCGAGTACAAGTATCTGAGTGCGTTGCGTCGCAGCGTCGCTTCAACGAAATCCAGACCTTCGTACGATTTCTCGTCGTGAAGTTGCATTTGGATCGCTAATCGGACAGCTTCGTCCACTTTGTGCCATGACAAGCACGAATTTCCTGTCATTTGATAGCATGAGGCTTGGAAGATGCGTATCGCAAGCGAGGTCGCTGTTGGGTGCGTGATATCGTAGTCTGCGAAAGCCCGAAGCGTTGCTTGCGATAATTCCAGGAACCGGGAAGGAATAGTGTCGTCTTGAGGGTACCTTATACAGGGGTGAATGTGGGAAACGAGCGCGCATAGCGATATTGTCAGTGAATATAACCGGATTAGAGCGATCGACTCTGGTGTCCAGCCAGATTGGGAATGTGTTACCCCAGCCATGACAGAAGGCAGAATCAACGATGTGTGCGAGCGAAGAGTGGGCTCGCAGACCACCGGAAGGAGAGGAAACACAGATTGCATGTAGATGTTTATACAGGCCTCGACAGTTTCATGGGGTGTGATGCCTTCAGCTGCTAATGCTGAAAGCAGAGCTTGATGGCAGAGAGCAACTGGATTGTTAAGAGCACTGGCGGAACCAGACTCGTTTCCCCGGCTTGCATCCTCGGCTGGGACAGGGCTCTCTGGAGTCGCTAAGGAGCGTGGAATTCCGTCACCGGGCTGCACAGTCTGACGAGATCCCACTGACTCCAGAGACTGATGTCTTGGTTTCGGCCCCCTTTTCCGGCGTGGCTTGTAATAGCTACAAAGTAGACTAGATAGCTGACAAGGAGAGCACGTTGGCGACAGCTGATCGCACTACATCCCGAGTTAGGTGATGTCCTTCGATGCAGTCTAGCCTCTGGCGCGGACGTACCTTGACCTTCCGTTGTCTGCATGAATCGCATGCTTGCTTCGGCATTACTTCCTTAAAGCACCAGTGCTAATGCATTTGCTCGACAATTGATACGCAGCCGTAACGGAGCACTTGGAGGTGAGAGGTGTTTGATAGTTTGATTAGGGCCGTAATTTTCCGATCGGAAGTCGCGGGACTTGTTCTTGAAATGAGAAACACCGAAGAAAAGGACGGTATTTCCCCGATATATAGCAAGGAATCAGGTTAGCGTCGGCGTATCATAACCATTAGCCTTACTTTGCCCGGAGTTTTGGCAACTCCATATTTCCACCGAATCCAAGCATGGGCCTTCTCGGCCGTCATCGCCCTACGGGTTGCATTCCTTTCCTGGAGTTCTCGTACAGTCTAGAGGCCATCGTCAGCCAAATAACCCCGAACACTAACACAACGCGGAGAATTTATTTCAATTATTGGTAGTCCTTGAAAATCGTCGCCCATGTTTGACCAACCCAGGCTATATAAGACCCCCAGTATTCATTGCGTTGAGATCTCGGGCCTGGCATCTTCCATTGTTATTTTCAACTTGATACTCTAACTCTCTTCCATATAAGACCCCCAGATACGACGAGGAATTAACAAAACCTATCTTTTTATCGAAAAATCAGGACACGAGATGTCTCCTAAAATTAGAGTTGCTGTTGCAGGTGCCTCCGGAGTGACCGGCTCCTCTGTCGTGAACGCGCTACTAGCCACCCGTGAGAGATTTGTAAGATGGGCTTTTTTCCCTGGCTTTATAGCAAGTCAACAATTTGCTAATATTGGTGCAGGAAGTGACGGCTCTTGTGCGGCCCCTGTCTTTGGGTAAACAGGTATTCGTCGAATATGCCCAGCGAGGCGTGGTTGTCAAGGCAGTCGAGCTAGATGGGCCCGCGGGCGCCGTTGCTCAGATCCTTGCCGGAGTCGACGTAGTCATATCCTGTATGACCTTGCTGCAAATGAAAGAAGAAATGACCCTCGTTACGGCAGCCCATGAGGCTGGCGTAAGTCGCTATGTGCCTAGCTTCTTCGGCCCAGTTTGTCCACCCCGCGGCGTCATGCTGGCTAGAGAGATGGTGAGCAGAATCCCCAACACGGCGCAGCCCGGGATACGGTCATCATTCTACTGATCCAGCTAACAAATTCACGACCATAGAAGGAGAATATCCTCGACCATGTTAAGAGTCTGTACCTGCCATACACCATCATCGACGTTGGCTGGTGGTATCAACTATCCTTGCCACCTTTGCGGTCAGGAAAAGTACGAGTCAAGGAGGAATACTCAACTACGCAAATTGTTGGCGACGGTACCAACCCTTGGGCGCTTGTCGATAATCGTGATATTGGAAAGTACCTCGCAAGAATCATCGTCGACCCAGAAACTCTGAACAAGCAGGTATTTTGCTACAGCGAAGTGTGGACTCAAGATGATGTGTACGAGTCCTGGGGAGTGGTTACCGGCGAGTCCATCAATAGAAATCCTGTAAGGATCGCTTTACCCTTGCAACTGCACCCACCATTGACTGACCACTGTTGCATTTTAGATCAGCAAAGAAGAGATACTCCAAATAATTTCAGAAGGCGAGGCCGATATGGCCCACGGGGATCTCGGATCTGCGGCCATGTTGAAGTTGGGGATGGCGCAGTACAAATATCTGCTCGGCATCCGAGGTGATGATACACCCGAACACGCAAAATACCTAGGTTATCTTGACGCGAAAGAACTTTACCCCGATATTGTGGCTTCGTCTTTCAAGAACTACATGAACGATTTATTCACAGGATGTATTAAAGCCCCTTACACCTAGGGTACGATGGGGTATGTTTGGTTGGTTGTGTGGTAGCTTAGTTTGGCTGAACAAATAGACTAGGAACGGGTTGATATAAGCGTTGTAGGTGACAAAGTTTATGCCGAGCTCGTCTGGTAAGTAGTTGGCGGCATAGAAAGCCTCTAAATAGCTTGACTATAAACTTATAAATGAGCTTAGCTATCACCATATTTTCTTTCACTATGTTTTTAGGGGCTAAAAAGTATTACTATAAAAGCTATCTTGTATTAAGCCTTGATCCCTTCAACCTCCTTTTCTCCCCAAGCTTCCTGAGCTCATGCCTTACTATAATGGTACAAATCAACCTATCAATATGATTTTGTGACAGCTGAAGTTTCTCATCTAGAAGACTGTGAGCAATCACTTTATTAAGCCAGTTCGATTTTCTAAATGTACTTACACATGTTTTTTCTTGCACTAACTAGTCGGCATCCGAGATACTTTATCTCATCTTCTTGGATAGTAAACCGATTATTGACATTTTCAAGCCAATCCAAGTTGAATTCGGTGCTCTTTCTTGTCCGAAAGAGATAATGATACAAGCTGGCGATGGAGATGATACAGTCCAACTTCTCGGTGGGAAATGCAACTTGAGGATCTCAGTGGTTGTATTAGTTCAATGTCTTGTTGGAAGCCAAGCTAAAGTGCGCAGAGTCTCACCGTTGGAAGGATCGTTCCTGATGTTTAACACACTCAGTGATTCGCGATATATAAAGATGAGCTGCCACAAACATGCCCAAATTACCATATGATCTTGGTGTTTGACGCTAACAGGGACGCATATGAGCTTGTCTAGGATATTGAAGGTTTCCAACTCAAGGAGCGGCAGCGCTTTCAGTGCAACATCTTTTAGTTGCGTCTGTAATGCTAAAGTCATGATTACGGGTGCGCGATCCTGATCTTGCCACCGAAACGACGATGTGTTCAATATCTTGAAGAAACAGTTCATCTTATGGACATTCTGTACCATCGATTGCTGCAAACCAGTCAGCATTTACGATTAAGAAGCATGCCAAGGGGTGAGAAGCATACATGAGGTAAGCTGTTGCGCCCCTCCGAATAAAGGAGCAGGAAACTCTGTAACATTTGGGGGAATTCCCATCGATGTTCCATTCGTATCCTGCCTTCCACCCACCTCTGCAATCCATCAGCGTCGGGCACGCAGGCGGGAGCAAAGCCCCTCCATTGTTGGCGGCCTCTCCGCTCTGAATCACAATAATACGTATGGGTCTGAACCTTGATTCTCAGAGCCGGTGAGTCACCTTCGTCGGCATGAAAAACCAACAACGGCCCTGGGCTACCGCATTGTTGAAGGTGGTAAGAGGATGCGCATGTTTGGATTTCCGCGTCCTTTATCGACGAAACTGTAAGATATCAGCGCCGAATATTAGTATATTTCTGAGGTTTCTGAGGGTACCGATTTTCTTACATTCTTGAAAGGATAATGGTTTTAACATAGAAAAAGGCTTTCTCCTGCAGATCATATGTAGATGAGGGTGATCCGGAAAAGCCTTTCTGCATGATGGGCAGACCTCTGACCTATCACACTAGGGTTAAAGACCTATTAGCTCTTGCTTGACCAGAGTGTCGTAGGTGGAACCTCAATCGCACCCTAATATTGGCTACACGGCATGGCAAACATGCTCCCATCCTGCGAACATGGGCGGTTTGAACAGAGTCGCAGAGCCGTGGAGTCAATCGGCGGCGCTTTGGACCGGCATTGTCCTCCTTGTCATGCATGACCGGTGGGTAAATGTGCGATAGGCCGACACACGTCGTGGTGTCTTGACCATTAATCTGAGGTTTCGAGATGCTCAAGGAGGTTTGATGGGGCCCATTCTTCGACGCATCGGGGGTGATTGAAGGACCATCATTGAGAGACCAGGTGCAGGTATCAATTTCTAATTTGGCGGGATGATCTTGTTGATCCAGACTCTGATTCCCTGCCGTAGATCTGGTTCCATTCTCTTCCATTAGCGGGATCATGGGTAACATTGAGGCAAGCATTCTGCCCCAATAGTTTTCAGATGTCATGCTGGTCGCAGTTTCATTAGTGGTGGTGTGATCCCCTCGACGCTCGAGAAGCAACGGCATCACTTCCCTACCAAAGGATTTCGCTAGAGTGCGCATCTTAGTGTTGTGCCAGTCTGCTGGGCTATCAAGAAGCAGAATCAAGACTTCCCTCCCACTCCAATAATTCCCAGCTGCCGCTTGCACAATGTCCTCTGTAACAACCAGGTGGTCGGCTTGCTCCAGAAGTAACGCCATCACCTCCCTTCCATACCAACAATTCTCCGCAGCAGCTACAAAGATCTCCTCGGATATGACCATCTCTCTGCCCAATTGGTCCATAAGTGTTCTCATAATTTCCTTATCAAAGCTTCTGGCGACACTTAAAATCGTCTCCTCGGTGATGACGGCTTTTCTCCTGTGAGACTTGAGCAGAGTGGACATTACATTCTTGCCAGAGGTTTCATTGCTCCTTGCAGCTTTCACCACTTCTCCTGTAATGAGTGTGTTCTCTTTGTTTTGGTCCAGAACCATTACCATTACCTCACCATCAAGCCATTTAGCAACGCTCGATACTGTCTCTTCAGTGATAGTGATAAACTCTGTGCGTCTTTTAAAAAGCTCTGACATTGTCTCTCTTCCACTTCGAGTGTTTCCAGCTACAGCCTCCACCACTTCTTTGGTAATGGCCACCTTCTCTGTCATTTGGCCAACAAGGCTTGCCATAATCTCTGGGCCCTTTTCCTGATTTGAAACTGCGAGTGCTAACACCCCCGGTGTCAATTTGGCTCCACGACTGAGCAGAACTGTAATCACGTCCACATAGCCCGACCGAACAGCCCATTGAAGTGGCGTCTGGCCAGCGGCGTCAATGCAATCGGGTTCGCGATCGAAGTCACTCCGGCCATGCAACGCAAAAAAATGATTCACCAGGCAGCTTATCCCCCATCTTCCGGCGACATGTAGTAGAGAAAACCGGTAAGCAACACTGTGATTATTGGTCCAATTTTCCGATCTTAGATACTCCAGCCACCGCTCGCGGCTCTCAGAGGTTGCGCTGAAGAATTCGGCCCGCGAATGCTTAATGTCAAAACTTGACCGCGCCATGCGAGCGTGGTTTGGCCAATTCTTCATCGAATACTCTCTAAAGTTTCCCAGCACTCGTCGGTCATCTCGCAAGCTCCTGGAGGCAATATCGACGCAGCGGTAGGCTAGGCGGGCATGTGCATCGAGCTCCTTGACGAAGAAATGGGAACCACCGCCTATTAAATAGTCCTTCACAGATTGATGTAAAAGCAGTACCTCTTGATCCTGAACAATTACCATGAGCCGACAGGACGCAATATCGTCTTGCGTGTACTGTAGTCGCGTTTCGACGTCTTCTTCTTCCAAATGGAGATGGCAAGCATCAGACAACTCCCCCACCGTCAATGGCCGGAGGGCTACTGCAACACAGCTCATGATGCATTGCACAGTATCTGAGTTTACGTCATTTTCTCCACGCGCCTTGTTCAAGAGCTCTTGGTAAAGGGGGTAAAGGCCTTTGGGCAGCTGCTGCAACACTCGAATGGCGTGTCTTGAAAGAACCTGTTCTAGCTCCTTGCAAGCCAGACCGACCCAGAGGAAGGTACCTTCGGCCTTGAGTTTGAGGATGCTGCTGACTTGTTCCCTGACTTTGGGTGTGTAACTTTTTCTTCTAGAGAGCTCTGCGACAGTTTCCTTAATGAATCGCTCAATATCTTGCTGTCGCTGTGGAAATGAGCCCAGGTCCTTGTTTGTGAACCGTTCCAAGTACTCGCCAATTTCCGGATATGGTCGGCTGGTAATCAAAATATGCACATTTTCAATGTTGTTGTGGCAGGAAAATGTTTGATCAAATTGCCGTAGCAAAGTAGCTTGAGATTCTTCGTCACACTCATCCAATGCGTCAATGATAAAGTACTTTTGGCCTGTTTCATTGTCTGCCGCAGCGGCTATGAACATAGGCCACATAACGTCAAAAGAGTCAAAAAGCTTTCCTCTGTTTTCTTTATTGGATTGCGTATACTTGGGAAGCACATATTCGTGAATGAGTCGAGGATACTTCTTCAGGAGTTGCCAGAGCAAGCCTCTGATAACTGATGTAGCTGTCTTTCTCGTGTCAAAGCCTGAGTCGCAGAAAAAATATCCCAAGGTCTTCGAATCGGTTGAAGAAAATTCGATGGAAAGCTGCTCGGTTAAGAAGATGGCTACTGTAGATTTTCCTGTCCCTGGATGTCCGTGGAGCCAAAGGACATTAGACATTTCGGTTACCGCGCCCCCTCTTTGTTCGGGATCAAGCCATCCAACAATTTCATCCGAGTCCAGAATCCACTCGCAGGTTCCATTCGCGCGGCCACCTTTTTTGCGTTTCAGTGTGTCTCTGTCAACAACTGGGTCGGTCTGGAAGAGATCGCCTAGGCAAGCTTGAGCAGTAGCCTTGTCTTCTCGGTCCAGGTCAACATCAGAGCTCGCGTCATCGTGTTTACTAGTTTCGAGGGTATGAAGTAGGTCTTTAGCATATGCTGCTGCGGTTGATGCTGCGTATGGCTGCCACGCTTTGTTCTTGTGTGAATCAGAATAGTCACAGATACCACGTATGACGAGGCAAGGAAAGTCGTCCATCAAGCCGGCAGCCTCCATCTCGAAACAATCCACCTGCTTCTCACGTTGCAACCGATCCCTTGTAGCACCGTCCCGCATGACCCGATCCCCAGATGCAATTAGACCAAGATGAATGACTGGATCTTCTGAGGGACGGTTTGGTCGCTGTACTATCCTGCTGGGATCACACTCCAAACAAGTTGTATTACCTTCGGGGTGGTCGTAGAGAGCTTCATAAAGAATGTCACTGTCAACGCCAGGGTGGGAGTAAAAGGCCGTCATATTGGGGTATCTTGCAGTCATTTGCAATAAGCTGCGCGACAGTCCAGATCCTTCTCTTTGATATTTTGCTTGCAACTGTGACACAGCTGTCATCAATACCCTCGGCGGTTTGTTCAATGTCCCCGTCTGTACAAATCGGCCCCCTTGAACAGACTTTCCAAAATCATACTGGATGACTCCTCCAGACGTTGCATTTGGATGACTGATCACAACATCACCTAGGCGGATGTCTCTCGCTTGGCTAGGTGCCGCTCCTCCAATGCCCACCATTAGGCCAAGCCGCAAGTTGGTAAACGTCCGTTGCATGTTGCTCGCTACCCTCGCAGCGGAAGTTTTCCCGGTGCCTCCAGCGGGCAAACATGCCATGGCAATATTGTGAGCCCCGATACGGCCGAAGGTATAGGAATTATCATCGCTAGAAACCCGACTCAAGGACACGTGTGTCTCGTCGAGCATGGCCTCGCTCGCCGCCATTTCCACTGGCAATGCACATATCCATCCTACCGTATAATCCCGATGGGATAAAGGATTGGACTTCCCCATCGTAGACATCTGTTGAAGCAATGTGCTACCTGTAGCTTTTCATGTTGTTCAAGTGTGCTCGTGAGACGCAAAATTACCCCGCTCACTTTCCTGTTGACATCGCTTACCTGAACTTGTAGCTGATTGGACCAGGTGGTGTGGCTATACAGTGGCGTAACACCCTCTATGTGGTATATGAAGAATTTAAACCTCTATTAATTAAAATTGAAATATTACCAGATGTATTGAAAACAATGATTCACAATTGGAAACTGTCTATCCTCTGATGTCCCAGAATTATCCTGAAAGATAGACATATCAAGCTTCGGAGTTGTGTGGACTTTCAAATGGTCTGTTAGTGATAGTTTAGGATGGCCGTGTCCTGGATCTGCCAGACAGTTTCGACCGATGGGAAAAAATTCTCCAACAAAGCCAAGGAGTGGGCGAGACTATCCTAATTATAGTCCATTTACATTTTTGAAGACCAGCGGAATAAGCCTCTCTGCAAACCTTGTGATCAAAACTTTTGCGAGAACCGAAACTAAATTGGGATGGGGGCTTGGCCACCAGTTTAAAGGTTGTTAATAATAAGCATAATCTCTTGATATATTCAAATAAATTTGTAGATCTTTGACTGGCTCATCTTCGCAGAAGCGGAATGAATTTATCCCTCCTAGTAACCGGTATAATTTTGGTAGTTATTGTCTCCTTCATCGTGGTGTTATCTAGCAACAAGCTATGCTTTGGGTCCAAGTAATTGCACTGGTTGTCGATCCCCAGGTTGGGCCTTTTCTAGAAGCAGAACACTTGATCTTCCAGCTTGCTAACTGGACGCGCCTTTGCGTATCCCAGAGACTCGGTGCACTTCTTCATTACGGCGATCATAGGCGGCGGTCCGCAAAGAAGTATCTTGACATCATCGGCAGGATCGGGCAATTTGTCCTGAGATATTGTTAGTCATCTTCACATGTGTCCCAGTCCCATGCCGGATAGGTTGAGCGGACACTTAGTTACCTTGATCATTGCTTCGCTTACAAAGCCGATGCCGCCGTCCCATCCTTCAGGAGGGTTGTTCAGTACATAATGCACTTGAAAGGCGCCATCCTTTCGAGAGAGCTCGTCCAACTCATCCTTCAGCAGGATATCTTGAAAAGAGACATTGGCATAGATCAATTTGACGACGGTCATGTCCCCTCTGGGACGCTCTCTGGAGATTGCACGGGCAATTTGGAACATAGGGGTAATACCAGTGCCACCCGCAATCATGCCAATCTGACGGACCATATTTGGGGTGTACCGAAAGGCCCCTTTCGGTCCACGAATCTTCATGGTTTGCCCGATACCTAAACTTGCCACATGTCTAGAGAGCTTCCCGGTTGGGTAGGACTTGATAATGAGGTCAAAACACCCAGGCGTTTCGTCGGCAGAGACAGGGGTGTAGCTGCGGGTGACTTCTGCTGCCTGTGGACCGATGGGCGCGGACATGGAGATGTGCTGGCCGATGGGAATGCCAAGGACATGGTCCGGTTGAGGAAGCTGGAATCGGTAACTAAAGCTTGGTTATTTTTGCGGCGCCATGCTGAAAAATTTGGGAGGCAAGGAGACGAACATTGCGGTGTTGTGTGACAGCGTAGTCTTCCGAGAAAGCACTACCTCCAGGAACTTATCTGGGTGTAATACCGATCTTGGCACTAAGTCATTGTTAGATTAACATTCCCCTGGCTCCTGGCACGTACGATCATCACGGTTGCCAGTTTCGCTGAATAAGGAGTACCTTTGTAGTGTCTCTTTTGGATGGCAACGGTAATAGAAATCGCTAGAAGGATCCCGATCGGTACGAGACGGTCCGTCTTGAATACTGCAAAGCTAGCCAAGACAGCAGCCGAACCTAGATAATGCCAGTATCTAGAATAGTTTGTGATAGACATCAGTGTTGATGATAACATGATGAATGAAAGTATTGCTTTCAAAAACCAGAGAGAATGTGATTGACAAATGTGTTTGACCTAACGTGGGCAATTCCTTGTACTAATCACATTGTGCTAATGGTCTGCATTCGCTCTTAATTACCCCACAAGATGTTCTTTGTGAAAGGACCGAGCCAAAGCTACTTCTGAAGCAACTACCTAGTGCAGAAAATGACAAGAACCGCCATGGGGCAAATTAGCTAGCAGAGACCATCTCATCGCTCCGAGGCGCGGCCATGATTCGCCCGATGTTCCCTCGCGCCGAAGAACCAATACTAGGTAGTGTAGTGTAGATCACCAACGACATCTGGCCGAGCTAATGTGGGACTTTGACTTGCCGTGAGGTGTCTGGCTTGAATAACTCTTTCTATTTGCAATGTGTATTTCCTTCTCACGCACGAGATTGGAATTTTCTACTTCACCGTTAACACAGCATGTTCCATCACCGACATTCTTGTTTTCATCCTCCTCGAGCATGGCTACAGCTGGCTACGGGGCCACCTTGGGCTCTCTCACCTTACTCACTCTGCGTAATGAAGATTTTGTACCACTCCTGCCTTTACCAAAGCGTTCAAGCGAGGTCAAGCTCACCTTTGTCATATTTATTGAAGCAGTAAAGATATGTACTGGGACTTCCGCTACATCTGCAATCGAGAATGGCTCCATTGGCTACATGTTGGCGACCAAACTCGGCCTCGCTTGCTCGTCGGTAATGTATTGGCGAGCAAGTTCGGCGCGAACATGGATCATCCACGATACCATTGATACTGCAGGCCCTTCTCTTCTTTCATGTTGCTTTTCTTTGGGAATAGCACTTGATTTTATTGAAACGCAACAACTTCGTTTACCGTGTCACGCAATGACGATTTGAATAACATTGAATATATAAACTCTATGAGAACGAGATGAATGATTAGACCTCGACCTGAAGTCGACCTCTATTACTACATCGATACTACACGGACCAATAGTGCTGCAAAACCATCTTCGTATTCGTCCAAGTGTTCATTTATTACACCTCCATCAATACAAGGATTGATTCAAGTTACCTAGGCTATAAAGCGTGGTATTGTTTGGACCATGGTGGTGATGCGCGAGTGGTAAAGACCACTCAATGCTTGTCTAAGTCGCAGAGGCAGCCCTGGCCAACAGTTGCGGAATGGCTACAAAAGCCGCACGCGGCGCCGCCCTTTGTGCAAAGTCCTCCAGGAACGCAGGTACCGACACCGCCGCCGCTCAGCTAGTGACCGAGTTAGCAAGGAGGAAGAGGAATAAACGCTCAAATCAGGTTCAAGAGATACTGGGGGGGAGTGCGTACGTGTCCATTCTTCGCGCCGCCTTTGGCAGGGGCAGCTTTCTTGCCAGCTGCCGCCTTTTTTGTAGCACGGAGGTAGAGGTCACGCTTCTCAATGTACTCGTCGCGGGCCACGAGGTAGTCTTCACGAGCGATTTCAGCGATCTCACGGCGGGAGAGGCCGGCATAGTCATCATCCTCAGTTTGGTGCGCAGCAGCGAAGCCGGAAAATGCAACGAGGGAGATAATGGTCTTGATAAAATGCATCTTGAAAGTTGTAAAGAAAGAAATATGAATGATAGATATAAGAGAGTGCTGAATATAAGAGCGCCTTACTAAATGAAAAAGTGTTTGAAGAAGTACTAATAAAGATTGTATTTTTAAATAGATGGAAGAAAGGACGGTTTATATCCTTTTCTATGTAGTTTTGCCTATACTACGTACTCTTGTCAACTTATCTTCAGAAAATCCGTATACTCGACAGTAGCCTAGTTTCAAATAAATTACATATAAATTAACAGCTGGATTGATAGATTCTAGACTAAATATCGATTTAGGAGCCATCTCATTGTTACTAGCATAAGAACCCTGACCGGAAGCTACCTACCAGAGCTAGAACTATCCGGTCCCAGTAGCTCGGTCGAGGAAAGTGGCCCCATCATCCTCCCAAAGTCTAGTCACAAAGGATTACGAAGGAGAGAGAGAAAGTTCGAGTGGCTTATTCAAACACAGTCAAAGACAGCAATGAAGATGCTAGACCCACACATCTCAAGACAATGAATTAAAGTCTTGTCACAGCCTGATTGCTCAAACGGTTGATTAACAAATTGGGAGCGGCGAGCTGGTTTCTGGCCAACAGTTGCTAATTATAAGCACCAATCACCACTAGACAATATTGGTGGCGATCGATGGGACAAAAGTCCTTCTCTTTGCCCCGGATTGTAGATTTTTTGCTAATTTCAAAGAGGTCGACCGATCCGGCATGGTCCAAACTAGGTCGTTGCCGAGCCGGGAGCCCCGATCAATAATGTATTTTCGGTAGTAGCTCGCCCTGCCAATTTATCATTGAATCTATTGCGTTTACCTTGTCTATGAATCATCTGTGCAGACCTCCATCCCGACAGCGAGTTGCTGTGAGCCTAGGTAGCCTAGCTGTCTTATTTAACTGCTGAAATAGCCATGCATCATGACAGCCACTTTTACTGGAAGCCTGGCCCAGGTCTCGTGATTAACTGCCAAAGGAGTTCCCTTGAGGCAAAACATATTAACAAAGTACCTGTATAAGCGGGTGGGGTACGCTATATCTAAAAAGGCATCTACGGGGTGGTTTCGTCAAAATCACGGTCGATCTGACAGCACTTATCAATGCCCGCCGGGATTCGGTACATTGCAGAGTGGAACTTCGCCATTGCGGGATCCAGAATATGTCACTGCCTGTGGGACTATTCGGTGATTTCCCATGTGGTTGTTACTATACTTGTCATATCCATCCAATATAGGATGAGATGCTCCTCAACATGACATACGTAGGCTATGATCGGCTCGACCGGCTAGTCTTAGGCGGGACGTAAAGTAGGTACCTTCGTAACTAACGTAAGTAGAGAATGTACCTTTATAACATCCTTAACACCATAGGCAGGGGCTCAAGATTGTATAATTAGGCGGCCAGGAAGCCAGTTTACGTTCCCATTTCACCTTAGGCTGTCGAGCCGATCGCAGCCATAGCCAGCTCTCTCTTCACACCAGTCTCTCCTTTCTTCCTATCTTTTGAGTCGGTTTTTCTTATTCACGGTTGTCTTTCAAGCTCGTCACAATGAAGACTTGCCTCATCAGTTCGCTCCTTATAAACTCAACATCGCTGACCTCGCTGGATTCAAGCGTTTGGGTGTATCTGCGTGGCAATGCCTCGGCTAGGGTGTCACTCGAAGCTACCGAAAACATACCTTGATTGAGTCACATAAAAGTTTCTGTCGCGTTGGATCGGTCAGATGTAAATTGAGGTTTGCAGGTTAGTGATCAAGCGGGGCATCACAGTCAGAAGTGCAAGCGAATCAGTCCGGAGACACTGGTGCAATATTCTAGAGTTTATATACGGTCTAAGCATTGTATAATTTAATAATAAAATGACTTCCACGTGTGATAATTCTAGCAACACATCAAATAAAAGAAGAATCAATCCCGGCAAAAAGAGCCTTCCAGTCAAAGTCGTCAATATCAATGCCATTGTCTGTAGCCTGCCACAGCCCATCTGACAGCTGCTCTTGTGGCACTTCATTAGCCGGGGACACCTCTCTAGGATTCACGGTACCAGGCAGTATTAGAATGTGCGAAGAGACTCTGCCATTCGCCCTATTATTCAAACCATCCATCTCCTTGTTGGTAGTTGCTTGGTTCGTGGGGAGCGAGACACGGTGCTTGCTCAGGAGATGCACCAGGGAATTGAAGAGTTTCTCGGCGGTGGGCGAGTACTCGCTCGCATTCTTGAGCACCCGGTAAGCCTCCACAGTTTCTCTCGAGGGAGCCTCGTGCCTTCCCGCTGCAGAGCCAAGACACTGGTCGAGAAGCAAGACTATACAGGCGAGACATATTATGTAGAGGACGCCGCAGTGACGGGTCATGTTGGAGAGAAATGGGGGGCAGGATCTCTTCTCGAGCACGAGTTCGATCCGTATGACCTGCTGCGCGGCACCCAAACACGCGTTTCTAGAGTAACCGACGGCGGGATCGACAGCCGCTCGGAAGAGATAAGGCAAGTGCAATTTACACAGCTGGGCTTGGATACTGAGGTTGAGCATGTATGCTTGAGTTGCCAGGACACGCGGCGGAGGGGAGTCATGCCCACGATCCTGGAATGACCCGTCCGGACCTAGTTGAAAGGCGGGTACCAGCTCACGAGTGAACCTATTGAGCTCGGCGTCGGAATGCATGACGTGGCCGTATCTCATCTCGCTGTACAGCCCTCCGCCCAGAAACGTGTGCTCGGCGTGTTCGCGGCACAATTCGGCAAGCCGTATTTTCAGAATGTGAAAAGTCATTGGCGACAGGCCTCGGTCCGGCGTCTCATTGTTCTCAATCTCATCATCACTGCAGTCTCTGGGTCGATTTACTGCCATTAGCTTGGGATGCATGAGGTAAAAGTCCGCGCGCGGGTAGCAATGCTGTGCCAGAAGCCTTTGCTCTCGTGTTAGCTAACCATCGATTGAAACATTTACAAGCCCGAAAAATGGGTGTTGTGGCATATCTCGTACCAGTCGAGCGTCACCACACTCCACCATACCCTGCGTCCCATCTCAGCTGCAAGGATGCTGGACCGAGTGTTTGGTTTGTAGTCCATATTCACCGGCAGGTCGATGATGTGCAGGCCAAGATTGCGAGCAAATGTGACTGTTGTGCCAAAGACGGAGCGCAGCTGTGTCGAGAAACCTTCAAGATGGAACAATACATAGCATGTGTGGAGAAGAGCTTGGACATGTTGAAGAGAGTTGGAGCCAACACGGGCCGAGTAGTCAATAATATCAAGTGTGGCCTTGACCCATGAGGTAGTTTGCTGCTTCGCCTCGGGGGACGAGGGGAACAATACTTCATGACTAGGATCGTAACTCGTCCAGTTCTGTCTCACAGTTGCGATTATGCTGAGAAGCAGGGCCAACGGTCCCGTAACTGCATCATCTTGCAAGTCCCCATGTCTATACAGGTCATCGATCATAGGTTGCAGCAACGGTAAATAGACGATGTGACGTATGTAGTCAATCTCTTCAACGAACTTGTCTGTAATGAGTCTTGTCTCTGAATGTTCTGGGATCCAGATACATCTTATGGGATTGACAATACCAAATGAGCTGGCAGAAGGTTGGAATATATAAGTTACGGGGTTGGTAAGCTGGCCCAAGGTGCAAACTTTGAAGGTGAGGCTATCTGAAAGTGCAGAGCCCTGGGTTTTTCAACAACTTTAGCTGCGGGTGTTCACTGCCGGCCAGGATGATATGAGAAAGACAGACTTACCAGAGAGCTCTGCACCTTGCACAGCTTCTCGAGACGGACGGCATCGGTCTCTAGGTCCTGTATCTTGGGCATGATTCCAAGGGAGCGCCGGGGAGACTGAGCGTTGTCGGCCTCCGGGACTATCGATCCTGAGCTAGGGGATCTCAAGGCTGGACTGGTATTTGGACGCTCCGCCAATAAGTTCTCAAGACGAAGAAGACGCTCAAGGATGTCAGGGCCGGTAACATTGAGCTGGCGGTTGGCTGCTGGCACCCTCGCGGGCCGGGATTGTGGAGCGGGCTGCTGGCAAGAGATATTCCGGCTCACGCAATTGGAGCATGGAGATTCACGGCTGCAACGAAGCTTGCGAGACTTACAGGATAGGCATGATGCGGGCCGTCTATAGGCCGATGAACGGTTTGGATGCCGGTCGTGGCTCGGCATTCTCCTTTTTTCCAAGGGCTTCCAGGTCCTTTTCCACGGGCTTCTGGGTCCGAGCGATAAGAAGCGAACAAGCCGAGTTTCGAGATTTCAATTGGGTTACAGTAGCAGCCATTCAGTTACCTATCCCGCATGAGACTGTAGACATACATGGCCGTCCGGGTCGGGAAGTTGAAGGTGCACGGGGTTTTGGTCAGGGGTCAGAGCCCGCGGACCCGCGGGGCCGAAACAGCAATTCTCCACTGTTTGAGCCAACCAAAGAAGTTCTACGAATGGATGTGAACACGGTTGATCTGGTCAGTGCACTGGGCTCAACGCATCCATGAGAGGCCGAATCCACAATGAGTTGCTCAAGATACGACAGGAATAACAACCAGATATAATTCATACACTAGCGAGATGTAGCTAGTAATGAAGGACGAACAGCATTGCAGGGTGGACTCGGCCATGGAATTTACATCAAACAATCCAGCCGCGGACATCTTCGATCCGGAAACCCGGCCACATGGAGAGATTCTGTTTATTTAAATCCTCAATTTCCTCAGAGATGAAATAGCCATTTGAATCTCTCCACGGTCTCATTGCCCGAACAAACATTAGCATTTCTCTCCAATCATGCATCACTCTCACGTTCCTACCGAAGCCACCGACCGCGTCGCCTAGATGCGTGGGACCCATGACAAGATCAAGCTCGACCCGGCCCGGACCGCACATGTCGTCGTCGATCTCCAAGTCGGCTTCATGGGCGAGGGCTCACTGCTAGAGGTACCGAACGCACGCGGCATTGTCGACAACGTCAATCGCGTGTCACAGGCGCTGCGGTCTGCGGGGGGAACTATTGCCTACGTCCAATACAAATTCGATGCCGACGAGCCACACCGGTGGGGACCTCATTACGACCGCATGACTCCGGATGCGGTTGAGCGGATACGAGCGGCGTTCAGCGTCGGCAGAGAACAGCACGCTCTCTGGCCCGGCCTCGACGTCCAGCCAGAGGACCTGATTGTGCCAAAGACGCGGTGGAGCGCCTTCATCCCCGGAACCTGCGACCTTGACTCGCTTCTAAAGGCCAGAAGCATCGACACGCTCATTGTCACGGGCACCACCACCAACATCTGCTGCGAGTCAACCATGCGGGACGCGATGCAGATGGGTTACAATGTCTTGTTCGTGCAGGATGGAAACGCGACGCGCGACGACGCGGTTCACAACGCCAGTCTGCTGAACATGCTTTTCTTTGGCGATGTTGTTACCGCTGAAGAGGCAATCGCACGAATTGAGGCAGGGCTGCGTCCCGAGAATCCCAAGAATGGGGGGCCTGGGGTTTGAACTATTTTTCCATGTGTTTATTTGGAATGCAAGGGTTTCCCGACTGAGTGGATGTGAAATCGAAATCTCCAGATGACTAAAAATACGTCAATTTTCTTCTTGCTTAGTAAGACATACAACTTGCCAAGCTGAGATTTACCTACCCTAAGCTCTATTCAACTTCAACCACCCTGTGCAAAGATCACTCTAAACAGGTACCTACATAATGCATTTGTCTAGGTCTATTATATATAGCTGGAAATTAAAGAGTAAATATCTGTCAGATGTTCCTTTTTATTGAGAGTTATGTATGAGATAAGTGTTGCGGTGAAGCAAGAATACGCAGAGAAGTGGAACAATACTGCTGTTTGGCGGTGATGAAATTCAGCGAACAATTGGCCTTAGCATTGGCATTCGCCACCAATAAATTAGGCTGGCGGAAAATACTGCAGAGGTAGAAAGATACTGTTGGTATTAATTTAATATGCCTCCCATCGTCAACGGCTGTTCAAAAGATGATAAACGCAACCAGAGTACCTTAGATTGGCAAAGCACCTACCACCTACGCAAGTTGGCGGGCTACCACTGAAAACGTATTAGCGGGTGGTTTCGTTAAAATTGGGGCTATCTGCGGGTAATCCATGGTAATTGTTACAGTATGACGTATGACCAGCTTGACGTAACAATATGCAGATGGAATGCTGACACATCGACCCACCTCACCCTTCCGCTTCATTAGCATCATCACTTTTCAACCCTCTACACTCAATCGATCACAATACAGTGTAACAGTTTTGAACAAATACTTAGGACCGAGATTGGCTCAAGGTTCCAATCAAAAGTACGGTGTAAATATATTACATCTAGGCTCCAACCGCACTTGAACCCTGGCTGGTCATGCTAAGCTTCGCCAAGGATGAATTCAATAGAGAAAGTCCAATAGCTCAGTAACCTGTGAAATTAATTGACAGTTTTATTGCGTCGATTATGAGGTGCAATTTTCGCCGTCTAGTGAAAGATTCCATTCACAATATTGCTTCCAACAGTTGCACCGGCACCAAAGATGACAGAATGGCCGAATCGCTTGACTAGATCCCCGACATAGTGCTTATGCTGCAAATAGTGAGCACGGGAAATAGACGGTAAAGTCATAGGGTGAGTGTTCAAATAAGACATACATCGGGATGATCCTTGTGGGCAGGATGGTCTGGATTATCTCTGTTGGCTTTCGCCTCGTTGAGAATCCTTTGATCCTCGTCGCTGAGATTCTGTTCCTATCACCGACTGTCATTAGCATAGAAATCCTATATTCTCAAGAACTCGCACTACATACCCCGCCCATGGTTGAAATTACTGTCTCGAAGATAAGTATTAGATTTAAGGAAATCTGGGAATCCGGTGAGTTGTAAGAAGAATGGCTGAAGACTGTATGTGTGCGAGCATCGGAAAACAAGTATATATTCATTTTTAGAGTTTATTTCCCCAATAAAATTGATCCTACGTGATAGTGATGTAATGGTTTTGATCAGAGTAAATGTCTTGTTAGTGGTTTGTTGAAACCTAATCTAAATCTTCACTACGGAACGGCCGGATGTGGAAACACCATCCGGGCCGGCACGATACCAAACCGTATTATGATAGATGTCACAAAATAATAATAATAATAATGTATAGCTCACCGAGGTGTTAACGAGGATGTTAAAGACACAACTCAAGTTTGGGTTAGAGATGGCCATGTGAAATCATTCAAAATTCTTCTTGTTGCTATGAGAAATACCCAAATACTTGAATCGTTTTGATTGGTAATACTTTAACTGTTTGTATCACAAAGGACTAGCTGAAGCGTTCTAATTCTCATTCGGCCTCGTCCCAAATTCAGGAGTTATCTCAAAATGTTGATCCATCATGAGATCTTCAGACGGCAACTGGGTATCCATGAACAGCATTGACAGGAAAGGTGGTGTAGAATCCACCGTACCTGATCCGGACTCGATATCAATCGATATGTTAGACCCGTAGTCTGGTTTGTTGACAATAGTTGTCGATTTATGCTGGTGATTGGAGGTGCTCTCTCCACGTTCGATCAGGCGCGTACGCCAGCATAACAGCTCTTCATCGACTTGCTGATCCACTTTGTCCCCATCACTTGCATCATAGCCTGGAGCTTGTATGACCTTTGCAGCCCCACCCGAGGAGCCTTGCGATAGCTTTGCTGCGCTTCGACGGCGAAGCTGAAGTAGCCGCCCGTGGTTCAGGTCGAGCGTGGAAGAGGTGTTTAGGCGCGTAACGACACTGTACGCCGAGATAGCTTCGTTCAGAATTGTCATGGCGAAGGGAGCCATGGGAGAATGGGGGCATCGGAGCACCAAAGATCCGACGCAGACAGCCGCGTTGAACAGGTGGTACTATGGGATTCCTAGTTAGAAAGAACTGGGGAAACGAGGTAGAAACAATAGGCGGCTTACCCAGAAGAACCAATGGCGGGACGCAACAGCAGGATGGAGCTCTGTCAGACCGCGAACGATCTGAGTCACCACCTATATATGAAATACTGTCAACAAAAACCATCATTACCGCACACTTGTCCAAAGATCCCTGGTACTCACATTGCATCTCTCGACTACTGCCAGGAAGGAGGCGCCGTATTTTGATAGGACAGGGTCTGCGGGGTTTTCATTCATGGCTCTGACAAAATACGGTCGTTGGAGGAAAAGAACTGCCTCGGAAACGTGCATTGCTAAGGTGAATTGCTGGAAGAAAATCTTTTTAGTACCCGCGTCCCAGGCGAGCAAGCCTAAATATTTCCCAATTTACCTCAAACGTTCGCTTTAGGTCCCTCCGGTTGGGAGGCGGGCTGTCGCAAACAGCGGCTTCTGGCGTTGGATATAGGGATATCGTTGCAACCAAAGCGTCCCGACAACGCAGATGGAATGGTATAGAGCGCTCAAAGGCACATCTGGGTGTGTTGTCATTAGCTTGTGTTTACCAACCAAACGGATAGGCCTCATTCCTACATTTTTTCGTATTCATTATTGACACGCTCGTATGGTGGGGGGGAAACATCCAGGGTCAGGTCAAGCAACCTATGGATTAGAGGTTAAAATGGAGTGTTCTTCGACCGGTAGACCGGGGTTGAATCTTACCGAGCCAAAACCTTTACGATTTCGTATTTCATATATTTAAAGTCTTTAGCCATGTAATCTCTATCATGGCCAGCCGCTAAATGCGTACTGGCGTGGGATGGACGAGGGAGCTGCGTATCAAAGTGGTTGGCACGCATCAACGGTCTATGAGCGTGTTAGCGAGAGAGAAAAGAAAATCCCATGGTAAGAAAATGACTGACGGGCGTGAAAAGCAGTGTGCCTGGAAAGTGTCGATAGTGTAGCACTCCCAGAAGACCAATCTTCGCTCTTCGATCACGTCTGGTGGTAGGTTCCATTTTGAGCCATCCCTATGTAGGCCCATCTAAGAAGGAACATGCTGTTAAAATCTTTCCCAGGTGTACGCAAAGGAGTGGAATATGCAGCCTTGAACTACTCACTGCTTGGACAAGTCTCATCGCCAGGCCATATAATGGCCACGCTAGGTCTCCTCGCCTGCCTCTCTCGGTTTCTGTTGATAGATGTCCGATTAGAGACTACCACACCTCTTATTTAGCTTTCTTCATTCGAAATCATAAGGCTAAATCATGACTTACCAGCGCTTGTAGCCCGGGGATCGTGTTTTTGACCAGGAAACCGCCTTGTGAGAGGCAGCATTTTGCCAACTTGATGTACTCTTCCACAATAGGATCATTGGGTGGGTACTCGAGACAGTGGTGCGCTCCCATGGCAAAGACGGCAAAAAGCAGTGATAGCTGGTGCATATGTATCCTCTTAAGAATGTCATCTGTTCCTATCGAACTATACACTCTTTCGAAGAGTGCATCGAATGCCGGGCGTGTGATAGGTGTCAGACTAGGAATGAGAACATGTCAGACATCATACCTCCACATTATAAATGACTGAGCAGGACCAACTCACTTCCATGCAAACGAGCGAAAGTACGACTCTACAAGAATAGAGGTTTCCTCTTTGGGTGGGAGCTTGCTGAAAAGCTCTGCCTTGTAACGATAGGCGGGGAGAGGGCTGAAAGGAAAGCCGTCGAGAAATCTTGGGCAGGGTTCCTCCAACTCCTCTGACATAGCTCTCGAAGGGCCGGGCCGTTCTTGCTAGTGAGATTAAGTAAGTGATGCCCTATACTTTAGATGCCTTGCGTGATATTCGTCTCTTGGGGAAAGGCTCACTCACGTTCTGTAGCCACTCCGTCCCAGCTCTCGGCCCTAGATATTTTGATCTCCCCGTCCGGTCCACGACTAATGTCCCGAATGCCTCGTCATCTGCCGCCCTTGGCGCGGGCACTTGCTGATTGGGAAGGGTCACTGGTGTCCTCGTATGGCTTGATGAATCTTGTGGGATTATAGATATGCCGTGCTCCAATGACATTTGGGGTTCGAGATGGGTGCCAGCATGGGCAGACCATGCATAGTCAGGTTCCGGTCCGGGTACAGAGTGAGCAATATGTTCCGTGGCTGGGCCCACCAAGCCATCCACACTCAGAGTACGCCGAGATATGGGGTTGCATTCGGTAGATTGGTTTGCGCCGACCCCGGGGCTGTGGTTCAATGGTTGTGGAGACGCAGAGGGTTGCTGGTGTTGGGAAGAAAAGGCCGTGTAGTCTGAATGAGATCCTACATCTTTCGGTATCTGAGCGTTCCTTTCCCGCAGTAGGGCTTCCAGTTGAGCTATGCGGTGCTCGTGGCTTGAAACGTCTCTTTGAGATGATTAGCATGCTTCTCGTGTTAAAACTTATGCATCAACCAACTTGTTGCCCCTGTTTAATGTCCCAGAAGGGCAAATGTCGGGACATTCCCGCTTGATACAGTTCGAGCATGGGACCTATAAGACTCAGGTGAGCTGGTACCCTCACCAAACCCGCACGAAGGTCTTGAAATTTACCGAGCGATCGCATTTTAGCTTTCTTCTCCGACACTCTGGCCATGGGACGTCAGTGGGATGTTGAGGTGGTGAAACGCTGTCAAGGGAGTGTCCATCGTACCAGCGCAGCTAACCATATGCCTTCCCCGACGTTTGGGGCCATTCTTGTCAGACCTTCCAGTCTGATTGCTGGTGAGGTGGCCTGGAGATCGAAGGGCTGTCTGGCTGGCTACATGGATCGACAGAGGGCTCTTCGATGTGCGGTCCGGCCGGCCAGGTTGCGGGCAGTTGGACTCGGGTGGTGAAGGCAGGCGTTTCTGCCCCTCGGGAAGATTGGTACCCTGGTGGGTGATGTGCTCTTGCTCTTGCGAGAGTCGATCCATCTGGACGCCACTTGTCTTCGTCGCGGGATTGTTGTTGGCATTGACCGAATGTCGGGGTCGCGATGGGTGTTGTTGAGGATGGTTTTCCGAGAGACGGAATCTGTGCGGTTATAAATTTGACAACCTCGGGCTTTAAACCGGCGAGTGGCACGTCGTACAGGGTGTGCTGGGGGAAGCTCAAGCGGGCAACGTAATGATTCTCCGCGTCTAGAACTATTTGGACCTGGTCGCGAGGTGGGCTGGTGGAGATTCTGGGGATGGGCGCCCTTCAACCCCGCACCTCTGGACTACCTTGACTTGCTTGACTCTTAGGAAGTCTTGCATCCTTGTTCTACCCCACAAGCCAAACATCCCCGTTCAAGTGGGAGACTCGTCCCCTTCTGTGCCCCAATATAGGAGGCTCTCTCCCTGATGCCTCGGGTATAAGATGAACCAATAACCCTCTCGAATATGTCTGTTTCGTTGTTTGATACGCCTGGCTGCTAATTCACTCGCTGAGCTTCCCAGTCACCATGCCCAACAAAGTGTTCAATGTCGGTGTCGTTGGCTATGGGTATCTCAATGCACACCGCAGGTCTCCCAGATGAGTGGTTTTCCGATCGTGACTCATGCTGATACGTGTTAGCCTCTCCGCCAAAGCATTCCACAATATGTATATAGAGAGAGTAGAGCTATTTGTAACATGCTTGAGGAATGAAGTTATGTTTTGACGTTGCTATCCTTGAAACTGGTCCGATTTTTGAATCTAACTCTAGAGAATGGAGGACCTTGTGAGATAAGGTCATCGAAATCACTTGGGTACTGATGAAGCGGCAATAGCATCCCCGTTGCTGTCGAAATTTACGATTTCCCCGATCCTGAAAGCTCTCATCGGCGCATGAGCAATCTTTTCCGCTTCTACAACTTCCCCCACAGATATAGGAACAGCTACATCGATGGTTAATGAATTATTAAGGCGCATATGCGACTGGGCAAGGGGGGCTCTCTACCCATGTCTTTCAAGATGCATTGAGAAAAGGCGTTGAGCTCGTGTACAATGGCTTCTCGGAGTCTCTCGTAGAAGGATGGCCTAGAGAGAATTATTAGAAGCTGCGAGGGGGGCGGAATAAAACGGCAATGTGAAGGAGCTTACATAGATGGAGCCGAACCCCATGAGCATCAGCTATATCTAAACGGTTCAAGCGTGGGTTCTGGACCACTCTTGATGACCATGATCCCATTCGGAAGCAACGGAGTAATTTTGGAGTATCGACTTCCCTGATTAATGGTGAATCTACCATTTTCTCCAAAAACCTCACACACACACTCGTGACCATGCGCTGCGGTACGTCCTGTATGGAAGGTGAAGAATTTGCCGTTATCGAATTCGACGACGGCGAGTGCGTTATCTGCATCCTGGAATTGGGCAAGGTCTTTGAATTTGACAATAGTGCCGATTGCAAAGACCTTCTTCACCTTGTCCTGATCGCCAATCTGCAGCAGCCATCTAGCAGCGTCAATGTCGTGGATGCCAGCGTCAAGGAAGATGCCTCCCGATTTGGCTGCGTATTTCATAAACTTATCGGCGGCTGTATATGGCCGTCAACTGATGTCCTCGGTACTGTAACACTCCTGAAGATGTGACCTACTAGATGGGTCGTAGAGGTCGTTGGAGGCAGCCTTAACCATGTAGGTTCGGCCTAATTGTCCCTCGTCGATTCTCGCTTTAGCATCGCTATACGAATCATCGACTAAGAGCAAAGTGAGCACTTAGAGGGATTTCAGTGACTATTATAGAGCATATACATCGCCGGGCCATGCCGATCATGACCTTGAGGGGAGGATATTTCTTAACTTCGGCCGCGAACCTGGTGGTTGTTTCCCAAGTTGTAGAGATCGGCTTTTCCAGTAGAACATGCTGCCAAATGTGCGAAGAAAGTCAATAAAGGCACTGGAGAGGGGTCTTGACGTGTTTTACTTTTCCAGCCTTCAGGCCGCCAGACACAGAGGCACATGAGTTTCGGTAGCTGTCGCGATGATTACAGCCTCAACATTAGCATCTGAAAGAAGCTCATCAGGGCCAGTGTAGAAACTGGCAAGTAAAAAAAACCACCACATTCGGTCAGCCGAGTTCATTACACTACTGATACATGACGGCACTCACGCTGTATCCGCTGTATCCGCTGGCAAGTGCTTTTGGGCGTTCTCGACTGACGGTGGGTAAACATCACAGGCAGCAACTAGCTTGGACAGCGGTGAGGTATATGCAGCCTATCCCATCAATATCAGAGAGAAATCCCCTCTAAAAGAAGCCAGGGTCTAAGCAACTGACGTTTCGAGCGTGCTGAAAACCCATGCGCCCCAAGCCAATCACGCCGATGCGGACCTGTCTATGAGGAATGGGTGTAGATGCCATCTTGCGCGAGAAAACGGTATAAGAGAATAGGTTTGGGAAGAACCAAAGAAGATGCAAATTGGATGCGGGTAGCTTGGAGTCGAAGTGAGGCTCATCCAGGAGTCGATGAGTCGTGCTGGATCTGAGTTGTGAGTTAGAACTCGCCCCTGATGATGTTCATAGCACCAAAGGCCATGGGTTTGTACTCCGGCTGTACGCTAAACAGGATGGACCAAAGGCCTCATTTTCCGAGACGGACAAATCGGGTGGATCCTAGTATCTTGCCCCATGTGCATGGGATCATGTCACATTGCACCCGACATGGTGGAACCAGCGGGGACCGATACACGACGCTACATTGTTTGGCAACCTGCTTCCAGCGCAATCTTCTCTCAAGATTCCAATCGAGGGAAAAATATTGGACACGCTGGGCTCGTAGTTGGAAAGGCCATGCAACGCACTGAGTGTCGCTTAGAATTATGGCAAAGTGGGCGATATTCGAGGATGATAGAGGTTCGGACTCGCAGCAAAAACGCAAGGCCTAAATATTACAAAGGTTTCACAATATGATAGACTTATTCTACAGACTACCCTGTTTACTCTTTCAATAATAAGGTTCAAGTTCCTTGCTTGCAAAAAGTGAAAGGTTGAATATGAGTCCGAGTGCCTTACTTGACGGTTAGGGTCATCAACATCGGAGCCCTGCTGCATCGAAATTGCTTGGAGGTATATAAACAGAAACTATGAGAGGAAATGAGGTACATCGAAAGCTTGCCAACGTTCCATAAACGTTCTGCAGCCGCTTCAAGTATGCTAAGCGCTGTTTCTTCTCCGATATAATGTGGGCGACCTCTGCAGGTTTCTATTCGACATGAGCCGTTTCCGCGACCTCGTTCTTGCGGTTCTCGTTACCAACGCGGCCCAAAACAGCTTTCTCCATATCTGCACCCATGTCTTGGATCATGTTTCCATGCTTGTCAAAATGCTTGGGCTCGTTTTTCGCGATGCTAACAACATCTAGAGGACCGTTCGACTTGGCGAAGATGACGTCCATTTCCTCCAAGGATCGGTACGCAGTCTCGGGATAGAGGAAGTAAATAACGGGGACCGTCAAGAAATTGAACACGGCAAACACAATATACGTTTTCCAACTGATGGATTGAAACATGATGGGGGTCACCATGACGACCATGAAAGCAACAAGCCAGTTGGCCGAGACGGACAGCGCGTTGGCCTGGACTCGGATGGATAGCGGGACAATCTCAGCAGGGTAGATCCATGATGCCGGAGACCAGGTGGAAGCGAAGAAGAACTGGTAAATGAAGATGAAGGCAGCTGCCACGATACCGGCGGCCCTCGATCCACTAATTTGCATCATGACACCCATGAGAATCATCGAAACCATCATTCCGGCTGAGCCGCACATCAGTAAAGTGCGGCGTCCAAGCCGCTCCATTGTCCACAGGGCTGGGATAGATGAGAGGAAGTAGACGGTAGCTGTGCAGCCAGCCAAGAGGCGGGCCATATAGGGCGATAGACCGATTTCTTGCTCATAGATAGTGGTGGAGTAGTATGTAATGACATTGATACCCGTGAGCTGCTGTAACACCATGATCCAGTAAGCCAGGGAGCTGCGGTGAAAGTTCTTTGTAGTTCCCATTGTGAAGACCTCCTTAAACTTCGTTGTGGTAGCAGCTTGGACCCCGCGGATGGCTTGCAGCTGGCTATGAACGACGGGGTCGTCGGCTGGAACATCGTATAGAGCCTCAAGGACCTCGGAAGCCTCGCTAACTCGATCCTGGAGAACCAACCATCGAGGGGATTCGGGGAGATTCCAGATGGAGGCGATAATGAACAGTTCGAAGACCACCTGTAACGCAATGGGGAGCCTCCAAGCAATTGAGCTAGGCTCGGTGAAGGACATGCCAAAATCGACCCAGTAGGCAATCATCACACCGCCCAGATTCAGACCCATATCGAAAGCAATGGTGAGGCCTCGTCTGTGTGGCTTGGAACACTCGGCCTGCCATACGGGCACGATTGCGGTGATGAAGCCATTTCCGAGGCCGCAAATGATACGCCCGATGATGAATTGTGCGAGGCCGTAGGCAGCGAATTGGAGAACTGCACCGACAAGCATGATAGCACAGCCGTAGATGATGGTCTTCTTGCGGCCCAATGGGTTTCCAAGCTTGATGAGTGCGATGGTTCCGGCGAAACAGCCAAGACTGAAAGCTGACACCACGATTCCTGCGGTTGTCGTTAGCTAAGCTCCTCCGGGCCGTGATCTGGTTGTAGAGCGAAAGAGTCATCACCTTGTATAACTGATCGATTGTGTTTTTCTGATGGCGTCATTTGGGAAGTACATTCGTGGGTAGTGCAGATTTCAGGGAACACGGAGGTGAATGATGGCAGCGTCAACAAGCCACCAGTCACACCTTGATCGTAACCAAACAGGCTATAACACGATTGCTATTAGAGATCTAAGAATTGGACGATGCACGTTTGGAATAATACATACAGCATGTCAACGCCGGCCACAATGGCGATGGCCACATCGAGCCTGGTGCCACGGAGTCCGAAGAATGGGGGTTTGGTTGCCGCCATTTTTGCAACTGCGAAGGTTAGTCGCAGGGGGAAAATAATCAAGAAACGAATAAGCTGGTAAAGTCAAGTTCAAAGAAACTGTATCGGCTGATAAAGAGATAGACAGCTGGCTTTGGTAAGTCGTCTGAAGGCACGAGGTGAAAGTAGTCTTCAACCAGGCAGGACTTTTGAGGCTTTAAGTACCTTTACTCTGGGCTGACCGTAAATGATGTGAAAATGCCAACGGTTTGGATTGAAGGCATTCCCCGCACAGCGGAGAACGATTCCTACGCCTAGCCGCCTTTGCAATAGTCTGATGGGGCGGCGAGTCAGAGTTGACATGAAGCCTCACGCAGTATGTCTGAGCTGGATGAAAGCCACCCCGTGGGGCCCCGGATCCCCAGTGCGCTTCCCATACACCGCATGTACATGCACAGTTGGATAGTGCCCGGTACAATGGTAATGGAATTTCCATGGAGTATAAGCTGAAAACTCAGGGCTCGCTTAGACGGATGAGTTTCCGGGTTCCCTAAACAGATGAGAAAGCGCACATCATTCCCACGCTGATCATTCCGGATACTTCAGGAATCAAATAAATTCGCAATTGCGCACCTCTCTTAGTTATGGGTACTTGGGCACTGACAATCATTGGGTTGCTTGTACCCCTTTCCTAGATGTGAAAACCTGCATCCACAGCAGTCCAGCTAGTTTCATTCTAGATTGGTATTCACTACCATATGGCTTGGTCGGTGCATGTTACAAAGTACCTCATTGGACATGGCTGCCCATAGCAAAACCAGACCTTTGCGTGATAGCGTCACAAGGGGTCTACTGGCCAGGGCGGCTCCCTCAATAGCGATAGCAACAGCGGTTGTGTCGGGCAACTGGGTCTCGCTAATGGAAAAACCACTGGCTGTTAGTCGCCGTTGCTTCATAGAAAGCCGTGAGCCTCTTCAGTATCTGCTGCGTTTTGTCGTGCAATAGTCACATGCATTGTGTCTTGGGGCACTTTTGGTGGGGCAAGCCTTTGACAAGTATCAATCTCCGAGAAGATTAGTTTGTCTTATAATAGTTCGTTTTATTATGTATAGCACGGGAAATACAAACGCGGAGATAATTAGGGTCATGGTTAGTCCCCATGATGACGGAATTGAAGTTCTATACAGGGATCCCTGGCAACGGACATTGCTATTCGATGTCGTCGCCACACAATTTGAACAACAATTAGCAGGATCTTCCTATCTCCAGTAGTAACTTGGATATGGGCTGATTATTGTTCCCGTGGCGGCCTCCCCCCCCCAAATAACTCACTGCGTGTTATTGGTAGAAGAGTGGTTGTTCCTACGTTCAAAGTTTCCAGAATTGTACGTTCCAGGTTTTGCGAAGTCAGAATATATTGGACCGGCAATACTGCTATAATTTAGATGAGACTTGGATATTACAAAGACTGTTCATATTTCCAGTCATCTGTCAACCCCTCAATCAAAGCCTGCTTCGTCTCCTCCTTTAATGATCCCAGTGGAAGACGCCAGTCTCCACCTAACCGGGGAGCTACAAAATGATCAAGAAGGAATTTCGTGCCCTGGATGCCACTTCCACAGACAATCGCGTCAGACCTGGCAACCCGAATCTGTAGTTTCTTTGCTTCATCCAACGCCTGATCGTCGCCATTTAGACCCGCGACTGAAGTATCATATAATCGGCGCAGAGTTTTAGGGAAAAGTCCGCCGGAGCTGGCGATGCATCCGGCATGGCCAACTGCAAGGGCAGGGAGTAGGTAGTCAGAGAGGCCGGTAAGGGTCTTGAAGTTGTCAGAAACTAGCCTTCGTCTTGAAAGCGTAAGCGACTTACTAAAAACTGGCCTGAAACAGTGGATTCCCGCAGAGAAGAGCCCTTCTTCGCAAGATATTCAGGGGACTGGGTATATGAACAAATCCTGATGCCTGCTACTTATCAGCCTAATCAACCATAACACCGTGTACTGTTGGGATTTACCCTTCCCGATGGAGGCACAAGTAAGTTTCACACCGAAGCAGTTGGGGTGGTTGGCGAGGAAACTGATATCGTCTGAGTTCAAATCGATACCAGCAGCTGCGCCTGGAAAATTGTAGACCATCACGGGAAGCGGCGAAGCATCCATGACCTGCTCAAAAAACATTCGAATGGCGGTCCTGTCGTCTTTCATAGCATAGGAAAAGTAGCCTATGCAAAACTCTCAGCCAAGTCGTATAAGGTAAAGGAGCGTATTACAAAATACCTGGAATGATGACAAGCGCATGAGTTGCACCAGCCTGGGCGGCATCCTTGGTTAGATCAATGGTTGCTTGTAATGAACTACCTTTGTGGAAAACATCAGTCTCGATGACATGTTAGTGTCTTTAAAACGGAACGTACCACCTGTCCCTGCGAGAAGAGGAGCGTTGCCAAAACCAGCCTGGTCTAAGGCCCTTCGTGCGGTAGCTACAGCAGCCTTTCGCTCATCTTGGCGTAAATGCGATGCTGTACATTCAAATTTAGCCTCAACTTCCCGTAATATCTTTTCAGTTCGTGTTCACTTCACCTTCTCCGGTAGTTCCAAGAATCACTATGTGAAGTCCCGCCGCCGCATTTCGCTTGACATTGGCGGCAAGGCTGTCGTGGTCAATATCATGCCCCCCTGGTAGAAATGGTGTTGTCACGGGGGCGGCTGGGCCATCTGGCCAGAGTTGACGTTGGGCTGACATGTTGATGCACCGTAGGTTACCTATCTAAGATTAGGTTAGGGAAGGGTGCAGAGTGATGTGTGCACACACTATTCCAACGTTGAATCCCAAGCCATTGATGTCATTCAAGGGCGGTATGAGCCTATTAGCAGAGAGAAACCCCGGACAGCAAATGCAAACACCGCTATTGCCCGTTGAAACAATCCCGCAAACGGACTTTCGACCTCATGAACCCTGCAAAGCAAGGGTCACATCGACAATCCGTGCGTTTGGGAATTATCCGAGGCTCGGAAATTACTGGAAAGACCCTGTATTGCCATGTCTCATGCTCCACCCTCAGTATTTCGACCCACAAAGAGTTGACTAACTTACATCCAATGGCATTTGTGCAAACTACATCAAGCTTGTAAACTGGGTTGAAAGAAGGGAGCCAAGGCACCAGTCGAGAGTAGCTGGCCTTGAAAATCTTTCAACGATCTGGACTGGTAATCAGGAATCCGGGTGATTTAGTAGCATGAGCTTGGTCATTTCTTGCTAGGGAATGCATGCTTCAGCTTGGAAAATGCTATATGTCCCTTTGCATCTGAATCTACCTATTCCAGGTTTACAAAAACATTACAGGAAAACTAAGGGGCTCCAGAATCATCCAAATTGTGGCGTACTGTCTTAACTTGGGTGTAATTCTCCAATGCATAACTGCCCAACTCGCGGCCGATACCTGACTCTTTAAAGCCCCCAAAAGGTGCTTGATAGGATAGGTTGCCGTAACTGTTGATCCATACAGTTCTTTGAAAGACAGTTAGTGAATGGCCGAGGTGAAGACGACGAAGAGATACATACCCGGATCTGAGAGCATTTGACATGCGGACAGCTGTCTTCACATTCTGTGTGAAGACGGCTCCAGCAAGTCCTGTAGTTATGGGTCAGCTGTGGCATAGGGAGAGAATGAGATACAAAGCTGGGAGGTACGTACCATAGGCTGTGTTGTTTCCAATCTTGATCGCCTCGGCCTCGTCCTTGAACTTCTGGATTGTAACTACAGGGCCAAAGATCTCCTCTCGGGCAATCCTCATATTGGAGGTGACATTTGTAAACACGGTCGGTTGGATGAAGTATCCCTTTGAGCCATGACGACTACCACCAGTGGCCACCACAGCCCCCTCCTTCTTACCAGATTCGAGGTAATCCATGATTCGGTCAAATTGGAGTTGTGAGACTTGGGGACCCTGATACGTATCCTCCTTGAAAGGGTCCCCTAGTTTGTTTTCAGCCGCACGTTCCTTGAACCGGGCAACAAAGTTATCGTAAATTCCCTCCTGGACGAGCAGACGAGATCCCGCAGAACAACATTGGCCGTGGTTAAAGAAGATACCAAAATTGGCCCAGGAAATGGCCTCGTCGATATTAGCATCATCGAAGATGATATTTGGTGACTTCCCCCCTAGCTCGAGTGTGACCTTCTTTAGGTTGCTGTCAGCAGCCGCCCTCATAATCGCACGACCAACCACAGTAGATCCCGTGAAGGCGACTTTATCTATGTCCATATGACTGGAAATAGCTGCTCCAGCGACACGGCCGAATCCAGACAAAATGTTAATAACACCAGGGGGGAATCCTGCCTCCACTATCAATTTTGCAACGTATAAAGCTGACAGGGGCGTTTGCTCCGCGGTCTTGAGCACAACTGTATTTCCAGTAGCTATCGCAGGGCCGATTTTCCAAGCCCACATGAGCAGCTGTTTAGCAAGTCAGTCATCTAATTTAGGAATCGTTATTGATATCGGGACATACAGGAAAATCTGAGAAAGATTAGCTTGCGTATTTCTGAAGGTACAAAGAGAAAGAATTGGCTGCTCTTACTCCTTCATTGGTGAATAAGCACCGTGCAATTAGCTATCACTGTTATCAAGAAAATCTACAGCTCGGTATGTCACTTACCATCTAAGAATCAGATTAGACGGTCAGCGTGCTTCTCTGTCTGACACTTGAGACTGGGGTTACTTACGGAATGATCTGCCCGCAAACGCCAATAGGCTCATGCCGGGTATAGGTCAAGCTATTGGGATCTGTATCAATGGTCTGGCCGTGAATCTTATCGGCAAAGCCACCATAATATCGCAAGCAGCCCTGGGAGTTTTGGACATCTCCTTTGGCCATAGACACAGCCTTTCCATTGTCCAGAGCTTCGATGGCCGCCAATATTTCGATATCTCGCTCGAAAAGATCTGCCAACTTGACGAGCAGGCGACCGCGTTCCGTCGGGGTTGTCTGGCGCCATGTGTCCTCGAAGGCGGCACGAGCGGCCTTGACAGCGATGTCGACGTCTTGCGCTGTAGCTTCGTGCACGGCTGTAATGACTTTCTCGTTGGTCGGATTGATGGTCTCAAAGGTCTTGCTTTCGGAGCCCTTGACGAATTTGTTATTAATGAACCTGTTTTTGGTTAGATATATAAACGCTCGGAAAACCGAGGTAGCACAACTTACAAACCCAGGGGCTGTTCATATGTGACAGTAGGGGTCGTGATGGTGGTTGACAAGGACATGGTGACGGATGGTTCGCAGCAATAGTCGTATGGGTTATTGAATTTTAATTGACTGTTCATTCTATGTCGGGTGTTTAATAACGAAGATGTATGGAAGGATTATCCATTTTACATTTGATTGCGGGCATCTATTGCCGGTCTCATTCAAACTCCGTGGTTCGGATATCTAGGCTGATGGTGGGTCGCATCACGGAGAAGTCGGGAACCTCTCACGATAGCACTCTCCTCGCCAACCAGCCAACCAGCCAACCAGCTCTGGCTTTATTTGACCTTGTCAGGGTTAAGAAACAACATGCTACGTTAATTTGAAAGTTTAGATCCTTCTTAGAGGATCATGCATATTAATCGAGATATGGGAAAAAACTAGTGGTCTGTGTATTGGATGCTGGGTAGATAGATTGTCAGGTCAGAACATCCCGCTACGAGCTAATGGTACAAGATGGAATAAAATGAATTATTTAGAAGAATCATACTTAGTAGCTAGGATGAAGAGGGAGTTTCCAATAAGTTATTGCGTATTATTTCTGAGTGTTAATCACTTGTCGTAGCTTCATATCTCTTGAGTTAAACTCAGCCGGCGTTGGCAACCCATATGCGCTCTCCGTCTCTTTGATGACTTTCTCCAACCAAGTCGAGTCGCTTTGGTGGTTTGGCGTGACCAGGTTGACATATTCATAACTATCCCACACATCCTGAATTGTCGTGCCGAGGTTATCCATGAATCCGCGGATGCCTTTTACGCCTCCACCCATATGATATGCTTTGAATGGACCCTGCACGGCAAACCGAGGCCCAAGACTCGCCATGAGGATTGTGTCGAGATCCTCCACGCCCACAACTCCTTCCTTGACTAGGTAGGCAGCCTCCCTGAATATGATATAGGCGATACGGTTGCCGACGAACCCAGGTAGCTCTTTCTTGATGACAACAGGCCTATGCCCCGATCTAAGAGATGTGAAATATCTTTGTGCAAACTCGATCTCTCCCGGGGATGTTTGAGGCGAAGGCACAATCTCGATGAGGGGCATAATGTGAGGGGGGTTGAAAGGGTGAACAACCAGTAGGCGAGACTGATCCTGCATCAATTCGTTCTGTAGGGATGCTGCGATTCCCGAAGTGGAAGTCCAAAAATGGGCCCTTGGTGAAGCGGATTTCTCGATTTCGGCCCAGATCTTGCGTTTGAAATCCAGTTGCTCTGGGCCTTGTTCTTGGATAATATCAGCTTCGGCGCATGCCTCCTTCAGCGATGAACAAATTTTAAGTCGTCCTTGACTTTGGAGGTCAATTACTGTTGGTGAATCTGTATCGGATCCAAGATACACCGGCATCACAGACTCAATATGCTCTTTCAGGTCCGACCTTGTATCAAATACGGTTATAGTCCCGTCACCATATCGTAGATGTAGGGCGGCAAATGACACGCCGATAGACCCCAGCCCAATGAGGCAAACATTATAGCTTGAAGCCGACATGATATCCCTCAAGCTCGTAGTTCTTTATTGAAGATGAAGCTGTTTACGTGTGCTTCTTAGGATACAATCCTAGTTATATTTCGCCACCCCAATTACCAGACTGCGGGAAACTGGCTGGCGTTGCTAGGGTTTTTTCCGATGGGCGGATGAGCTGCTACAGCCTATTCCGAGCGGTTCTAAAGATATCCACCAATGGTGGGACTAACCTTTTGTTTCTGGCTTAAAAGCCATGCTTTGGATCGAGAAGTGGGGTGCTGCCGCGGCATTGTCTCTCTTGGAATATTATGTTGAGGTTCTTACCAACTCTTGAAAGCAATGCAATTAGTTTTAATGCTGGGGGATCGTGGGGAAAATAGATCTCCGTATATCATTCAAGCCGTCTACTTCGGAAACGAGCCTAGCAACTACCCCATGTGCGGCGGACTTTATCATCCAAGCGTGGGAAATTCTCTTCCTTTTCCGGAACCATCGATGGATACCAAGCATTGAGACTTGCTACAGTTCTCACTGCCCTCACCACTCCATTCCCAACCATTCACTTGGCATGGAACTCCTCCATCTAGTGTCAATTCTGTTAAAGTACGCTCCACTGGTCTCTTGCCCTGTCGACTAGTTCGACAGCCACTCAAACTTGTCCTTGAGGTACAAACTGGCTCGAAGATCGCCTGAGCGAGCGTGGCCCTCGAACTTCTCAGCACGAGCAGCCCGGCCACACAGTCTGCCAAGCTCGCCGCTGGCCTTCTCTGACGTGACTTCCTGGTACGTCACAGTCTTCAGGAATTTACCTACCCATAGGCCTCCAGTAAATCGACCGGCTTTCTTCGTAGGCAAGACATGGTTTGTACCAATGCACTGCGTTGTCGTCAGTTTGCAACTTCCGACTTGATAATTGATATTACGTACCTTATCACCGTAAGACACACAGGTCATGTCTCCCAAAAATAAAGCGCCGTAATTGTTCATCTTTACGAGAGCCTCACGGGGCCTTTCAGTAAGAATCTGGACGTGCTCGCTTGCATAGAAGTCTGCCAGCTGATAGGCTTCATCCAGCGAAGGAACAACGATAACCTCACCAAAATTAGCCCATGAGATAGAAGCTATCCCCTTTGTTGGGAGGATGTCTAATAGGCGGTATACTTCCAAGAGCGAGGCCTCGCCAACTGCCTTGGAATTTGTGATTAAGACTGCCGGTGTGTCCGGGCCATGCTCAGCCTGGGAGAGGAGATCTGTTGCTATGGTCGTCGGATTTGCCTTTTCGTCGGCGACAATCAACACCTCGGTTGGCCCGGCCGGGAGATCAATGCCGATTTCTCCAAAAAGCTGGCGCTTAGCCTCTGCAACGAAGGCGTTTCCTGGACCAGCAATGAAGTCCACCTTCTGCATTGTCTCAGTGCCAATAGCCATAGCCGCTATGGCCTGGACTCCTCCGAGAACCCAGATCTCGTCAGCACCAGCATAGTACATGGCAGCTATGGTTGCTGGAGGTACTTCGCCGTTGATTGGGGGAGTACACGCAATGACCTTTGGAACGCCAGCCGCCTTTGCCGTAAGGATAGTCATATGCGCGGATGCGAGCAAAGGATACCGCCCTCCAGGGATGTAACTATACCATTATGCTAGCCTGACATTATGAATTTCTCCAAATAAGGCAACTTACGCTCCGACACAGTCAATGGGGATATTCTTATGCCCAAGATGCACACCAGGCTGTATCTCCATTTCCAAGTCCTTGATGGTCTCCTTTTGCGCCAACGCGAACGTGCGAACATTCGACTGAACTGTCTTAATGTCGGCAATAGTCTGCTGAGGAACTTTTGAAATAATCTCCTCAATCTGACCCTTATTTAAGAGAAATGATTTTGGTGTCCATTTGTCAAACTTGTCAGAGTATTTTCTAACAGCCTGATCGCCATTAGCACGGATGTCATCGATGACACCCTTCACAATGCCGGGAACATCTAAGTTCTGAGACGCCCCAGTACCATTTATGTTGGTTTTGGTCTTTAGGTGCAGTGCCATTTTGATTATGCCAAAAGAATTGAAGTATTACAAAGCCTCTAGTGAATCCATGCAATAATGCGTGGGAGCTTTGATCAATTTCAACTACGCAGAGTCTTATATGGCCGCTCTTGTGCTCATTATCATCACGGCGAAACTCCGACCAACCCCGGCATCTCAGCGACCCAACGGAGGATATTCGTCATAGAAAGGCTCTTCGTGGAGAGCTCACGCAACACTCGTTCGGGCCGATCTCCGAACTCCGAATACCCCATTCATTACGGGAAAATCAGATAGACCACACAATCTGCGTCGGATGAGAAGGGTTTTTTTTCCTAGGGAGGGAAAAGGAGAGGACGAGGGCTAAGTCAGAATTGAATTACACATATTTCTATGGATTTCTTGACACGGGCTCTTTCTAATGCCAATTCCAGACAAAATCTAAAGTCAGAAATTGAGCAGATAATGCGGCGAGATTCTTCCACAGAAAACTGCCTGAGGTAAATCTGTTAGGTGGCATAAGCCCAAGTGGACCACACCACATAGCCCCGACCGGAATTCCGATACTGTTGCCCGGGTTATAAAGCCATGGGATGGAAATTGACGACCACTAGAGTTCCAGGTTACGCAACGTGAATCTCGAGCTATTATCTCGACATAATAGGCCCGTCAATATGACTGCTAAAGTTGCCTTGGTGACGGCTTCATCAGCAGGCCTTGGTGCGGCGATTGCTTATGCCCTAATTACATCCTACCGAGTTGTGATTAATTACAACTCTAGGCCCCAGCACGCTGAAGCTGTACTTCAACAGCTCCGTCATTTATCCGCTGCTGCTGGCATCCCCTCTGACGATGGAGAGCCAAGGGCGGTAGCCATACAGGCCAATGTAACCCAAGCCGCCGATACTCATCGCCTCGTGGCAGAGACGGTAGCAAAGATGGGCCGGTTGGATGCCGTGATTTCTAATGTCGGCTGGACACATATTCGAGATTTTTCAAACCTTGACGATAATTTGGAGGAAGATGACTGGGATTCATGCTTTACAGCTAATGTAAAGAGCCATCTGAGTCTTCTCCAAGCATCTAGGGAACACCTGGACAAAACACACGGCTCATTTATAACAATTGCCAGTGTCGCTGGGGTGAAGCCAAGCGGCAGCTCTTTGGTCGGTATTGTTCTCCTCCAAGCTACAAATGCATAGCTAATCCATCCTAGCCGTATGCTGTGACCAAGGCTGCGCAAATATATATGGTCAAATGCTTAGCTGGTATGGTGGGTCCCAACATCCGGATCAACTCTGTCTCGCCTGGAATCCTGATGACGGTACGTCTCTATTCAGGTCCTGCGCTACCAGGAGTTCGCAATTAGGATCTGATTTCTTTTTACGTTGACCGCACAAGCTAAGATCTCGCAGGATTGGGGTAAAAAATTCCCAGAAGACACCCTTGCTAAGTCGAAAGATAAAACTTTGCTCAAACGATTCGCAACTGTTGAGGTATGATCTTTCAGTAATCTCTCCATTTACAATCATGCTCTGTTCAAACTGACACCCATTATAGGATGTGGCAGATCAAGTAAAATGCCTCCTACAGAACCTGTCCATAACTGGCGTAAATGTAGTCATAGACTCGGGATTTTCCTCAACCTGATAGTTTGATTGCTTAGTTCAATAGGCCGTGATGAGTGGTTTCGTTGGTGTTGTTAGAAAGACAAAGAGTCGCCTATTTCGCGAGCCTCGGACGAATCGATCTAAGAAATAGTTGTTTAAATGGGAGTAGATAAAGGCGATAGCGAATCTTTGGCCCAACTCACAGTCGTAGAGATTCGAGATGATAGTATGGGGTAAATGAAAGGAATAGCCTCATACAAATTCAATCTGCCGATTATGCGATACTGAGCCAAGATCATACTAGTCATCAACGTCCAAGCTACTCGCCGGGCCAATATGTTAAATATGGATGGTAGGAACATAAGATAACCACGAAAATTGGGGTACACACGGAGATGTATCGACCGCCTTTATTCCAATTAACAAATGATCTCTACTCATTACAATTTAAAGTTCCTTTTCCTATCTTGTACCTAAATTGAGCACTTTTACATCTCCGAATCTGTAACTACTGCTCAAACCCTTGAGACTACCGCCTCTAACTACCTACATATATATATATATATTCTTTGATGCCTAACTACAGGTTGGAGGTGCAAGGCAACACAAGCCCGATCTAAGCAACGCTGTAAAAATATACAGTAGATCGTAGACAACGGAGAGTCTGTACCCAGTTTCTGTAACACGCAAAGCTTAACTAGCTGGGGGAAAACACTGCCCTTCTAACTGCATCAATGATTCCGTCGAGGAACTCCGAAGTTCTGCGCGATACGCTGGAACTTGACTGCCTTCTTCAAAACCATGCCTTCACTTAAGTCACCAACAGCTTCTCTGTACATCTCCTGCCATGGAGTCTGCGCGGGTGGGTATGGATACAACCCCATCTCCTTCTTTCTTTGTGCAATCTCCTCCAGGGTGAGTCTGACATCCGCTGATCTTTTATTGAGATCAATTCTAACCCAGTCACCATCCTTCAAATAGCCCAGCATACCACCTGCTGCAGCCTCTGGTGAAGCATGGAGAATCGACGGGGTTCCGCTCGTTCCACTTTGTCGCCCATCACCTATGCAAGGCAAGACAATCCCCTGCTTTATCAGGCGTCCAGGGGCATGCATATTGACGACCTCTGCTGCGCCAGGGTAACCAATGGGTCCTGCTCCGCGCATGATTAATATCGAATTTGCTCCAATATCCTTTCTGTGTTCTAGCTCGGCGTCGTATTGTTCTGGTCCATTGAAGATGACAATAGGGCCTTCAAAAGCCATTGGATCCGTCGGGTTGGAGAGATACTGGTCAGTGAAGGCCTGGCTAATAACAGAGGTTTTCATGATGGCACTGTTGAATAATGTGCCCTTCAGGTGAAAGAATCCAGCATTGGATTTCAGGGGCTTCTCAAAAGGAAAGATGACATGAGGAGCGTTGGTCTGGTCGGTGTTACAATTCTCGCCAATAGACTTGCCGGTGAGGGTAAGAGCATCTGGATGTGGGAGTTTATCTGCGTTAAGAAGTTCCCAAACTACGGCTACTATGCTATTAGTCTCTCGTCCCGTTTCCTAGTGGTCCATGTCAAATAACCTACCTGGAAGACCGCCCGCACGGTGATACTCTTCACACAGGTAGGCGCCGGCAGGCTGTACATTGAGTAGTAGAGGGAGGCTATAGCCAATGCGTTCCCAGTCATCACAATTTAATTGGACTCCAACATGCTTGGCCAAGGCATTCAGGTGGATGGGCGCGTTTGTTGACCCTCCGATCGCTGTGCAGACGGCGATGGCATTCTCAAAAGCATCCTTGGTTAGAATATCAGATGGCTTTACATCTTGTCGTACAAGATCAACAATCCGTCTACCTGTTTGGTAGGCGCAGGCGCCTCGCTCCCGATAGACTGCAGGAATAGATGAGCTTCCAGGAAGCGCCATTCCCAGTGCCTCAGCAAGAGCGTTCATGGTGCTCGCTGTGCCCATTGTGTTGCAGTGGCCGACGCTGCAAATATTCATTTAGCCAGCATTCCTTTTGTAGAAAATCTAGAATTTTTGAGTGATACAACAAACCTTGGAGCTGAAAGAGCGACTTGTTGCATTGCTTGATCCCGGGTAATGCGTCCCGAGGCGAGAGCCTCTCGGGCATTCCAGACAACGGTACCGGATCCCACCAGCTCAGACCCGGCGTAAGCTGGACCTTCGTCAGTTTGGTTACAAACTTCTCTTCTGCCACCAGTTGCTTACCATTAAGCATAGGTCCCACATTCATGACGATGGACGGAATGTTAACCGTTGAGGCAGCCATTAATAGCGCTGGGGTCCTATCTTATGTGAGTTTCATCTTGAGGCATCAATCTTGCGACCATTTGCAACATACGTCTTATCACAACCAGAAAGTAAAACGACTCCGTCCAGTGGGTAACCGTAGAGCACTTCAACGAGAGACAAGTACGCTAAGTTCCGATCGAGAGTTGCTGAGGGTCTCTTTGTGCCTTCTTGTATTGGATGGCATGGGAACTCTATCGGAGTTCCTCCGGCTGCAATGATACCGTCTCGGACTCGTTTTGCTAGCTGCAGGTGATGCTTGTTACAAGGAGTCAGGTCGGAACCTGTTTGCGCAATGCCAATAAGGGGACGATTAAGGTCCGTGATTTCGTTCACTGTCCCGGTTAGAGTGAGTCATGAAACTTCCATCGCGGTTTCTTTTCCAGTGGCCAGACTCACATGTGTTTCCAACTACATAACGCTCGACATAGGCACCGCACATATCTTCACAAGCACGTCAGTATAGCATCATGCAGGGTATTAGTATTTCTAGGTAGAAGACTCACCATCGTCGGGGTTATTAAACCATACTTTAGAGCGGAGAGGTACAGCCGGTATTATCTCTTCTACAGGCTCCTTCAAATCATTTGGTGCCGTGAAAGATCGGACCGGACGGGTAATTTCGATCTCAGGTGCCGAAGCAGCAACAGGAACCGTTTCCTTGCTACGGCCGCAGTTGCATCCCTCACAATAAGACATCTTAGAGCATGAGTCCCTTACAAGAACGTACTAAGTAGCAAAAAGGTCGTTACGTATATTTCTACTGTTGCGTAGGATAGAGATAGCACACGTAGGCCACAAGTTCTCTATATAACGCGGCCCAATTGAAAACCCCTCATTGATCAAGAGGAACCTTCTGGAGCACATCATTTATCCCGCCCTTGAAACAATTGCCGGAGAAAACCTCTGCTTGACTGATCAGACGTGGGGTAAAGCAATCCACTTAGCTCATGGAATTGGGGGGGACTGGCCGATCATGTCTCCGCAGAAGGGATTGGTGTAGGTAATTGAGAATGGAGAATAACGGCACTCAGCCATTTCCCGCCCGCCGGGGAAAACAGTCCCATCGGACGAGCAATCCGACGTGCCCCCTCCTCATACGAACAATGGAGGGTCTAGTTGAGTTTGGGTGCTCCAAGTCCGTGATGAAAAAGAAGCAAAAGCGAAACGTTTCTCAGTGAGGCTGTGGCCATGTGATTGTGCATTCCCCGTATTCAATACTTCAACAGTCATTCAAACACCAAAATACGAGATCTATTCCTCACTTTCTTGTCAGCTCGCCTTACACGCTATCGCAATAGCATCATGGCTGAACAGCGCAAGCTTCGTGTTGCCCTTGTCGGCCTTGGTCGAATGGGCCAGATTCACGCCAAAAACTACGCATTTCTCGTGCCCCGTGCCGAAGTTGTAGCTGTATGCGACGTCCGAGATGCATCCCTTGAATGGGCCAAGGAGAACCTCAATCCGGCGGTGCAGACCTTCAAAGACGCAGAGGACATGTTCAAAAACTCTGGTGCTGAGGCAGTCCTCATTGCTACTGAGACCTCAAAGCATGCACCGTTAACTGAGCTAGCTATCAGTAATGGCTTGGTTAGTCAATCGCATAGACAATTATCTCATCTATTTTCTAACCTTGTATTTCCGTTGTCAGCATGTCCTGCTCGAGAAACCAATCGCAGTTGATATTGAATCATCGCGTCGTGTGGTCGAGCATTCACAGAAGTACCCTCACATAAAGACAATGGTCGCCTTCAACCGTCGCTGTAAGTAGATTCAGTGATACTATCACCAGATCTCGGCTCACGTCTTAGCAGTTGACGAGTCAAACCTTGCGCTAAAGGCAGCCATTGATGCTGGAGACCTCGGCAAGATTCATCTGTTCCGTGCCTGGACCGCTGACGTTTATGACCCTTCTGGTACATCTGCGGATCATCTTTTCCAAACCATGCAGCGGCTTATCGAAGATAAATTTAGGATTCTTCATCAATTTTTCCAAGAGCTCAGGTGGTCTCTTCACCGATGTTGGCGTTCACGGTATGCCTATTTCAAAATCCCACTTGCATCCAGATGCTGAATATCATAGATGTTGACCTAGCACGATGGTTCACAAATATGCCGAGCTCTTGCCCCAATCCCAAGCAAGAAGTCAGCAAGGTATTTGCTGTGGGCCAACAAGTGAGGCATCCCGAGCTCCGTGAACTTCAAGATGCGGATAACGGCGACTGTATCATCGAATTCACCAACGGAACCACGGCGGTTCTCCACTTCAGCCGGACTGGTAGAAATGGCTCCGAGACTTTCATCGAAGTCTGCGGAACTGAGCAGCGAGTGGCGGTGAACCCAGTGAGTCAACCTTCTGATATAGCATAGGGCAAAAGGTGAACCAAAAGGCTAACTAGGCTCGTGCAGGGTGCCGAGAAGAACAAGCTCCAGATCAGAGACAAGCATGGTGTTCGAACCGAGTGCCAGTGAGTATCCATCTTAAGATCAAAATTAGAGTGTATGTTGACAGCGAGGTGGTTAGCCAAACCGTGATGGACCGATTCAAGGACGCTTTTATTCGAGAGCTTCAAGTTTTCACAGACTGCGTACTGGATGACACTCGTAAGCCTTCCTAAACCTATTTTTTATACTGCATAACCTCTGACAGCCCCCGTGTAGCTCTCCCAGTAAGCTTGGAGGACGCGCTGCAAGCTTCCAAAGTCTGCTATGCGCTCACTCTTTCCTTTCGCAGTGGACAGCCAGTTTACTTTGACGAAAACGGAAACATCATCCCCCCGAGTGCGGCAAATAAGTAGTCCGAGTTAGATAGACTTTTTGTTATGTCAGAAATAGAAAAGAATGGCATTGGTTTCTATGCTATGAACATACAAAATTTTCTTGGAGAAAGTATAAATGCACCTTTATACCACTGCGGATACGCCTCGTAGTAGGGTAGGTGGGATAAGAGGAAACCAATACAGCGCATGGCGGCAACCTGACTTTCTCTACTGCTTTATTAAAGTACTTGTTTACTTGCTATCGCGAGCGTTATGATCTCTCCCCTCTTCTTAAAATCAAACCAAAAGGTCTATCTATGTACCACCGTTTGATTCATTCAACGTTTGTTACCCAGGCCTTGATGGCGTAAGAGTGAAGATCACCAGGATATCAGAGATGGGGAGAAGGGCACTTCAAAACGCCAGTTATATTTCTAGCTCCAGTCTCATCTACTTGAGATACGGCTCAGGGGCAATTCCCTCTAGGATAGCCTTGATTCTAAGTGCCAGCTTCTTCGAATGATAACGTGCCTGGTGGAAGGTTCCCACCATAATCCACAGCCCATCCACACCGCTCGTGCGCCAGGCAGAGTTGACCTCCCCCTCTTCATCGACGCCCCAGATAGGATTACATCGGTCAGCAACGTTGTCTCCAAGGATCTTCCGAACAGAGTCAATGGTGTTGGAGAATCCGGTGGCCAGAACAACCAAATCAAATTTCTGTTCTCGATTTCCATCCAGGACAACACTCTCCTCGGTGAAGCGGACAGGGTATCCTTGCTCCACCTTGATCTTGCCATCGATTATGGCCTGGCAAGCTCCTGCCTCATAATAGAAGCCACCGTTCTTGGTATGGCCAAGTGTAGCCACACCAGTGTCACGCTGACCTCGCCAGATCTTGAAGCCGGCCTTTACCATCTTGGCGAGCAACTCGGCATCGTCGTCCCAGATATCCTTTGCTACGCGACGGGCAAGCTCTTCGCTAGGTCCCATGGGGAGACTGAAGTGCACTCTGTCAGCTGTTTCAATGTCAGGCCGTTTGTGGTTTTTGGGCTCATAGAGCGGTGCAATCATCTATAGAGACTGTCAGTTACAATTGCCTTGGCACCCCAGAGAGAAAATGGAAGAATATACCCTGGGGACAGAATTATCCAATGACATAAGATATGTCGGTGATCGTTGGAGGAGGGTTACGTCAACACCACGACGGGCAAAATCAAAAGCGGTGTCAAACCCAGACGAGGATGTTCCCACGACGAGAACCTTCTTCCCAACCCACTCACGAGATGAATCGTGTGAAGTAGAGTGGCGGACTGTACCCTTGAACATATCCATGCCAGGGACATCGGGAATATAAGGCACGCCGGCAAGCGAGGTTGCCATAATCACCTGCTTCGGGTGGAATGTCCGGGTCGACCTGCTTTCGCCGCTTCCACGCTGTATTTTGATCTCCCATTCACCTGAAGCCGTTTGCTTAGCGGCAAGTACGTTTGAATCGGTCCAAGCGGTTAGTTCCATAGCGCTCGCATACCACTCAAGCCAATCCCCCATCTTGGCAGCAGGCGTATAGGTTGGCCAGTGATCAGGGAAGGGAAAGTATGGGAAGTGGTCGCCCCAGTGAGGGAAGTGTAGCGACAGAGACTCATAGCGGTTGCGCCAGTTATCGCCGATGCGCTGATTACGCTCAACGATGAGTGCCGTGATACCAAGGGCTTTAAGCCGTGCGGCGATGTGAAGGCCGCTGGTGACAAGTTAGCAACGCTTTCTCTTCACCCGTCGTAGCATTTCCGGCCACCATCGAAGGCACTCACCAGTGACCCCCTCCAATGACGACGACTTCAGGCTCAACGTTCTCCAAGTTGTCGTCCACAATGCGCTGCTGGTGCCATGACTTATCCCCAACCATGTGTCCATCCCGGTTAGGCAACTCGGGATGCCCAGTGAGGCTTTCAATGGCTGTATGAAGAGTCCAGATCTTGTATCCGGAGGTGGTCTTGATCAGATTCAGGAGCCCGCTTGCACCAACGAGATCTGTATCAAAGCTGTAGGCAATTTGGAGCCAGGCAATGTCATGATAAGGTCTCTGAATGACTGGCAAAGGGTCAGTAAGTTGATAATTCTTGGTCGGGGTACGCGCGAAAAGGTCTCCAGCCGCCTCTCCTATTTTCTGGGGCGTATTGAATGAGCGATAATCCCAAGTGAAGGCGATCTTATCCTTCCAGGTACCTATCAACGTATATTAGCCAAGGTCTATGCTTGGATGCGGAGATGGGAAAAGGCAAATATACCAATATCGAGAAAGAGGTCTGCGAAGGCCTTCGAATCCTTAGATTGGATTACCTGAGAAATGTCTTTCACGTATTGCTTTGCAATCATGTGAACATTTCTCTCCTCTTCTTCCGTGAAGTCAAGGATGTAGTCATTGTTTTCGTGCGTTGGCAAATCAAAATTGTACTTGAAATGGTACATGTAGTCGTCAGCGACGGGCTTCTTCCAGCTCTCATTGCGATAAGCAATGGGTGCATTCTTGGTCTTGAAAAGATCTGCCTCCGCCGAAGGCTCTGTGATAGCACCGGGAGCCATTGTATCAAGCTCAATGCTTTACAAGTAGTAACATAAAAGTGTAAAGTAAAATGAGTCAGAGGATCTCACCATAGGAGCGTCTTTCGATGATGATGATCTATATAATAGCTTCCTCTGTAGTGATGGAGATTCTCGATAAGAACATGGGTACCTTAGAACCGAATCATTTCTGCACGAACCTTCTGAAATGTAAGAGAAACTCCCGAAATGCGGGGCTTGAGTGGGCGTCGGATGAAAAGTCCGAGGTGCGGAAAAAGGAGGTTGACGGAGATCATGACGAGGGTCATATCCCGCCTCGACTCTAAGCTAATGGCGCGATATTGTAACATTACCCCTCCCCGAGGTTGTCCGGCAGAGATCCTAGTGGACGGTCATTGTAGTAACTTCAACCTAGACGAGGAGAATGACCCACGACCTTCAAGCAGCCACGGAGTGCGGAAAAAGCAAACTACTCAACTTTACGAAACGGGAAATGAATTGATAGAAAGTCCAAATGCACATATTGTTAAAGTAAACGCCCCAGGAGCGGCTACCTCGTGGGTAGTATACAGAATTCCAAGCTTGCCAGGGACGTTTCCGACGTTTTCGGTCCAATCGAAAGCCACTGGCCAGACGTACAGTTGTCAAGGTCTGTGTACTGCGCATTCTGAGTTCATTATGCCAATGCCAAAGAGCTTGCCGCTCAGTAATGGGAGCGAAATCCCTGGCATCGGTCTCGGTGAGTCTTTCAATCGAAATCAAGCATCTTGCCATGGCTCAGGAAGCCATCATTATTATTTTGTTTATCGAGATCAATGAGATGCTTCCTATCATACTGATCAGATCAGGCACGTGGGCCGCCCCCAAGGGCGAAGTCGAAAACGCTGTAGCTACCGCTCTACTCGAGGGATATAGGCACATCGATTGCGCACTCATCTACAAAAACGAGATTGAAGTGGCCGAGGGCATCAGACGCTCTGGTATTCCACGCAAGGATATTTTCATAACCTCTAAGCTGTGGAATGCATTTCATTCAAATATAGCCGAGAGTCTGCGCAGGTCACTTGAAAACCTGGGTGTTGACTATTTGGATCTTTACGTTGGTGCCTCAGCAATCTTTTCTCCAGCATAGTTTGACTGACTTTACCCAGCTTGTGCACTGGCCTGTACGCCTCATTTCGGTATTCTCCCAAACGCAACCGCCATCGTTAAGACACTTGAATGTTTGGTGTGCAGGATCTGAATACTGACCTTGGGATAGAACGAATTTTCCGAGCTTCTTCCCATAAATCCGGATGGGACCAGAGCTGTGGACCGTGATTGGGATGTTCGTCGCACATGGGCTCAGATGGAAGATACCCTCGACTCCGGCAAAGTAAAGGCTATTGGAGTCTGTAACTGGTCCGTCCCTTATCTCGAGGAACTCAAGAAGGTTTGGCGTCATAAACCTTCCGTCAATCAAGTTGAGCTCCATCCCTACCTCCCACAGCTCGATCTTGTGAACTGGTGTAAGAAAGAGGGCATCTTGGTGGAGGCATATTCGCCTTTGGGTGGCCCTGGTAATTCTGCTCCATGACCGTCTCATACAGGAGGAATCTATGGCTGATATTTTGTGCAGGTGCCCCGTTATTGGCAGACACCGACGTCGCCGCAATATCCGAGAAGCACCAAGTTCCCCCTGCCAATGTTCTGATCTCTTACCATATCAGGCGGGGAATTGTGCCTCTCGTTAAAAGTGTTTCGCCCAAGCGCCTAAAGACAAATTTACAAGTCATAGGTCTTGACGCCGATGATATGAAGAAGCTTGATCAAGTCCACAAGCAGCCAGGGAAACATGTGCGGTACCAGACACCACTTTGGGGCTCTGATTTAGGCTTCCGGGATTGGTATGGATATGAAGCCAATAAATCTGGACCAAATATCCAACACATTCAATAATCACTCAAGTAACTACCCTAGTAGTGTACATTGATAAAATAATTGTTAGTATAGTATCCCTAGCAGCTTCGGTTACTCATTGACTCGGTTTGCTGTTACCAATCGATATTTCCATATGAATTAGCACCGCAATGTTACATATTATGAGGACAAGGTTCCTTTTCCGGGGCTGATTCTGGGTTCGATGTCGAGGATATTTATCAAGCAACCTATTCCAGCATCACTACCTTGCATGAAATATCAATAGATGATTGGGGTTGGGGAAGTCACATTTTTCGCGAGCATTGAGGCAAATATAGACAGTCATAAGCACGAAACTGTAGAATTAGAAGATCACATAGGTAGTTGGCTAAGTGAAAACTAAGACAGTAGGAAACTATACTTAGCATAATAAAGATGTCCGAATGGCCTTTCATGTCAGGGGTCTCTTGGAGTTATGAAGAGGCTCGCCTTGGCCATGATAACCATCGTGATTTGATTTTCTAGCGGCATCTCAAACTACATTTGCTTCACCTCTTGTCTTTGTCATCCTTAAAAGATAAACCAAAGGTTTCATATGCTTGTCCTTGCCCTGTTGGCCTGAGGTATTCCTGTGAATGTCGATCTTAGTTCGTTCCTGATTTTTAACGCTGTGGCTTCGCAGCTGCTCTATCATTTATATTTTGATTCTTTGGGCGATATGCCGAATAGGCTATAAATTTGATGATGAAGTAACAAAAGTATACAAATGAAGCCAGGTCCTAAAATGATACAAGGTCGTCATTGAAATATGGGGATATTCCGCAGCGTCTAAGGTAATCCTATTTATGTGATCTTGGAATGTCTGGGCTGGTGTATTCAGGAGCAGGGAACTATAAAGAAGGCCATGAATAGATCTAGAAGCGACCGCCCAATCTACTCTTCCACAATAAATAACCACCGAATGATGCTACACCCACAAGGGTGGCTTTTCCAACAAAAGCCCAGGCATTGTTAACAGCTGTTTCCATCCAAGCCGCTTGTGTCTGTGCATTATCAGCGTGAAACGCAAAGCGATCATTGAGATGGGGGAATGGAGCCTCCACCAGTTTTCCAGTTTCAGGATCCCTGATCTTCGGAACCGGGAGCTCTAAAAAGTCACATAGGGGCTTCCACCCCTCGCCAACAGAGAACTCGACGCGCCGCTCAGCGGGGATTCTCTCTCGAAACTCCTTGTATATGTCTTTATACCATGCTATGGCCTTTTTCTTTTCCGTACGATGGTCAAATGGCCAACCATACTTGAACATAGTCATGCCAAAGCTCAACCAAGCTCTAGTATCTGGATTGAAAGTAAGGCAAAATAGAAGCGCCAGCTGGTCGAAAATGGTCCTCTTCGAATGGATACTGTTTAAAACACTCACGTACCACTTTTCAGGGTCGCGGTTCAGAATAACAACTTTGGCGTCAGGGTATATCTCAGCAAGCTCAGGGCCAAAGAAAGCCGGTGGCACGTCGCAAACTGCTTGATAATTTCCGAGGAGACGATCCCAGTCTTCTTTGAGAAGAGGGTCCCCGCCTGCGTACTTGGCCTTCAAGGCGCGAGTCCAAAGAGGTCCGTCTGTTGACGGGTTTTCGAAAACATCGTGCATGTGATAGCAATCGTGAATTCCCAGCTGATAGAGTGCATACCGCATACCTAGATTGGCGGTCAGCACTGAGGTACCTGTGAATGGGGACAGGTGAAAAATGAGAGCTCTCATGAGGGAGACGAACTCAAGGTGCCGGTGCGTTGGACACCACACACGATGACCTTCATGGGCACCACCCGGTCAGGAATTCCCGCAGTCTTCATATTGTCATAGGTAACAAGTGCATGAGAGATCAAAAATCAAGCTTATGCGGAACGAGGGGTATTTTAAAATATAAATTTCGGGAATGTCCGGGAAGTTGTAAGGTGATACGACAGACACCGGTCCTGAGCGTGGGCCGTGTGGCCAGGATGTCGTCGGCCATCGGGAGGCCGAAACCGCCGCTGACAATTTCCGAGACGGATGAGAGAGAGTTATGCAGTATGCTCCTGTGGATTTATATGTCTTATGCTATGTCTGCAAAGGAGTGTGAACGAAGCGTGAGAGTCATTGAATGGGGTTTCTTCGCTATTGGTAAGAGCATAAGACTGCAAGAAACATGACGGAGTAACGGGGCGATTCCCAAGCCTTCGCAAAATGCATTGAATCTAAGCTTTTATCGAGCTGTTATTCAAACTTCCGAGCTCTGGCCTGTTTATTACGGAAGAGAAACGCGCGTTCTACAAGGATCGCGGCAAGTTTCCTCTAGAAGTAGAAGGCGGGTCTACAATGTGCATCAACAGAAGGGGGAAATTAACCTGTGTGAAGATAAATATGGTAGTTTAGTTAATTTGAGAGTAAGTTTTATATTTCAAGGCTTTGATTAAAATGAGTTTCTGAGTTCCAGTTTAAGACCTCGGGCTGCCTTTTCTCGCAGTCGCCTGGCTCTTCATTCAAGTAGCCCATTCACCGCAAATCTTCCCCATCTCGAATTATAGCTTCTTACTATGGCTGAAAATGGCTTGGCCTCTCTGCCTTCGCTTTGGCCAGTTGGCCGGATAAATGACCATTTTCTCGGCACGATGAGGCGGGGGCCGGTGGGTATCTCGCTCCCTTCGCTGGTTGGTCATGGTAACCCCATTTGAATTTGAACTGCCTCGGACCAAGACAAAAACGAGGCTAGGCTATTTGTTTTTTTCCATTGCGGGACATACAGAATTAATTGATGACCTGAATTTGATTTCTTCTGAGCAAATCAACCTCTCTCAATTTAGAACATCTGTAATGATAAAATGCGGCCAAGAAAACAATATTGGGGAGGCTGTCAAGGCCCGTAGAAAGGTAAAGCACACCCTCTAGCCATCTAAAGCCTTGAATATTGGTACATTGAGGATTGCAACACCAGATTGATATGTTTCCGTCCTTTCTATAGGCGAGATTCTTCGAGTTTGGTCAGCCTTGATAGGTCTCGCTGGTCCTGGGGAGCGATTCGGGATCAAGGCCCATTTCTGCTGGAACTAAAGCTATATGCTACACAACTAAGAAGTGGATTAGCCTAAGTATTGGATGTGTGTTATAATCGCTCAATTTCTTTGGATGTGTCACTCAAACCGCCGTTGAAATGATCAGGTTAGACTCATTGGAACCGGTGACATCCTATGGATAAATTACAGTAGCCATTGCCAACCCATGCTTGGAGGCAGCTTTAAGAGAAGTATGCCCGGCATGCCACCGACGCCTTCTAGGATATAGGCAGTTTAGCTCCAATAGAGTCTCATGACGAGACTCCACCTCCACAAACTCGACTCGAGCTACTCCGCATTCCCCATAACCTCCGCGTTCATTCCCCGCCTTTGTATAACGTTCCTTCTTCAGGAAAGTTGAACTAGGCCACGAGGTCATGAATACCGAGACGCTGTTGCTGGTAAGCTAGATGTAACGAGTATATTTAGAGGTATAAGCGTCGTGTGAAGAGTAGGGGAGAACCCAGTGCCTGTCATTGTTCATTTCATTCTTCCCTCAGTCACCATGGTGAGCCTTTCTATTGGCGCCGCTATCGCGGCCCTCTTCTCGACATCTCTTGCCGCAGCTTCCCTTATAGAGTATCCGTGGACAGAAGCTGCCATATCTGCTCCTACCGAAGGGCGCTATCTTTACAAAACTGTTAGTGGCGAGCCTTTCACCTGGGTAGCTGATACCAACTGGGAGCTATTCCATCGCATGAACCATACCGACGTGGATCTCTATCTAGCAGACCGTGCTGCGAAGGGATTCACCGTAATCCAGGCCGTTTTGTTATCCAAATACAATGTCACAACGGCTCCTAATTTCTTTGGCCATCTTGCCATCAACAACAGTGACCCAGCTCAGCCCAATGATGCCTACTTCAATTTCGTTGACTGGGCTACTACAAGAGCAGCTGAATATGGCATAACAATCTGCCAGGTTCCGGTCTGGGGCCGGTATGTCAGCGGTGGCTGGTATGGAACAATTGGTCCCAGGTTATTCGACGAGAACAACGCGTATGCTCTCGGCCGTTATCTTGGTAAACGCTACCCCGGTGTTCCTAAGATGCTCGGTGGTGACACCAATGGCTTCTGGGCAAATAATGTCCCACAGGCTCGTGATGCTTGGAGGAAGAACCCAGAGAATCCCGAGATTACATTGGGTCCCATTGAAGACACTCGTGCGATTTGGGCTGCCATGATGAGAGGTTTCATCGACGAGGAGGCCAAGCAGGGTTATAAGGCTTTTGTTGCCTTTCAGCCTACCAGCCCCTGGATCTCCGAGCCCGCCACGCCTCTTCCCTACGGACACAACGTGAGTACAACCCATATATCCCTTAAATCAATATTGATCATCTAATTGGAAAACCGTAGTACATTAATGGGAGCCTCGGAACTCTATCCATGGACGCCGTCCAGTCTGGTCATGAGTACCCAGATCCCGAGGGCATTGACTACAATTACAAGGTTCTGACTCCCTGGGACTCTAGTAAGAACTATGATAATATACTTCAAATGCGTGACCAGTTCCCAGGCCCAGTCATGGACGTTGAGAACCACTACGAAGGTGCAAACCAAGGCTTCAACACTTCCAAGCCTGCTTTCAATGCGTCTGAAGTTCGCCACGGCTATTATCCAGCTCTTCTCAGTGGAGCTTGTGGTATTACTTACGGATCTCTTCCCGTGCAGCAAACCTACGAGAACATTTCACTCGTGGCTAGCCCAGAGCACTACCACGAGCCCCAGCTCAACCTGTCGCCTAACGCTAGCTGGCATGAGGCACTGCACTGGCCTGGAGCTAAACAGACCGGATACGCAGGTGCCATCTTCAACGACCTCTCCAAAGATGCGTTTAATAATCGGGAGCCTGCAAGAGAATTCCTCTCGTCTCCTCAGGGGTCCCGCAGCAATATCTTCGAGTATGTTGGTGACCGTTATATCGCACTCATGATTACAAAGGGCTACTACTGGGTTTATTCCGGCTGGGGAGACGCTTTCCAGGTTGATCTAGATGGGGTTTCACAGAAATGGGGTCAGCATGGTGTAGGCTATACCGCCCAGTGGTATAATCCTCGAACATCCAAGCTTCAAGTCATTCAGAAGGGTGAGAAGAGGTTTGCAAAGGGTAAACTGGTATTTACTCCTCCCAGTAGTGGAGGTGTTGACTATGATTGGCTTCTTATTATCAAGTCAGAGCGTTGTTAATTAAACGACCATAACGAGCGACTCTGGGGACATACTAGATAGCGGAATATATCTTCGTCATGAACCAGAAAGAAACTTTGTTCGTGAAGTGAATTCAGTATGACAAAATATCACTATCAGAAAGGGTCAATCATAATTTTTTAACGTTTGGCTGAGATGGTGAAAAAAGACTCAATCCTTTCTTTTATTCTCCTTCTATGTTATAGAAAATCCCACATGGAAACCTAATAGTCTTTCCGGGTACTAAGTGTTCCCAATATCATTCTCTGAGTCGTTTTTCTTCCTTTTCAGCTATACCAAGGCACAATCTTTCATTTGGTATGCTGAGACGCGGCGAGGTTGTTCATCGAAGTGAATGATAGTGGGTTGATGTCGCACTTTCCAGTTAGATATTGTTCAACCATACGACTCAACTCCAATGAGCCGTCCTGGATCAAATGTTGAGAGAGAGATTCTGGATTCCGTTTCGCATTTTGCCTCTGTGCAATCTCAGCAGCCTCCCCTCCACGCAGTGCTGATACCTTGACTGTACATTTCTTCAACCTCGCGGTTTGTGCCAGCCTTCCATGCAACATGTCGGCAATGGTCTCCCATTTCCCACTTGACAATTTCACATCGCTCATAAAAAATTCAACTAGTTCATAGCTTAAATTCTGGCAAAAAAGCTCCAGTTCTCTTTGTGGAAGAGACAGAAAACGAAGCGACACTCGTTGTAAATTTGGCCATGGGGAAGTGAAGATACTGGACTTTAACTCGTAATACCTTCCCCCCCGGCTCCCGTTGCTTTGGGGGCCAGGACGAGTATAGTGCATGAGGAATCCCAGAGAAAGCTTTAGATTCACAAGACGATCACTAGCAAGCATCGCTCTAAAATAATTCTCAATAATGAGCATGTCCGGTTCTTGGACAGGTCGAGAAAATTCGGTGTGTACTTCGCCCGGTGGGATTTCGAAGGAGCGTAGACGCTTGGAGAAAGCAAGAAGCTGTCCCCAGCCCTCCTCTGGTCCCTTATCGGAAATATATTTCCTTGGACATAGTTGTTGAAACGAACGTAGTCTCTTCAGGATAGATGGTGTGAAACGGTCGACTGACACACCTTCTCTGTGTAGGGCCAGCGGCAGCTCGCAGAGAAGGCGTGCTGGTTCGATACCAACAGGTAATTGTAATCCTCTCAAGCCAACCCACTGGTGTGGCCTAGAGATTGATTTGACCAGCGCCTCCGCAGATGCGAAAATTTGGGGGGTTCGTCTGGTCCCCGGCGCATGTAGTATGCCATGCACATCCTCATATGTATACCTCGTGAGATCATCACATAATTTTAAGCCTATAGAACACTTCAACTGAGCAAGGCTTTTTGATAGAGCGTGTGCAAAATCTCCGTGCTTGAGGAGACGGGTCTGCTCTAGGTGCAGATCTTTGTAGTTCAGGTAGCCTCGGCGGAGAGCGTCGATGTATTGATAATCCTCCCTCTCAGGTCCTGCATTTGCCCCCATCAGCCCTTCGTCCTGGCAAAAGGAGATAGCACTTGATATGAGCATATTCCCCTTTCGAGTGGGCTCAGCTCGATCGTCGACATCCTCATATTCATGCTCACAATAGGAGAAGAAATCATTTACCTCGGTTCTAATGACCCTGAGGAATAGCATTTCATCCATGGCAATCTCCTCAAAGCAATAGTTGAGATTCAGCTTAATACCTCGGATCCCACTCCTCAGCGACGGTGATGCAGTGATCTTTCGCAATCGATCAAGAGAGGCACCTTCCACGTTTAGACGCAGAATTGGACATAGGAGCGGTGACACCAGGGTATTGAAGTGACGACAGACAAGTCGCGCATTTTTGAGGGTTTCGAACCGCCTCGATCTCGTATTTGATTCGCCATTCCCCTCCATCTTCCAATCCACGCCTCCCTGAATTGAAAGTGCGGGATGTTTGAAGAAGTCAAAGACGTTCGCCAGAAGTTCCACGGGGAGATCAAGTAGGTTCAGTGCCCTGACATCATTGCGCGACAGCTCGTTCGCTCTGTTTCGAAGAAACTTTTCATGCATCTCGGCCCATCTTCTAACAGCCAAATACCGGCGGGTGAACCCTGCACCAGTAGCATCGTGCTCTGTCAGTGGCTTGACCCTGGTTTCTCCTCCCATCGTGCCAAAAGACAGGAGCCATTTCTTCCCATCCGCATTTGGATCCTCCTCCGGACTGCGCGTGTACTTGAAGAGAGCCTGGTCAAGGTAGCCAAGCACGAGTGCGTCCTCGATCTCGACGCTTGAAAATACTGGCGGATACTCGGACTTTTTGCCATCCAGGCCTGGGCCCATCCGCTTTTGCTCGGCTCTCCGCAAGCTGCAGGCACGAATGACAGCCACGAAAAGCTGAAGGCGGCGCAGCTCCTCATAGACACCCTTCAAGTCGAGTTCTCTTGATAAAGGCCAGCTCTCGCGAAAAGTCAGAACAGAGTGGATGCTCGTCATGACGGACAGCCTGGCCGGGAGAAGTTCTAGATGACTTTGCTACCAGTAAGGCTTAGTGAATAGTGCACCCTGCTCTGCTCGTATCTTCAAAGCGAAAATATTGGGAGATAAATTTAGCAAGACGAATGCCCCAGCTGGGCCGTCGCTCAATTGTCGCAACATGATTAGTCATGAGCTTGCCATCTGAAAGGCTAAAACCAGCCAGACCGATATCGCCACTCTTACCCGAGAGCGTCGGCTATATCTGTGGACGTGCTCAAACTAGAGACTACCAAGCCCTTGGGTTGCATTACATAGCCCGATATATTTTAGGTGTTTTTAAGTAGCTTCTTAATATTTATAAACATGTATTAAAAAAGAAGTATTAACATAACATGTGTATTGTAACTAACGAGTATCTATAATAATATGTCGACGAATCGACCGCTGTGGCGGGCAGCTTGAGCATTTCGGCCTCATTGCACATCCATCTAGTTTTGAGCAAAAAAGAAAAGAAAAACACCGCTCAGGACTATGTGACAAATTAAGACTTAGATCACAATTTCGAAGGTAGTTTAGGAATATGTAAGACATCATCTAGCCTTTTGACAAGAAAAAATCCACTAGAATACACTGTCCCGATGCACATCACCATCTAAGATTGGGTCCTTAGTGGGAAGTTTTAATGACCTAATAAAAGAATTGGTAAAGAAGATGAAGGAAATAAAGACGATGAAACCACATTGCTACTTGATGAGCGTTGCAAATTGAGTAAACAATAAACTGCCAAGGGGTAAAGTGGGGGATCTTGGCATTCCCGCCAGGAATATACAGGCAGGCTTTCCGTCCGCCGTCCAACGGTTCACCTGGTGATCAGAGGTCGTAACAAACTCCTTTTAAAACCAAGTTCTACCACCCAGCTCGTTAATGAATAAGGTTTTATGGACCAGGGTCTTATTGTGGTGCACGGACTAACACCTAAATCCATCTTCGTATTACGACGAAAACCTTTGATCTTGGTCGCGAGTTCTCAAGCAGTGAGGGGTAGATACCACGCACATGATCTCGCGAGATACGTATCAAGGTGCCATGACATAACGGATGGTGTTAGGAACTTTGCCTCGTCTTAGTCTCGTCAACTTGAAATTAAGGGGGCGCTGGGGCAAGATCAGCCTTTGCCTTGGGAAGGGGCGGGCAGAGTTATGCGCGAACACAAAGCCAATTCGCTCTATTAGGACAGTAGCCTGTAAAAATCCACAGTACTGGACATGAATTTAATCTAGCATCTGAGAGCCTTGCTATTAAGGGAGGATAATGTTCTGTTGGCTCTTTTGGCTTGTGTTCGGCACTTTCCTAAACGGACAAGCGACAACATACTTTTGATGGCGACATACAATGATCCCCCACGCCATATACCTGGAAAGTAAAAGAATTTATATTCTGGTCTCTATTATGATGATTAAAAAATTAATAATGATCTCAATATCGCACTGGAAAGAGGATATGTAACGAATACGTTGGTAAGCCAGGCCCTCAACTAGAAAATGGGTTCTGGCATACCTCCTCCTACAGGATGCATCTCAATCCCCATGTCTCATCAACAAGGCTAACAGGTTACTTTTCCCAATTATCACTTCCATCTTTGGCCGTCTAGGGACAAGAGACTTATTCACGTTGAGCTCATAATATAGATTGGCTATTTTAAGCTACTCAGTATTTCCGCCTCAATCAGTCTACTCGTATCAATGCTAGAAATCCGAATATATTAATATTGAAGGATGTAGGATCATATATTAACATCCGCCGATTCAGAACGAATCAGTAACCAAGGACATGTATGAAATAAATTGGCCCCTGGAGCGATTGTAGGATAGATGGCACCACATCAGTGGCTGATGATGCCAAAGTCCCTTGGCCAAGAACGTATTGTCCTTTCGTAAATTGCTCTAGGCCCGACATGAGCAACTACTGGAAACCAAAGTGCCTCCCATCTACCATAATTGCACAGGGTACAATTATATCTTTAGGACTCACAAGAACTATAAAGAAGCTCTACTACCTCGACTAGCCATGCATATCTGAAAACATCATCCAAAACAATCTCCCAAAAAAAATACAATTTCTAGAGCTGGTCTCTGTTCGATTCTCTGCACCACTTTTTTATCTATATTTTATTATTGCCGGCCAATATTAGACATTTTCTCTCCACACTCTTCTATTTCTTAATTCAAAATGGTCGCCATCAAGAATCTTTCTATCACCTCGGCCGTCGTGCTCGGCCTTTCCGGTCAAGTTCAGGCTGCTCCAATGGCCAAGTCAGACCTCGCCACAAGGTCAGGAGCTGACTCTGATCTCGATGTCAGAGACCCTTTCTTGGGTAGGATTATTGGCTCTGTCTTCGGCGGTCGAAAGGGCCGCCGCGACCTGGAAGAGCTCACCGAGCGTGACCTTGATGAGCTTGAAACCCGCGACCCGTTTCTCGGCAGAATAATTGGCTCCGTCTTTGGTGGCCGCCGAGGTCGCCGTGATCTGGAAGAACTCTCCGAGCGTGACATCGACCAGCTTGAGGAGCGGAGCCCCAGATCGCGTGGCTCAGGGCTAGCCCGCCATGCCATCAGCACAGCGGGAAAGGTTGGAGTGGCTTGGGCCAACAACCAACGCCGTGATCTTGAAGAACTCTCCGAGCGCGACCTTGACGAGCTTGAGGAACGGGATCTTGATGATCTTGATCTTGAAACTCGCGACCCCTTCCTCGGCAGGATAATCGGCTCAGTTTTTGGTGGCCGCCGAGGTCGCCGTGACTTGGAAGAGCTCTCCGAGCGCGACATTGACGAGCTTGAGGAGCGGGACCTTGACCTTGAGGCTCGTGACCCCTTCCTTGGCAGGATAATCGGCTCAGTCTTTGGCGGTCGCCGCGGCCGCCGCGACCTGGAAGAGCTCGTCAGCCGAGATCTCGAGCTTGAGGAGCGAAGCCCCAGGTCGCGTGGCTCTGGGCTCGCCCGCCATGCAATCAGCACAGCAGGAAAGGTCGGAGTGGCTTGGGCCAACAACCAACGCCGTGATCTGGACAGTGAGAGTCTCGTTGCTCGCGAGTTGGAGAACCTGGATGAGCGAGATCTCGAGTACCTCTATGCGCTATATCTGAGAGATATGGAGGACAGCGAGGAGTAAATCACTTGACATCGACAAACTTCAAGGTGATTCTCATGTCCAGTCTCAAATTTCGATTATTCTTAAGGTTTAGTGTCAGTCATCCCTTTGCCTATGTTTAGGAAATTCTTGTCATTTTATTTAGAGCGTCGACGCAATCATTTTGAATAGAACTACGGTGGTAGAGAACCGAATTACATACTTCAGAACCACAAAGTGAACTAAGATCCGTTTGATCAAGGCAGAAGCCTAAGGTTAGTGCGAGTCGTCTTGCTACCTTTCTCAACACTAGCTGAGGCCCAAGGGGCACTAAGCTTGTCGGTGCCGTTGAGTAGCACGATCTCACTTCGTCGTGGTTCGCGGGAACTGTGCTGTCAACCTCCTCGTAGGTTGGAGGACCAGGTGACCACGTACTCGACGTTGTTGAGGGCGCCTGCGGACTTTTCGGACATTTTAGAAGACAGATTAATGCGTAAAGCGACAAATTTTTGGGTGATGGGCAAATTGAATCAAGAATAATGATGCTAGTTGCTGGAAGTCAGAGCCCTTCGATATACTACTCCTCTCTCTACCACAAGGTGAAAAAAAACATTGACGTCGGATCAAGACCGCCCTACATTAGCGTCAGGGATCAGCAGCGACAGGGCCAGTTGCACTCAGATATAGCAATAGAATATGATCTTATGCCATGAGAAACAAAAACAAAAAAAGAAACAAAAGGGAATAATGGCAACAAAGCTACTTGCGGGCCTTCCATAGGGAAATATGTTGCATGTGATATCATTTGCGAGATAAACCCGACGTCAAAACGCGAGACGCACTGCCATTTTTCATGCCCTTCCTTCTACGAGCAGACCGAGATTAATCTCACCAGGCCGAGTGAGAGTGAGGGGCACCACAAGCGGGTGGGCTTAGCCGTCTAAGCTACCTACATATAAAGCGGCTTGGATTTAGTCTTAGTCATAAGCCGGGGGAAATATCAAAACGCTATCGAGAATAACAAACTGACATCATAGAGAGTATCATAACATTGAAAAGTAAAGTCAGAAACACATTGATGACGGGTGTTTGAATTGGTGCCCCTCCCAGCCCCCAAGCCCCGCTTCTGGAAGCATCAACAAGTCAGAGCCGCTGGAGATGTCGTGATGCAGACACACATGACACATGACCAGAATGTGTTGGAGCGGGGGAGGGGGAAATGTTGGAGAAGCTACCAGGCGGCCGCAGATCTGGCACCTCTGGGCCATGCTGATCGAACAATGCCTCCCACAAGACGCCGACGAACTCGGACGGGCTGTTTGACCTGTCGCGCCCGTAAGATCAAATGCGACGAGGCTGCCGCCATCTGTACCCAGTGCTTGCGCTCAGACTTGCAATGCCGTCGATCTAGGAATGAAAGCCTGTCCGAGTCCACTCGCTCGCGGTTGGCTTTTACAGCAAAGAACAATGACCAGCGACTCACCCAAGCCGGGACAAGGCGTCAACGTGTTCAACGCTCCTGCGTGTCCTGCAAGTTGGTTAAGAAGCGCTGTGACGGGGAGCGGCCTCTTTGCGGTAGATGCCTGAAGAATAATCAACATTGCGTCTATGACGAGAATAACCCGCCCAGCGACACCGGGAATTCGATAGCCGAAGATGAACAACAGGTTACCTCGAGCCTCTCACGTCCCTCCTTTCTATCGCCCCCGGCAACGACAGTGGACTTCCCTGACAGGATCATCGCTCGAGATCTATGCAAAACCTTCTTTGATGAGATTGCCCCCTTGCGCTGCCTAGGCTTCCTCCACCGACACATCTTCCTTCAACACGTGCAAAACTGCGAGGATGGCCGGGAACCGCTCTTGCTCTCCGTGTGCGCCCTTGCCACCAAGTCAATCAAGCACCGTGAACTATGGGAGATCGGCTGCAGATGGGCTCGCATCGCACAGGGGCTCGTCCTAGCCGAAGTCCAGGACATCAGCGTGCACAGGCTGATGTGCATAGTGCTTCTCCACGAGCACGCCGCACGCACCAGCGAGCACCGGCTCTGTTTCATCCTGTCTGGCTTAGCATCTCGTTATACGCAGGCCCTCAGCCTCAACCTCGAGTATGACCACGATGTCCTGTCCACCACTGGTCTCCTGTCTCCAGTGGAGCGAGAATCCAGGAGACGGCTGATGTGGGCTTGTTACATCATGGACACAATGGTGGCCTGCGGTCTGAACCATCTCCAGACGATTGACACTACCACCATCCAGATACAACTTCCCTGTGATGATAGGTACTTTCTGTACAAGGTGGCTCGCATCACCGCCAAGGTGCCTGTGTGTTTCGAGTCTGCGCCCAACAGGGAAGCCCCGATATCAACCGAGAACCAAGACACACACGCATTCCTTGTCCGTCTGTTTCTCATACGCGACCGTATCCTGAGATATGTTGACGACCATACAGACGAAGAAGATCCATGGAGGTTGATGGGTCCCCTGGCCGACTTGGAGCACTGGAAGGAGTCGCTGCCGCCTGAGCTGCAGTTCAATTACGACGTCATTGTAATACGCAAGGAGCAGTCAATGCTTTCGGCTCTCATCTCCCTGCACGTGCAGTATCACCAAATTAACTGCCTTCTATATCGATGTACAATCCCCAGCATGCTCTTCCCCGCAAGAGCACATACCGGACTATCAAGGAAAGCCTCTATTGAGTTCTTATCAGATAGCCGACGTGGATGGTTTGATCATGCGTGCGCCATGTCCGCCATTTTCAAGGTGGCTCTAGAGCAGAAACCCGAGTCCATGGAAGACCCAGCCGTGGGCTTCTCAACATACAATGCCATAATTATCAAATTCCTCTATCTCACAAACTTTGTACCCCCAGGGGAAAGACTTCTGAGAATGGAGAGTATCTTACCACTGGTTGATATCGACCTGCAGTTTTTACGGGAACTTCACGAGTACCACCCTTCCGTACGCTCTACGTGCCTGGCTGCAGAGCGCTTAGTCGACGAGGCCAAGGTGAAGATCTCCCAGGATCCGACTATCACGTTATCTGAATCAGGCAATCTTGTTGGTGTCTTTAGCTTCCCTACAGACTCCATCTCCCTGGACCATCGCACAAACCAACTATCTACGATTGCGCAAATAAGGAAAAACCTGCCAGAGATGCATGCTCCCGACTTGGCATCTGTCCCATTGGGCTGTGGCACACAATCACCTGAAGAGCCCGGGAGGCTCTGGCTATGGATCGATCAGGGAGCGTAACGTGATCAATCTGACCCTGCAAGTTAGATATCGGATCAAGGGCACAAGACTAATTGAACATCACTACATAAGAAGAAACATCAAGTTCAAATTCTGTGGTGGCTGGTCCTAATAGCCCATCGCCCCTCTGCCTCTAACCTCTTGGAAGGAGTGAGCCATCTGAGAACCATCCTTGCTTCCCGGATTTTCCACGTCAAAATCCCACCTGTCAGGCATTTTCATCCCAGCGTCTATATGGTTGAAGATGACCCTCGTCGAGATTCCATCTCGGAAATACCATGGGTCTTCCGTCTCCAGCTGCCATTGCTCAAGCGCCTTCCTGCACTCGAGAAGTTGCTCTTGGTACTCGGGTTCCTTGGCCAGATTCCGCACTTCTTCCGTATCGGCCTCGAGGTCGAAAAGCTCCTCGGGTCCCCTCCTGATGTAGTTGGCAACAGGCCGCTTGCCGATCATTGCCGGCTCCGCATTTCGCATCCCTTCCCATGATAGGGCGCCGTACAGATCCCCGGGGAAGGGGAAATCGAGCTGCCAAGCCACGTTGCGGTGATACTTGAACCGCTTCGTACGCATGTACCGAGTAGGATAATACGCCGTGAGCTCGTGAAATGTATGCGAGCCGAAAACCTGACCCCAATCATCGAGCTCTCTTGTTTCATTCATGATGGGTAGAACCGACCGCCCCTTGCGGTTCCCCTTCACGTTCCCATACCCCGCCCAGTCCAGGAAAGTGGGCAGGATGTCGATAAAAGAGACAAGATTTGGGTTGACCACCCCGGCTCTTCCAGCTGGGGCTCTGATGATCATCGGGAGACGGACACCTGCATCATACAACGTGCTCTTGGAGTTCACGAATGGCGGGCCATTGTCGCTTGTGAACATGACCAAGGTGTTATCATCTAGCTCGGCCTTGGACAGCTCGTTCAGTAGCATGCCCACACCCTGGTCCATCCGCCAGACAGCGCTGTAGTACTCTGATAATTCCTGTCTCACCTCAGGCACGTCACTAAGGAAGAACGGAATCGTGACGTCTTTGGGGTCGTAGCTGAGGTGCTGAACCCCCTTATAGTCCTGCGTATTGCCAAATCCACCCCGCGTCAAGTCCCGATGGGGGTCGATATAGCCGACAGTCAAGAAGAACGGCTTTTTCTCCTCCTTCGCCCTCTCGAAGAAGGCTGCAGACCGCTCTGCAGTCCAGGCGACATCGCGCGTGTCGCTTTCTTCCCGGACTCGCCAAGGGTAACACTCAGCAGGCCCGACGTGGACCTTGTTGATGATGCCTGTCAAGTAGCCCAGGCCGTTGAACACCTTGGGCGACGTGTCGACATGATCAAAGGTCGTGAAGTAATGAAGGCCCTGGAAGCCGCGTAGGAGACCCAGCTGGCCAGTCTGGTGAGTATGGAGGCCAGACTGGATGACAGAACGACTTCCGCTACAGGACGCTGTGCTGGCAAAGGCCATGTCGAAGTATGTCCCCTGAGCCGCCAGGTCATCAAGGTTCGGCGTCTTGACCTTGGACTCACCGCAGACCCCCAGGTTGCGTCCCAAGTCATCTGCGATAATGAGGAGGATGTTCTTGTCCATGATGATGTCTTATATTCACGTCTTGTGAGGATAGTTCGATTGTAATTTGGGATACCAAGAGGCAGATTGTTCGGCAGAGCTAGGATGGGAGGGAGATTGGTATCCGCGAGTATTTTACATCAATTCATCGTGTATGTTTGGGCATGGCCAGCATCGCATTGTGTTGCCAATTTGATACTGAATGTTACGACACGATGTGTGCTTAGCGAGATCCGAAAGACTCAAATCCCGGGGTGCGGCGCAGAGAGCGAATCGAGATCCGCCAGCGGAAGGGATTTCCCACACCAAAATTCGTAGCGGGATCCGACAGTGAGTTTGCCTGTTCGGATGCTACCTAATACGTGGTAATGGGGAAGGACTTGGACCCCTCCCGCTCCATGTTCGATCACCTAATCGCCCCGGACATCCTCCCCACGGGGATTGAAAGCTCCTAGTCAGGTTAATCTCTTCAGGCTGGTGGCCATACCGTGAATTATTCGACACGTAATCATTATTATACAAGTACTCGCGATAGAGGCCATCGAATAATAAATTGGAACGAGAGTGCCACATTTCTGGGCGCACTTCCTTACATCTTCGATCGATCACACCCAACCCTCTGATACTTTGACGAACTGACACGATGCCTAAGGGTCCTGAAACAAGTCTGTCCGAGGTCAATGACCCAGGCGACGAATCTCAGTCTCGCGGGAGAACCAACATCGGGGTTGATGCCCAGTTAGCTCGAGATGCACAAACCGCAGCCAACGCCGAAAAGTCGATGACCCTGTGGGAGGGCATGAAGGCTTACCCCAAAGCCGCAGGCTGGTCCGTCGTCATATCTCTAGCCACTGCTATGGATGGTTACGACACAGGTTTCCTGGGGGCTCTACTTGGACTTGTAAGTCTAACACTCCCTCGGCCACGACATTCGTGGGCTGACTTTAGGTTTCCTTCGTTTCTCAGCCTGCGTTTAACAAGAAGTTTGGGTCTCTCTATAATGGACAGTATGTAGTTCCGGCATCTTGGCAAGGTGCTGTGACTAACTCCAGTTCAATCGGTATTTTCATTGGCGTTCTGATGAATGGCTGGCTAACCGAGAAGGTTGGCCACCGCAAAATCCTTCTGTATTGCTACGTCCTCCTCACCGCCCTTATCTTCATACCCTTCTTCGCGCCGTCCCTTGGAGTGCTTGTAGCAGGTGAGATACTCTGCGGGCTGTGCTGGGGCCAGTTCAGCATCACCGCTGCTACATATGCCTCGGAGGTATGCCCCTTGCCTTTGCGGGCGTACCTTACCTCATACATCAACATAACGTGGATTTTCGGCCAACTCATAGCCGCGTGTGTTATGCGAGGTGTGTCCGGGCTTGATTCCCAATGGGCCTACAAGATCCCCTTTGCCATCCAATGGGTTTGGCCCGTGCCGTTGTTCATCTCCGTGTTATTTGCCCCCGAATCACCCTGGTGGCTCGTCCGTCAGGATAGGTTAGACGAGGCCGAAGCAGCTCTGAAACGACTCACCACAAAAAATAGCAATGTCGATACGAAGGACACCATCGCCATGATGGTACATACCAACCAGCTAGAAGAATCTATCGAAACTGGTACATCATACATTGATTGCTTCAGGGGCACCGATAGAAGACGGACGGAGATTGCTTGCATGGCTTGGGCAACTCAGGTCTTTTTCGGTTTACCAATTGTAAGCACATGGTATCAGCCACTAATCTAGCAAACCAACCTCTGGTGATACCTGTATGTGGCTGACATCTTGATGAATAGACGTCATATCAAGTTTATTTCTTGGAGCAAATCGGCATGCCGACGCACCAGGCCTTCAACTTTAACATCGGCAATCGTGTCATCGCTATGGCCGGTACCTCGTTATCTTGGGTGATGCTCAGCTACTTTGGGCGCAGGACCATTTATATGATGGGTATCACAGCGAATGTGACTCTCCTGCTATGTATCGGGTTTTCTTCACTGAGCAGTACCGACGGTGCAATGTGGGCACAGTCCGTCTTGCTGATTTCCTGGCCTTTCTTTACGAGCCTTACCGTTGGCTCGGTGGCCTTCTCCATTGTTTCTGAAGTGGGCTCGACTCGGCTCAGGGCCAAGACCATCGCCTTGGCTAGAAACACGTTCAACGGCCTGAACATTATCTGGGGCGCCGCCATGCCCTACCTGTTCAACCCCAAGGAGGCTAATCTGAAGGGGAAAGCGGCCTTCATCTTCGCATTCACCGGCAGTCTTTGTTTTGTGTATGTCTTCTTTAGGCTGCCAGAGATGAAGGGCCGTACTTTTGAGGAGCTTGACATCTTGTTTACGAATAAAGTGAAGGCTAGGGACTTCAAAAACACGGTTGTCAATGCTTACCAGGAGAATCTCGATAAAACGAATTTGCATACCGCGGAAGACTGAGACGTGGGTCGGCGTACAAGTCTTCAGGAGATAGGTTTACATAGGTTCACGCAATTATGCAACTCTTTTGGTTTTGATTCCAACATGAACGTGAATACAATAAGTGTCCTGCAAAGGCGGTATAGAAATTTTCCCATAATTGGAGCACGAGATGAAGTGTATATTGAACGATAATATATACATACGGATTGATGTGAAAGGTAGGCGTGATGGAGGCGGCAAAGAGTGGAGACGGAGCGGCGGCGCGGATGAGATGAGCCACATGTCGCCGACACCAGCGGCGAAGGCAACATCAACGTGTCGGCGAGCCGAGTATAATTACAAATCCAAATTTTTGAATGCAGGAATCCGAAATCGCTCTTATGTGCGTATAAAGGGCTATTTAGGGTTATAAAAGAGACGTCGAGAACATCTTGCTTCATCGCCCCTTACCTTCCATCCACCTTCAGACGGCCCAAAACATCAACCCTATTACCTTATCCTTCCATCATCCGAAAAACGAAAAACATAAAACGTCTCTCACCATGGCTGGCTTCAAGTATCTCAACAAGCTTCAGGGTCAGCGCATTCTCGTTCTCGGCGGGTCCTCTGGAATAGGCTTTGCCGTCGCCCAGGCCGCAATTGAGCATGGCGCAGTGATCTATATCAGCAGTTCTAAGCAAACCAGGCTCGACAACGCCGTTGCAAGGCTTCAAGCCTACGCCAAAGAAGTTGGCCTCCCATCGGACAACATATTCAGCAAGACGTGTGACCTCTCCAACCCCGAAACACTAGAGAGCAACATCACTGAACTCCTCGACTTTGCCACTGGCAACGGCAAGCTCAACCACGTGGTGCTAACAGCTGGAGATGCGCTCAATCCACCTGTGCTGAAGGACGTGACCTTGACCCAAATTCACCAGGCAAGCTCCGTTCGATACTATTCCGCTATCTTTCTGGCCAAACTCCTTCCCAAATATGTCGTTTCCCACTCGTCCAGCTCTCTCACTTTCTCGAGCGGGTCCAAGGCAAAGCGCCCCGATCCAAACTGGTCGATCGTTTCAAGCCTAGGCGGTGCTCTGGAAGGCGCTGTCCGTGGTTTTGCTATGGACCTCAAGCCTATCCGTGTCAATTTGATCGAACTCGGCATTGTAGAGACAGAGTTCCTCGAGCACATACCCGAACAAGTGCGGGAGCAGCTGCTTGTAAAATCTGCCAAGGCTAATCTTCTGGGGAAGGTTGGAGCACCAGAGGACGTGGCAGAGGCGTATCTCTACTGCTTGAAGGATTCTTTTGTGACAGGAACGACGATTGTTACTGACGGCGGGATGCTTGTCGGCGGGAGCGAGTAAGCTATGAGATCAGGCATCAAAGATACCGGACATGCCTTGGGAAGATTATCGCATGGCTAGAAATTGAATGAAGTACTATGAAATACAGACTTCCTCTTCGTCAGAGTAATCTGGCCAGTGATCACATGGCCTCAGCATATCTAACAATACACCTCTCTTCGCAGCCCGACACTGCTCGTCATTGAATCTTGAAAAGTATATAAACCCATTGTAGTATTTTCGTCCCAGCATCCCCAGAGCTTCTCTGAAATGGCGGAGGGCAAATGTAAGTATCTCAAGGTCATCCTTCACGCTAGATGTGTATGTTGGATCACAGTACGGACCGAACGGTACGCATTTTTCAATCAGTAGGACCCTAGCACAGACAAATACCAGTGGTAAGAGGAATGAGTTATTGGCAAAGTCCAATGATGTCCTACACATGTCGCGGAGACAGTTAACAAGACTGCGCGCTGCCGCGACACAATGAGGCCAATTCTCAAAATGATCGCCTGGCCTCTCATCGGTTTCGTCTTCGAGAAGTGGCCGGTGATGGAGTAAGAGGGCAATGCTTGCCATGGTGGCATTGAGCCAGACGACCAATGAAAAGTCTCTGGGGTCGGCCGCGGACAATTCAATAGCATGCCGAGGAATCGTGAGCCTCAGTTTGACCAACTTTGACGTAAAGGACTGCAACGTGTCTCTATCCCTGTTATAATCGAAGTCAGGTTGATAGAGTTCCTCTCCGACACGCCCGAGAAGATGATGCGCCACAACAAGATACTGATAGACGGTTCTCTTGCGCTTGAGTGTCTGCCGTTGCAATCTGGAGCATAAAGCATCCACATTGACAGTGAAACCAATCGAATTCGAGTCCGGTGGCTCATGATCCGCCTGGAACTCGTCCTCCGACATGGGCAAGTTGAAGAGGATATGACGATTATCGATAGCCCGAGGCAAATCCGTCGTGCAAAGACACCGATCAAACATGAAGAGAGTCCAGAGAGTCCTCCGACATTCCTCTTTCTCAATCCATGAGTCCGTCTCAAGTACACCCAAATCTTTTGGCAAAACACGGGCCTTACCGTCGAGGCGAGCACAGCCCGTCAGGACGGCCTTTCTCCAGGCAAGTCCAAGCAACTGCCATGGGGTGCAAAACTCCATCATCTCTGATGATTGCTGGACAATAATAACTGCTGCTTGAAGGCTCTCGATGACCTTACTCTTGCCAGCTATGGACTCACTCACGAGCTTTTTTGCTCCTTCATACCAGTGGCACCGACGTTCTCTGACATCGGGGTCTGTATGTGTTTTTGCAGACATGGCGCATATGGCATATAGGAGAGCTTGAGAAGAGCCGTCTATTCCGTCTCTTTCTAGCGCATGCATGAACCGCCCTTTGTGTATGATGGGAAAATGGGTGTAAAGCTTTTGGAAAAAGTTGGAGACCAATTCCAATAGTACAGTCCAAGGGGGAAGTGAGGCTGGGTCGTCCTCTGCAGCATGTGGAGATTAGTCGACACGATTGACCACTAGGAGGTAGATTCAGTTATGAGTTTATGGCTCAGACTTACTCGCAACAAGTGGTAGATCAAGGTCTTGGATAGGTTCTAGGGTCGGGAAAGGCATTGACCAAAGGAAGGGATCCGGATCCAAGCTCATCACATCTTCGAGGTTGGCAGCCGCGACATCAAGAGTTCCGGAAGTCTCCGCCGGCCCTGAAAAAGAATCCCATGATGTCACCCCTGTGACAGCGCGATAGAGGCATGGGTGGCCTCGGCGAAGACAAGAGGAACATTGAGGGCGTTGGCCCTAGCGGCTGGCGTTTAAGCTAATTGAAAGATTGCGCCAAGTCCTGAGGGTATATCTCTTACATCGCATTTCTTCTTCCTAGACCGGCATCCGCTGCAGACATTTTCGGATCGGGTGAGTGACGGCATATTGTGCCTCTTTTGGTTGTGAAGGGCGCGCCGAAGAAGCGGCGTGGTGGCCATGAGTTCAAATGATCATTGATTGCTAAGCCAATGCGTGATCATCATGGGTGGATGCCAAAGGAGTAGGAGTGAGCCAGCCTCACGTGACCTCCAAAAGACCAAACCTCTGTACTCGTTGACACAAATGCGTCCATGAACCCTGCATTTCATAGTTTCGTCACTAATTTTACTTCGCGAAATGACGAGAGGGTTGCATAGGCTAACTCTAAAGCAACATTGAAATGTTCGCTACCATATTCATTTATAGCCCAAAGCATCTAACCCAGCACGGGCGATCCTGCCTCCATGTCTCTTGGAAGAGGAAACCCTCACACTTCAACCGAGCCCATTAAAGCGAGATCCCTATGAAGAGTCCAATCATGCCAGTATAGTAAATTGATAGGCCTAGCCTCAGTCTTAATCAATAGGTGTAGCCTTCTTGACAGAGCAAATCTGGTCCCTGTGCCTTTCCATAACAACATCGGAGACAACCCATGATGGCCAAGTCGTCATAGTGATATTTCCGTAGGTACATGCATATAGCCTCAAGTTCAGTGGCACCCCGAAGATCAATCCACCAAATGGTCTTGCTCGCCTTGCTATACCACAATGCAAGGAGCACTAATGCTACGGGATCTTTCATTAAAAGAAGGCTTTTGAAAGAAGGGCTAGTGTAAATTATGAATGCCATCGCTTCGGTAAATGGAATCTCAAAATCCCGCCACTTGCCCAATCTGGTGATTATTTCGGCAGCTTCAAAGTAAGGGCTTGTTTCAGGTTGAGACCATTCATCGAGCCTGCATAAAATTTGAAGCTCTGGGGAAATGCTGTGAATGCTACTAGTAGGTTTGTATGCACGCATCTTCTGGTAGATGTCCGACATGGGGTAGAAGATGCTGTCCGGTCGAGTAGGTTGGGTGAGCTGGAAGAGTTTCCATTTTGTGTCGCCCAGGCGGAGCCAATTCATATCATCCGACTCCGAGGGTTTGAAGGGCCATGCCTTGGAAGGGTCGCATTCGTCGAGGGCCAAAAATGATAGAATGCTTAAAAACGATGCAGTAGCCCATATTGGATCGCGGTCTGCGGGAGAAATCTCATGGCATAACTTGCGACTGAGCAGAGTTGTACACTGAAAAATATGGGCCATCTCGCTCAGGGTCCGGCCTTGGCCACTTCGTATTGCCTTGAAGAGAGACCGGTCATGGGCAGCACTTAATGCTAGTGCAGCGTGCATCAAAAATGGATACTGCTAAAATCAGCCAAGTTTAACGAGGAGAATAACCTGTAGAACATACCCCTTGTGCTAAGTGGAATATGTTTGCCACGGGGAAAACAGATGTGAGTTTCATTTGGTGGTAAAGTTGGTTCAGAAGTCTCAGCGAGCCGGCATCCAACTCAAAGGGGACAGTGTGCGTCTTCAGGGCAGCTTCGGTTGATATCGGGTCTTTCAAAGGCGCACTTGGAGAGAGTTCCTGCGCCACCCATAGATGTTGTGACTCCTTCGGTAACCTTAAGTCCATGACATCCTTGCCATAATTGCATACCACGCCGTAGGACAAACAGGGCTGGCACTGAGGCTTCGCTTGATCGCACTTCATGGCTTAACTCCTGACTCTCAATCAACAACGCACCTGGAGAAATACCTTGATTTTTCGCAATTTGCAGTTTCCACAGCCTTTTCGAGATCTCCGGATAAGCCGTGTTTTCTGCGCCACTGTCCGCGCAACGTCGGTGCGGGTAGATCTCATTTCCAAGAAGGATATAGACAGCGGTGAATAGACGCTAACCCGATGTTGCTTTCAGAATTAGATCAAGTATTTTCTGCCTGTCCCAAGTATCGATTTCGAGACGAAGAAAAGACAGTCGCCATGGAACTACCCAGAGCGGTGTTAGGGGTGGAGATGTCTGATATCTCCGGAAGCCAACACGGCTAATCCTGCTTTCGCTTATTGTTAAGCTAACCAACTTTCGCTTGTTGACTGCTACGTGATTGGTATATCTGTCTCTGGTGATGGCTGGGCCTCCGCAATGGCCCTCCAAACTGTCATACAAACTCCAGATACGGGTCGGACTAACCCATTTTCGCCTATTTTGAAGATCGTCAACACAGAACATCAATACCATGATGGCAGAAAATGCTATGTTAGCCAATTTTATTCAGTTGCCCAAGCAAAATATAAATAGAAGACCAAACACCTTGAAAACTCGAGTCTAGCATCAACCAAATCCGAGATAATTTTACAAACCTCATACCAAATTCCTCATACCATCTATTCACTGCGAGTCATCTCATTATGAAGGCCTTTATCACGGGCGCATCCGGCTTCATTGGCCAGGCTGTGGTGAAGGAATTCCTCAGTCACGGTCATCAGGTCCTTGGGCTCGCCCGAACTGAAGAAAGCGCCGAGAAACTCCAAAAATTAGGTGCTGAAGTCCAGCGCGGCACTCTTGACGACCTGGACGTTCTCAGACAATGCATCGCATCGTCTGATGGAGTCATCCATCTTGGCTTCAAGCATGATGAGTTAGCAACTGACTTCCTTCGTGTCTGGGAAGATGACCGCAAGGTCGTCACTGCCTTAGGAGAGGCTCTCAAACATTCCGGAAAGCCTTTCCTCAATGCTTCAGGCACTCTCATTGTATCGCACACTGCAAAAGCCACGGAAGCCGACATGCCCGATATGTCAAACCCTCAGTTTTCTCACCGAGCCCAATCTGATAAGCTGGTATTGAGCTTCGCCGAGAAGGGTGTTCGGGCTCAAGTTCTACGGCTAGCCCCGACCAATCATGGAGAAGGGGATCGTGGCTTCATCAACATGATAGCTGCCAAGGCAAGGGAAATTGGTTATGTACCCTACATTGCAGATGGGTCAAACCATTGGCCTGCTGTCCACCGCCTTGATACCGCTAGACTTTACAGACTCGCATTTGAGTCCGGAAGGGCAGGTTCTGTGTATCACTCAGTTGCGGAGGAAGCAATCCAGACTAAGCAAATTGCAGAGGCGATTGGCAAGAGGTTTGGGGTGCCGGCGGTCAGCAAGACCAAAGAAGAGGTGATTGATCTTCTTGGTTTTGTCGGTCATGCGCTGGCCGCGGACAATATAGTCTCCAGTGAGAAAACAAGAAAGGAGCTCAAGTGGGTTCCAACACAGCGCGGGCTTATTGCTGATATTGAGGCAGGAGCGTACACTGGGGAGTCGAAATATTCCAAGTTTTAATCTTGCGATTCAGTTGTAGAAGGTTCTTACCATAGATCTTCAGAATACGATACCTCCTTTGGTGAAGTTCCTATAGATTGCACAGTTCCTAGCCTTAAAACTTCTCGAAAGAAGTCTAGAGCCTGAAATTTCGTGATCAATCCTCGTGAGGCTGGCAGCTCCAAGCCCGCTCGGCTGGACGGGGAACAGATCACACTGCTCCGTCTCGGGGTTTAAACCCCTTTCATTAATTGAGTAGTGTTGTCGCCTCTCATTCCCAATCCTCACTGTCCTCACTGTCCTCCTCGTCAGAATCGACCTCACTTCCCTCTTTCCATGCCTTGTTTGGATCGCTTTCGTGGTAGCCTCGAGTACAACCAGCGGATTCTTCGCCCGTCTTATCGCAGCAGGACCATATGAAGCCTTCGGGATGCTCTTTCCGCATCGAGTCAGAGTCGATTTCCCCGTGGCAGTTCTCATCATGATCAACCCAGGCACTGCTATCCCAATCCACTTCGGATTCGCCTACTCGCGTCAGCTATGTGCTTACATAGTCTACAGACTTTCCGAAGGTGGAGAGAGAGCAAGAGGAAATGAATTCTGTACGAACCAGGATGGTACAAGCAGTCTTTGGGTCTGTTATCATCTTTGTAAAACGGACTTTCGCACTGAACGCAGATGGCGAGGTCATCGGTGGCCTTTCGCTTACGACCTGAGCCTTGTGAAGCACCGCTCGATTTCGGCATCGCGTTAAGACGCGCGAGGGCGATTTTCTCCACATCCTTGTCTTCGCATAGTGCCAGTAGGAGTTGTTTGACGACACTCTCAGGCGCGCGCAAGACCTGCTCACGAAAGGCTGCAGAGGCCATAATATTTACTCTTACTTTCGATGCACTTTGTTAATCAAGTACGATGCGTGTGCTGCTCCCGTGATGACTCAATCGCGTGCTGCACCAGAAAACGACAGATAAACAACACGACTTTCGCGTCTGTTGCATGTGAAGAGACCGCACAGACCTCTTCTTGTTTCGATCTCATTGCCTCCCTACCCTAGATCAGAGATATTACGTTCAATCAACCTGTTCAACTGCGAAAATCTTTGTTTTTTCGTGTCTTTTTATTTTCGATTCTAATTATCCTCGTCAAATTTTCTTTTTATTGAATTAAGGAGCCTTTTGGCTAATGCTGCACAGAGATACACAATGTTAGTAGAATATCCCAATGTTTAATGAGCAAGTGCAAGAGCTTCAGATAACGCTCGGCAAGAAATACTCGATGAAATTACCCTTTCAATAATAGACAGAGGGAAAAAAAGAGATATTACGGTGGCTATCAAGGAAGTTACCCCTATGAGAGAATTTCAAAGGGGCGTTACTAACAAGGTGATGGCCTAGTATCGCCATTTACCTTGCACAAATCTCTGAATGCATTTTGCTGGGACAGACTTGACGCGTCTGGGAGGGCTTAGCTTGATCCCCACTCTACGGACATTGTCTTCCCCGATTGGTTGCAGGCTGATCCGCCAGAAATGTCATTGTGTGGAGCTAAACGCTCATCATGATTGGCTCTATGCAGACGTCGTAAAAGCGAGTCAGCCAGTATCCACAGGCAATTACACATCACTCTCGAATGGAGGTAGCCAAGTACCTTACCAAGCTGCCATTCATCCTGCATATTTCCACAATGGATTGTTGACAGCTCTAATCCGCCTCGAACGTCCTTCTAGTTCATCGGATCCCAATTCCTGCTCATCAGAAGAGCGATGTCGGTTCCTACCCCGAGAAGATCGAGGAGCGGAGCTCCCAAAGTCAGAACCGGCTGCGTAACATGTAAGCACATTCCCAGCATCCGAGGTTCCCACTCCCGTTGTGCGCTAATCTAGGATACCTGTGCAGGCAAGTGAGTCTATTCCGTGCAGTCTCTCGTGTCCTCACTCAACCTAGATAGGCAGCGCCATGTAAGGTGTGATGAAACAAAACCAGCGTGCATCAAGTGCCTGAGCACCCGCGGTGTATGTGGTGGGTATTATGTGAAGCCACGCAAAAACCAGTCTTGGAAATACCGTTTCGATCCGTTACCGCTAGACCCGGTGGTCCAGCCCTCTGCCTCTATTGTTGAATTAGGCATGGGGCGTCAGTTCGAAAATGAGCTCCAGCATCTTTATTTTCAAGAATGGCAGTTTCTCACCAAAGGAAACTTGGGGGGCTATATATCAACTAAACTATGGTCTACGTACCTGCCCCAATTAACTGCCCAGCGCATCGTGCTTCGACATGCCGCTCTAAGTCTCGGAGCAATGAGTCGAGCTCTGTCAATGCAATGCATTGGCCAAAACCCTTCCCAGACTGATCATTATCAGAATGCCGTCGCTTACTATTGCAAAGCTCTCCGTCATCTTAGTCAGGCTGATTCCGCTACGGCAACTACTCAAGAGGCGATGTTGCTGGCTATTCTGTTCACAAGCTTTGAAGTGCTTCGTGGTAACGTCAAGTCTGCTCTAGAACATATTTACCACGGCCTGCTAGTCGTGAGGGAGCTTTGCGCTAGTCCTGAAGCTATGTCATATATTGATCAGCTGGCCCCTGACCCTGGCCAGTTCATCAGTGAGGTTCTGGCTCTCTACTGGAGACTGGCTATCCAGACCCAGGTTGTGACTCAAGGGAGCGCCAAGCTAAAAGAATATGGAGCTATGAGTATTGGAAAAAGTAATGACTCTGAAGAACTCGACAGACAGGCGGTTAACAATCGCCTGTCCCGATATCTCCTTCCTCGGCCTGGCTTGTCTGCTTTGCCAAAACTATTTATGCATGTGGATGAGGCACTGGAACACTGGGAAGCCACTACTCGTCGCATAGAGAGACTGGGACCTCGTGTCATTCCTATTTTAGACAGATTTCTCGCAGGAGATGCTAGAAATCACGGAATGGCAGAAGAAGCACTCGAGGAGATGCAGAAGCATCGAGAAATAACATTCTTCTCTGATGAAAGTCAACGCCATTTACGCATTTGGCATGATGCCTTCTGGCCTCTATATCAGCGAACTCTCGCCACATCTGAGCCAAGTTCTGGGCCAGTCATGACTCTTATTTGTCTCCGGATCGAGTATCTTGCCCTGTCAATGCACAGCATGTTTCAGATGCAAGGCAACTATGACACTGTGTCTACATTGACACCCAAATGTCGCGAGATCAACGAACTTTGCGAGATCGTTTTCCGATGCCAGGTCCGAGACGCCAGAGGACCTTCAATGAGTTTCTCTATAGGCACAGGCCTGACATGGCATTTGATCTTTGTGGCAATGAACTGCCGAGATTCCGTTGTCCGCGAGAGCGCAATGCGGATTCTGGAGACTTATCCCCGCCAGGATGGGCTCTGGAGCAGTAAATCTTTCCTTGAAATTGCGAGACGGAACCGCAAGGTGGAAGCTGAGAACTGCGGTGAGGGTAGTATGAAGCAGCAATGGCTCCGTCTCTCTCGGCGAGTATTTCTGCTCGAAGAGGCCGGAGAACGACTCGTATTCCGATATATGAGCAAGGAGAATGGGTGCTGGGATTATATCGAGGAGTATGCAGACTTTAGTTATACAAGGACCAGCTCGCTTGGGATAGAATGGAAAAGGAGGCCACTCAGTAGCCAAAGCTTCACCCTGCAATGGGGGCGAACGGGCACTACTTCGATGGGCTCACTGTGGCCAGGTATGGGTTGCTGTGCGCCCAGGCTTGCCGTTTCCTGATTCCCGAACTTTCTTATTATTTGCTCGCCTTGATAAGCTTCCATCAATACCATGTCTTAGTGATACTGGGCATGAGCTTGAAGTGGGGTAGATGTACTCTGGGTTTCATCCTAGTGCGACAGGATTTACGACGACTGCATGGATGTGGGGACTCGGAGACTTCGCCCATCCGAACCTGCCACTCGACTACGATCTAAACTGTCGCGAGAAGCTACAGCACACTTATTTAGGAATTCATGCGGTAGTGGATGACTTGATTTTTTTGAATGAAATGCATCTTGGAAGTCCGCAAAGTCCGCACATCTTTTTAGTATATATATCCCCCATCTGGTCGCAATTGATCTCGATCCCCTTCCACTCTCTACATCCAGATCCTCACAGTCTATAACGTTTACTCTTACTCTTATCTTTCACCCAAAAAAGATCTTTCACCCAAAAAAGTCATCATGGGAGTCGTAGCAGTCGCCGGTGGCACCGGAAGCATGGGCCGTACCATTGTCGAGGCTCTCGTCGCTACTAAGAAGCACAAGACCGTGGTTTTATCCCGAAAGGTTGGCAACACCTTCATCATCATTTCGCCTACAGTGTCTTACTATTGACAGTCCAATCCAGATTTGGAAAAGGAACTTGGAGTTCCAATCATTGCTGTCGACTATGACAATATCAAGGCGGTCGCCGAGACCCTTGAGCAAAACAATGTTGACACTGTTATATCTGCCATCATGATGATGCCTGGCCCAGCCGGCGATCCCAAGGAAATTCAGCTTATACGCGCCGCAGATCTCTCCAAGACTACCAAAAGACTGATTTCAAGCGACTATGGACTTCCTCATTCTGAAGGGTAAGTTATTTTATATCCTCCGCTCTCCTCATTTTGCGCCTTAAATATCTGAGTTACGTCATCTAGGCATGACAAACAGCTTCCCTCTGTCATCTACAAACAGCAGGCGCAAGAGGAGCTCAAAACTGTGAAAGATCTCGAGACCACTCGGATTATCAATGGCCAGTTCATGGATTACTGGGGAATTCCTGGAGTTAAATCGCATTTCGGCCCCTTTCCTATCGCTATCGACATCGCCAATGACACTGCGGCCATCCCTGGCGACGGAAACACGCCTGTCATAATGACTCATACCTCTGACGTGGGCAAATATGTAGCCGCCAGCCTTGATCTAGAGAAGTGGGAACCCATTCATTCCATTGCAGGCGATAAGGTTTCTCTCAACGAACTGCTTTCCTATGCCGAAGCGGCCAAAGGTTAGAACGTGCTATCTTCTCAGCTTCTGAACTTGACTGATTTCGATGACAGGGAAAAAATTCACCGTCACGTATGACAGCATAGAAAGCTTGAAGCAGGGTCATTTGACGGAGCTTCCAGGTCAGGCGGCAAACTACAATCAAATCCCCAAGGAGGTTTTGCAGAAACTCTTAGTTTCGTTTCATCTTTGGTACGCAGAAGGAGTGCTTAACTATGAACTTGGAACGACTCTCAACGACAAGTTTCCGGAGATCAAGCCCCTCAAGGCCAAGGAGATGATTGACAGGGCTTGGAAGAAACAGTAGCATGCTAGCTTCGATGCCTGCCCTATGTTTATGTCCCTGGACATCTTAGCATACCATTGCCTTGTTCATTTCATCTACATGATAACTGGCTTGTGTTGATGTCTTTAGCGCGGTAAAGACAACATCAAATGACGCAATCGGGCAGGAAAGGGCTGGGTTTTCATGTAATTTATCCAGCTATCAGAAGTGTAACCCAAGTACTCTAAGTGATCATAAACACTGGGATATCTCTCAAAACCGCTCCCGATGCTGTTATAGGTGAAAGCGGTAGATTACGCAATGTTCACATGGCCATCAATGGTGTCAAGCTGAGTGTTGTGCGGTCAGGTTATATATGAGCTGGTCTCTGAAGTCTCGAGCATAATGACAAGATAGTAATAGTAATCAGATATTAACTAAGAGCTACTCATTGATATCGACGCCGCTAGATGAATCAACCAGGAGTTAATATTTTCAGGAGAGATATCAGGGCGTAAAAGCTTATACAAGTCATAGCACTTCTCTCTCGCCCATCGCGATATAGAAATAATTGATTACCACCAAGTTGCGGGCTTAATCTCCCGCCACACGTTGGAACCACAGTGTACCTCCCCTCCTCCCATGTGGTGTGTAAAAAAAGTGTCAATGAAATGCACCGTGTAGTTCACAGCAGCGTAGGATTCTTCAATGGCCTTGGCAAAGATATCGACACCGTCAATGATGGGTCCCCAAGGATTAGCAGACAGGTAGTAGGAGTTACTGAGAATGACACCATTGATGGCAGCAGGGTAATGAGCATGTACTTTCTCCACACTCTCACGACGCTCGATCGGGGCGCCCCAGCTTCCAGTAGCATTTACAATGTCAAGAGGTTTATCGTCATCTTGAGTGGCAGGAAACTTGGCAGACGAGACCAAGGAGTTGGAGCAAGTCCATCTCGACGATGAGCTGACGAAGCCGGGAACGCGGAAGATATCAGCGTCAGAAATTCCAGTTTCTCGCTTGATGATCTCCAGGTTAGCCTGGATTTTGTCTGCAGCATATTGATTCACTCGGTCCACGTCGGTTCTGGCCAGCTCAAAATCAATGGTGGACTGAGGTACACAGGGGGCATGTGCCCCATCGTAGGGATCGTAGGTAAAGACGTCGCGGCTGAGAGCACGCAGGCTGCCATAGCCATCCGCCTGAGCTTTCTTGAGAAGCGCCACTCCAGCAAGAGGATCTTCTGCCATGACGACCCAACCACGCTCGTTGTTTGCGGGGATGAACTGGATGAACTCGTCAACATGACCGACTGCAAGCCAGCTGGTGTCGAGAATTATCGGGTCTTGAGTCTCTTGCAGCTGCAGAAAGGGCAACACCAAAGGGCTAGTATCGCCCTCGCCGATAATAATACGCCCGGCAGGGTAGCTCTTACCATTGTAGGTATAAGGAGGGATGGTTTCCAGGTTTCCAGTGGAATCATAGGTCTCCCCCCAGTAGGTTTGATCAGAATCCCATGATTGAGGGTAGTTTATGGCCCCGACCTTTTCATTTCGCAATTCGGAAAATAGATATCTCCCTGCTGATCGTCTTTGGATGGACTGGAGAATGATTCGAATTGCAATGGGTCCACTGGGGCCAGGGATGCTTGCGTAGCCCGTCTCGAAATAGTCTTGCACCCAAATATCCGCGCCACTGAGCTGGACGGGTGACTGTGGTAGCCCGGCATCATCATTGTGAGTTGCGAATTCCTCAGCGAATCGCTGAAGGTATACGCGATTCCAGTTCGAAACGAAGGACTGCTGGGCTAACTGGACATGATGATGAGTCAGGTATGGCGCAACTCGAAGCTCAACAAAGTCTGTGGCTGATTCCTCCCCATCCGTGACGGTGAAATAGACTGTAGCTCTGCCATCCCATGTTTCAGGTCTCCGGACGTCACGGCCATCAATTCCGAGCTCCAATCCATCACTGAGTTGTGCGGCCGTAAACTTGTGATCCTCTTCCAAGAAGCTCCATGATCCTTGGTTCTTGTAAAAGATGCGCACAAACTCCGTGGCCGTGGAGTCAGTCACATTGATAACACCAACTGCATTTTCACTCAGCCCTTTTGTAGGTACAGTACGGATGGGTGCTAAGTAGTCTTGCTGCCGAAGGACATTGTCTGTGGCATCATGGCATAGATGCATGGTCTCCACGTCTGTAGCAGTTACTGAACAACGGCGGTCGGTGTCCACGACATTGGGGAGAAAGAGAGCTCCTCGCTCCGCTGTCCATGACTGCTTGCCAACAGCGTCGGTATCTCCCGTGATATCAACTTTCCCATCCCGGTTGGTGTCAGCAAGGATTGTGGCTGTCAAAGCGTGGCTGGCACGGCAGGCAGCTGCTGGATCATATTAGCACGTCTGAACCTGGAGCATCGTGATAGGTGTTTTCTCACCCAAAATTAAAATAGCTGTTCTCAAACTGTAGGGAGCCATCGCGACTTTATTCAAGCTGTTGAGGGTAGGAAGTGTCTCGTGAGAAAGATGAACTCATCGCCAGCTCTTATAGAGCTCGGCCATTTCGTGAGCAAGCCCATCTTCTTTACCACCAATCACTTCAACCTAGCACTGATTGTACCATAGACATGCTCAGGGTCGAAGAATCATGTCATCTAAGAAATCGGCAGACAATCGACAGAGGTTCTGCGTCTATGGTTCCAAAGTCTCAAGTGGGCTGACCATATTGCAAGGAAGAGAGGTGATAGGAACTCTTGTCCCTGTTTTCGTGAAGCTGGGCAGAATATCAATACTTCATAAAATGTTGTGCATCGTTGGATTTGCTATGTTCCAATTGTTGGATATGTTGTCTTTGCCTCGTGGTGACCAGGGGCTATGGTGCTGAGCATAAATCGTATGCGGTATCCCGGAACAACCGGAAGGATTGCATATAATGCTGTTCCCTTCCTCGCTCAGCCCAGGTCCTCGTTCCTCTTCGCTTAGTTGAACCCTTGATGGCAATATTGGACCCACTTGCAAACTGCTCGTTTATCAACGATGATTTGGATTAAAGACCCAGCTATCACGCCACGAAGCTCATAATACTGGTAAGCCAATATCGAGACGCCCTTTCGGCCCGCTGATCCGTTTATCAGGGCTTGGATAACGTCCTGCTGGGGGTCTGAGACGAAGGGCCTCCTGCGTGAAAAGCTGGCCTTACCCTGGGTTATTGATTATTGTTAAAGCTGCTCTGGCCTGCTTTTTTTTTATTCACGAAAGTTCAGGGGTATTCAATTTCGCCAGGGATCCCGACCGCTAGTTTCCAGACTGCTCGAGTTACTCAAACAGATAGTGACGGTAGGCTAAGTGGAGATACCACCACTCATTGTCATGCCCCGTTATGGTGCGTTGCCCATGAATAGAACACGGAGTTGATCTGCCCTCTAGTGTGTAGGTTTGGAAATCATGCTGTTCCGGGTTTATGAACCAAAGTTCTTGCTTTGTTGTGCGTAATGTATACCACGTTATATGGCGTATCTAGTGTAAGTTGCTATCTTCATTTTGGCTTATTGGCACGCGATTCAACCCCTCTTGAATTCCGGACAAAGACTTTCGTAGCTCAGAGAAAAAGAGCTGTCTTCTATTATTTTTCACAAGGTATGAAGCGGAAACCGGTGACCCCACGTACATCGTCATCGAACTTCATGATGGAACTGAATTGGATGGAAGAGAAAGCCACCCTGCTGCAACTACAAATTAGAACAGCAGGTTATGACCGAGAAAACACTGTGTAAAGAATAATAGGTGATCTAGGTTGAAAAGTAGCTATTTAGGGATACGAACGAAGGAATCAGTATGCTGTTTGGTTGGGAGAAACAAAACGGCCTTTCCTGCTAGCACGCAATAAACGCTTAGACTTTGCGTTTGTAATCCTTTAGATTGCACCAATGCAAAGACATCTTGTAAATTGTCACGACACGCTGACTGACAATGAAAATACTACACACGTACACCTGTCAAACATAGCTTGTGATTGCTTTTGCATCTTGGAGTAATTGTTTGATCCCCCGGTCAACATGACGAATGCGTCGCGCAAGCTCCTCCTTCCTAGCTTCTAGGTTCTTCTCAGCGGCGAGGGCGAGTTCCTCTCGTGCGGCGGGAGATGTGCCACCGGGACTGATCCTAGTGGCCACAAACTCGTCGGGGTCGAGGATTCGTCTGATTTCGGATGTTGGTATACCCAACTGCATCTTGTCCACTAGGTCATCACACAGCTTGCCGTCGCGTACACCAGCCTTCTCGTGGGCGGCGACGAGCTGAGCGACACTCTCATGGGCCTCTCGGAAACTAAGATTGCACGACACAACGAGAGCGTCGGCAAGAGCACTGGCGGTGGACCAGTGCCGGCCAGCTGAGAAACGCATTGCTGGCCCATCGACTTCCATGGTGGAAACAATCTCGCGGAGCAACCCAATGGCACCGGCCGTCTCAGCACACTGTCCCGGAAGCAGATTGTGGATGTACGCCTGATCGACGTCGGTTGACGTAGCTGTGTGCATCACGCCGAGCTGGCTCGCGGCCCAACCAACGGCGGTGCCGGCAAGGCCGCGAATGCGCTCCAAGGTCATGGGGTTCCGCTTCTGCGGCATCATGCTCGATGTCCCACAGAGAGAGGCGTCGATGCGCACGAGGTTCACTTCGCTCGAAGACCAGTAGTTGAGGTCCGAGGCAAGACGGCTGATGCCGGAGAGCGTCAAGGCCAGAACGCTGGCGAGCTCGGCGCCCATGTCGATAGCTGCCAGGCCTGCCTCCCGCGCGTTGGGAATAGGCCGATCAAAGCCAAGGTACATGGCCGTGCTCTCACGGTTGATAGGCCATGACGTACCGCTGTACGCGGCGCCACCCAGTGAGCTGACGTTTAGGCGGTCATAAGCATCCATCAGACGGTCGACGTTTCGCGAGAGGTTGTAGTAGTGGGCGTTGAGGTAGTGATCTATGGTGGTTGGCTGGGAGTGCTGCAAGTGCGTGTAACCTGGCATAAGAGCACCGGCATGACGTTTGGCTGCAGCTAGGATGGCGGCACCGAGGTCAATAAGCTCCTGGATAACTCCTGTCAGGCTTGTTCGGTTCACAAGACGCCAGTTGGTTGCCTTCTGATCAATACGGCTGCGGGCACGCTGGATATCACAGCCGCTAGGACCCAGCGTCGCCTCTAGGTATCGCTCAATCTGGAGTCCCAGAGTCCCCGTTCTGGGATCCGACCTGAGCAGCGCGACTGTGTCTCCCGCTCGGAGGTTAAGTAGGGCCTGGACGATGTCTCTTCCTTTGCGTGCGTCAAAGATACCGGTGCGAGTAAGCATGACAGCGTGGGCAAGATCTGTCAGTACGTACTCGTCCAAACTGACCAATTCGTCTTCAAGCTCAAGCCCATTGACGTGTGTGATTAAGAGCTGCGATGCCTTAGTTCCTAAGCGATTCTCAGCAAGAGATATTTGGCGCAGCTCTTTGTCGTTGTCATCATCATGGCGTTTCCGCTTGTGCGTTGCTGCCAGGCTCGTCGCCGTTGCTATTGCCGACATAATGGTCGCCAATTAGTTGGTATCCTTGTCCACGGGTTTCTGAGGAGCGAGATGGCAGTGGTAGAATTGCTAGTACAGTGGGAGAAAAATCCACAGAGAATGCCTAAACATCTGTTGCTCAAGTGTAGCCTTTGTTGCTGTCAACCGCACAGCCTTCAATGACCAACTTTCACATATAATGTCTGTAGTGAAAAGGATATGAGAAGACTTCTTTGTTGTAGCTAGCTAATATAATCTATTCTCCTATTTACACACTGGGGGCAGGGGCTCTACCTTAATTGTGGTGGGCTTCTTGGCTGGTCCTCACGAGTATGGCCAAAGCGACCCATGAGCATCCACGGGGAATAGCGGCAGCTCTGGGGAGTGGCGGCAACGCCCTCATAGTGGCCGGGGAGTGGTGGCAACCTCGGGGAATGGTGGCAGCTGCGGGGAATGGCGGCAACTGTTGGGTGGCACAATGGGTGTGAGAAACCAGGTGACCTAACCACGCCTAATTTCACGACGCACGGGGGCTAGACAGAGTGGATAACTAACTACACAACCCTCTCCATCCGAAGATTTATCGGGTGAACCGAGCTAACCCGATTGTATTCCGCGATGAATCCATCCCCATGGGGCGGACAGCAAAGTTTGCAGACGGGAATCCATGCCCCTTGTCATACAGCCCTCTAATATCTTGCTAGTGCCGAAGAGAGTCCCTTCCTCTAAATGGCAACTATAAAGCTTATCGATCTCCTCCTTCTCTGTAGCCTTATGACTTTTGCGCAACTATAAGATCCGGTAGTGAGGCAAAGCCAAGCAGAGAAACACTTGTTTACCCATCATTCTCATTTCCGCATCTGATCAAAGCCATAACCACACATCCATTTAATATGGGATTCCGAAACCGAGCTCCGAAAAGCCCCGAGGAGCGCATGGCTGAGAACATCCGGCTTGTTGGTCGAGATATTGCTTCGGTATGTTGAGCCCTGACCACCGCCATTGTGTATAACAACTAGTTGTTTGGAAACATTCATCTGACTAACCTTGAACTGCTATTTGCCATAGGCCCTCCCTGAGAACCCAAGATCATGGTGGCAAGAACCGCATCTGTTGCGCTTAAACATGTTACTTTTGGTGGTTATGATGGCGGCTGCCACAGTTGGATATGATGGTACTGATCTTCTACCTGTCGACTTCTAGAAAAGTCACCCTTTTGAATTGCTTAACATGATTGAATAATCGTTGTGTGGTGGCTGACCCCTCTGTTATATAGGTGCCATGATGAACGCCCTGCAGATCAACCCCGAATGGAAGTCATACTACAATAACCCGGCAAAAGCCAAGCTCGGCGCCATTAACGCCATGATGCCTGCTGGAAAGATCATTGGGTTCTTCTTTGTTGCTCCATTCTCGAACCGATTCGGGCGTAAAAAGGCACTTTGCCTAGCTTTTGTTATCACTGTCATCGGCGCTGTGATCCAGGCCGTCTCGATAAACCTTGGCCTGCTCATTTTCGCCCGTTTCGTCCTCGGCTTTGGCTGTGGTGTCATGTCTCAACCCAGCCCCATCTTGTTGGCCGAGCTCGCTTATCCTACCCACCGTGGCAAGATCACGGCCTTATATCATTGCTTCTATGTAAGTCTGGCCCTGTCGTTTACAGAAGGCCGTTGGAGTCCCGTACAGTCCATAGAGACTAACTCGTTCATAAAAGTTCGTTGGCGCTATTGCCGCAGCTTGGATCACCTTCGGCACACTGAGGATGTCAGGATCATGGAGCTGGAGAATCCCAACCCTACTCCAAGGAGCTGCTCCCTTGATGCAGTTGATTTTCTCTTACTGGCTCCCGGAATCGCCCAGGTAACTAGCCCGTGGAATCCCCCACTACACTCTTGCAAAATTGGAACATACAAAAATAGATACTCACATTTCTTTTTCCTCAGGTTTCTCGTGGCAAAGGGTCGGGATGAGCAAGCCCGTGCCTTGCTCGTTAAATACCACGCGGCTGGCGACGAGAATTCATCACTGGTTGAACACGAGATGACCCAGATTCGAGCCGCTGTTCGAGACCAATACAATCAGGAGAAGCGACCCTCCCTCAAAAAGATGGTTTCTAGCCCTGCCAACCGCATGCGCCTCACTATATCTGGCATGGTTGCTGTCAGCGCTCAGTGGTCAGGAAACACGGTTGTGTCCTACTACCTGACACTTGTTCTTGACGGTGTCGGAATCAAGAACGCTACGCACCAATCTCTCATCAATGGAGGCTTACAGATTTTCAACCTCCTGGCTACCGTCGGGTGCGGAGCTATGCTTGTCGATGTTCTAGGCCGGCGTCGCCTCTTCCAGTGGTCTGCTATTGGTATGACCGTGTCATATATCGTATGTAAAATCTCTTCGCCACATGCTGTGCCTTTTCTTCTTGCAATGGTCTAACCGACTACTTCTAGATCTGGACCATCTTAAATTCTCGCTTCGATGCCACCGGTTCCGCTAGCTTTGGATACGCAGTTATTCCCATGCTGTTTATTTTCTACTTCCACTACGACATTGCTTTAACCCCTCTGCTATATTCATATCCGACCGAGCTCTTCCCTTACGAATGGCGCAGTTGGGGCGTGGCATTCACCCTGATTATCACCAACGTCGTCCTTATCATCGGCCAAGTTTGCAATCCTATTGCGTTGGCCCAATTAGGCTGGAAATACTACATTCTCTTCTGTGTACTAGATGCGATATTCATCATTGAGGTCTGGCTTCTTTTCCCCGAGACCAAAGGCAAGTCTCTTGAGGAACTGGCTGATATTTTTGGTCGCTTGGACAAGAAAGCTCCGGTAGATCCCGGGAGCAACGAGGCTGCCATAGAGGAGACCGTCAAGCACGAAATGGACAAAGGGAACGTTGTTCATGTAGATTCTCGATGAATGTACCATCAGAACTTACAGCAACTGGTGGGTGGAATAGGGCCTTTTGCCACAGTATAGGAAGCAATTGCCGTGGCATGCCTGGCCCATGTTCGTGATGGATGTGGGAAATAGAAAGGCAGAAGTAACTGAGAGTTTCCCAGTAAGAAATGCAACTTATTTGTATCCTTCTCTCTTTTCGCAAACAAGGGAAATTCTAAGATTAGGCTACACTTGAGTTGTGACTAGCATCACAACCAATTTTCCTAACGCTAATAGCGGCGGTCTTTGGCCAAACTATCAAATTCAAAACACCATACCGACGGGAGGGGTCACTTAAATATGTTTGATGCATATCACGTGTATAAAGCTCCACATAACAAATCAGAGCAATGCTGCTAGATGTAGTCTACGAAAGAAAAAGAGCTGAGACAACCCAACCATCTTCAAGGAAACATTTTTTGGGCTATATGTGGCCTGGTTATTTGTCACAGTTGTAAAGTTAGAGAGAGAAAAAACATATTTCTATGATCATGTTATTGTATCTCATCACGGGCCATTGGCTAGCGTTAAGATTATACTGGTGTAGGTTTTGCAAGACGGAAACTCTTGCAGCCAGTAGTCAAAGGTAGAAAGCGACTTGCTGACACCAGCTTCCCAACCTTCCGGCATTGCCAACCCGTTTACCTTAGATGCAGCGAGCAGGAGGCTCGTCTCTTTTAGTTGATTCCGGAGTTGCAGCCACGTCCCGTGGTGGCGATGGTTCGTGTGGCTATGCTCGAGATATTTCAGGGCATTGAAAAGAGACTTTTCAGCCAGCGTGTGAACAACAGGACCGCAATTTGGGTCGTGAAGGGCTGTGAAGAGAAAAGGCCTATGCATCAGCTCGAGCACCCGATAGTAGCGCCCGCGCGTGTACTGCTGCCACTCCGTACTTGCTAGCTCAGGGACGTCTGGAAACTGCATGGCATGGGGGAGTTGCTCGCGAAATGTGTGGACTTGATGCTCAAACTCGGCCACGATTGGTACCAGCTCTTGGATATCCGGTGACTCGTTGTAGTTTAGTCGGTTGGTAATGTGCTCAGCGACAACCTCCGAAACCTGATGTGCGATTCGTCGAAGAGCTATCTCAGATAGGAAGAAGTACCAGCTGTCTTCCTCATGCACTGACCATTCGTCCCGGCCAATGTTTTCGATACGTGGTGGTAGTGGGTACGCATCAGGTGTCCCAGGTCCTGTTAAGGATGGGGGATTAACTGGTAGCTCAGCGAGAAGCTCTCTATTGAGATATTAGTTGTGGGGCGTATCAAAATCAGTTTTTTCTTTCGAGGAGTAAGCTTACCGTTCTGAATTAGAACAGACCCAGAAGAGTTTTAAGTAGAGCTGATATGTTTCCTGAGGCGTGTTGAGACTAAGAAAGGCAATTGTGAGCATAAGCGGACATTATAGGCTTCGAAATTTAGGAAGGAGCATACTTAGTTGACATTAGGATTCTCAGTGAGGATCCTGCATCGTGGAACATGCGAGAGGCTTGCATGGGTCTGAGGGTGAACATGTGGTAGATCCTGCGATATCGTCAGGACCAGCTTCAGCAAGTATAGCTGGATCACTTTCGTTGGAGTCATTACGTACCCGGCAAGGCAAAGGCACTGGATTGCCAGTGTACTGACTTCGGTCATCGCTGGCCCTAAACGTTTCTCAGCCGCAGCAAAATAGCAACGGCCCAGCTGCAGATCCTCGAGCCTGGTGGATGAGAACCGCGCTGGAGTAGCAGGGCTTGGAGTAGCGTCGGGCGGGGAGTATTCCATCGCAACAGCTCCAAGAGCACAGGCTAGAAGTACAATGCAAGCTTCAAGGTCGAACCGGGGACCATCTTCATAGTACCTCTGGCAGTATTGGGTTGCTATTCGACGACTTAGTATCGGATTCTTGTTGTTGACTCTGTTGAAGAAGCGGTCTACAAGCACTTCAATATCTTCCCTCTCATTAGAGATATGAATACCCCGGTTCGGTTCGGTCAAAAGGGCCCCTGGTGAGAGAGATGTTGACGGCCTTGGCTGTGTGAAGAGATCATCAAGATATGTATATGTTTCTGCTCCGTAAAAATCGATGAATTGAAACCGTTGACATGAGGATAATAGCCTCTCAAATATAGGCCATTGAAGAATTTTATCAGTGGCCGCTTTGAAGCTCGCGTCTAGGTTGAAGCTGATCATGACACGATCTGTATCCGAGGAGTTGCTCCCACGCGTAGCCGCCGGGGCCAATAATGACTGCCATAGCTGTGTGCGACTGCTCGAGGCGGGCCCCTCACTGAGAGAAGATGGCGCCTGCATATTTCTCACTAAGGTCTCAATGACAGAGAGCTGTTCCATGATTTTAAGAGATGCGGGATCAAAGGCTGATGCATCCAGCTTGGTATATTCACAAGGGATCCCCATCTGCTCACAACTCGAGCAGCTTGGTCGTAGATTATCGCTGGACAATTTGTTATAAGAAACTTGTATGAGGAAAGGTCTGGTTAGAAAAATCAAACCGACACATACCATTTCCGTTTCTTTTCTCGACAAGTTAAGCATGCCGCAACAGCTCGTCGGCGGGGGTAGCCAGTCCTTGGAAGTACACGCCGGCCTTCTTCTTCCATAGCTTTGACTGTTAAGATATCTAAGAAAAAGAACAGAATAAAGGCACGATGTGGTGTGCCTAGATATATGAGAAAGACTTTGATTGTGTAAAGCCTGAATGGTCCAAATAATGTTCCAGTAAGGTTTATGTCACGTGCATAGATGCTACTTATATCTAATATTAGTAACTCGTTAGAAATAATTATGGCATGAAATGACCCACACTATTACATAGATTATTTACAAGTTTATATAGCAAATATCTGGGAGGAAGTATAAACAGATATTAGAATTATAAGCACTTAAAATTAATTTAAAATTAGTATATTTACGCTGGTTAGTTACACATCTAATTTAAATTAGTATATTTAGTTGATTATATCTAATACATAATAAAGATAATTAACATAAAAGTAAAAAGAGTCTTTAATTTAAATTTCTTGAAATTATAACTTTCCTCTACTGCTTTATATTGTTCTATACTTAAGGTAGATGTAGAGTTGAGAAATTGGTGCCTTTCCGAAGCCTACTAAGGTACACACTTGTCTTCGCCATCATTACTGAAATATCCCTCAAAGCCACATTATCCAATGATGAGATAGGCTAGCTATAATCTTGCTGCAATAATTACTGGCGCGGCTTCATCGAAGTACTCAATCATTGTTCTCTAGTTACTCAAAAACGAATTGTTGCCCTGTGAGCTTTTCACTCAGTGCCCACAGACGATCCGCATCCACGGCATCCCGGGTCCAGCAGTACACCTCCTTAATGTCTACCACTGCACTGTCAGCGAGATACGCGCCATTCAGATCCTTCAGGTCGGGTGAGAATGCCCCAACCACATAGGTCGATGCACCCTGAGATGGCGTCTTGAACTTGGGCCAAACCCAGTACTTCGTGTTGCCCTGCTGGTGGTCCAGTTCATCTGTTGAATTGACTGTTATTAGTCTCCCACCACGTAGATCCCCGTCTGGGGTTGGACAGAAGCTTACTCAATTCATGAAAATCTCCATCAGCCATGTATCTGCCTAGATGGGTGTCCATGATCACGCCTGGATGAAGGCTGACAGCGGTCAAGTTCCGGTGTCCGAGTTTATCTGCCAACGCTTTGGTATACAGCATCAGCGCCGACTTGGACTGCGCGTACGAGAGCCATCGGTTGTAGTTTTTGCCTTGCTATTGAAATGAGCAGCCGAGTCTTGACGATGCTTGCGTTGACAATCACTTACACCAAAGTCTAGGTCCTCAAATCGTACTGGGCTGAAGCGACAACCTTCGCTGGAGATGTTGACAACTCGAATAGGGAGGCCCCTAGCGAGCATATCCGGTAGAAGGAGGTTTGTGAGGACGAAGTGTCCAAGATAATTGATCGCAAACGTACTCTCGATGCCATCGACGGTCTTGGAGTATGGACACGCCATCACGGCGGCATTGTTAACGATTATATCAATCTTCTCATTGAGGGAGTTGATTCTCTCAGCCGCTTCTCGGACCTGACCCAGCGATCCGAGGTCCAGATGAACGTTATGGGTTCTGATGGATGGGTCTTTCGCTTTGATTGCCTGTGCTGCTTCCTCGCACTTGGCAAGATCGCGGCCGGCCAGGATGAAACATGCTGGCTGGTACTGTGCGATAGCAGTTGCAAAGACCGCGCCGAGACTCTTGGGGCTTGCCCCAGTCAGGAAAATAGTCTTGCCGGTAATTTGCGTCCTGAGGTCCGCTGCAACCTCTTCGATGGTTGTCTCATCATTATAAGAACGCATGGTGATGATTTGTATTGTAGAAAAATTGGGAGCACAGAAGATAAATCGAGAGGGTACGTGGTGTAGGTTGTAACGACTTCTTAGGAGAGGTCGACTTCTAGCCCGTATTTATACACATGTTGCCCTTAAGGCACTGCTATATTGGATGAAGACATTTGTGCTGAACGATATCTTTGATGACACATTTTGTCCGCTTTTGACCAGATTTACAAGCCATGACTGCCCATTCGGACATAACGTAGGACATCAGTGGGGATGGCGCGGTGATAAGATGACTTGTAAATCTCAAGGTGTCCATCAGCTTGGCCAAGTGAATGTGGGTACTCCAACACGAGTCTTTCCCTCTTCTGGCCGATTTATTTCATCTTGGTTTCCTCTTTGAGTGCTTTGTCATCTAGCTGGGGCCGTCGAATGATCACTGTCCCCTGCTTTCATGCAAATCATCAAATGCTTTTGTCGGCCTGTCGCTGTCGAGCAAGTCAAACTCATAACCATCGCCTCTCGCATACTTCCAGATTGGATTGAATTTCCAGCAGTTGCTGCCCCTTCACGACTAAAGGCTTGCTTACTGAGACGCGGAGTTGCGATGGCGCCCGCGCCGATGGAGATTGTCTTCTCCCTTGCCCAGGGCGCCAACAAACCCAGCACTGGCCAAGCGGATTCGTTCAGCTATCAGAATGGTCCCGTCAAGGTTCCCGGGCCGTGGAAACGAGGGCGTCCAAAGATTGGTAAGCTCTCATCTGGAGCTCGTGATTTGACTGACCGTAGACTTACCGTCGTCGCTAGCCAGGAAGAAGATTGTAGAGCCATCATACCAGTTTATCGGCACCTCCAAAGAGAAAAGACAGATAGATGCTGCGTCTCGAATCAAGATTCGTAGTCATGCCCGGAAGACGAGGGCATTTCCAGACAGTGAATTTCCCAGAACTTATCACCATAAAATTGAGAAAGGAGCTAATCATTGGGATAGCCCTCCAACTGCCACCTGAGGGCCTCATTCAGGGAAACCTGCAACAGATCTCGGGAGTGGATCCGTTTGGCACAGCATGCATTCCTCTAGACCCGTACATGCTCTATCTTCTCTCTCTCCGTGCGTAGCCTGTGCACCCTTCTATCTTTCTCCTTGCGGTACACTGGAGCTCAGATACACTGACATTCGCAGTTTCCTCCACATTATGGACGTATATGTACTCCTTGGAGGAAGTTGGCGGTTGGAATCCGATTCAAAACTACTGGCTTCCCCTAGCCTTTCACGATGCTGCGCTCATGCACTCTTTCCTGGCATGTACTGACTCGTATGTGAAGGGATATGCAGCTGGCGAAGTAGGGGCGTTTGGGTTGCATCATCTTCAACAAGTCATATGTATCGTAAATAAACGCCTCGCCAAAGTCGAGACTCCTATATCTCGAGGAACCATCGCAGTCATTTCTGGAATCTCGTTGCTCGAGGTAAGTATTGACTTTGAACTCGATATCTTACCGTTTATTGGAATCATGGATTAACACCGTTGTAGCAGGGCCCTGGGCGCCACCGTCACTGGAGGACACACATGAAAGGTTTGAAGGCTTTGGTAGAACTTTCTGGTGGTTTCGACTCATTTGCGTCAGAACCAATGGTTATGCAAAAGATATACCGGTGAGTCCGTTGCAATGTTATTCTGCTTTGAAAAGGCGAGGGCTTGGCTAACCCATCATGCCGCAGGGCGGACTTATATGGCTCCATGGATGCCGGAGAGCTCCCATTTTTCAGCGGACCAGTTGGGGCTATTGATAAAATATATGGGTTAGTATCTCACATTAGTTACCTTTCCTACTCGGGATTGAGACTATCTCTAACATAACTGCACGTAGTATGGAGAATCGCCACAACCGAAAGGATACACGGACTCTATATCACCCTCCATCAACCGGTGGTGACTGTCCTTTCGCCACCCCACAAAAGGGGCTGCACAGCGAAAAGCTCGAGTTGATATGTGAGATATTTGACTCCGATATGTCTTTGACCACTTGTATCCGAGGCCTAGACGAAATATCAAACTTTTGGATAACGAAAAAATCGACTTCTCCTCACACCAATTCTGGCAGTGCTAGCGTAGGCGGAGATGACCCGTCACTTCACGAAATAGCACGAATGAGACGCCTACTGACTAGCATACAATATAAGCTTGTTTTGGCCGCTGAGAGTCAGCATGAGATGGACTGGTGCCCTTTCCAGAAAGCAATTTACGAGCTTCTGAGGGTAACTCTCATCATCTACGCACTGACGATACTGAAAGAGCGCCCGCAAACGACATCCATTGGGAAGACAGTTTCTAGCTCCTTTCTTCGAGCATTCATTGCTGCTGTTGAAATGGCAAAACACGTTAAAGTTGCCCAATCAGACCAATCGGAGGCTGAAGAGACCCGGACGAGAATTGACACATGCCCATTTTCTCCGTTGCAGGCTCTTGTCCCTATCGACTTTTTTCTGTGGTCGATTTTCCTCGCGGTTGCGCTTCTACCAACAGGAAATGAGTTTCGGGAAGGAAAAGAAGTGAAGATGGCACTTCTGAATGTGTTCTCCAGCCTGGTCGGTATCCAAACTCAGCAACAAGATGAAATAAAGTCCCAAATCTCTCAATATTTATGGATATCATATGTTCATGATGGCATGTTTGATTCGTTTTGGTCTGACCTCGGAGACTTAGAACCGAGTACAGTCTAAACAATACCATAGTCTATCTAAACCACACCTACTAGTATATCTTTAAATATAGACAACAATGAAAGTTGTCAGACCCGACATCTCAACACAATGAATACGATTTACCTAAATTATACATATTTAACATATCAATAAAGATACCATTGAATATTTTAAAATATACTTAAAGATTATCCTAGCTAAAGGTAAGAGTAAGAAAAATAGCCTTAATTTAAAGCCTTCGTGATATCTTAATTATAATGAACATAATTGAAAAATCCTAAGCAGCATGGCATTTCCTCTTAAGAATAGCTATGTACCCCTAGGTAGGGAAAGAGAAAGCTATCTTGTCGTCTTCTCTCCACTTCTTTTATTCAGATGAGTTGTGTTTCATATTAGGAATTGTAGGCTAACAGATATTGGTGTTCCTTCACAATTAAACTAATCAATGAACACGCCCGACGGCCCACATGTGACTTCGGGAGCCCATTGATAACTATTGAGAGACCAGCGATTGAAGTTTATTATTTTCAATAACCTCGTTCTCGATAAGCCTTCCAATCTCCTGGACCTTCCCATCTCGTGACTCATATCGAACTACTGTTGGGATATTGTGAATGTTCCACTTGGTCCGAAAATAATTGTCTGGCTTCTTATATCTATTTCCGCAACTGGCGTTAGTGTATCGAGTTGCCAAGCAATAAGTGGGTGAAACGTTGAAAAGCTAATTCTAATAATAAATCAAGAGAAGCTATAGTTGAACCTACTCCGGTCTGGGACCAACTTCTACGTAGGCTGCCTCAGGGCTACTAGGCCCAGAAAATGTCTGATTCAGTAGTGGCAAGGCTGCGCGAACGTCAGAGCACCATGGTTGTTTAGTCTCGGGGTCGTCAGGGGACAGGAACACAACAAAGAGAGGCTTATCCTGGAGCACCGGGAGAGCTGCCTCAGAGTCAGGCAAGCTAAAGCCTTTGAGAATGGGCATGACGGTAGATGGGAAGAGGTGAAAATCGTGGGGAATACAATAGAGAAATAAGAATGCCTTAGAATGGGGTCTGTAAATTTCTACTCGCCGTGTCCGACAAGGGGCCTTTAATAACCTATTTATATTCTAAATGGCCATGAAACAGGTGATCTTGACAACCGATGGCGTAATTGGAGCTAGACATGTCGTCAGTAAATTTCTTGGCAGGGTCAGACTGGGAAACCCACCTCAACACTCCACAGCACGTGGAGAAGGTAGGTAATCAACTGTCATTACATATCTTGAAGTACATAACATGTAAGTTGAGTCAAGTGTCAAATACCAAATGTTGATTTCTGATCTTTTGGGATCTGGTTTGCTTTTTGCGGCATGACTGAATATGGCATCTTTGGGCTCGTAGTATAAGCACGTCGTGTAATTTAATTGAAGATTTCACTTATGGATATTCCGATTGATAAGTACAATCAAGTCATTGGGAAGTATCAAGGGCTACTATGACACGAAATCCATTCCCACGCCAGAACCCGGCTGGTTCAAGACTTCCCCTATACGTGCAGTTCGCCTTCAACTCCCCGCTAGAGAAGCAACCTCCTCTCAATACCCTACGCATTGACTCTTCAGATCTCGTATCTTCCCTTCCATCTTGATCAGTCCAAGGATACTGAAACGAGGGCGTCGCCATGTCAGGGCCCCAAAGTGTGGTACACCATTCCCAGACTTGGCCCGTCATGTCGTAACATCCAAATGGCGAGCGACTATTTGGAAATAATCCCACTGCACACTTGTTATTGAGTGCCAGATCTTCGCAATTGGACGCGTCCGCTGCCCATCTGGGGCCCCAAGGGTAAATGATCTCTGCTGGGCACGTCACAACTTGATTCCCTCTACATGCCCGTTCCCACTGGGGTTCTGTCGGAAGCTGGACCACATCTGTTGGCCCAATTTTCCTAGACTTTCGCCACTGAGATGTTAACCATACACAGTAAGCTTGAGCATCGTACCATGTGACATCTGTTGCTGGTGTGTTCTGTGTTTCAGCATCACTCCCATCAGGGCTTACCCATGTCCGACCGGTCTCTTGGGTGAATATCAGATAATTGGCATTGACGACCGGGAAAATGCCAATTCGAAATTCATCTAGCTCGAGCTCATACGGAGGTGCTGAATTTGGGTGGCTAGTTGAGCCGTGAGTGCTCCGGCCTTTTGGGATGGTTGCCAGGGCTTCGAGATCTCGTGGATCACCAAGGCGAGATATAATGTGCCCGGCCATGACACGCTCTGGAACAGATAGAATGCCCCCCTCAAGGATCTCAAGTAATTTAGATCTGGCAGAAACAGCTTGTGTACTGTCTTGCACATCTATGAAGTCTGCCGCGAGCAAGGCCGCGCGCTGGGAAGCTAACCCGGGCTCCGCATGTAACATGCTGTCAATAAGCGATTTCCGCATGGGATGGTCAAATGTTCGACGAAGGAGGCTTTTGACGATAGGCTGTGCTGCTAAAGAATCATGGGCAAGAACTTGTAGCGTGGCATCTGGCTTTGAAGTCAAATATTTGGCAACCAACAGATCTCGAAACACCCGAGAGGAAATGAAAGGCTGTTGGACCACGCTGGAGAGTGCACCATTGAACCGGCCATAGAACGCATTATATGCATTCATGAGAAGTTCTCCAAGATGACCTGCCGATCTGATATATTCTTCGATCCACGTATCCAAAACCTCTTCGTTTGTCTCTCCCTTACTGTTACAGGAGAATGACATCGCAAATATGGCTGGCAATGCAGCTGCACTTCCCGAACCCGAAAACGGGAGTGAAGTTGAGAGGCCATTCTGGAAGCGAGAAACGGCCTGCAGCCTCTGCGACTGGAATAAAGGCAGCAGCTGCTGTCGGACAAGACCATTCGGCAGCATCCAACTGTGAAGTTCCTCTTGCCGCCCCAACACAAGCAGACGAGCCCCGTGCGAAGCTCTTATGATGTCGACGATTGAAGACAGAAGATCGAGGCCACCCTCGCCCGAGGTTTCAATTGAATCCAACACAAATAGGATCTCCTGATTTTTTCTTGCTGGCCCTCTCCCTGACCATGCCTGGAGAGAATTAGGGAGTTCCTCCGCGAACCGATGCAAAGCTTCTAGACTGTCAATAGTGACCAGGCATGGGACGATTCTGCCTCCATCCCATATCTCCCCACGCTCTTCTCCGTCTTCGTTCCGGATCACCGATTTATATTCGTACGCAGAACCCGTTGCAAAACTGAAGCAAATATGCTTGGCCAATGTTGTCTTTCCAGCTCCGCTTGGCCCAGTGAGCAGCAGGATTCGATTGTCCCGGACACCTTCCAGGGCTGTGAAATAGACCGCAGCCTCTCGTTTGTCACCAGGCATTCGCTTTCGTAGACCTTTTGCAGCCTTGTCTTCGAATGTAAGATTTATCAACAGAGAAATGTAGCCATGTTCGACGTCGAGGAGTGCTCCGTTCGGCCTGGGGAGAAGCCCCCCCTGGCCCAGTTCAGCCGCCGTAGCTTCGAGCGCTTGCCATTGATCCATGGTTATTGTAAGGTTCGATGTGGAACTATTAGCAGGCTTAAACCCGAAATTGAGGCGCAAAGGTAGGCCGAGGGTGGAGGGTTTGTAATGTCAAGTTAGAAGGAGGAGTTTGAAACCGGCAATGTGCGTGGCACACCAGGCAGATGACCGACCTCCAGCTGGACCGTGTCTTCCGTTATCGGCGAGAGCGGCATTTATTTAGTGGGCAATGCCCTGGCAGTGCGTCTAGGAGCAGCTCTAGGAAACTTTTAATCTGGTCACGAATGCATCCATCCTACGTGTACAGGCTCCCTGACCCGACAGACTCATAAATCTGAACCCTGCCAGATAAACAACGAATGTGTTTATGTTGATTATGGGGGTTGATTACTTGCTACAGATCTTTAAATTGAGCCTAGTATACTCATAATTAATTTCCTTGTTTTTTACGTATGCTTGTTTTAGCTCGTTGTTCCTTCGGCTTGGCCTGCTAGCAAGATTACGCGCAAAATTTATGAACTTTCATCCCCCCCTTTTTGATCACTGGTCAAGTATACACCAGAGAAAACCAGAGCCTTCATCATCTTCCGCGAACTGACGAGTGTCGTATTTATCTCCACAGGTCTAAGCTAACATGTGATGGCAACTTCTCATGGGTCTGACTCCTTTGTTAAGCTTGGTTGCTGAGGAGCTACCTCAGTTACATGTGAAGAAGCATTTTTACCTTCCTTTCGCCTGAAGATCACGTCAGTCAGGCTTTTTCACATATAAAAATCCTTCCACGAACTTACTCTTTTCTCGCATAGAGATACCTCATTAAAACAATGCTTATGATGGCGATGCCCCCAAACAAGATGAGAATTTGATACCCATACTTGTATTTCGGTGCATCATAGGTTGGAAAAAGGACAACTATGTTCGTTAATCAACCAAATTCCTGTTCTAGGCGTCTTCATTTTACTTACGAGGCACCCAGAGAACCCAAGCGTATGATACGACATTAGCGGTAGCAACCAACAGCTGCCTCCTATTATTGTCCCCAGCGTTGAGACCATAAGCCCAGCTCTGGAATTGTAGTCAGCCTTTTTTGTTCATCGGCAGAGAAAAAGATAAACTCACAATCAGCACAGGGGTGGCAGCCGATCCAGCGTAAGAGATGTAATATGAAAACATCAGGGCTGACTTGGGGATATCCCAAACAGATAGCAGAATGTTCGCAAGGATCATTAAGACCTGGAGAACCAGAATCAACCAGAAATATTGCTTCGTACGATCCGCAATCATGCCCCAGGCCACAGTTACAACAATGGCGAGCGCGTTACCCCCAGTCGGCAGGTAGTTGGTCTCGATGACACTGTATCCCTCATGCTTTAACCACAAATTGAAATAACTTGTGGAAGTATGGCATGCGGCCACCATCCTAGTTCAAATATCAATATTAAACGCCATGTCATTCAAGTCTAAGAATGGGGAGGACTTACGTATAAGGGACGACGAACATCCAAATCTCCCATCCTGAGTAGATGCGCTTGATCTCTGACCAGTTCAGTTTTATTTGACGAGTCTGCCCGAACTTCTCGATTCTTTCTAGACCGTACTGAATATGCTGGAAGTTCAAATGCGTTAGTAACTAAACAAAAGTTCAAAGGAAAGATAAACGAGATACCTTTTTCGACCAGTAGAACGCTTTGGTGTTGTGAGGGTGGTCAGGCAAGCCGAAGAATCCCCAAAATGCAATTGGCAGAGAGATGATTCCATCCATGATGAACAGCCATCGCCAGCCTGCTAGCCCTGAACGCCCGTTCATACTACTGTATAAGCCAGCCTGGAGATATCCACTAAACATGCTGGCGATTGATTCAACCTCAAGGAGGATGGCAAGTCGCTTGGTAAGCTCTTTGGGACCATACCAGCTTCCCAGCATGGCGATATAACCCGGGAATGCACAAGCCTCAGCCAATCCGGTCAGGAAACGCAAAGCATACATCTTTATATCAGTCTCAGTTAGCACCCATGAAACCGACAGTGTGAACTCGATTTGTATACTTACCACTTTGATGCTGTGCGTAAAACCCATACCAATTGCCAAGGCTGACCAAATCACCTCGCAAACCGGAATTAGGATGGAGGGTCGGACAACGCTCAGAGATGTCATCTGTGCTGGCACGGCTCCAACCATAATGCCTAGACTAAACCAAGTATTGAGCCAGTTGCGCTCATTGCCATATAACTGAAGATCTTCTTGCATTCCGCTGACGAATGCGTTACCTGTTTGTAGATATATCAGAACACGTCCTATTCTAAGGTGGGAATTTGCTGGCTTACTGTAGTTTGTCTGGTCCAAGTATTTAATGAAATACCCGAGGAGAACAGTTGGACTATTGACCAGTATTTAGTAGAGTGGTCCTAGAGTCTACCACACTCAAGTGAGAATGACCCCAACTCACAAGAAGATCATGTCTAGCCGTCTAACATAGCTGCGGTACTCTGGGTCGCCGTCGATAGAGTCCCAGAAGAAGCTTGCAAATCGACGCCATTTCGAGCTGGACTTGACATCAGGTTCAACCTCCGGGACGGTGGTTGACAAGACAATCGCTGGGGACTTTGTCTCGTGGCCCTGCTCCGAGGCAGAGGATCTACCCTGTTCAGGAGTAGCCTGAATGTTGCTTGACGTTGCTTCGGCCATCGTCTAATAAGCGAGCGTAGTAACAACAAGGGTACTTGCGTCTGGCGGTCACTTGGTTTGCCTATTGCGGGAGACCCAACGGTTTGGTCAAACGGTTATATACTTTGACATGAACGCCGTATTCGATTTTACCCGAGATCTATACCTGATGAGGTCTAAGGTTACGGGGCGCCATGCATGGTTCAAGATCTGGCGTGGTCTGCTTGCATATGAGGCTCCGTAATTTCGGCCCTGCCTGGCCGAAAAGCCACTTCCGTGCTCAGTCTTGCAAGACCATGAAATGTATCCACCGCATCCAGCAAGTTGTCTGTAGAAGGCACTGGGCAATACTAATTGAGCAGGCAGCTCAATAACTCTCGTCCTTCGGGTCTCGAGGCACTTACGTGATGTCTTTAACAAATTGGCAGAACATGGTTCATAAGTCAAGCAAACTCTCATCATGCTAATCAATTGACAATGAAACAGGGACATTCATAACAACATAGAACAACAGAGTGTCGCAGAAGAGACTTCGCTCTCGTTGAGATCAAAGGCTGGGGAGTTTCTCCCAAAGTGGTCCAGTTTGTTCAAATTGGATGATTAGACTCGATCGCGTGCTTGCTGCATGTTGATGTCGTGACGAGTAACCCTGGGAATAATGGGAATAGTACATCCAAGTTTAGTGCAATCACCACATGTAGATGAGGTACCTATAGCAAACCCGTATTCGATTTTTCCCGATGTGGGTTGATTTAGTTTGCCTTTCGCAATCGTGATCCATTATTGCAAATAATCCAGTCGGCTGAGCTCCGACAACACGGAGGAGCACCGCACAAAGTATACACGAGAGTTGGTTTGGATACAGGAATCATAAATGGAAGCCCAATGCAGCATTTTGAGCGGTCTTGCACCAAGTCAACATCATTGGTGTCTCAGTCCCGCTCAAAGATGTCGTCACATATCCTCCGAATTGTTCTCGAAAATGTCGATTTTCGACTACCAACACAAGTTACTGACGATAATAGCGTGCTGGCACTGAAGAGTCTTGTCTTTGAGCCATTGATCCGATGGCAACCTAACGGCGACGCCCTCCCCGGACTCTTTGAGCAATGGGAGGTAACTAGTGACAATCGAGTCTGGCATTTCCATATCCGCGACGATGCCGTTTTCCACGATGGGAAGCAATGTGATGCCGAGCTGGTGGTCGACTACATCAAAGGTTTCCTCGACTCGCATGATTACTTTGGCATGGCGTGGAGCTACAGCAGATACTTTGCCAAGACAATTTTCACGGCTGAGGGGGATAGAATCGTCAAGGTCGAGCATCCTGAGCCTTTTGCGGATCTTCTCAATGTTCTAAATGACTTCTGGCCCTCAAGAATTGCGGCAGACGGGAAACCGGTGCTAGGCACTGGTCCATACCGCGTTGTCGAGTTTGAACGGCGGGACAACGTGGGAAGGGCAACTCTAGAGCGATCGGATTCAGCAAACAAGGAGTGGCCACAAATCATCATTGCCACCGCTGCGAGGAATGGAGAAGACAGACTGAAGCTTCTACAAAAGGGAGAGGTCGACGTTGCTTTGAATCTTGAACGAGTTGACGACTTGCCATTAGTAGATTTCAAAGGTAATCTCCAGTGGGGAAGGGTTCTGAGTACCCTTTCTGTCATCTACTATCTGAATTGCCCAAGTGGCGTTTTCTCCTCCTCGGAGATTCGCTTTGCAGCCAACCTTGCGATAGATAATGAGGCTTTGGTGGAGAGGGTGTATCTTGGGCTCGCGGCCCCTGCTGCCACTGTTGTGAGCCCCCATCATCTCGGATTCAAGGAGTCGGGCTTGAAGCCAATTCCCTACGACCCAGATAGGGCTCGTGAGATCATCAAAGACTTGGACTTGAGCAAGCCTCTTCGCTTGAGAACACCAGAATGGATGCCAGAACACGCTGAGAAAATTACGGACTTTGTCAAGGCATCTCTAGAAGCTGTAGGGTTCAAGGTTGAAGTCGAGGTCGAGACCAACCGGCCTGAATATGCCCGTTCAATTGGTCTCAAGAAGAATATTGGAGACTTGGCCTGCTTTGACTCAACTCCAAACACCACATTCCGTGTTCTGGACGACAAAGTATCGAGCGCCTCGCATGGCACATGGTGGCTCGGCTATCACGATGACGAGTTTCAACGCCTATTCACGGACGCCAGAAAAACGGTACTTGGAGAAAAACGGAAGCAAGCGTACGGCGAATGCTTGAGAAGACTTCATGACAACCCCCCCTGGCTTTACATCGCACATCCCGACGTCATTTGGGCAACTCGGCCAGGTGTATCGCTGAGCATTGGCCCCTCTGGAATCCTGAAACTAGGACACAGCACTGCCGTTTAGGAACATAGTGTAGCCAAATCCAATAACAAGCCTTGGGCGACTACAATTAATCCGTGGTGATCTCAACAAAGACGTACTCACGCAATGATATTCGGTCGTTGCAATCCGTAGCTATCGACGGAACCAGGTAAGTAGTATTGGCAGGCGTCTAGAATAAAATGAGCTTGAAAGCCGATATAACATTAAAACCCCTTTTACACGTGGACCAGCATGGCACGAAGGGCCTCACAGAGCTATAGAACTGGGCGTAATATTGGCACGATATAGTCGGGTACAAAGCACATCTTAGACTATGTAGATTGAGCAGACGGCCGGGCTTCGTCATGCGCATATATATTCATTATGAAACTGGATAAGCGATGGCCACGTTTGTTCATTTTCCCATAAGACCTGCAGGAAATCAACCATGAGGCTGACATTTTTAAAGCCGAATGTCGTTGTATGCCAATTCAGCCGGCAAGTGAAGAAGTCACGCAAGGTCTTCTTTGATGCCGAAGCAGCACAGTTGAAGTAGACCCAGGTCAAGTAATGGTCGAAACTAGGAAGGTCAGGGGAGTATTCTAATCGCCATCTCATGTCTTCCAAGATGCCATCCACGTCAGCGTTGGGGTCTTTAACTTTGCGAAGCCAGACTGTCACGCTTTGTCGCAGGCAGAAAGCCAGAGACGGTCTGCTCTTGTGTCCGCCATCGGCCATCGCGAACTTTTCGAGAAATCGATATATTTTATCAACGGTCTTGTCGTCGGGAGCCATGTATGGCAAGACAAGAATGAGCAGTCTAGCATTTGATAAACACAAAGGAATCAATATTCAAGTCAAGAATAAATGGCGAGGACGAGTTGATTAAGCTTACAGTCCAAGTTGTTCCTCGAGAAATCGTGCCAGAGTCTGGTTCCTCGCGCTCTTTAGATCAACCGTTGTAATCAAATGCACCAAAACCGGCGTCAAATTCCTGAAATAGTCTTGGGCTGAAATCATGTCGTCGTATATAAGAACGATGACGACGGCTATGGCAGCCAGCTGGTGGTACTCGGATTTAGGAATCTGACCAGAGCCATTCATCAATCCTGTAATGGCTGAGCTTTTGAAGGTCTCTGCCTTAGCATTGAATTCTGATCGCCCATAATAGGCAAGTCGGTGGAAGGATGCTGCAAATAGTGCATCTAGCACCTCGGGTGATGATAGCGCGAATGGAACTAGAACGGTTTTGAATTCATTGTTGTACGTCCGGAATGGACAGATCCACTGCGAGATCTCTTCTCCAACTGGTAGAATTTGTGTAAGCATGGAGACCTCCGAATCATGGAATGGACCGCAAAAGCTTGGGACCTCACAGTAGTTTATTGCCCAAAAATCGTCACAGTGCCGCTGTAGGATCGTTGATATTGGGCCAAGGCCCGCAGATACTCTATGCAGGGTTGGAGCTATTGTTAACTGCTCCGACTCTACCTCGTTTTGGCGAACGATATCGTTTGATTGGTTATCAAGAAGACCACGCCCTCTTGAAATAGACAGTGTGCTGGCATTGGTTATCTGGGTAATAGAACTGGGGCTTGCTGTGACACCTCCACGTCGCTTCGTCTTACTCCTGCGCGGTTGGCGTAGAGCCTGGTCTGCGGCGGTCGAGACTGCAGTGGGTGTCCAGCGGTATCTGATACCCAGGCCTGAGCATTCAAGGTTTGCATTCACACACTTGCGGCATTGGGGTTCGCTCCTATCGCAGTTGATCCGTCGACGTGAGCAGTGATGGCATCCTGTATGAAAGGTCTTGTGAGTTCAGTTGGACCCCGCAGAAACTTGAGGGCTGACCGGCTCGGAAGTGGGCTTTACCTTTGACGCGGACAGGCATGTTGCCGCACGGCTCTTGTTGGGAAGTGTTAGCAGGCTGTGGGCTATGTTCCGGCTGTTGGTAAAGAAGATCAAAGGATGGACCAAGGTTGAGCTCCCCAGGCCGCCCAAAGAAGAATAAGAAGTGAGCAGTGGATGATGAGGTCCTTATCTCTCATAATAATTAGGGGGGTGGTGGAGAAGGTTATATGCTAAGGTCGCCTTTGTGGAGCTGCTCATATTTTTAACCCAACACAGATTAGTCCAAGGCCTGGAAGCAGCCACCTATCTCTGTGTCCATGTATTTATTAATGGCAGAGGCGAGTCATGTGCTTTGGGGCTGGGCATGGAAACCCTACTGTTCGCTTGCAAAGGTCATTAGACGGCTGTGTAAACATTCCTATGAAGTATTCGCGGATGAGGTCGTTGGAAAGCTGTCCCTTCTTCTCTCGCTCCAACATAGAGGTTTTTACAATCGTGTATAAATGGGCAGCGTGAAAAACATCAGACTCGTCGGGAACGTGGAAAGGGGAAAGGGATCATTAACGAGGAACTTGCCACATATACCCCACCTCCCACACACCTCCCACCAGCGTTAGGCCGTTAGATCAACTCAAGATTCTGGGGTAACAAGGTTCTCTGTCCCAATCAGGAATGAGATGAATGGATTATTTGCTTGCCATCTGCCAGTATCGCTGAATGATAAGCTACCATGCACTGTTAAGATGATCCACGTAGATTGCCAGTGTTGATGAGCCCGAGCCGAACCCATATCAGCATTGCATCGTCTCCTCACCCCGCTCGCTTTCACAGCCATACAATCTACCAACATCAGTCAGCCAGATGTCCGATATAAAACCTGTGATCACCCGAGTGAGGACAGGCTGCCTCACGTGCCGTGTTAGGAAAAAGAAATGTGACGAGCAACGCCCTATTTGCCGAGGCTGCCAGCGGAATGGTCTCAACTGCTCTTGGCCGTCCCTTATTCGCGTAAATCGACGAAACAGCCAGAAAGCAGAGCAAAGTTGCACGTGCAGAACACCAATCGACCGTTCAAGCTCATGCTCGAGTAGCGAGGATACCTCTGAGCCTGAGGTGACAACATGCTTGCTCGAGGAGCTCATGAAACAGACGACGCAAAATGAAGCGATCCATGGCATTGAGCGCACACAGACTGACTTCCGCATCGAAGATTCCAATGTACCTTGCACCTGGGCTGTTGAGCAGGTTCTATTACCAAGCGACACCCTATCCTCTCAGCGAGAGCAGGGAAAGCTTTCATCATCTAGAGTAACGAGACCCATGTCTGGCCAAGTTTGGGACCGCTGTGGAGTTGAAGGGTTTGGGCTCCTGGGGCACTTTATCACGAGAACCTCGTCCGCCATAACGGGAGGATTTTCCCCCGAGAATCCATTCTTATCGCTAGTAATGCCAGTTGCGATGTCCAGCGACGTTATCATGCATCTTGTTCTCACGATAAGCGCTGCGCACCAGGCAGTTTCTTTATTCCCCCAGGCGGCATTATCATCGCCAATTTACTACAACAGGTCGTTGGGACTTTTTCGTGACATGATACATGAGTACATTTACGACACTGGCGAAGACTCAGAGGTGATCGGGCTTGGCGCTCTGCTTCTTTGCTTCACTGAGGTACGGCTGATACACTGTTCCCTTGAACGGTTCTCGTTTTGGGGAAATTTTGACTGACTGGGTACGACCAATAGACTGTGCGAGGCGACCGTGAAGGTGCAATATTTAAGCATATAAGGGCAGTTGATGTTCTTATTGCATCCATTTTCAGGAAACACGACCAGAAATCTCCAATGCAAGACTTTTTGCTAGATTATTATGTCTATGTCACCACTCTCAGCCTGGTGTCATTGGATCCGAAGCAGGTGGAGAATTATCGCATGCATGAGGCGATCGAATCTAGGGCCCATGAGTTGGCTGCTACTTCTTTTGTCGGAAACCTTTGTGGATGTTGGATAGAGCTTCTGCTGCTCACCCCCAGAATCAACCAGCTTGCCGCACGGCTGACATCCATGGCTGCGATGTCCGAGACCGACATCAGGGAGAACTTTGCATCTTTTGCATCTCTACAGGCAGAAATATTGTCATGGATACCCCAAGAGGACGCGGACCCTCTACTAAAGTCAAGCGGTCTATTCTACAAAAGCGCAATGCTCTTATATCTCTATACATGCGCATTCGGGCCAGGCGGCGGGGTCGGCACAATGAGAGGCGACGTCATAGAGACGACAATCGCCAGTGCCTTGTTGTACTTGGCGCAAATCGACCCATGGGCTCAGGCAAACACGACTCTTTGCTGGGCCCTGGCGATTGTGGGATCATGTCTTTCAGATACCTGTCAGAGGGATGTCGTTCGGCAAAGGCTGCTAGCCATGAGTGGTTCGCTAATGCTGGCCAACATCGACGACATCATCGATATCCTGGAGCTTTTATGGCAAGAAGAAGCTCAGGGAGTTGGACCTTGGTGTTTCCATGTATTGATGCGAGACCGCAATCACTGCTTTTCTTTTGCTTGAGATGAGAATGCTATTCACTTGTATAATGCAGCTACAGTCTTGTGAGCACTGGAGACAAATCAAAAGAACCAGTATGAGTTTCAACTTGTCAATTACAATTCAGAGAGTCTATGTTCATCCGTATCTACCTTATTCATACACTCCCCATCCTCCCTTAAGCATATTCTTCGTCGCTGTCTCTGAAGCTGCAATGTTGGATGCAAGTGCACCAGGGCCTGACGGGCCTGGGTCATTGTACGCAGTTACGGGTCTCGCTCGAGCTTTTGTAACCTCGATAATTGTCCCTCCGCTGATAGAGATGTCCTGCTTATCCTCGCTATATTCGCCGATTGTTGAGCTCATGGTGTCCCGCTCGATCAGCGCCACCATGACCTCTGCCACCTCCTCGGGCTCCACCCAAACGTCTTTGAGGGAATCAACCATAGCCATCTTCTCCGGATTTTCGGTATAGAGCGGTGTCTTGATAATGCCAGGCGCTACAGCGGTTATTCGTATCCCAGCCGACTCGATGTCCTTTAATGCCCTAACAAATCCACTGATTGCATGTTTGGATGCGTCATATAAAGGAGTGGAGATGCTAGTGTCTTGAGCACTGGTGCTTGAGATGATCACAATGGACCTTGGACTCGTTGATTTGGCGTTGAGGAATCTCGATATGGCTAGTTGAGTGGTTCGGATCGGGTGAATCAGGTTGATATCGAGCAGCGCGTATCGACCGCCATTTGTTGCATCGTGACTTTCGGGGCTTCCTGGGGGGTACCAGAAGCTGCTGAATTTCTAAACATGACGCTGTTAATAACTGTTTTTTTGTTTAAAAAAAGTTTAAGTCCCTCTATTGTATTTTGTATTTCCGATCTGGTCTTTTGCAAGAGAAATACCGGGAGCCAAAGGGTATGAGAGTTTTAATGTCGAGACTAGGTGCATCGCCATTACTCACCGGCTCATAGACCCCAGCCCCAGGGCAAACAATTTCAACAGATTTGAATTCTCTCTCTGCCGTGACAAACATACGTTCCAACTGCAGCCAGTCGCGTACGTCGGTTTCCTGGAAGACTGCGCGACCCTGACCTTCAGCCGGCTGGCTGTACGCGGCTACCACAGCTTTCGCCTCAGGCCTTAAGGAAAGATCCGCGAAGACGACATTGCAACCCTTCGATAGAAGTTTCGTAGCAAAAGCGAGGTTGATTCCGCTTCCTGCGCCTGTGACAATTGCAGTCTTACCCTGAACAGGCTGAGACATTTTCCTGCCAGAGAGGGAAGATTGCGGCGGGAAATGATGAAGGCAAGTGATTAGCCAAAACTAACTTTAAAAAAAGAACCTCGAATTTGACTCTGGTCTTAATTATACTTCAAGAGTTGCTCCTGAATATCGCTAGGGGTACAACAGGGGTAAATGCCGAGGCGTTACTCAGACCGAATAACTGCACGTAATGCATTGACCTAACCAGGCAGAACTCGTCGACCGGCCTATGGACACGCCATGGAAGGAGGCAAAAGACAAGCGCGTGTCTGCTCTGGGTCTGCGTAGGGCGGCTCGAGTACTCGGACCGCGGAGACCGCGTCTATACCTAAAACGATCATACAGGGAGACCGCGGTACGTATTGCGCCCGCTCACCAAGATAGTGCCGAGTCCGGCAGGCTACAGCTGGATTTTTGGGACATTGGCAATGTCGCTCTGCTGGTATCTTGAATTAGACAAGTCTAAGCGCGGATTGGTGGAGAAAGAGGCACCTGTTCCCTTCCTGCGGAGGTCATGCATTTTGTCAGTGGACACCGACGGGCGGTTCTAAGAGTTATTGTGTATGTGGTTACAGTATGTGTGGACCGCCCGTCTTGCAACAGCATACCCTTTCATAAAGGGCGGATGAGAGTCCAACCCAGAAATTGAATGTTTCAACCAGCCTCCAAATTTATCTTAAGTTAATCACCAGACATCGATCCTATCAGTTAGACAACATGCCAAGCACGATTGAAGAGACTCTCGACCGAGAGCTTGACGTGGTTGTGGTTGGCGGTGGCTTCTCCGGCTGCTATTTACTACACAAGTTGCGTCAACAGGGATTCAAGGTTCTTCTTATTGAATCAGCTTCGGGATTTGGCGGTGTTTGGCGATGGAACTGCTATCCAGGGGCGCGAGTGGACACTCACGTTCCGCTTTACGAGCTCTCGATCCCTGAAGTCACCCAAACCTGGAACTGGACAGAGAAGTTCCCCAAGTCGGCAGAGCTGGTTCGATATTTTGAACATGTCGACAAAGTCTTGGATCTGAAGAATGATTCAGTTTTCAACACCAAGGTCGTCAAAGCTACCTTCAATGATGATGATAGCTTGTGGACCATCGCGACTGACAATGGGACGGCGTACAAAGCTACCTGGTTCATACCCTCTGTCGGCTTTGCTGCAAAGCGACTATATCCAGACTTCCCTGGCCTGGATGATTTCAAAGGAGTCGTGCACCATTCTAGCTTTTGGCCCACCGAAGGTGTCACATACAGCGGCAAGCGGGTCGGAGTTATTGGTACGGGAAGCACCGGTATCCAACTGGTACAAGAGATGTCGAAGGATGCTAAAGCCTTGACCCTTTTTCAAAGAACGCCCAATTTGGCTCTCCCTCTTCACAATGTCAAATTGACACCGGAGATGCAGGCTGAGAACAAGCCTAGATATCCTGCCATCCATAAACTTAGGCTGGAGAGCAAGGGTGGTTATGACTTCAATGCGGATGATATCGACACATTCGATCACACCCCGGAGGAGCGAGAGGCGTATCTTGAAGCCAAATGGAAGGAAGGCGGTTTTCTACTATGGGTTGGCCAATACCGCGACGTGCTCACCAACCTCAAAGCCAACCGTGAGACTTATGATTTCTGGGCACGAAAGGTTCGTGCCATGATCTCCGATCCTCAAAAGAGAGACGTGCTGGCACCTCTGGAGCCTCACCACCCTTTTGGAACCAAGAGACCTGCTTTGTTTATGAACTTTTACGAAGCCGTCAACCAAGACAACGTTCATATCGTGGACGTGAACAAGTTCCCGATCCAAAAAGCTGTTGGAAGTGGACTGGTTACAGCTGATGGCAAGACTCACGAGCTGGATATCCTAGTCATGGCAACCGGCTTCGATGCAATTACGGGCGGACTCAAGGCCATCGATATCCGAAACGGCACGGGGGAATCTTTAAATGGAAAATGGGCTAATGGTACTTGGACAAATCTTGGCCTGATGACTGCAGGTTTCCCAAATATGTTCTTCACCTACGGTCCTCACGGCCCGACAGCGTTCTCTAATGGGCCTACTTGTATCGAGATCCAAGGTGACTGGATTGTTGAGGCCCTGGTGTACCATCGCAGCAGGGCCAACAAGAGGATGGAACCGACCCCTACCGCCGAAATCAAATTCAGAAACCTTGTCAATGACAGAACGAACTAAACACTCTATCCTCTGGCAAAATCCTACTACATGGGCGCTAATGTGGAAGGAAAAGCTCGAGAGGCCCTTAACTTCCCTTCAGGAATCCCTGAGTATAGGCAGATGCTCAAGGACAACAAAGAAAGTGGTTACAAGGGATTCATTATTTACTAGTGTAGAATAGTATTTAGAATGCAATCGACCATTTTCATTTCATGGTTGCAAACACTCAATCCAGCCTTGGAATATCACTGTGCCATTTTAAGATGTCCTGGGAACCATTGCGGAGTGTGCTAGATGTTGCATATTGAATATTCTAGTAGTTCGTAAATTGTTAAGGTGGCAGATCCTTGCCTTTACTTAATACTAAGTAGTAGGTTCACCTCAATAATCCTTCGAAGAATACCACTGAATGTAGAAGCTGGCGAAGACAGTGGACACTCGTTGAGTACCCATACACTGGGCTCGCGTCACGATTTGCATTTCATTTGTCAAGATACCAGAGCCACGACAACATCAACATAGTGCGATTCACAGTTAGGACGAGTCCATTGAATATCCGGGCTGGCACAATTGCTTGCAGCGGATACGCGCGGTCTCAAGGTGCGCGCGGTCTCACAAGCGGCGCTTTGTCCCTGGTGTGACCCATGTCTGCCTGGTTATCAACCTGCCCCCAATCATGATGCCGCTATTCCAATCTGTTTGGATGGAGACCGCATCTAACCCAAAGCGACCAAAAATGTGAGCACCCGAAATTGGTAAAGTTTGTGTCTGACTGGAACGCGCTAATAGGCCACCCTTGCAATGCCCTTGCTTGTAACCAGCCGGCTCTTCCACAGTGTTATCGGCTCGTGGGTAGTCATTTGTTGCTGGTTATCTCTAGACCAATACTGAACACATTTGGAATGACAACAACACTTCTACGCGGAGGGGGCAAGTCAGGCAACTATATGAATGTATCTCATATCTGCGTTTTACCGCAGAGCTTGCCATCTCCACCCTCTACTTAACGTCCCCTTCAACTTGCCAGATAACCAAGATTGACATGGTTATAGGGTAAGCGTAAGGTCTGACGCCCTCAGTCTACAGCTAACTCGACCAGCCGCATTATTCCAAGTGAGCCAGCTTCTACGTCTATCATCATCTGATATCTGAACTGATCAAAAACAAAAGCTGTGACACCAGTGGTGCCCATAGTTCCAATCTTGCCGATAAACTAAACCCTTCGACAATCTGCTCCGGAAACCTCAAAAAGATATACGATGGCTGCACAGGAGGAAAAGGAGGAAAAGGCAGCCCATGTTGTACGGGGTACAACATCTGAGGCCAACGATAACCAAGTTGCTCACGATGTGCTTCGATTAGCAGAAATGGGATATCAGCAAGAGATGAGCAGAAAGTTCTCGCCCTTGTCGGTTCTCGCACTTGGTTTCTCGTTGACAAACTCTTGGTTTGGCCTTTCTTTCTCTTTGGCAACCGGCATTAGCTCTGGAGGCCCGGTGGTATTGATCTACGGCCTGATGATAACAGCAACAATCTCTCTGGCCGTGGCCATCAGTCTTGCGGAATTGGCCAGCGCATACCCTAACTCTGGCGGCCAGTACTTTTGGGCCAAGGTTCTGGCTCCTCCAAAGTACGCTCCTATCGCGAGCTATTTGACTGGGTGGTTTTCTTTTGCAGGATCAATCTTCACATCGGCGTCAATTGCTCTCGGTATGGCATCAGGAATCGTAGGGCTGTACCAACTGACCCATCCTGACTTGTATGTTACCAAGAACGTGTTTTCAGATGCTTCTGCTAATAATTTCTAGCGTTATAGAAGCGTGGCATGTCGTCGTTACGTACGAGCTTTTCATTTTTTTCTGCTACTTCTTAAATACGTGGGGGAAAGGTCTTCCAGCACTCAACAAAGCCAGTTTGTACATGTCACTGGCTGCGTTCATCACAATCCTCATTGCGGTTCCCGCTTCCTCGCCAACACATCAGTCAAGCCGATTTGTGTTCACTGAATTTATCAACAACACGGGATGGGAGGCGCAGGGTGTCGCCTTTCTAATCGGTCTCATCAATGCCAACTATCCTTTTGCCGCTCTGGACTGCGCTACGCACATTGCTGAAGAAGTCAAGAATCCTGAACGGGCAATTCCGATTTCACTGCTCGGCACCGTTGCGATTGGTTTCACAACCGCCTGGACATTTGTCATCTCCATGATGTTTTCAATCCAGGATTTAGACAGCGTTCTAAATACGCCGACTCTAGTACCGATTATTGAAATATTTAGCCAAGCAATGGGGACCACCGGAGCAATAGCACTCGAGACCCTCATCATCCTGACAGGCGTGGGCTGCTTGGCAACTTGCCATACATGGCAAGCTCGTTTGTGTTGGAGTTTCTCTCGGGATAACGGCTTACCATTTTCCTCACACCTCAGCAAAGTGAATCAGACACTTGACGTGCCACTGGTAGCACACACTGTTGGGGTTGTTCTCAATGCCCTGACCGGCTTGCTCTATCTAGGCAGTAGTGTCGCATTCAACTCGTAAGTGCATGATTCTCCACTACATGACGTATGCTCACCATCATGTAGGCTCGTGGGTGCGACTATTGCCCTATTATACATTAGCTACAGTATTCCTGTTGCCTGCCAGCTGTTTCGCGGCCGTGAGAAAACCCAGCGTGGGCCGTTCTGGTTCGGCCATGTTGGATTCATTTCGAACATTATTCTTTTGATCTGGACCGCTTACTCCGTCATTATATATGCTCTTCCGGCAGTCATGCCGGTGGAAGCAGGAAGTGAGTATCCATCTTTTCAAGAGTATTATGCGTTTGCTGACATACCAAAGATATGAACTATGTCTGTGCCGTTTATGTGCTGATTTTCTTGGTCGTTATGCTCGATTGGTTGCTTCGTGGCCGCAAGACGTACAAGGGCTCTGCTCATGAGCCGGTTCTTGATGGGGTTCCCATGGCGTAGGATTCGAAACGCGATAGCAATGGACAAATGTTTGGCAGAAGCTCATGGAGGAATAGGTGATTAGGTGTATCGATTCGAACTTAATTTAACCATAGCATCTTACGAGTGCATGCTCTAACTTGACAGCGGCTTAGATGCATTGAGACCGTGTTGTAGTTTATAATCGACTTTCTTCGCGACCTGCCCCCCTATGATCTACTCCTATTATATTAGCTATTGTCAGCGACAGCGCGGGTATATGCCCAGTTAGACACAATAATTAGTGCGAGTGCACGTCACAAAACTCCCCATCATGTTTAATTTATATCTGTTCCTATCAGGGGTTTTTGCCAGTATTATCATGAATTTGGCGGCAGGTGGGATGACAATGATAAAGATGGAGGCTTCAATAAATATACATGATGTAGCCACACCCCGGCAGTGTTTTTATTTCAATAGATCGATCTGGATTTTGACATGCTTATCCTTCTCTTCAATCAAGGCTCGGAAGCCGTCTTCAACCACCCTATCTATGCTAATCTTTCGAGTGATCATTGACCCAGGCTTAAGTGCACCGCTCTCAATTGCGTTTAGAACGCCTTCAAAGTCATTTTTATCATATCCCAAGACTAAATCAATCGTTAAATAGTGTCCTTTGATGATAAAAAGAAAAATAAGAAGAAGAAAAGAAAGCGTTCCCCTCAAAGCCGTGGAACATCCTTGGAAGCACGCAGAATCAACGAACTCACCTGAATAAAATACCCTCTCTCCAAACACGAGCAAGTTTGGATTGAATTCGATGGGTTTCTCCCAAATAGCCACGTTGACAATCACACCTCGTGGCCTTGTCGCCAGACATGCGGCTTTCAAGGTAGCTTCCAAGCCTGCACAATCAAATGATGCGTCTGCCCCCTGCTCGCGATGAGTGGCTTTCTTGGTTTCTCGTACAATGTCTGATTCCAATGGGTTAAAAACAAGAGTTGCCCCGAACTCTTTTGCGAGGCGGCGGCGCTCTACCGCAACTTCAGCTACAATGATGTTATTGGCCCCTTGAGCTTTGCAACATTGGATTACCCCGAGACCAATTGGGCCTGCGCCAAACACAAGAACATCGTCACCATTCTTAATACCGCTCCTGACCACTGCTCGCCAGCATGTCGCAAGTGGTTCAACAAGTGCTGTCTTCACCGTCAGTGCAAAGTCCGGCAAGCGAAAGAGAGACGCTGTTTACACATACCACCTATATCAAGACCAATAGTGTCCGGCAGTTTGTGAACGAAATCACTCTCGACGCATATATAATCGCTGAGCCCACCACCGCCTCCTGAGAGACCCAAAAATCCAGGTGTAGCACAACAGCTGTAATGGCCTTCCTCGCAGGATGGGCAAGTAAAACAGCAAACAGTGGGCCTGACCGACACCCTATCTCCAACTTTGATTGACTTGTTGTTAATATCAGCACCTATCTCGACGATTGTTCCTGCCATTTCATGGCCAATAATAACTGGTCGAGACTCCCCTGTAACAGGGTGTGTATTCTTCTGGTCAGGAATGAAAGTTGGGGTCGAGTATTCATGGAGGTCTGTTCCGCATATTCCAACAAATGCAGGACGAACTTTCACTTGGGTCTTAGAGCAACAAGGCTCTGGAATGCCATGCTCGAGTCGGAGATCTCCGGGGCCATGGTAGCGAAGAGCACGCATGTTAAAAGCAGCTAATGGATCGCTGGATGAGTGGGGGTAAAAGTATTGGGACGATGAGTGACATACAAGATAAAGAACCCTGCAGCACACAACTTATAGGCAAGTGACACTCTCATTTGATCAATTACGGGGTAATACAAAGACAAATTCTAGGAAACCGAGGTCATCCCGAGATTGGATACGATACCGCGCAATACCGCGCCTAAGCCCTTTTGAGTAAAAACATCGAGCACTCCCCATAACTTGATTCTAGATTCGATACAGGCCGCGCACGTAAGGTTAAGAGAACTTAATCTGTTCAGTTTGAGAAGCAATGCGGTGTTATCTCTAGAATTAGGGCTATCGGTGGCTGCAAATCCAAGTATCTGCTAAAGTAATCGTTATCGTCGTGAACCCTTGGTTTCAGGGCAGCCGATGGAGACCGCTTCGGATGAAGACAGTGGCTGCTACAGTCCTCTCAGGATTATTACCCGTGATTCATACGGCCCGTATTTATCCATTCGCTCAACTAAGCCAACAAGCCAGTGTTTGAAATTATCTTGCCGAGGGTCTAGCAGTGATTCTGGGCGCAGTCTTCGATGCGGTAAGTGGAGTGGAGGCGAAGGAGTGGAATATCTGTAGCAGACAAGCTGCCTTAGATCCAGCTAATCATCATTTGCATAGACTTACTTCACTGAGTCCTGGGTGCCCAAGAAGTTCGATATTTGGGGAGCCTCTCATTAGATCTTTCACGTTCTAGGTATTCTTAGTGCTATGATTCATACATGGAGTCTTCCCAGGTATGGGTGGATTTTTAATAATCCCACCTGCTTAGGCTGAACCTCAGACATAATGACGATAGCATAATGCTCGCTAAAAATCAAATGTGCATATAAAGACTTTACCGCTGGTCGAGTCAAAGGGGAATATCAATCACAACTTGGGATCCCAAAGTTGCTATCACTGGTGGGATTACCGGAAGAAGCTTTCGCCGGGGCAATTGGCACATGTCTAAAATGGAGAGTAACCTGAGCAAGACTTCAAATTCCGTGATTGATTAAGATTTTATTCTACTTTCAACTCAAAGAGTAATAATCAGCTTTTTAGCAGAAACTCCCCTTCTCAGTGTATCCACAGCCTCCTGGATCTTGTCTAAGCCCTCCCCAACAATTTGAACCTCTGGAGCTGAAATAATGCTGCCAGATTCCAGGGCCTTAGGTAAGTACTCCGTGAATATATATTTTGAGATACCACTGTGAATTGTTGGCTCGATATCGACAAAAGCTGATGATACTCCATTAACTAGTCCACGCAATTTATAGGCCGCGGTCCAGGCTACAAAGGAAGCCATGATTTGAAAAACTGGTAGGAATCCTGGCTCCTCATCTGGCACCGGGAAAGTAGTCATAGCCACGTGCTTACGTTCTGCTTTGCACTTGACCAGGACCTCCAAACACTTTTCTGCAGCTCCTTTGCCAATAGATACGGCGCCGACCAGGTTCTTTCCGGTGAGTTCATTGACCATGAATTTGACAACAGCGGCGTCCCTGTAGTCCCATGCCTGTGTAGCGCCTAGTTTTCGCATCAAGGGATGGTTGTGTGCTGAAGCGGTAGTATATACTTCATACCCGGCCGCGACAGCAAGCTGGATAGCACAGCACCCAACACTGGAAGATCCGCCCCAAATGATGACTGCCTTGCCAGAAAATGGCCGTGCCGGCTGACTAGGAAGTTGGAGACCCAGCTGCGACTTGTCGAACAGCGCGGACGAAGCCGTCAATATTGCCAAGGGAAAGACAGAGGCTTCCGGGTATGATATCTCTGAACTTGTGATAATCGAGGCCAGGTCTTCCTGCAGGACAGTATAACTTTGGAATGCGCCTTGGGCAGAGTCGTTGACAGCAGCTGATGTACTGCGACAGAGCCCGAAGACGCGATCACCAGGGCGGATTCGGGTGACGCCGTTGCCTACCGAGACAACTTCTCCACTCACATCCATCCCTAAAACAAAGGGATACTTGATATGTGTGAACATGATGTCACCTCGAGACTGGATGAGATGATCAATGGGGTTGATGGCAATGGCTGCTGTCCGAACAACTAGCTGGTTCTCTCCGGCAACTGGGTAGGGAGCATCTCTGAGTTGGAGGAAATTTGCCTTCCTTTTCGGTTGGAAAGCGGCACGATTGGTTGGCATGGTGTATACAAGTTAATATCGAGGTGATGACTTGATAGGAACTTAGCTGTAGTTGGGAAGAAAAATAACAAGTGAATGAGAGAACAAACAAAGCAAATATAAGACGCCTCGAGCGAAGTTATATTCAAGCCAGCCTCAGGTACATCATTCTCACAATCCCTTTCTAAACTTCATCCCATCCTAATCAGGGATAGCTGTTGCTCGCTCTCGGATGGGAATTGGTGTCATCAAGCGGGACCCACCGGCGGGGCAGGCGGATGATCGGCTGGATTACGCCCCGAACCTAAAGGTATAAGTATCTATGAGTATTCCCTAGTCTATTCTTACTGGGATATGTCGGGTTTACGTTGAAAAATACAAAGGTGAGACTTTCAGTTAGATCCACCTGTTCCTTGAAAGCCGGGCTGACCCCGTCCGCCTTGTCTATAGTATTACCTGGCCACATCAGCCTATAGATAGGCGAGCGTACGACACAAGCCGCCCCCATCAGTGCTGGTCACATTAAAATAGCTACCAAACATGCAGGAAAATCCTCCGGATATCCCTAAGCGAGCGCACCCTCCGCCTAATCGGCGCCGAGCTAAGCCGCAGCTAGCTTGTGATCTGTGCAGACGGAGAAAGTGCGTTTCCCCCCTCCCACCTCGTTGAATCAACTTCGTCATGATCTAGTTTACTAATATTTGAACTACCTAGACGCAAGTGTAACCGTGAGAGGCCTTGTGGAACTTGCACTAGGCTCGGTCGGCCGCCGGCAAGCTGTACCTATCCAGTTCCCGAGCCCGGACCGCCATATACCACGCCCAGAATCAACGATCTCCTGGTCTCGATGGAGACTAGTGATGAAGATTTATATCGACAATTATCCAGCAGCAAGGCTCCAACTACCTCAGCACATACCGAACATCCTACAATGGTTTCTCAAGGTAGAACTCTCCCGCTTCCATAAGAGCCCTATTGCGATTCCATTTTGACTTCGTTAATATCCATGTGAAGAGATCTCCGGACCATCCAGCCCAAATGGATTCCTACCAAGTGTATTGGACAGAGAAGCAATGTTATTTTTCGGCGAGCCAGGTTTCCTCCAGCTAATTGGAGGACGTGATCTTAATTTCACAAACCTAGGCCAGGAGTTGGAGCTTGTTGATGCGAGAGGGGAAGCCCAAAAGGAACCAGGCCTGAAGGCCTACTATAGTATACATAACTTTCCGATTTAGCAGCTATAATTAATGTTACGCGTTATGGGTCATCACCAACTATACACGTCGTGTCAAAGGACGAAAAGCCAAGAACACCAGTCGTAGCTAACTCTAGTGGCATTATACTATTATGTGATTATAGGGGAATCCGGTATTCAGCTATTATCATAGGCGTGTGGCTTGAATAAATTATGTTCCAACACCTATTTTAAGTATTTTCTTCTCTGTTTTCTCTATACTTGATAAATTACTGCTTGTTGAATGGCTTTTATCTTAATATTTGCTAGTCGAACCCTGCAAAGCGATTAGTTCAAGCTACAAGACAGCCTGCGAGAACTAGCTCAGAGAGACGGAGAAAATGCATATATATTTCGTTATTTAGAGACGGAGACCAGCTTCTTTGAGTAGTGGTAGGATTTTCTGGCCAAAGTAGTCTAGGTCTGGCGCAAAGTCGTAAAAGTTCATCTGGATGCCATCTACGCCTGTCTTGTGTAGGGCCTTAATCTGAGCTACCACCTGCTCTGGAGAGCCGATGATTTCTATATTGCCACCAAGATTGCGACCCTGTTTGTGGTTGGGGTCTTTTCGACCTCGCCAACCATGGGCATCGCTCTTATACGCCGTTGCATTGTTGTTGAACTTGGAGCTGCCAAGTGATCCAGCGCTCCCTTCGGCGATGCTGTCTGCATAAGCCTCCGCCTCCTCAGGTGTGTCGCGGGAGATGATAATAGGGTTGATTAGTGTTTTGACTTTCCGTCCAACCGCTCTAGCTGCCTCCTTAATGGTGGCAATATGTGCGGGCAATGTCTCGAGAGCGCTGTCGATATGCGCACCGCCCGGTGATGTGATGAATATGAGATCGGAGTACTTGGCCGCAAAGTCGATTCCGGCGGCTGACCCTGTAGCGTTTACCAAGATAGGCCGGCCGTATATCGGCTTCGGTGTAATCCAAGCGTTTTCTAACCGCCAGCTATTTTCAGTTGCCTTTGCTTCATAGGTTAGGTTCTCGGTCTCACCCCAGAGACTATTGACAACTTCAAACAACTCGCCCGCCATCGCATAGCGTTTATCATGCTCAATCTGTTGTCGACCAAACATCTCAGCCTCAACGGTCCGATGACCAGTGACGATGTTAATTCCCCAACGACCCTTGGAAATATGATCTAATGTGGCCCCCCATTTTGCGATGTGTAAGGGGTGCAGTGGGCCGTACAAAACATGCAGGGTTGAAATGAGCATGATGTGTTTTGTAGCGGCGGCCATCGCTCCAAGGGCCACAAAAGCATCGATTGACGCCTCTCCGTCATATCCGCCCTTAGGGAGCCACTGAGAGCGGCTAAAGGCAAGCTCAAAACCCAGCTCTTCAGCCTTCTGAACCAAAGCGAGATTATACTCGAAGGTCCAGCTATTAGTTGTTGGGTGGGTGGACGTCTTGATGTCTTGTAAGTTAAGGAATAACCCTAGTAACAGCGGCTGCTCGGCAACGCGGCTGATTGGGCTGTCTTTGAAGTCCCATGGACCCTTGAGGATTGGACCCCCTTCTCTGACAGAAGTAACGGACATGGTTGGTTGTTAATGAAGACAAGACGTTGTGCAGCGAGATATCAAAACATCTGGATGTAGGGCAAGCATTAGGGGAAGGCTGGACATGCTTCATGGCAGGGATCCTCTATTAAGAACCATGGTGCGTCCGAAACTCGGATCTGATGCTGACCAGAAGAGAGTATGTTAAAGGCAAGGGTAAATTAAGTTAGGCTGAGTGGTCGTAGGATCGCTGTTTAATCCACACACTCCGGATTTAACATGGCTATAGACAAGATCTTTTTCTTATTTGTGAAGTTCGATTTACAAGTTAGCCAATGAGAGGTTCGAGAGTACTCATGAGTAGTGGAGATAGAGTCGCAAAGGGTGGAGAGAATGGAACCAGGTGTATGGCACAAAGATAGACAACTATGTCGAACACACTCACATCGGAGATGACTGGCCCTCACACCGCCCTCTAAACAATGGTCGCTGTGGAAATTCAGCTGTATGAATGGATTAAAAGCGAGGTATCTGCGGAGCGCTGGTGTTGTCACGCCATGCGCCAAGTTTTTCCGTCCATCGTGTCAAACTGGGGACTGGTGGCTCAAACCACAGCAAAGATCTGTATATTGCACCTCTGACTTTCTGGGCTCTTTTGAGCAACTGGGTCCTATAGATGGGGCCTATAGATGAGTCGAAATCTGTTCATATTATTGCGACATCATCCTTGCCACCCAGACTAATTTAGACGAACCAGACCCACGTTCTAACCACTGCGATGGAGAAGTTTTCACCTCAGAGAAAGGTCACGGTGGGCCTAGGATTAGAAGACACATAAAACATATGAATCCTACCATGCGTTGAAGCATAGATGATCAATCAACAGACACCGTAGCTGAGAACAACTTATAGTTTGCGATTCCTTTGCCTACCATGTCTACGGTCCCGAGGAAGACCTGGTACAAGATCCAATGGTACTCGGACGACGATACACCTGAAGAGCGCAAGTTTATTCTCAAGCTAGACACATTCTTAGTACCTTACTTGCTGGTCGCTTACTGGATCAAACACATTGATCAGGCAAACCTAAGTGAGTCCTTTTTTTCTCGTTCCCATGACCTGGAATTTCGATGATTCTAGGAAACCTGGCCTTTACGGTATCTGGATATCGTGTGCCACTTCCTTGGTAATTCAAAAACATTTATTCAATCATCTGGTGGCTAATGATCGATCTCCAAAACTACAGGCAATGCCTACGTGGGTGGTATGAAAGAAGAGCTTGGCTTTTATGGCAATGAGCTTGTGACGTTTAACACCTTGTTTAGCGTGGGGGTTGTGGTGGGCCAGATCCCCTTTGTTTTCCTCTTTACGTATCTTCCTATGTACTGGATCATTCCAGGCATGGATATTGCTTGGGGTGTATTCACTCTCTTGCAGTATCGTGCTCAGTCGTTTGCGGAGGTTGCAACCTATCGCTTCTTCGTAGGCTTCTTTGAGGCTGGCTTCTTTCCAGCCGTGCACTATGTTCTTGGTGAGTAAACTCAGCACTACTTTCTTCTCTCTTATTTGACTGACGTTTGAGTTTGTAGGTTCATGGTACAGAGGCCATGAGATAAATCGACGAGGCGGGCTCTTCTATTCTGGGTATGGCTTGGGTTCCATGACGTCCAGCCTCATTGCTTCCGCTGCATCAGCACGGCTTGAGGGAGTTCACGGTATGGCTGGCTGGCGATGGTTGTACATCATATGTTTTGCCATGACTATCCCCGTTGGCATCTTGGGCTACTTCTTCATCCCAGGAACCCTTGCAAGACCCAACAGAATACTCTTAAATGAAGAGGAGCTCGCAATCGCCAGAAAACGACTCGAGCGCGACGGCCATGAAGTTGGAGGCAAGCTCAAATTCCATCACATTAGACATACTGTTAAGACGCCACGGTTCTGGACAGTCGTCCTGATAGACATCCTTTGGAAGAGCGCCGGTGCTTATAAGACACAGGGAGCATATCTCCTTTGGATCAAGAGTTTGAACCGGTATAGCAATGCTAGGGTCAATGAACTCGGCTCCATCGCTCCCGGCCTGGGCATAGCCTGGGCATTGATAGCTTGCTTCGCCTCTGATCTCCTCATCGGCCCGGTTTGGGCGATTTCTTTTTCATCCCTCTGGAACACAGTATGCTGTCTTATCCTGACTATATGGAATGTACCGGAAAGCGCCAAGTGGTTTGCATTCACTACTTCTTTTTGGGCGAATGCCATGTCAGCAGTCTTTCATGGCTGGGTCAACGCTCTCCTTCGAGATTCACCCGAAGAGCGTGCATTTACACTAGTAACAATCAACACGTTGGCCGAGGCTTTCAGCGGGTTCATTCCGCTAGCAGTTTTCAAGACAGTTGAGTCACCTACCTTTCCTAAGGGATATCCGTTCTGTCTTGCTTGCGCAATCGGGGTGATTATCTTTACGATTGCACTGAGCCGGTATGAGAAGCAAACTATGTAAGTTTCCGGATTGCTCGAAAATTTCAGTCAAATTCACTAATAGCACACAGTAAGGAGAGAGCGACGATCGGGGAAAGTGGGAGCAACATTGAAACAGGGAGTGAACGAGACAGAGAACAGGTTGCTGTTAGTATCAACCCTAAGAAGTAGAATAATTGGTAGCAGTTTTCGTTGAATTGCCGTCGGGATCACCGATAGAAACAATTGTACAAGTTGTTTATCTGGAGTTTGGCCCATCTTTTTCTTCTGCTTGTTTTGATCCATAGACTTATCTTGCAACTAACCTTAGTTTCTTGTATAATGACTGCAGAATTCACATATATCCAGGGCAATCTTCACATTAAATTTCTCAACTACTCAGCTTGAATTCTTTTAGCATAGCTCTTAGCCTACCACACCTTGCCACACGCTTGAAGTTCGAGCCCAACGAAAATGCGCTCATCGAACTTTACGACGTCTCGCGTGTCCGTAGATGATGGGATATTTCTTCGCTCCATCAATGTCAGCTCGTTGCTGGCTTCGCCATTGATGCTTAGGAGTAGGCCTTGGCTACCAAGACCGAGGCAGGCAAAAGCGACACCGCTGGACTACTTCATCATGTGTAGTCAGAGTTGATACAATGCACCAACAAATGGGAGGGAGACAGAAACTTAGACGGTGCAGATGGTTTGAATAAATAGAATTTATTTCAGAGAAAATCTTGGGATACATGAATGACACCCTTATCCATCAAACGATGAAATATTTCGTTCATCTTTGAGCCTCCTATCACTGTCCATCGAACTCTAGCGAACGCTTCTGGTCCTTGCGCCTTACTAAATACCATGACGTAAGAATCATACATACGCCAACGACGAGGAACGACATGCAAATGCCGTACGAGACGCGATAGCTTGGCCCAAAAACAGAGCTGTAGACATGAGGCCCAACGATGCCACTAAACTGGGCCATTGCATTAGTCCACCCGATTCCAATGCCTGCAGCAACTGTGCCTTCGAGGGCTCGAATACGCTCGGGCCAGATGACAGGGTACGCAGACCCAGCGCACGAAATGGCCACGATGAGAACAATGTAGCGCACAGTGGGATTGGAAACAGTGAATAGAATGACGTAGCAGACCATTATTGTGACTTCGACTGTCCGAATTGTCAGTATCTGTGGGTGTGCAGTAATGGGGATCGGGCCATTGAAGACGCCACTTACTTCCTACTGCAGTTGTCCATGGACGAAGAATCTTTTTATGTAATAGATAGCCGATGATATTGAGAAATACGCACGCGGCGACGTATGGGGGCTTGTACCTTGACATTAATTCCCTGCCCACGGAGGAAAATGGAGGAGTTCTTACCATGTTCATGAGCTGCGTGTACGCTGTTGTTGTGAAACCCAGATCATAAACAACCGTGGGTAACGCAACGCCGACTCCAAAGCCTCCAATTCCGTGACAGATCCAAAACACGGAGAATGTATAGAACGTGGGGTCTTTGACAAGGACAAGCAAAGACTTGTAGTCCCAATTTCCCTTCTTTCCTTGTGGCGCGGTTTTCACCAAACGGGTCGTGGCATATTTGCGTTCTTCCTCGTTCAGGATCTTGGCGGTCTCTGGGTAATTCGGTAACTTCCAGAGTGCAACAAATGACAGCATGATCGCCGGAAGTCCCTCTAGAAGGAAGAGCCATCGCCAGCCCGGAAGGCCCCCAAGGCCATCCTACCAATATGTGAATAAAATCTCAATGTATTGGATTGATGTTGGAAGGGAGACGTACCATGTACCCAATGGCATACGCAAGCAGGCCGCTAACAGCACCGGCGACCTGTCCAACAGAATAGAATATGGCTATACGCTGCGGCATCTCGCTCGGTTTATACCAAAATGCCATGTGAAATAGGACACTTGGGTAAAAGCCTGCCTCAGCCATTCCAAGTGCGAAGCGAAGACACATCATACCCTTGAAGCCTTGAACGGCTGAGGTACATGAAGCGCACACGCCCCAGAAAAATATGATGAGAAACATCCATCTAGATGGACGAAGAACCTTGAGCATGATTGTGTTTGTGGGTTCAAATACCATGTAAGAATAGGAGAACATGGATTGCGTCCATGCCCATTGTGAGGCATTGAACCCGAGTTGCTGGCGAATGTTGGTGCCGTTTTCGAGGTTAATGATGGCTGCATTGGCGTAGTTGGATGAATCCAGGACTCGGAAAATATATACCTAATTCCCTTTAGCGACTATTCTCCAAGGCTGGCATCTGTCTTTCTCTCACAAATGAATAGAATCCCACCAGCCAGAGATCGGTCTTTTTGAAGAAGCTTTTCTTCAATTCCGGAGTAGGTTCTACGAAACTCTGGTCGGATACATCGTCGGTATTGCTAGGGGCCGACTCGACTGCCACATTCTCCTGTCGTTTCGTAAGATAATCGGGGTCTGCCATTACGTTTGGTTCGTTGCTTCCCGGTATTGACAAAGCCTGAAATGTGGTAAGAAGAGAGGCGAAACCAAGAATGACAAACGACCTAAGAAGCACTTAAATATAGATTAATCATAACATGAACTAGCCTACACTTTCCGGTCCAAAGTATTGGCAACTATAGCCCCACATACACGTGGGACAGTTGCAGACACTCTGTTGTTATCGTGTTACTAGCTGAGAAGCCCTTTCGGCATCTATGGTGATATGGTATGTGCGAATGTCGACGGATGATCCTTTAGTGGGGATTTACTGCTACATATCCAGGAGAAGTAAATATCTCACCAGGGCTTCAAGTGAATATCAAGATGCCAGGCTTGACTTTGGTTACACTGATGGTGGGGAGCGTTAATTTCCAGACTCTTGGACTTACAAGCCCTGGTATTTGAAAATGAGGCAATCCACAAGGAAAATGATAACTTTTATTAGTAATAGCTGGGAGAAGGGTTAAGAATCGGGCACAAAAGAACTTCAACTCAAACTAAGTCTATAACGAGGGCGTTATCAATTAGCTCTAGTTGAATTGTTGTTCCTAAATTTGCTATTTCCGTGAAGGGTTGCAGCGACGTGATAACCAGTCCGATGCTCGGAATGGCGCAATCTTCCAAAACGTGCTTGAAGTTATCGGGCCAGCGCGTTATGAAGTAATGATAGACGATCCCTCTCTACTAGAGGTTGCTTTAATATATCTTTAGACCACATAATTGGTCATTTGGGATAGTCCCCACGAATGCCGCCTTTAACCCGGCAAAGCACGAATATGCCTAGACTCTGATTGGAAGCACGCAATAGGGTTACTTTGTCTGGCAGCGGGTGCTAAGCGATAACGCGGGGTCTATTTTCCGGAGATAACCTTTCCAGAATATCTTTGGATATTCCCGGTTTTCTGGTCGTTGATAAAGGCCTCTCACCTTCCGGTTGGACTTTAGACATGGATCCACGTATATGGTCACTTGCTAGGATTTATTACCTTTTCTCTAAACTATTTTAGTATTTTCCACTGTTGCCCATTTCCCTCATCTTTATTATGGCACCTATCGCTCTTGACTCGGTGGAAGCGCACGGTCAGGTGCATGAAAAGGCCCTAATCAAAACCTGGAAGCGCCCCGAGGTAACAAAGGAAAACCTGGAATGGGCCGATTTGCCCAAGATCGACCTCTCAAAGTTCGATAGTCCTGGTGGGAAGCAAGAACTTGCCCAATCTTTGTACAAGGCAGTGACGGAGGTTGGCTTCTGGTCCGTTGTCAACACTGGTATTGACGACGAAAGCGTGCTCCGCCAATTTAGCATCGGAAATACATTTTTTCAGGAGTCCCTTGAAGAAAAGAGAACCTTCCCTTGTAACTTTGCGGAAGGTGAGTACTTCGGGTACAGGGAGAACTCGAGATGGATCGGCGATACTGGAGTAAAAGAAAACATCGAAATGGTGTGTGCGGCCTACTTAAAAGCGCTGAACTTATCGTATATCAGCCTAGCTAACGCAAGCATAATAAACAGCTTAACATCCCCAAGCCTATCAAGCTCTTTGAGAATGTAGGCAGGCATCGAGTTGTTAAAGAAAATTGGGGCGAGATCGCCAAGTTCCATAGAGAACTCTGGGACAAGGTTCTTCGGAAGCTGTTTGTTCTCATCTCCATCATACTGGAGCTGCCAGAGGACTACCTCGCAGATGCTCATGAATATGAGGATGAATCTGATGATCACCTTCGTTACATGATTGTAGGTCGACACACCCTCAAGTTTTACTCCTGTTTATGCTGTGAAGACAAGAAAGCTAATGCATAATCAGTATAATGTGCGATCACAAGAGGATTGGGACAAAGCCCAAGCATACTCCAAAGGAGGTCACACTGACTTCGGAAGCCTAACGCTCCTGTTCTCGCAACATGTGGCGGGTCTACAAATCCGTACCCCGGAGGGTGATTGGAAATATGTGAAGCCTGTTGAGGGCGGAATCACCTGCAATGCTGCAGACACATTGTCTTTCTTGACCAATGGTAAGAATTTTCTCCCCAAATCCCTTTGGACACGCGGTGGCCTCTAACCCAGTCTCTTTAGGGTTCATCAAGTCTACCGTTCACCGCGTTGTCACTCCTCCCAAGGATCAGATCGATATCCCGAGGTTGGGTCTACTTTACTTTAGCCGCCCTGGAGCCAGTACTCCCATGAGGACCGTTCCATCCCCACTTCTCGATCGCCTTGGCCTGATCCCCGAGGAACACAAAGACCTCAGCCGGCCTGTCCCCAATGGTACTGAGTACGTGCGCGCGCGTGTTAAGGATGTGCACCACAAGACTATTCTTGATAAACGAGAGGGTACTTCATTTGAGTTCCGAGGGTTGAAGGTTCAGAATCATTATGCATGATGTAGACTTAGCATGAAGACAATCTTGATCGGTTGAGTTACGAGGCGCCTTTCACTACCTGCATGTGTGTTGTGATGTGTAAGAATTCAATATATAGGACTGTTTCCCGAAATCGAGGACAGTTTAAGAGTAAATTGAAATATAGCAACAGTCAAAATTAGCTATCTCATCTAAATACAGATCATGTACAGTTCGGCCCTGCAGTTAAGAACATGTTTATCTAGTATTTATGCACGGCTTTAAGCGAAGACCGCTAACCCCTTCTAGCTTGATGAAGATCACAGCAAGCGCAACGTGCTTGAATCTACGGTTAGGGGTTGCTGACCGGCAGGCTAGTTCATGGATCCATAGACAGGATGAATTAGGTCAGGGGAGAGACGTAAGTTTTGGCGACGCCATTGACTGGTTCTATTCCTCTCTTTTCTCTTTTCTTGATGATTCAGGGGACAGTGGAGTACTCAGCACTTGATGCCCTAATGATACAAATACAAGTGATGATATGTTACGTGTTCCCATTTTTTGACCGAACCGTTTCGATCGCTACCTATATTAAATCATAACCAATCCGTACCATGAGATCCTAAGGTCTATTATAAAAACAAAAATAAAAACGATTACTGTGATAATACATCACCCTATGTTCTGTTTGGCGATTTGCCCCTGGTGGTCCACCTCCACAGTCCAGTCTCTCTGGACGACAATCCCATTGTTATTCTTCAATGGGCTGTCTGGCCGCTGTCCTACCAGCGCCGTATCGCCGCTGGTTCGATGGCCCGTCTCGACCTCGGAATGCGTCTGCCCCTGCTTGTTCAGCTGATTTGTCATCTCGTGGACGTCCTCCTCGCTGTCAATTTTGGTCAGGCCGACCTGCGACCACGGATTCCAAGCTGTCTTCTTCGCGTGTGACCCGCCGCCGCTGATTGTCGCAAGACCGCCGCTTCTTTTCGTGTTGGCTCCGGGAGTACCGGAGCCGGTCCTCTTATCGGCGCTCGATCCCTTCGAGAACAAGCGGCTCAGGCCCACGGCGCTAAGCAGACGGCGCATGCTGGGCAAGCACGAGCACACGATACCAATGTTCACCTCAACGATGGACCACAGCATGAAGTCCCTGAGGTTGTAGGTAATGTTCTTGTCGTTGGTTCGGATGGCCATAACTTCGCTGAGACGAACGGCCGAGACGATACAGACGAAGAGGCCGAGCGTAAACATGCCGACGATGATAAGGCGCTGACCGACGGGGGCACGGAGGCGCCAGACGTAAGGGAGGGGCATGAAGACTAGGACGAAGTCGACAAGAACGTTAGGCAGGGAGCCTCCGAGGTAGATGCCTTTTGACTGAATGCAGGTAGCGTCGGTGATGGAAAGGTCCCATTGCGCAGAAATTGGGCGACAGCCGAAAGCGCAGAGGCAAAGCTATAGGTAGGTTAATAACCTGCATCCTTTGGAACTGTATTCGAGCAAAAAAGGACAGTTAGAACCTTACCAGGATAATAAGCCAGCAACCCACAGACACGGAGAGGATGAGGATAGGTATGCGGGCTGCGATGGAAAATAACTTCCAGTAGAACGCTAGAATCGTAAACTTGATAAAGGCAATAGCTAAGCAGTACAACAGTGCCGCGGCGTAGAGGTTCTTCAGGAAATTTTCGACCTCTGCCATGGTGACTTCAACTCCCACGTGTCGTCCGAGGTCAGGGCGGATACCTAAAGAGAGATATCGTGTCAGAATCAAGTCCTTAGCGCACCCGCATCGCAACATGCCGGAGGGAGAGCCGAACGCGATTGAAGCGACATACCGATCATCGTAACCCAAAAGAAGCCATTCGAAAACCCCAAGGTAATCACACACAGCAAGTCGTCCCATCCCATGCTCTGCATCCCTGAGACGCGACTCCTGCACCATAGCTTGACCGGAACCGATAGCATCGCCAACACGTAGGTCGAAATGGCCGCGCCATCGAAGCGCGGCCGGAACGAGTTAAAGCTCGCTCCGCTGGTTGGTGCTTCCATCGCTTGTTTTCGATCTTTCTCGGATGTCTGGGGCTGTGTGTGGAAGGGGGGAGACAGAGATGGAGGCGGAGTGCTGAGAGAGAGCCCCGAGAGCCCCGAAAAAATGACAGCTAGGAGGACCGTTGGAACTGTGGGCTTATAGTCCGGGGCTCCAATGTAAATAGACTTTTTAGATCTGATCAGATATCATAATAAAAAGGTCAAGGAGACGACCATGGCCGAGTCGAAGAGGATTACCTGGCAGGGTGTGACGGCCTGAGAGTTAAGAAATTGATCGAGGAGTATGTGGGGACAGAAATTGAACGCCTTGCTATTCTCAGCCTAGGAAGCACACTTCGAAGGTCGCTGGCCACACAATTGAGTTATGAATGTATGTATCTTCTTTGTTTATGCATTTCTATATAGATAATCTAGACTCTAGTTTACTATACCTATTTACAGCCAGAATTTCCACGTGAATTCTATAAAATCTATTGAATTCCTCTCACCTTCATGGAGTATAACATATACGGTAGGAGAAGAGTATGGGAGAAGAGCATGTGCGTCTTTTCATCAATACATTGAGAGTTTCTGCAACACAAGATTAGCTTTTACTTGACCCACAAACTCAACGTTTTCCGCAACTGGTGGCCGATCACACCCGTATTAGTGTTAGGGAGGGTAGGCTGTTTTACGCGAGAGGTCCAGATGCATGGTAGGGACCCGGGTAGGCCGGCTCACCCCCTTTGCGGTGGCTCTCTCCCCTGCTGTCCGAAGTTTTGGCGTACAGCCAAGGCCGTATGCAAGGTTCTATCACCCTCCTAACGAGTCCTAAGCGATCAAACCCCGCAAAAGATCCCAGCAAATACATCCCTGGCGAGATGTCGCTAGCATGGATCTAGAAAACCCCAGCACGGGCGCGCGGGTCGGGGGCGGGCTCTGGTTCTTTTACTTGGCGCGATATGCGGCGCCAACCATAAAAGGGGCGACCCGACTTAGAATTGTTTTATGCGGTACGATGTAACACTCTGAGACACCAACGCTAGCTGATTACGTGCTATGCTCAACCTATCCCAGGTTTCGTCTATCGCCATGCGGTTCTCGCCGTTTATAGAGACGACTAGCGCCCTCGGCCACTTCCCAAACAGCTATCGGCTTGACTGCTCTTTCAGCCCACATAAACCGAGATTCCCCGGGGGTGGGAAGGACATCCTTCGTTCCAGTTGTAATCCACATAGCTACCAGCTTGATTGGCTGCTTGGCTCGCATAAGACAGGCCAAGTAGCGTCGAATGACAGGCAAGTGCGTGCTTGATCGAAGCATTGATCCCCAAGGAGTCCATGAACCCAAGTCCACAATAGATTCACCACGATATGCGTACCTAAATACGAGGGAATGCTGGGGATAAACTGTTTGCTGAAGAATACATCCTAGTAGGGCAACGGGCCCCTGCTACACATTCTCCGCTCAGTGGGGGATCTATTGGAGGCAGCTAGGAACGGTTCGGGCACCGATAACGACCAACAGCCGCTAAGTGTGACGCTATGGCGATTTGCAGATGGCGCGGGGTCGGCATGTTGCAAGATGGGAAAGGCCAGCTTCACGGTTGTCATACGCGGGTAGTGGAGGAATGTCTTTTGTTATAAAGATCTTCCGAGCTGAAATGGGCTTCGTTGATCGAACCCTGCCTCCCGAACGAATAGCTCCGTCCGTGGCAGCAATCCATTGAATCCCTGCATTGCAGCACGGTAGAGACAACCTGGCACAATCTACTGTTCCAATCGGCCCAATAGGGACCTCCGCTTTACCATGCGTTGTATGCTTTGGCCCCTCTTTGATGTTCTGTGAAAAAGACGCACCGGTTCTACCGTCGACTATGCTACACAAAGTGCATCCTTCGACATGTCACATCGTGACAAGCGTACTAATCCTTGGTCGCAGCAGCTGCTCGTAGACAGTCCGGAGCACGTTTTCCATAGTCAGAGGCCGCCAAGATAATAGCAGCCTGAAGCTATAATACCGAGTGTTAATGCCGATACCAATCTAAATGGTGGTGGGCACAATGTTTCGCTAGTCTCGATCGTAGTAGTAATGCTCGACAACTTATTGGCAGAAGCTTGCTAGCAAAAGCGCACTATAAGTACGAGATAAACGCTGAGACATTCCGGACTAGGGGACTAAATTGCGCAGATATCTGGCTTGCCATCGCGTTCTTTTCCTACTTATTTCTCACTCCCCTACCCCTTTCTTTTCTTTTGCGCGGCAGAGACGTTAGGTAAAATGTTCCTCACCAGCGCTATAGGCAACCTTTCCTACTTGGGCGTTTCAGCCCTGGTGGCCACGTTGCTAAGCGGCTATGTTGTTTCCATGGCCGTCTACAGACTGTTCTTCCATCCTTTAGCCAAGTATCCGGGACCCTTTTGGTGCAAAATCTCTGGCTGGCCAGCACATTATCATACGTCGAAGCAGAACCGCCACGTTTGGCTGTGGTCGCTTCAGCAGCAATATGGTATGATCTATGCGGTCACACACTCCCACGGCGAGTCCCCATTGCTAATTGTTTTGGATTCCAGGACCAACTTTCCGATATACCCCGGACAAGCTCTCGGTGAACACTCCAACTGGCCTCAAGGAAATCTACAACCCCAAGGCCAATGTTGGCAAGGGGGACTATTACGGGGTCTACCCTCGGTCGCCCGAGGCTGTTACCACCTGGAACACCACCTCCAAGGAGACTCACAACCGCAAGCGCCGTGTCATGAACAATGCCTTCTCGGACAAGGCGCTGCGCAACGCAGAGCCCTTCGTCCATGCCAACTTGAACCGCTGGTGTGATCTTATCAAGGGGGAAATCGACAAGAATGGCGGCGAGTGGTCTGGGTCTCTCAACATGGCTGACTGGACCAGTCATCTGATCTTCGACATCCTCGGCGACCTCTGTTTCGGCAAGTGCTTTGACATGAAGGAGCATGACAGCAAGCTTCGCTATGTCCCCGGCCTAATGATTGAGTTCATGGCAGTCACCCACCCAGTAAGCCATACCCCCATTCCGCTCCTAGCATTTTCTGCGCTGCTTACACCATTCCAATAGATTGCCTTCTCCCCTTTAGCTGCAATCTGGGTCTGGCTCAAACCACGCGGGCTCAACTCCCTGCTCACTTTGGCCCTCCCTCCCGCTCTCGCCGACTGGGCGGGATTTGTGCAGAAGTGCTTTGAGGAGCGCGCCAAAGTCGAGGAGGATATCAAGTCCCAAGATAAACCCGAGTCGGACATCCGCAAAGACTTCTTCCACTACCTCGTCAGCGCTACCGACCCGAACGGCAAGCCCAGCTATGGAAGTGACGAGCTCTTCGGTGAGAGCGAGTCGCTCATCATCGCCGGCAGCGACACCACGGCCACCTCCACCGCCGCCGCTACTTTCTACCTGGTGCGCAACCCCGAAGTCCAGGCAAGGCTGGCAGCCGAGGTTCGCCAGGCGTTCCCATCAGTTGAGGACATCAAGGGCGGCGACCTGCTGCAGAAGCAGTGCAAGTACCTCCAGGCTTTCATCAAAGAGAGCCTGCGCATGAGCCCTCCCACGCCGGCCGATATGCCGCGCGAGATTGGGCCCGGTGGCATCTCCATCGATGGAGAGTACGTGCCTCAGGGCGTGGTGCTCAGCACATGCGCCTTCTGCCTCCACCATAGCAAGGATCTCTATGACGAGCCCTTCACCTTCCGCCCGGAACGTTGGATCGTGGGCGAGAAGGGCAGCACGGTCGAGAGCGTGGCGCGCGCGGACAGCGGGTACATGCCCTTCTCGGCCGGCCCGCGAAGCTGCCCCGGCAAGAACCTGGCGTATCTCGAGATGAGCGTCGTCATTGCGAAACTGGTTCACCAGTTCGAGCTGAGGCAGGACCCGAAGAGTGGTAACTTGGGCGGAGGCAGCCCTGATAATATTGAGGGTCGTCGGGAGGCTGATCAGTACCAGTTGTATGACATATTCGTCAGCATGCGATACGGTCCTGTGGTGCAGTTCAAGAGGAGGGCTTAATATTGCCAATATTCATTTTTAGTCCGTGCCCGGGCAGAGATTCCATTTTCTCTCCCCCATTTCATCTTATTCCCCTAGACTCCCTAGCACTGCGAGTTAATGTTACCTACATATTTCATCTTTACTAGACAGAATGATTAGCAATCTATTGCGCTGCTTCAGCCGCGGCCTCTTTATCACATGCTTTTAAGGTTGCATGAGCCAGGATGCCAACATAAGCAATCTGGCAAACCTTAACAAGACTCGGTCCAGGCAAGTTCTAGCCACTTACAGCAGGGCTAAATAAAGACCATCCTTCACGACGCCATACAGCAAGCACGGGAAGACGCGGTGTTTGGTGGGTCGAGGTGTGGTCACGTAGTTGAGTCTGAGTGTGCTCCACCGGGCCTGCCTGTAATTGGCTGCTTATAACCCTGGAAGATAACATAACACAGCCCTCGGTAAGCTTAAGACAGGAGAAAATTCTACCTACCCTATATCACACCGTCAGAGTAGCAAGGCCTCAGAATTCACAATGAAGAAAATGCAAGCAAAGCGATAGCTAGGATTAGGGAGGAAAGAGTTGCTTCTAGCACATATGCAGATGAAAGAATAAACGGGTATAGTCGTGCTGCGACTGTATGCACCACTACTGGTTGAAATCACGACGTTGTAAATAAGATAGTACGTGAAAGCGCATCTAAATTTTAAATTGTAAAGGTTTAAGAAACCATCCAAGCATTACGGAATGTCCTAGAAACACCATCCTAATGATATAAGTAAGCCAAGGTCTTTATTACACGGATAAGCAAGCAGCAATACGGTTTGCAGTCAACTCTGAAGGCAGGTCCGGGGTATATTTAGCTTTTATGTCACCGAACAGATCAACAAGCTTCAGCAGCAGGGCCTCCAGGTTGAGATCATGGAGATCCCATTGCATAAAGCAATCCCGGAAAATGAAGCTCCCGATAAAACAGCCAATAAAGCCGCCAAGGAAGCAACAGGCTGGAGAGACAACAACCAGGCAGGTCCAAGAGCACGATCGCTATTGGAGCCACGCCCCCTAAGGATAATAATAAAGACCTAGATCAATAAGACCGTATCCTAGAGCTGGCGAACTAGGTGGCTAATAGAGACCAGGGCGGAGAGCAACCTTCCGCTGCACTCACAGGTTCATAAGAAAGGTCCAACTATTCCACAACCAACTGAACAAACAGGAAGCTCTAAATGGAGAAGATCGACCCAAAGGGAGATTCTTTCAATTGGTGCGTTCTAGATGCCACAGACTCAACATTTGACTCCAGAGAAGGATGATAAACCGGAATAATCAGTGTAAGTGTTCTAGCCAAGGGGCTACTGGTACTCACTGGGTTGATCTGAGCTTGTGCTTAGATTGGTGTGATAGAAGATTAGTTGACGCTGTGTGTGCGACAGCTAGGTTGATAAAAGATGGTAGGATACATAGGGACCTAACAAGCGGCTCGTCCCGACGGCAAGGGAATCATCGGTATAAAGTTTTACGCAATTATCCATCTTTATTGATGTACCCTTAGGCTAGCGGAAGAGAGTTCGAGTATAAAGTCAAATAGCAAGAGAAGATGCCAGACCCGACATCTTAATACAATAAATAGTAAAGCTTTTTTAAAAAAGCCTTTATTAGCCTAAGGCTATAGTTATACGGAAAGAAAAGTCTATAAACCTTTATACCGATGACTCACTTGCCGTCAGGACGAGCCACTCGTCGAATAGCTATAAAGCATGCCCTCTTTCACCTGGCTTCACACTCATCTTAGGAGGTGGAGGGGATCATAGAGTATAGCTTTTATAGAAATGCTTCCTAAGGTTTGAAAACACAATGAGAGAGAACACAGTGAGGGGACTTAGGCTAGCAGATGTTAGGTCCGTAATTTGGGAAGCCTGCGTAGAATATAGACCCCATGACATCATAAATGGCTCGTTCATGATCTCCTCTGATCAACTATGCTTGATCTCATTCCCAGTTCCCCGAGGCTCGGGGGTCTAATTGTTTATACGAGCGTTACCACTTTCCACTAAAAGTGAGAAATTAAAATAGAACTTTATTTCGAGCGGTAGTGGGACCGCAACAGGTACTTTGGATAGTGGAAAGTGGCATCTTTTGAGGCATGCATTTTCCTGTGGTGGAACAATGCTCCTAGATATAACTACAGAGATATCAGACACGCTTGATTCTTAGTGCCGATAATCAACACGCATTATGCCAAGTGTCTTACACCACGTGGAGTAAATGGGAACACTATGGTAGCTCGCCTAGTCATCTAAAAGCACCATCCCCATAATTGAAATGAAGCCATATTTTGACCTCAATTTTTTTGTAGAACGAGGACTAACGGCCCTATATGGCGCCATGTCTTCAGGCGAACTCCGGCCCTATTTTTGCGTAAGCCCATCTTCAATGCGTCCCCGAGCAGGTTTCCAATGGCGAGAATTCCACTGCTTCACTGTTGTCGCTTATTATTAAACAGCTGATTCTTCGGGTATAACCGCATTAGTACACAGCCGCGCGATTTGGAACCAAGCCTTTCCCAGGACAGCGGTTTCGGCTAGCACGGCAGCTTCGTCTGAAGAGGCAGACTGTTGGGACTTTCGTATAGCTGAATAAAACATAGAAGGTACTTTAGCAGAAGCTCTTAATCTAAAACCAGCCAAAATAGTAAATCCTTCCTCGTGCCCACTAATAGCTACTAATCTGTCTGAATTTAGAACATGCTAATAAGAGATCTAGGCACTAATAAGTGACTTGCATGATCCTCCGGGAAGTCCCAGTCTTAAATCGTAGTCAGACTTGTATGATCGTCCGAGAAGTCCAACTTTTCAATCGTAGTGATAAGAAGATGCTGGGTCCCCTGCTCTGAGATTTGGCATTCCTCCTTACTCTTTAGCCCTATTCACTCTTTTGTCGTCATTCGTTCAATATGAAGGTCAACCATTTTCTGCTTTTCTATTACTTTGCCACTGCCGTTTTAGCGGCTGGTTCTCACAGATGTAAACCGCGGCAGCCCACCGCCGCTTCTTCTGGGGTCGGGGCTGTGTCTGGAACCGCGGTTGTGTCTAGTACGTCGATTGCTTCCAGCAAGACGATTGCTTCTAGTAAGGCTACCGCTTCTAGCAAGGCAATTTCTTCCAGCAAGGCGATTTCTTCCAGCAAGGCGACCGCTTCTAGCAAGGCGACCGCTTCTAGCAAGGCAACTACTTCTAGCACGGTGACTGCGTCTGGAACAGCGACTGTTACCCTCGACTCCGCGTCTGGTACAGCTGCTTTTATTGCCAACGGAGTCCACAACGGTATCCCACCAAATGACTTCTCTGCTTACGTGAAGGGTACACCTCCTGCAAAGGCAGCGGTACAAACTCAAATTCCAGACCAATTTTTCACGGGCATCAAGCTTCAAAATGCTCGTGGTGGTCAAGGAAACCTCCCCGAGCCAAGTCGTGGATGGATGTACGGTAAGGAGGAGTACAAGGTATATAATAAGCAACGCTTTCCCCTCCCGTTCTCTCTGCCTCTGGCTAATTTGAGTGCGGCGCCATTGTATAGAACCGTTTTCGTGCGTTTCATTCCGATTACCTGACCACACGCAAATTTGGTGGAAATTATACTTTGATGCTTGGAAACCTCTTCGGACAACGCAACAAGACTTCTCCACACCCTGGAGATGATGGAGATTGGGCATCGTGGGATGAGTTCGTCACAACAATTTGCGCGGATCTCGTTAAGAATGACATCCTTGACGGCCTTGACATTGAGGTCTGGAACGAGCCTGACATTCAGTTCTACAACTATACACCTTGGCTACAGGTTTGGGGCAGAGCTTTTTATCAACTCAAGTGGGTCGGGCTCGTTGGCATACGCACCAAGTGATCTTATGGCTAATTGTTTTTTTCTTATCATTTTAGAGCAAAACTCCCCTCAAAGGTTCGGGTTGTCGGTCCTGGGCTCGCCAAACCCCCAGCCGATACGGTCTATTGGACTAAATGGCTAGATTTCATCCAAAAGAATGGGAGCGTCCCCGACGCCTACACCTACCACCACTTGCTTACGAAGACCGATCCAGCAATAAGCTATCCTATTTTCCTCGAGCAACTTTCAAGCAGACATCTCCCAGTGCGCCCGGTCTACGTGAACGAATTCGGAGGACCATCTGAGCAGAAGCCATCCTATGACGCATGGTTCATTTCTCGATTCGAACGGCTTCATCTCTGGGCTGCCCGGGCCAACCGAGAAAGCACAGCAGAGACCACAAACGACTTTCTGGCAAATACTCTATCGAAGAAGGGTGACAGCTATAGCCCTACAGGTTCCTGGTGGGTCATGTCGTATTACGCAAACATGACTGGAACGCGCCTCCATACAACCCCATCCAAGGATGGTGATTTCGATGTGTTTGCCGTGAGCTCTGGCAAAGGAGTTGGAAGTACTAAGATCCTGGCTGGCGCACATGGAACCGTCAATCCCTACCGAGTTGCGGTCACCAATCTCTCGTCCAAAGGGTATCCATCTTCCGGGGAAATCGAGGTGACTATTAAAGAATTCTCATACGACGGCTTGCATGGAGCCACTCCGTCGCCAAAGACGCATTCAAAAACCAAATCGCAAGTCAAGAACGACCAGGTCAGTATTCACATTTCGTGTATTCTGTGTTACGGTTAAATCATCTAGCACTGCTAACATAGAGTTAGATATTTGTAAATATCAAACCATCTAACGCCTCATTTGCCTATGCCTTTGAGTTTTAAACCCCGATAAGGAAGAACTGATGGCATAGGCCCGAAATATGTTAGAGGCTCATAGATCCTCAATCATAAAATATGATAGAACTCTTATCCAAAGCTTATCTATAAAGCTTTCTTGTATTATCACAATAATAATAAGACTTCTTCACTTTCACTTTCACTTTCACTAAGCCCTTATCCCTTCTACCTCCTTCCCTTTCTATATATTAATGTTATTATACATTGCTCTACTTATTCTTCTAGTTAAGGGTATACTCCTATTATAACTTGATTTTAAATATAAAGAATATTTATTACTTTAATTTATTAATCTTATTTTTAAATATGTGCTAAAAAGGAAAAAGTCTGAAGTAAAGCATCTAACTCTATGATTTTGTATCCGAGGAGGGGTTAATTAGACATGATACAGAAGTCGGTTGCAGAGAATTGTGCCATAAATAACATAGGATAGGCTCTGAACCCACCGATACACAATCAACGATTCTTTGGCGTTTGGAAATTATTAAGGGGCAACCTTCAACACCACCCTTTGGCACCATGCGAGACTATACGCAGAAATAATATGTATTCGTGACTAACGGCCGCAGTACAAATATTTGAGTTAGGCGGAATCAATTTAGGAGATTCATGCCATTTCATTTGCTCTCGTTCTAGCAGGGATGGTTAACGCAAGTGACTGTCAAAATGAGTTGACGAATTTGCTTCCCTGCCTCAACCGGCTGCCGTATCGAAAGAGAAGCCAAGGGATCGGTAGAAGTGGAAGACAAAGGAAAGCAAAAACACTGCCAGCCCAGTTGACCCCAAGCTTCTCAAACATTTGAATGGTGAAGAGGGGAAACACTGCACCTAACGTGTATCGTATAATGCCGTTTGCCGCAAGAGCTGCAGAGGTCAGCCAAATGAAGTGAAGTAAGTTGCTTAGAAAGGTAGACTTACCTGAAGCAGCACCTCTAGCACCATAGAAATCTACCGTGTAGGTTATTATAGACAACTACCCACCTATCTCAGTATGAACTCGGTCATAAGGTCGATGTAACTTACAAACAATGAGAATGAACCTATCCCAAAGGGGATTCCGGCTGCGACAAGGGCTGCCCAGCGTCCACCATCATGTGCCTCCCAGGCATACCTGTAAACTTTTTAGGATGTAAAGACGAAAGATCTTGCCTTTTTTTAAAAGCTTACCAGAAAAGTCCCACCGGCAAACAAATGCTTCCGACAAACGCAGCGTATAGCCGGTGTTCCGGGTCCGCCACACCGTTGGGGCTTGCCTTGCGTGCTCGATCATGTAATGTGTGGTCAAAACCCATGTATACGGCGATCCCCAACAGATAGCCGATGATGACACTAATGAAAGACAGCCCAACTTCCTGCAGATTGAAATTGTAGTAAACTTGCAGAACATATGAGGCACTCGCAAAATAGCTGAATATCATCGCATATACAAACGCTGCATATATAGCCAATGAAAAGACAACAGGTTCGGTGAGGAGCATTTTGGTTGGGCGTATGAGGGCACGCCTTATAATGTCGCCAAGTGTTCGTATATCGACAGCCGCTTCAGTCTTGGATTCATGCTGCAAAATCCGCGACTTCGACGTCTCCTTCATAAGCAAGCAAGCAACCCAAATAGGGGCGCCTATAATGAGCAAAAGGTATTGTGTCCATCGCCAATCATAATTTCTATCATCCAATACGTAAGCCCCAGCGAGAGGGCCTAATGTCGGCCCTAGAAATGGGGCTAGAATGAACAGCAGCGACGCATCTGCGCCTGTCTTATCCAATTGCCAGATGTCGGCGATGGTGCCTGCTCCGATAGCAACCCCAGCCGACCCGAGAGTTCCGGCAAGAAAGCGACATGCCATGAGGGTAGAGAAACTTCGCGCTGCAGAAGCCCCGCCTATGAAAGCCAGATGGCAGGTACTGGTGGCAACATAAATCCACTTTCGGCCAAAAACTTCGGAGAACGGGGCGATAAATAGAGGACCAATAGCTATGCCTAGCGTGTAGAGCGTAAGAGGCAAAAGAGACTGTGTTCTGGAGACGTTGAATTCTGCCATGATAAGATCTGTGGCGGGCACAGTGACCGACGTCGACAGTGTGCTGTTGCTCGATCTTTAGTGTTGGATCTGCAATGTGATGATTGTAAGGGCATTTACATTTCAAACGCCAAGAGACCTGGGACAATAGTATGGAATAGCTTCGATGATTTATTCCAGTTATTTGGATTTCGTTTCTCCCTTGGGTCGCTCCAGAGTATCTCCGCACTTAGCTCAGGTACCTCAAGAGATTCTAGATTCCAGGTCGAGTCCCTCCCATCGTCATATGTATCTTTAGGACCGGCTTCGGCCATGGTTATCGGTAGATCTATAGGTCCTATTCTTAGTAGTGAAATGCCGCTAGAGTTAATGGAGCCAGATTCAATCACTCTTAGTAAAACTAGGAGTCAGATTCAAGCGGTGGGAGCCTGAGAGGACATTCATGAATCTAGTTCTACCTTTAAAGGTATTCTTCCTACTCCGAATTGTTCAGTCGAGTGGGCTTTAAAATTGTCTAGGTTTAATGTAGTAATAAAGGATGGTACCGCAATCGGTTATATGGATGTAGCTAATGTACGCACGACTTATGAATAGTATTATCGTCATTTATGTGGTTTCTGATGTGTCCACTACTGATGCCCACCTTTTTCAGGGGCTCGTAAACCCCTAGTTCACCACATTATTAGCATCAAGTATCGTGAAGTGACTGAACACATATTTCCCGGCCCGTCATGGAGCGCATTGGTCCCTGAAATAGCGATGTAGCGGTCGTTTAGTGCTTTGACATCAGCACTCTGCAGCAAGCAACTGAACAGTAACATAATGCCCGCTGGCCCTCAGAGCAACAAACTCTTTTGACCAAGCCACGAAGGGGCAAAGTAAGGGGTAAAACTACAGGCCGTGTCCCCGCAGGGATCTCACTTCCCCAGTCGAAGCTGGTTTGGGTCCCCAAGTTCAGTCTTATCAGGGGCGTACACACAGGTGACAATATATCTCCGACGGCTAAAACGTAGTGACATAATGAGCCCGAGGGAAATATGACATAAAGACTCCGAGTAGTGTCATCTATGGTTATTCTTAGGCCCGGTTACTTGGCACCCCGCATTGATCACCCACCCACTACAATCCTTGATAGAGGTGATTAGCCTCGGTGAAAGTCGCTCCAGGATCAAAACCCCCCCAACAGCAGCGTGGTATGTTTGAGTGCGCTACCAGATGTTAAATGACGCCAACCTCGCACCAATACCACTCGTAAAATCGACAATGCTGTGAATACATAGGAACGGAAACAGTTTTCAGTAATCGGCCGATCCTAAGGGAAGACCTCACCACCTAACAGCGATAACCGAAGGCAGAAAACCGTATACGAGACAAGATGGAGAGCTGTGATGACCAACCATTACTAGAAAGCCCCGACACAAACGCCTGTCAAGCTCAGACCAGGGGCCAACCGCGAAATGTCTCTGAAACGATCTCTATTTGGTTGGCTTGGGCACTATTGCCGCCGCTCTCTCCATACTAGTGCCTTAACCTTATCTTGTGTAAGTCACCACCCTCTAACACCAATAGGAGGAAATGCCGTATGAATCGTTAACAAGTTTTCCTAGGGAAAAATAGTTCACCACTAGGAGACGGGGCCGGAATAAGGTAGTCGCAAGGAAATTCGAAGTCCAAATCCCATTCACGTTAAGCCAACATGGGAAGAGAATGATCTGGGGCTTATGCCGTCCCTCCTTACTGCTCAAACGACAACTCAGATGATTCGATTATGTTGGGGCAACAAAGTGAAATCAAACCTAGGAGTGGCTCAGCGAACTTTACCTTGGCCTAATACAATACTACGATCACCTCCGTATAGTCTACGGCTGCGGTCATGATCTCGTCAGATTATATCTCTCATTTTCTCCTTCGGCCTGTTGCTCCTCCCTCAACCGAGTGTGCGTGTTTTTGTCGAGGATGGTATCAAATTAAGCCAACAGGTCATGAAACTATGGAATAGGGCTACAGTTAGTAGTGCTGTTCTATGCGGTTACTTTTTGGCTACTTTGCATAGGAACGACAATAATTAATTAAATTAAGTTTTAAGTCAGAAGACTATAGAAAACAAGTGCCTCCTACATAGAAGTCGGATTTACGAGTAAGGTGTCAGAAAGTTGACATAGCTTAGAAGCCGAACCCGGGCACAACGTCATCTTTTATTTTAGTCTTTACACCAACTCTACCAAATGGCCTATTACATATAACGGCTTTCTTATCTCCGAACTTAAGATTTCTGTATAGACCACGAAGTTGGCCTACGTAAACTTCATGTTTTATTTCCTCCCAGGTAGAAATTTTACTAGAAAGTCCACTACACTTCTGTTCACAGTTTTCTCCAATTCTTTTTGCTATACTCCTTGGTTCACAGCTCGACCTGTAAGTGCGGTTCAATGAGGTATTATCGAGATCCTTAACAGTAGATGTTACTGTGATTGTTGTGGAACCACAATGCAGCACTTAACTCAACGCCAGGGCCCTCTACAACTAGTGTTGACGCCTAGATAGCGCACCTTTCGATGGCTAAATTGTTGCAAACCATTTGTTAAAAATATAAAAGCGATTTTAACATTCTCAATACTCAATACCAGGTCAAACACTCTTCCATGGCCTTCACTAGACGGGCACCGGGAAACAAGGCCAAGCATCGGCTCCTAAGGCTCACGATTCAAACTTAGCTGTCTCGCCTCTCATGACACTTAAGGGTGCCTTGAACTCGATGCCATGCTTGCTCCATAGCGCTATGCTATGAATTATATCGATGCCGGTAATCCATACGTGCAAAGTATCCTTTCAGTTACAAAAATCGTTGCCAGTCCACGTGACACTGAGCATAGTGATGCTATTCACACGCTCGGAACTGTGACATAATCATGCCGCAACTTCTCCTCCGTTGCTGGGATTTGAACCTCGGCATATGTTCATGAGTTCTACAGGACTATGAATAAAGTGATCGGCCGAAAGAATGGAGATTTAAGTTCCACATCCTTAGGGAATACCGAGGCTCCAGACCGCATCTCCACTATCGACATACTCAGTGATTAAATATATTAAGGAGCGAAGGCCGCAAGACTCGTTAACTCGGGCACACTCTACTCATTCAACGTATACCAGGCTTTGAAATATCTATATTCGCAAACATGCCTAGATGGGTGTTCAATCATACCAAGGGGGCTCTCACCAGGGAGGATAAGGAGAAACTTGCAAAAGGCATGTCCAAAATCTACACAACTTTTGGGCTGCCCGCCTTTCTCGCCCATGTCCAGTTCTTTGAGCTGGAGCCTGAAGAATTCTGGTCTGGTGGTGAAACCTCTGACCCTTTTACTACCATCACCATCTACCATGCTGCAGCGAATATCCGAAACAAGGACGAAGGTGAACATTTTCTTAAGGCACTGGACGATGTTGTGCGACCAGTCTTGAAACCCAAGGGCATCAAGTGGGAGTCCAACATCTACGAGACCCCACGTGACAACTGGAGAGTTCAGGGCATGGCACCACCAGATTTCGGTACGGCCATGAATGACAAATGGGTTGTGGAAAACACCTTCACGGATGAGGATGAAGAACAAATTTTGCGACAGCAAGGATATTTCGTATGTATACAATGCAGTGACTCTTCAATAAAAGAAACTAACCGAGATAGGACGACTCTCGCTGGAAGTTGCCAACATTTTAATACTGGATGGGAGCATGGGTGGATATTATGACACATCCAGCCTGTCAACCGTATAGTTTTCAGACTGAACCATCAAATTTAGAATTGGTGGGAGCGGCATGTCATACCTAAGCGTAAACCATCATAGCGCCTTTAAATGCAACCAAGTCACAATCATCGATCCCGCTTCTGTTTCGGATGATGGTATGCCATGTAATCTCTAGCTACGTGCCTGATCTTCAAATACGAGAGTTTTGATTCTTCTCTGCCCGGAGTGTCATGTGTGCTTGGTGGAGGGGAAGGTAGTGGAATAGGGAAGTTAACTCAGAAGAGCTTCCCAACTAATATGGTGAGAACGGTAACGGCCTGCTAGATCAAGCCGACGCCGTGGTGCTATGGAATTAAGCGACGATTATTGACGCGACCGATACAATCAAAGCTATTAGTTTGAAGTATTACCTAGTGCCACACACCGGAGACTTTATTTTTCCATATGTTCGCGTCTATAGACCCTTCTATATAATATAACAAGCTGTAAAAGACTTCGACATCACACAGAACGATAAGATTAGGAAGTGCAGTGGGTTCGCTCCTCTCTATATTCACTTTTGAAGCATCGAAGAGACTTTTGATATATTCCAGAGCGGTACGTCTGGCTCGAATGTCACTACCGAGGTAAATATTGTTCAAATTCTAGACTCCTTCGGAACCAAAAAAGCGCCAGCAGCACTGAGCTTTAGCGCATTTGGGTTATAGCGATCTGGATAGAGCTCCATCATATCGTCGACAATCTTCCTTGCATTCTCAGGACCTCGCTCCAGCACGCGACCAAAGTCTTCAATGTACTTCTTGGTTGCTGCTAAATGCCATATGCCATCAATCTCCTCTGCCTGCCTGTGCCCAGGAACCACATACATAGGTTTTAGGGCCTCTACTATCTCGATAGCCCGAATCCACCCTTCTCGTTTCGACTTTGTGTTTGCCTCGAAGAGCATCTGGTGCACTTGCCCGTACACGACATCTCCACAAACGGCCAATTTAAGGTCTGGCACCCAGAGGACTGTTGAGTCATGAGTATCAGAATGGCCACACTCAATGGCTTGGAATTCCCATTGATTCTCGAGCTTAAAGACGGGATTAGGGCCATTGAGGAGTGGTTCCGCAAGTTTGAATGGCCGGAAAATCTGACCAGGGAACCGAGACTCCCAGGTTTCGGTAAAGTATGGCTCCTCGATCTGTTGCTGCATGTGCTTCACGGTTCCAGGAGTAGCAACTGCAACTGCTTCAGGAAATCTACTTAGCAGAAGAGGAATTCCAAAAAAGTGATCTCCATGACCATGAGTGATATATATGTAGGAAAGTTTGCGGTTTGGGGCAATCTTCTCGATCCAGCGGATGAGACCTTCAGTCTGCTCGATGGTAATAGGTGTGTCGACAAGTACAGCCTCTCTATTTGAATAAATCAAAGTGCAAGAGATCGGAGACCAGTTGCCTTTCGTCGACACAGGTGGCGGACGGATTGCTATAGTTGGAGGGGCGACGTAAACCGCTGATCGAAGTTCCGCCATGGTTCTTTCGAAGCAAGTAAGGTAGGTAGAAATAATAAAGGTGATGGTAAGGTGATGGTAAGGTGATATGAAGACAAATTCTGCCAGTGCTAGCTCTAGAGGTTCTTGTTGTCTTGTGAAGGGTTGTGCCCATAAAACGCTTAAGTACAATAACTCTTTTAATGTCATTGTCTTCAATTCCTTGCCGAGGCAGGTGGGACCACGGGAACGGTGGTCGTCTCCACCAAACGCACATACTTACATAAAAACCCCGAGTTTCCTCACTCCGCAGGGCAGATGACACCTTATTCATGGAGTGAAATGATGATCACTTCCCATTGCCATAAGCCTCGGTTGATACAGTAACATGCTACCTAGTAAAGAGCGATGATGAATTTAGCCATGTTACTCTTTCTGGCTGGTTCGGGGCTCTACGAGGTACACTGGATAAGCTAATCCCCCGCTCCTAACCACAGCCTCCCGACAAAATCAAGGCAACGACTGATGCAACTGGTTAACGCGCACATGACACCATTCCTCAATATCAGAGCCCATATTCTAACCGAGGTTGAGTGGCATGTGTCGGCTTACTCTCACCATATGTTTGGCTTACTGTGAGTCTGCGACACCCTCGAGTATCTGTAGGTATTCTTGTTCTGTTGCTTAACGGAAGAGAGTCCGTGCACTACATTTCTGTGCGTTAGGATTCACCTCTTCATGTGTTCTAATTTGCTTTGTGCGAATCACGCCATAGAACGCTCATATGCAACTTTCCAAACCATCAATTCTTATTATTCACTAGTGACCAAGCCCGACAACACCAGTCCTTAGTCTTGCCATAGTCTTGCACAGCTTAGCATACGCAGGCAAGTAGGAAACAACAAGAAGATCGTATGGCTAGCTATTTACATAGGTATCGCACAAAAAACGCGCGGCGCCCAACTAGCAAGTAGTAGCTAAGATCCCGGTTAGGTATAGCGAACGAGCTTCATCACACCGTGGTTCGTCCTTCTGTCAGAGCGGTATTGGAGGCCTCCAGTAGTTCCCAGTCTATCTTCGGGCCGTTAAAGCTCTTTTTCCCAGTAACAAACCATAAGATGATGACGATCAAAAACAAGCCAACCATAATAACACTTGTGTAGTTCATGGATTGGATAGTGACCGGGATCGACGGCGGCATGCATACTAGAACGCCCAACAGAACAATGAACAGTATCGAAAAGATGTTGCAAAAATAGCCAAGATAACCAAGTCGTAGATATCGGGTTGGCAAAGACTTTTCTCTGCCCTGAAATAGGAGGATACCCTGAGGAACTGCGTATGTAATGTTTAGGAATAAGACGGCGGATGTAATGATCGAGTTGAAGGCGGTCGTGGATGCCAAATAAAGCAGTCCATAGAGGGTGGAAAAAATGAAAGCAGCGATGGTGGTACGCAGCGGGAGCTCCATTTTTGGGTTGATATGGGTGAAATATTCGGAATAGGGTACGCCGTTCTATTCGAATGACACATATTAATCATCCAACTACCTACATAGAGAGTAGAAAGCAAAGAAATAGAGGAAAGGAGAGTCTTACATCTCGGGCAAACGCCCAAGCAAGTCTACCGTCAGTGACCCACTGAGATGGGAGGCAAGCTAGGTACGTCAGTGTCCATATTCATACACATTGAGAACAGTCTTTGATAGACTTACTATAGTAAGTGAGTAATAGTACCGCGATCAGAAACATTGTGACACTCTTGCTGCCGGTTCTACACATTGTCAATGACCTGATTCTCGACTGGGACATTGGCAAAACTTACGCTTGATACACTAGCTCCATACTGGGTAAAGGAGATGCGATGACGGCATCTAAGTCTTTGACGAAAAGTAACAGAGCTACCATTAGTGGTAAACTAGTAACCATGCCAATGATCATAGTCATGATCATAACCTGAGGCACCCGCCGTCCGGGCTGCTCCATTTCCTCACTAATATGGATGGCTAAATAAATTTTAGTCGGCGCTCGGCACTTTCGGAGTTCAAGCGTTGGCTGGGAGTAGTTATCTTACCACCATCAGTCGCCCCGAAGGCATACATGGCATTCGCTATTCCAAGAAGCCATGCTGTGCTCGGGTTCCACCCGCTCGTTCCAAAGCCGCTATCGGTGAGAAAGGAGCTGTCGTTGACATTGGAATGCATGCCTGTTAATACAAAGAGAAACAAGAGAAATCCGAAAATCGACGCCCACATAGAGAACTGGACCACCCATGCTAGGTGCTTCGATGCAAATATCACTGGGGTCACTGGAAGGCTTGTTAATATGACATTGCTTGAAGTACTAAATTCCTTGTATGAAAACTTTCTTACCTGTAGATAGGCCAGTTGCGACGTAAATAAGATATACTTGCCACTGAGAGGCTATAAAGTCCGGAATCCAGAAGTTGATGACACCGGACAGAGTTATGGCGAACAACGATAGGCCGGAGCATCTGAGAAGAACAGAGTCAACACATGTATACCACCTCAAAGTGTGAATTAAAAAGACCAATTTCTTCACATCAATGCGGAGGCAGCAATCCAATAGGCAAGGGTGACTTACGTGACAATCCACCATGCGATGACTGATAGCCAGCCAATCACAAACGCAGTGAACTTTTTTGATTTCTCGGGAGCGAGTATATAACAAAAGTGGTACTGGCCACCGCTGGACTATGAGGAATTGTTAGTGAAAATGGTCGACCGATTTCCGAAATACATCGAGGTGTGTTTACCGGGAACGCGGAAGCTATTTCGCTCAGGCCGAGCGTGACGGTGAACTGTGCGACAAAGGCCACAATCAGTCCAAATATTGCAGACTGGGGTCCACCATAGATGAGATTTTGACCGAAACAGCTCTATTCGGGTTCAGTAAGTTAGCTGGTCGCTCCATGGGACTCTTGTCATCTTACAAGATAGCCTATCCACGAATTGGTGATAGAGAAACCGAGACCAAGTGCCGAGAGCCAGTTAAACTGCCGTCTCATTGCTGCCTCGTGGCCGTTGGCTCGAAGGATAGCATCGTCTAGGTTGGCATAATGGTTGGTGATGCCTTCTGCGATGCTTTCGCGACTCCCGTCGCTTTTTTCTTTGCCACTGACATCTCTCTCTTTCTGATGTTCCATTTTATTGTGCCTTTGGATTATTTCAGCTTCAATGAGAGGAGTGATTGCGTGCAAAAGCTCAGGAGGTGTGAGGTCAAACTCATAAGCAGAGGGCGATCAACGCCATCTTAACTTCCAAGTGTTCGCGAGTAGAGATAACGCGTCAATGCTTTCCAACGCCGAGTTGTCTCAGCGTCCGGGGAAGCTGCCCAATATTCGCTAGTCTGCTTCCGGTGGATGTGAAAGATAAGTCAGGAATACTACCTGGGACTGCGAGTGGCTCAATGGAGGTGAACCTTGCTAGCGAGGTGGGTGTCATTTAGGTTCTACAACGAGCGTCAGCTGTGGTCACGTTTCTTCTCCTAGCAACCTGACACCAAATTACCTACTAGAACTAGATAACACCCTCACGTGCGATTGGTGAACAGGGAAGGTCGTAGTCATGCAAACCTTGCTTAGCTCCCATAGCGCGTGGGCTGGGGAAGCGGGGAAGTTGGTTGTATCTCCATTTTGGGAATAAGTCTCAGCCAGGGTCCCAGCAATGACGCTATCGTTGCGACCTTGAGCTTGTTATTCTGTTGCATCAGATTGAGAGACGACTGTTCTCATGGAGTTTTAAGATGAAGTTTGTGCTCCAATGAAGAGGCAGTGATTTATCTTTCACCCGATAGCTGAAAGCTTCCCAGTCATTCAACCGTTTTATCTATTGCCAATTATTCACCAGAGTCATGGCTCCTTCAGCCAAGTACGGGCCGGAAGTCCAGCGTGTATCTGCTGAGACACCCGTGGAAGATATCATCTATCTTCTTAAGAGGGACGGTGGTGTCTTCATACGAGGTTTGATCAGCGTTGAAGATGTGGATAAGGCTTACGATGAGTGCCGCCATCGTCTAGAAAATGATGTGGAATGGAACGGATCTTTCTTTCCAAGTGGGCAATTCCTTGAATCTCCGACCACTATGTGATTACAGATGTGCTAACAGCCCTGGAAGAGGAAACGCAACGTGCTCCTGGCCTTATCGGCCTTAGTCCGACCTATACCAAAACGCAAATGATGAATTCAATATTCCAGGAAGTGTGCGATCACTTCCTTACAACTCGAAGTTGGTACTGGTGGGGTACGGAGAAGAAAGAATCTGTTTCAAAGCCCTATGTGCACTCCTGCACAGCAATGCGAATCGGCCCCGGGGGCAAAGCGCAACCATTGCATCGAGACGACTATATTAGCCACAACTATCATCACGAGATCGACTCCTGGGACGATGAGCGCGATAAAAACCGGGAGACGGCGTTGGGTTTGTTCGTTGCTGGAAGTAAGATAACGAAGGAAAATGGAGGAACCCAGTTCATCCCACGTAGCCATCTATGGTATGTTTGATCCAATCATTCTGTGACGGATATGACACCTAACACAACTGCTTATATAGGGGAACCGATCGAACCAACCCCCCGGATGTCAATGACTGCATCTTCGCGGAAATGGAGAAAGGCGATGGCTTTCTCATGCTTGCCTCGGCCTATCACGGTGGCGGCAATAATGTGACAGCAAATGATCAGCGTTTGCTTTTCGCCACATTCGCGGTTCGGGGCTACCTTCGCCAAGAGGAAAACCAATTTCTCGCGGTATCGCAGGACAGTGCAAAGCAATATGATCGCCCTATTCAGGCGTTTATGGGATATTCGATGAGCGACCCAGCCTGCGGCTACGTGGAACAAATGGATCCTATTTTTGTTTTGCATCCAGAACTTGGTCGCGAAGCTGGCCCTAAAGATTTCTAAATAAGTCTGCAATCAGTATTTTACTTCCATTGAACCTGAATTTCATTTCCCAAACTTGGGATACATCTAAGTGGTACCATTTGAGACTTTGTTTTGCACAGGGCCTCTATCTTCTGAATCGGCTCCATGTCAATCAACTTCAATCATGAATAATCTGCTTAATGTAATCTACCAATCCACTTACGAGAGAAACATACTAGAAAGAAACGCCTTTGCACTTTGAACTCAAAATAGCATTTGCCCTGAAACTTATCTTATATTACATGAATAGCGTATAGGTTTTGGTTTTGAACCAACTCATTGTAGCATGGACGTCCTATTGGTCTGGCCTAGACGAGAACCAATTGAAGTTGCTTCTTCATCATGATCTTGTTTGATAATGTCAGAACCAGGAGAGAGGGCTACGTAAAGCGGAGGAGAGGAAATGTACGGGTATCTCCGTGGAGCCGCTCCACAATCCTCTTATCTTATATCATTAACCCAACCTAAAGGCTGAAGGCGGAGACTCAATCTAGGCCGTAGTTGGAAATACTCCCAGCAGTTATCTACGCTCCAATACTGGCCATGCCACTGCCTTCGGCCTACCTAGGTTGTGTGGGAAAGTAGAGCCACCATATATCAGCAACGCATGTGTGAGTGTTCGACCGAATTGCAAGCCAGGCCGATCACACCAGGTCGCGTCTTTGACATTGTTTGTTTGTTAAGATGGAGCGAGCCCTCTCCCACCAAGAAAATGTTTCTAGGATGCTCAGGGGGGATCTCTTCTACTCTTTCACCCCAGAGTTGGTAGCTGCCCGCGAACGCTGTCACGGCGCCTGCAAGCGCTTCAATGCGGCCACAGACCTCAGCCGTCGGGAGCAGGTGCGCTTATGGAAGGAGTACGCCTAAGTTCTAGCATCAGTCCTTCGTTGATCTGACAGTCATATTGATTATCTTAATCCTTTAGGGTCATTGACGACGACACTCCCCTACCCGAAGACGACGACGCTCTTTCCAACGAACCGTACATTGAAGCACCTATCATGGTCGATTATGGCACCAATTTGAAGTGTGTGATAAGCTCGAGTTGGGTACCTGGCAGTAAGGTGCTAACCGAGTAACAGGCTCGGAAAGGATGTCTACATAAACTTCAGCTGTACCTTCTTGGACTCTTGTCCTATCACCATTGGCTCTCGCACCCTCATCGGGCCCAACTGCTCGCTGTACGCAACATCTCACCCAATTGATGGACACATCCGGGATGGTACCAAGGGACCAGAATGCGCCCAACCTATTGTGATAGGGAAGGACTGTTGGCTCGGCGGAAACGTGATAGTCCTCCAGGGAGTTACCATCGGCAATGGAGTTACTGTTGGGGCAGGCAGTGTAGTGACCAAAGATGTTCCGGACTACACCGTGGTCGCAGGGAACCCTGCTCGAGTATTGAAAAAGTTGGAACCGCCACCATCTAAGGGTTAACAGCAGCTGGTGCGCCGCTCTCGATTGTCAAACAAAATAATAGATAGCTGAATTCTGTTGAAGCACGAGGGAAGGACTTGAACAATTGGAAAGGTATGCCTCGGTGTCCAACGAAAGTACCTCCGATTTATTTCATTGATGTTCTTCAGATAAACAATGCCTCTTTCTTTATTCACTCTAATATAATTTCACAAAACTGTTCCCCTTGACTTGATAGTTGGCAGACAAACAAGCCTCGGGTCTTCACACATCATTGTTTAGTTATACAAGCCCCCATTAGCACAGAGCGTGCCACCAGTCGACCATGCAGCGTCTGCTGAACATAGAAACGCAACAAGCGGTGCAATATCAGAGGGCTCGGCAATTCGTGCGGCTGCCGGGGTCGATTCTATCAGAGGACGCATGTCTTCCCGAAATTGTTCATCACTTTCGTTCCATTGATCTAGTGATGCAGTCGGATGTTAGCATTCCATCCCTTCTAGGTTTCAGAAGCAAATTTCCAGCGCCGGACACATACCAGTTGCAACTGGGCCTGGATTGACGCAGTTGACGGTGATTCCATGAGATTGACCGAGCTCTTTGGCCCAAACGCGAACAAGTGATTCATTGGCAGCTTTGGTAGCGCCATACACCGTTTGGCCGGCGACACCCAGCCGAGCAGCGGCCGATGAGACGAAGACGATGCGGCCGCCTCTGGGGAAATATGGGAGCAAAGCTTGAGTCAGAAAGATGGGCCCCTTCACATTGGTGTCGAAATGGCTGAGGTACAGGTCTTCCGTGACTTCGTCGAGGTTTGCATCTACTCCAAGCGCCGCGCTTAAGATTGAAGTCGCAAAGTTAGGTGACAAGACACAGAACAAAGAAGTAAAGAAAGGCACCAACTTGTGAATTAACAGATCAATTTTGCCCGACTGGCTGAGATTAAGTGCTGAACTAATGAGTTTGGGAATCTCGCCGAGATTGGTGATGTTCGCCTGGCACGTCACGGCGTTGCTGCCATTTTCCTTGATCGACTTGGCAACACTTTCAGCCCGCTCGCGGCTGCCTTCTGACATGAAGTTGACAACCACATTGGCACCGCGTTGACCAAGCTGAGTAGCTATCGAAGCTCCAATTCCTCTATTTCACCACATAATAAGTTCGCAGTCGTTCCTCCATGGACAGGAAAGCGATTGCCACGCAGAAGCGGACTATCAACATACCGTGAGGCTCCAGTCACAATGGCTGTCTTCCCCGTCAGGTCCACTCCCGAAAAGTTGACCATCTTGAAGACAATGAGGGATGCCACCTGATGATTCTAAACGAGATTTCGAGAACTGGTGACGTCTATGCTGCTGAGCGTCACATATCAGATGCAATTTATGTCACACAAAGTAGTATCAACCACGTATTTATTACTCTTGGAGACTTGGCATGCTACTTCACACCCCCTGCAAGTGTCCAGAATGTCGAGCCCACCTTGTAGCTGGGAGTGTTGCCAAATCAGGTAATAGATGCCGCCGGGTTCGTAGCCAGTCAAATCAGTCCCCATTTGTCATGGAGGTTGCTAAATCACGCAACTAAGAAGCATCGAGCCTAGGGGGCACTAGACGGACGGATAACTTGCGAGTGGCTGACCATGTCTCGGGGTTCATGCAGGAACCAAACCTCATCGTCACCAGCTGACCGTTATCGCCGCCCCCGCCACCTGCATAATGACTGGCAAACGGCCAACTAAACCTACCAAATCATGGGTTGCCAGTACTTCCGCATCCAATTAGCAATGCCACTTTTCAAAAGCCGAGATATGAGCGAAAATACATTCGTAACTGACTTCTGTCAGTGGAGAGGCGTGAGGGGCGATTGGACCAATACAGCCGGCACAGTTCCAATATAAACCGTGCTGGCATTGCCTGTCAGATCATTCTAGCCTTTATAGTCAAACCGCTACGAACTCTTGCTACATACAGTTCACGCTCCATCATTCTTGTTTTCCAAAGAGTCAGTGTCGGTTCAGACAGAGCTACCTGCGCATCCTGCTTGAACATCAACCTTACCCGTCAGCTGCCGCCGTTAGTCGCCCGCAATGGCGCTTTCTACTCCTCATCCCCTTGATCCTCTGACGGCACTCGAAGTGAGCCGTACCTCTGCCATCCTAAAGGAAAGCTTAGGGAATGGAGCCAGCGGCATTCGAATTAAGGTCATAGATCTTGCTGAGCCACCCAAAGACCTCGTTCTTGACTACTTGCATAACGCTGGACCAGCGCCCCCTCGGAAAGCTCGAGTCTACTACCACGCCAAAAACAACCCCTCACTCAAGCAATCAATCGTCAACATAACCACAGAAGCAGTCGAGCGAGATGAGGAGCTGCCTGGCGTTCAAGGACCCGTCGACTGGACTGAGTATCAGGCAATAAACGACGCATGCAACGCTCACCCAGACGTGCTCGCAGAAGTTGCGAAACTCAAGCTCCCAAAAAAGTGATTTGGCCCCTTCCCCCCTGATTCCCATTGCAGATGGACGGGAAGTGATTCGCTAACCACATACTATTTTCAGCATGAGAATCGTCAACGATCCTTGGGCCTACGGAACAGACGACCCGAATGAGCAGCGTCGCCTGTTCCAGTGCTACATGTATGCGGCAATGAACGACGATCCGCAAGCGAATCACTACTCCATCCCCCTCCCTCTTGCGCCTGTTTTCGATGCCCACACCCTCGAGCTTGTCCACTTGGAGAAACTGCCTCTGGGTACTGACGCTACTCTGGATAACCCAACACAACCTTGGGAGCCCGCCCAGGCGGTCGAGTACAGCGCCGAGTTGCTGGGCGATAACGCCATGCGTCAAGACCTCAAGCCTCTTCAAGTTTCACAGCCACAGGGGCCTTCGTTCGAGATCAATAACCGTGCGGTATCATGGCAAAAATGGAGCTTCCAACTGGGTTGGAATCACAGAGAAGGCCCTGTACTGCACGATGTGCGCTATGAAAACCGGTCACTGTTCTATCGTGTCTCCATGAGCGAGATGACAGTCCCATACGGCGATCCGCGCTCGCCTTACCACCGGAAGCAGGCCTTTGATCTTGGTGATTCGGGTTTCGGCCTGACCTCCAACAGCCTTGAGCTCGGGTGCGACTGTCTGGGTCATATCGCATACTTCGATGGTATTCGCAACACGGCGAACGGTGACCCAGTGATCATGCGCAACGTCGTTTGCATGCATGAAGTCGACGACGGCATCGGGTGGAAGCATACCAACTGGCGAAATGGAGGCGCCAGCGTGGTCCGAGACCGGCAGCTGGTTGTCCAGTGCACTGCGACGGTGGCCAACTACGAGTACATCCTCGCCTTTGTGCTTGATCAAGCCGCCAACCTGCACATCGAGGTGCGTGCCACTGGTATCGTGTCTACCATGCCAATCCGCCAGGGTCTTCAAGTGCCTTGGGGTACTGTCGTGGCCCCCGGAGTGCTAGCTGTGAATCACCAGCATCTTTTCTGCGTCCGTATCGACCCAAATCTTGATGGAGATCGCCAGAACACCATCATCTACGATGATTGCATACCAGTGCGAAATGAGCCAGACGTAGACCCCTTCGGTTGCGCCTTTCGTGTCAAGCGTACGCCAATCACTCGGCCGGGAGGCTATGATCTAGATCTCACAAAGAACCGAGTTTATTCGATCATCAACGAGTCCCGCACCAACTCTGTGTCCGGAAAGCCTCATGGATACAAGCTGCATGCCATTCCAAGCCAAATGCTCATGATGGATACACACACTTTCAACCATCGCCGTGGTGTCTTTGCCTCGCGGCCAATCTGGGTCACTCCCTACCGAGACGATGAGCTCTGGGCTGCGGGCGAGTTCACCAACCAGAGCCGCGATGACACCGGGCTGGCTGCCTATGCCGCGGGTGATGAAAATGTCCAGAACGAGGACGTTGTATTGTGGCACTCATTTGGCATCACTCATGTCACGCGACCAGAAGGTAAGAATTCGAGTCCATTTCTTCCGAAGACATACTAACTTCGGCGATAACATGCAGACTTCCCCGTCATGCCCGTTGAGAAAATGTCGATTGCCCTGAAACCTACCAGCTTCTTTGACTTGAACCCGGCCAATGACGTCCCACGCTCATCTCAAAATATCAACAAATCCACGCTCCACGAGTCAAACATCAAGAACGATACCTCAGGTTCTTGCTGTGCAAACAATAGCTTCGACGCTAAACTGTAGATAGAGGATATCGGAGTCAGTCTTGTAAAAGGGATAGGTAAAAAGGGGACCAGACTCTGAGACTAAGATATTCTACGTATATATGTAATAGGAGAATGAAAGAGAGAAATACTGTCACCCCGCAGAATAGAGGTCAGACGGTGCTGTGATACATTGTGATTACTTGAATAGAAAACCCAATCGATCATATCCAGCTTGTGGACAATGTTTTAAAATACACCAATAATTTCACACAAGGATGTCATTCTGGGGCCTTGTGGCCCAACATCTAACTGATATTTCTTACATAAATCTTAACAAGAAATGACCTCCAGGCACTGAAATGTTGCTGTGGACTTAGAAAAATAGATACGCATGCTGTTGCTTCATAGTTAAGGAGCAGGTCTGTCGATTGGAGGTTAGCCACTTATCATCGAATTACAGTTAGGGACATGGAGTCTCACATATTCCATCCATGGGACATTTGGTTGGCTGTACATGTTGGCCTTCCGTTCTTCCCACACCCGCTGTAGCAGATCCATCATGGCCCGATGCTTGAATCCGGTTGAACGCTCGACTTCTTCGATGCAATACTTGACGTAATGTATCTGATGCGGGGAGCTTGTGTCTGCGCCGGCGAGGAACAGCGGGAACAGCAGCCGCTTGTAAAATGGAGCCACGGCCGAAACGCTGGCGAAGGCATCGAGAATCGCCACCACGGACCCTTGTATCCGCGCGTCTTCACACGGCACCGCGAACGTATCGGGCCATCGAAGCACCCGCAGAAGGCACGCGTGTCGGAAGGCATCCGCGACTGGCTTCCAATGGGCATGCGCAGTGGGATATACTGCTTGCTCCCGGTCCCACTCGCGGAAGAATTTGTCGGCGTCCTGTAGGATGATCTTGAAATTAGGCAATGAGAGAATTCCCGCCTGAAAGCCTTTGCCGGCGTCGATCACTTGCGCTATGCGATGGAAGATGTCGGGAGGACACCCAACCAGAACATGTAGGCTCGAACTTCCGTGGTCCCGAACGAGGGTGCGAACATCCTCAGAAAACGCCAACTTCTCAGCACCGCTAAACCCACGTAGCACGTCCAACCTTTTCCCATCAATTAGTTACTTAGTCTTGAAGCTTGTTATGCGTCTGTTCACATACCATGCTAATGCCGCTAGAAAAAACATGATGGCCGGAGATCTACTTGAGAAATCTTCTGACTTTGCTAATCTTGCACATAAGAAGGAGATTCCATCAAGATGAGCACCGTGGGACGATATCCCCGATTCACAAATCTAGGTCATAAATCAGCTTCAGAACAACCCAAGGGACGTTTCCACTGTAAAATCACATCATGGAAGACCAGCAGCAGAACAGTGGCGAATGTAGCTTCCTCATCACTTCTACTCAACTGGTGTGTCTCTTCTTTGGCAAGAAGGGCGACGAGCCCGTGGAGAGCAGAAGCCCGATGCCTCAATGCCGCCGTCGCCATCGGTGATCCATCGTCGAAGAAAGAAATATGACACGCAGTTAGACCAAGCAAGGCATGGAGAACAACCTCATGATGATATGCAAGAGGTAGAATATGGGACCGAAAGGGATTGTCGACGCCGTCAACAACTATTGCGAGCGCCTCGCTGAGGACCCTCTCAACTACCGCCAAAGGTTTAGTTCATAAGCCCGGGTCTTCACTTAACCGATATGATCTCAAGTGACTTCTTACAATGAACAAGGAGAATCTGATTTTCCTCCTCCATGAGGATGTCATCAATCGTGGAGCCGGTGGCCGAGATATTTAGTGTCGGGCTGGGGTTTGGAAGCACATGTGGGCTGCTTTCAGATTCGCCTTCCCAATTCTGCTCGACTGAAACCGGGATTTGAACTGGACTGTTTTCTGTCTGCACGTCAGATTCGCCAGTTGTTGGCGACACGGAGAAAGGGCGAATCTCCTCGTCAGGGTGCTCCCGTTGAGGCTCATCCGAGCCAGAAAGAAAGAAGTGTACTTCCTCGTCACGAGATTCACGCCGAGCCTCTTCTGGTCTCGATACAAACTCGCAGAACTGGAATCGTGGAGGGTAGCCATCGCACTGGAGGCCCTTTGATTGGCATCTATTGCAGAATGGTCGTGTTCTGTCGCATTTGCGACACTTCTTTCGGCATGTCCCACATGCAGGATCTTGGCGACAAGAAAAATACAGCGGTTAGCTTCATCATGCCGAAGAGGGAATAAGTTCACAGAGGGATCTACCTCTCCGGACTGAGCGCGGGCCTCGGGCAGACATTTATATACGAGCTGGGTTGATTTCTCTTTATGGTTGGAGAAGGCGAAGCCCCAGAAATTCAAGAGCGGGTCCAGCCTAGATATTTATCTGCTCCTGATAAGCTCTCGGAACTCGGGGGAAGAGACGGCTGCTGGGAATAGTGGAGTCTGGTACTTACGGAGCACCGACTGCACTTTCCAAGACTTGCCTGACTCGAGGCTGAGATGTATTGCCCAGCCACCTCTTCCAAGCCATCCACCACTAGGTAGGTAAGGTAGGTATATAACAACCTCGCATCACTTCACCAAAACTTCTCTAAAACATAGGAGGGTGACCCTGGAACAGCGAGTCAGCCTGGCTGTGACAAAAGCTTCACGATCGGGCTGTCACGATTAACCCAGTAATCAATCGCTAACCGTGACAATCCTTTCAGCTTTGTGCGATCAGGCTGTCATCATTCACTTTCCAGGGAGCACGAGCGGCCACCCTTAATCAAATTGAATCAAATAATTTGGCACATCTTGATAAAACTTTTGCCTCTATTACCTAGGAAACCTTTCCACTGGGGTAGGAGTAAAACCTAGAGAACCTACACTTAGGTTCGAGAGGAATAATATCGTACACCGTGGTTATTTATTCCACACAATACCCCATATCGCATTTCCCCTACACCAGTTTGTACCGCCGCAACAGGATGCTACCAACTAACGAACCACTAATTTATTTGCGGCCCTTCTTAGCGGGCCTTCGGCCGTTCTTGTGTTCGGCAACGCTGCGCTTGTTAGTTGTCTTCCTTTCAGATTTACAGAGCATAGTCATTAACTTACTGTTCTTGGAGCCTGCCGACGGTGTTCAATCTCTCGCCGCAGTGGGGGCATGTGTAGTCACGTCCGAACAGTTGGGGGGAGTCAGACTCATCGCGCTCCTCGATCTCCTCGACATCGCGGCGGCCTTTCTTGGCGGGTCTCCTTCCGTTCTTATGTTCGGCAACACTGCATCCGTCAGTTAGGTCCTTTTCAGAGTTACGAAAGACGAGCATCAACTTACTGCTCTTGAAGCTTTCCGACAGTGGTCAGTCTCTCGCCACAGTGGGGGCACGTGTAGTCACGTCCAAACAGCTGGGGAGAGTCCAAGTCATCGCGCTCCTCGATCTCCCAGAGATCGCGGCGGCCTTTCTTGGCGGGCCTCCTCCCGTTCTTGTGTTCAGCAACGCTGCGTTTGTTAGCTGTGTTCTTTTCAGAGCTCCGGAGGATGGTTATTAGCTTACTGTTCTTGAAGCCTGCCAACGGTGTTCAGTCTCTCGCCGCAGTGGGGGCAAGTGTAGTCACGTCTCTCAAGACTACGGCGACCCTTCTTGGCGGGCCTTCGCCCGTTCTTGTGTTCAGCGACACTGCTTTTGTTAGTTATATTCTCTTTGAAGCCAGTCGGAATAAGCCATACTGTTCCTGAAGCCTGCCGACGGTGTTCAACCTCTCGCCACAGTGGGGACACGTGTAGTCACGCTTCTCGAGATCACGGCGACCTTTCTTGGCAGGCCTTCGTCCGTTCTTGTGTTCAGCAACGCTGAGTTTGTTAATTTTGTTCTCTCGTATTTAATTTTGAAAGATGGACAACAACTTACTGTTCCTGAAGCCTACCGACGGTGTTCAACCTCTCGCCACAGTGAGGGCAAGTGTAGTCGCGCTTCTCGAGATCGCGACGGCCCTTCTTGGCGGGCCTTCGTCCGTTCTTGTGTTCAGCAACACTGCATTTGTTAGTTGTGTTCTTTTAGAGTTGCCTTGAAAGTATAGGTAGCAACGTACTGTTCCTGAAGCTTGCCGACGGTGGTCAATCTCTCGCCGCAGTGGGGGCATGTATAGTCGCGTCCGAACAGCTTGGGGGTCTCATCGCGCTCCTCGAGATCACGCTCCTCGATATCGTGCTCATGGTCTCGTGCGAAAACAGCGTTGGCTTCCTCTCCGTCGAGACTTCTGGCAGGAAGGTGAAGGAGCTCGTCCTCGGAGCGAGCTGCAAGACCAGCACCATTGCTGGAATCGCCCGAGACGGGGGCAACCGCGCTGAGAGCGCCGAGGGCAAGAGCAAGAGCGGCGGAACGCATTTTGACAGTAAGTACTTGGCAAATGAAGTTATCAAAAAATGAATAAGAAGAGAACTTTCAACAGAACTGAAATATCAGTCAAAGAAGTAAAGGAAGTAGAGTGTAAGGAAAAGAAAAGGATGAAAGATGCAAAGATTGATGTGATTTCTGTGGTTGGAAGAAAATCCCAGGGAGAGAGCAGATAATAAATATACTTATACCTCTTCTCTTCTGCAACTGCTCTATCATTCCAGACAACTCTCTCGCCATGTTCTTCATCACCTTACTATCGCCTGAGTTGCCACCGCTGAGCCTTAAGCTCTGAGTGGCACAAGAGCGAGATTGTCTTCGGGACGCCCCGCTCGGGATGCTCACCCCGACCGACGCTATTCCGCACATAAACTCAAACAGGGTGATTGATTGGATCATTCGCGGTTATTGTCTATCCCGACCTGGACTATATCGACAAATACATACAGGCTGGGTAATTAGATTCCTTGCGGCTGTTGTCTATCCCGACTATCCCGACCACTAATTATAATCACGCACAAAAGCAAGCAGGCTAGCTAATTGGACCGTTCGCGAGAATTCTCGCGACATGGCACAATCGCCGCGAACGGTGGGATAATATGGCCTGACAACTACAAATTATGTTTCTATCGAGTGCGAAATATAAGGGGTATGTACAAAAAAGCTTGATCTCTCAATTATGCCTGGGTACCAGGTTAACGAACGGAACGTATCCCACTAAAGTTCCATGTAGTAAACAACTGAAGCGATGAGTATATTCACCCTGTAGCCGTAGAGCAGTAAACACTTGAATCCCAATTTCATATCGTTTTATGCGGCTGGTATAGTATTAATTATGTTTTATCACGATGATGGGAGTTAAGATAAAACTAAGGCTTGAACACTCTCTGAGATCATGAGACGCACTATGGAGTGACTATTAATGGGCGTACGTCTTGACATAATGAAAAGATCACCGGATGCACCGCAAAGATTTCAGCCCATAGCCTTATCTAGGCATTAAAACAATATAATGGAGATCTCATGACTTATGCTACATGCATAAGCTCGCCACATACCGGGTAATTTGATGTCTATTCTTGGCGTTGCCGCAACCTCCTTGAAACGGAATTTCGCTTACTGCCAATCACCTTCTGCATGATCTATCCACTTTGAAATTTGGAACGTCGAGGAAGAGCGTGGGGAGAGTGGAAATGCAAAGGACCAGGAACCTGGCCACCTATCAACGTGGTTCTCTCGCGTTTCCATCCTCGATGAGGTTACTTTTTCAAATGCAAATCTTCAGATCTCCCCCACCCCTTTTCGACAGCGAAACAAGACTCTTGTTCTGCATCAATAGAGTGTATTTGGTTTCGTCTGCAGCAGTACGTGAGATTGAGGGACGATGGTCCCTCACTAGAAACGGGAGCACCCAGAGAAGAAAAAGGATGGAGGCATTAAACCGATTGTGCTTCTTAGAGCTGCATGTTCCATCGCGGCTTTCGAACTCTTGGCATCTGCTATGCCCATGCTGCATTCTCAAATTTCGATATACATACATCTAACCCTGCTTCTAATCCTTCATCGGTCCTACTGAGTTGAATCCCTACCAGGAGGAACGAATGGCGGTCAGGGCAGTCCGGATTCTCATCGCCTCGTCCGGACGCTCGACGCAGTATTTCTTGCGACCCATTGCAGCGTAGCGCCTGCTATTATGCAGCCTAGCAAGCTCGTATATTCTAAATCGATTTCGTAGGTGTTTCGGCCTCCTTAGCTCCTATTCACAGGCCGAGGCAGACCCTCAAACTTACGGAAATGAGAAGACGTCCGAGGGTTAGCATTCAATGTTTTGGTTTTTTTCTTTCAATGATTTTTCTACCTATGTCCCGTCGCCAGATCGCGAAAGATCCGTAAGAAGTCTAATAATTATACAAACCCTGTCCTACAGTCCATGGCAATCTCATCTGAAAGCTGCATGCCAAGGTTGGCCCACTACTCACAATAAGATGAGGAGAGGTGTTGTTCGGTCCCATCTACGGAGTACACAAGCAGATCTAGATCTTCCGAGGATAAAAGATTCTTCCCAGTCAAGTCATCGTCCCACAGCGGCGACGAATTACCCTGGCCTGGGGTGATGGCCAGTACGCGCTCGATGTATTCGTGGGCTGCCTGACCAGAACATTGGGTAGCATCACGTAGACCACGCCTGGAAAGGCTTCTTTCGCGTCACGGTGGGACACCTCTATTCATTGGGGCTAGGATGAAGAAGCCTAGGACCAACCCAGATCCAAATGCCCAGATCCTACGTACAGATTCGTTAGTAAACCACATGTACCGCCTGACCCGGCGGCGATGAAGTTGGGCCAAGGTAATGGAGTCTACTCTAAGAGACTCAGAGTGCTGAGCGAGGAGCTGCAGCTTGTGAATATGGAAGCGAGCCCCCGGCACAATTGGCCATGAAAAATACGATGGCGAAGTAGTAGACACTAGACACATGGACACTGCCAGCAAGAGACTTTTGATCAGAATAGCATAGGGTTGATTGAGGCGGATGTGCGAGCACACCAGCGCAATTCCAGGGGTAAACGCCTGGCCCACGACTGAAGATGTACCAGGAGCCCTTGGGCGGCTGGTGCATCATCCATCATGCATCATGGCACTGCGGTTCGGAAATCGACAAATGTCAATTTGAAGTGCCGCTGCCTCGAGCATGGCATTGAATGCATGCCAGCTAGCCGGGTCCAAGTGGCAGGGCTCAGCTTGTATTTGGTGGCGCGAAACCCTGAGCACAGTGCAGGATCGTCCGAGGAGAAAACAGCATGTCGTCAAACGCGACGACCGGAAACGACGAAAGGTCGCGTGCGAATTGAGAGTCCCTGGTCTGTGCGGAAATACGAAGCGGATCTAGACGTCTTGCCTTGCAGGGATCACAAACGCGGTCGGCAAGACGCGGTGAGCACAGACGCGGTAAGCACAGACGCGATTTTCTAGCATGATCTTAGGGCACGGCATTGCAAAGCCACCCGAAACGATCGTGGAGCATCGCGATGAATGGCTCGTGTGGCTGTTCTGCCCTGACAGGGGCCCAATATGAAAAGACAGTCTTCTCAGCGTGTGCGAGCCCATTAGTACTCCAATGGTGTAATCTACGAACTTAGGGAGTCTAATCTCCGTACACAGCGGCGACCGGACATGAGACAATTGAACATGTGTCTAATGAGCTTGCAGGGTTATGTTGTGGTCGCATTCAGCACACATTTGCAAAGCAATCCATTTTGTCCAGCACAGTCTGAATCAGAGCCTGTTCCAATAATTCCATCTGGTAATTTTCTGAAAGTTTTTATTCAATCTAGCATAATTAAGACTTTGTAGTGTTGAACAGTTTAAAAACTAATCTAGAGATACTCGTTATTCTTTAATTCTTGATGTGTTAAGCTATAGGGTAGCTAGATGTCTACAAGCATTATCGGGAATACTTATCCAGCTAATCCGATTGAGAAAGCTTGTGTTGGGTTAGTTCAGCCTGTCAATTGGGACTATGTCGTATACGGACTACTTCCATAAGATCTACGGAGACCTTCCTAATCATCATAAGATTGGGGTAACATCGGTATTCATATCTGGTCTGCGTTACTCTGATACGTGACGAAAAGTATCATCGGGTGCTACATGTCATATCCTAGGCTTAGGATAATTGGTCAGATCAGGGCAAAGTACGGGTCTTGTCTTACATGCCGATAAGGGCATTCGGATAGCTTACGCCACGTCTTAGGTATGGTCAGCATGCTGCCATTGCGCTCAGACTTTGTGTCTTGGGTGAGGCGGGGTCGGCAGCATATTTAACTCCCGGTCTCGTACTCTCATATCTCCCTGATTTACTCTTGTTTAACATTCTGGAGCTCTTTGTCGAAATGGAACCCAGCAGCGTTTTGAAGTCGGGAAAGCCGCCCCCCACTGAGTCAATTGAGTTCGCGGAAACGCAGGCCTTCGATCAACATGCAACTAGGAAACTCTTGAGGAAGTTGGACTGGCATATTATTCCTTTTATGAGCTTGATCTATTTGTAAGCTGTAGTTACATTGCATTCACACCGCTGACGGTATCAATCTACTATGTGATGTAGCATACTGACTTGTGCTAAGGCTGTGCTTTCTTGACCGCACGAACATCGGGAACGCCAGGCTAGACCATTTAGAACAGGACCTCGGGCTAACAGGCATTCAGTACAATGACTGTCTTGCTATTTTATTCCCGTTCTACATCGCCGCCGAGATCCCGAGTAATATGATGATGAAGCGGCTTAGGCCGTCCATTTGGCTGACATTCATCATGGTATGTTGGTCTGCATCAATGATTGGGCAAGGCTTTGTGCAAGACTACTCAGGACTCATGGCGACCCGTGTATTCCTTGGTGTATTTGAGGGAGGTTTATTTCCTGGCGTCAATTATTACATTACACAATGGTGAGCTTACAGTTAAAACATCCCCCCCCTTTTTTTCTTTCCTTTTTTTTCTAGAAAGGCTCTGATGGAGATGTGATAGGTACTGCAAAGCCGAATGTGGTTTTAGAATGGCCTTGTTCTTCTCTGCAGCAACGCTGGCTGGCGCTTTTGGTGGTATCTTAGCACGAGGCATTGCCGAGATGCATGGAGTCGGTGGTATCTCTGCTTGGGCATGGATTTTCATCCTCGAAGGTCTTTTGAGTATCCTGGTCTCTTTCACAGCTTACTGGGCGATCTATGACTATCCTGCCACGTAAGATTAACACTCGAGACTCCAAATAGCATTGGCTGATACTATAGACAGAGCACGATTTCTCAACGAGAATGAGCGCACCGAGGTCGAAAGACGCCTGCAAGAAGACTCTGGCCACCTGTCCAATGAATTCAACGTCAAGTATGTTTGGCATGCAATCAAGGACTGGAAGATCTATATCCACATGCTCATCTGCATGGCGGGCTTCTGCCCTATATACTCAATTGCATTGTTCTTGCCCACCATCATCAAGAACATGGGGTACACCGCAAACAATGCTCAACTAATGTCGGTGCCACCATACTGCTTTGCTTGCGTCTTTACGATCGCCGCAAGTTGGTATGCGGACCGCGTCAGACAGCGCGGAATCTTCTTGATGGGCTTCCAGCTAGTTGGTATCTTAGGATTCGGTCTATTGGTTGGCACGAGTCGATCCTCTACACAGTATGCTGGTACTATTTTTGCCGCCATTGGTAAGACTTCAATGACCTGACCTTGAAAATAGAGGAAAACGTTGACTTGGGGCTAGGAATATATCCTCAAATACCACTTGGGCTTGCTTGGAACAGCAGCAACATCGGCGGCAGCCTGAAGCGAGGAACTGGAATAGCCATGCAAGTCATGGGCGGTAACTGTGGCGGTATCATCGCGTCATATGTTTACCTCGCTCGAGATGGGCCGCGTTATGTGATTGGCCACAGCATTCTCATTGGCTTCGTCAGGTATGAGACCTTTGTGCGCCGCTTCGTTATCAAACTTACTAACTTCCTATAGCATGGCCTTCTTCTTGACCTTATTTATGACTACTTGGTGTAGGAGGGAAAATGCTCGTCGCGATCGAGTATCTAGTGAGGCTGGTGTACGATACTTAACAGATGAGCAAAAGGCACAGGAAGCCGAGCTTGCCGATAACGCACCGTGGTTCAGATATACACCATAAGCCATGTCCTTTGACGGGAGATTATTATTGTTTGAGTTGGAGCCTTTTGATGCTTAGGATTATAGAGATGATTGATTACCAGGCGACCAATGCAAACGGTAGCTCCGTCGCCTTTGCAGCGAGATAGACTACTGGGGGACATACACATAGGAAGGCAGATACTTGATCTGTCCAATATTATTCATACGAGCCTAGAGGACTTACCAAGGGTCACTCTCCTGTAGATGTGATGAAGACTTTTTTCTTGCTTGTTTGTTTGTTTGTTATGTAGGGACATATTCTTTCTATTCCTCTCTAACGGGATCCTCCTCATCTGCGATTTGTGAATGCCAACGTTAGTATGATGCTTGTGAAATACTGTTCTGCCCTGTAGGCTGTCTCCTTAAATGCGCAAATGTAGCGACACATCCGAGCTCGGTCAATAGTCATTTGCGGAGCACGCTCTTTACTTGTTGATTTTCCCTTCCCATCTGTAGAAAGTATATTAGCACCAATTCATAGATCGGAATTAGAAAACATTACATGTTAAGGAATAGTTTCCATAATATTGAGAAGAGAATGCCCTGAAGACCGTTGCATAAGATACGCGTTGGTAGTCCTCGTCCCAGCAGTCCGATTATACCGTCTGCTCGAACAACCGCTCGCGCCGCCGCAGCTAGACTTGTTCAGTTTTGGCCCATAAAGATTGGAAAAAATTGACCCACAATATGAGATTTTCTTGTCGTCGACTTGACGGTATGTTTTTATGACTCGTAGCGAGTTGGAGATGGAGTCGGAGACAATGGATGCAACGAATCCAATAAGGGCGAGACGGAGCAACCAGAGCAAGATGTGGCCCTTCTCAGGCTCCTTGATCAGCTCAGTCAAAAGATTGTACTATATTCTGTCAGATCAACTCTATACATTTCCAATTATAGGACGAGACATACCGTTGCAAACCAAGGGTAATGTCCCACAAAGGTAGCTGCCGCCGTGGCAAAAGCTCCCCACCACAATGTGCCCACGCCATGCTGCTTGATTCGTTGGCGGAGAAGAGCAACGCCTCCAGAGCCTTGGGCCTGCAGAGTCGTTTTCAGGGTGTCGATCGGTGTCAAAACCATACGAAATGCCGCAGCGCTGGGTATACATGTAAGTCTAAAACGCCTGCAACTGCTGCACTCTAAACGGTCACTCACGCAAGCGAGGCAAATACCGTCTTGGCAAGCGACGGAAGGTCCTTCAGGTATGGATTGGACTGCAAAAGTGCGAGGATTCCTGCATTGGCTGCCGTGTCGCCGAAACGCGCCAAAGGTCCTGTGAATCAAACAGAATTAGCCAAATCCACGAGCAAACGCCAGGCTCAGGGGAGCTCAAGTTGACGGACTGACCTTGGAAGAGGGCGGCACCAATTCCGGCATAGTATCTGCCGAAACCCCCATCGTTATAGAGAATTTTGGTTGCTTCCGTAAAGGAGTGTCCGAAGCGATATTGGTAGTTCATAATGGTGCGAAGTGGCTATGAGAAGAATTAGTCGCTGCATTGGAAATACCGGCCTGATATATTAATAACACGGGCGAAGAATACCATCAACAGTAGAACTTGAAGAAACATTGCGGCAGCGCCACTAAGCCCGCCTCCCAGAGCCTTTTTGAGAGCTTCGTGAGGATCAAACTAAGAATATTAGCCTTCTCCAGGATTGAGAAATTTATTGGGATCTCGCCCTAACCTTGACGTCGCCGCCTGCATCAACCCAGCCTTTTATAAAAACGGCCGCGATGGCAGCCGCGATAATGATCCAAATGAGAACCTTGATATACCACCCAGCACGTCTCCCTTTTGCAGGGGTCTCCGGCTCGGCCGCCGCTTCTCCTTCGTTCACCTGCTCGCCAAGTAAAGGGCTCTCTTCATCATATCTGGTGGTGTCATTACGGACATCTTCTTCGTTGCGCGCCATTTTGTCGTCGTGGGCTCGTCCTACTACCAAGTATCATGAAAACGACAAGAAGAAGAGCATTAGAATCGGAGAGTTCAGAGATGGTGATCCCACCCGAGATTCCGGCGATGACAAATCGGCGCTCGCTGCGGGGAAAATGTATCTCCGGGATCTGGATTGGCTGCTTATAAATGGTGCAATACCATCATCTATGGTGACATAAAATGGCTCAATTAAGACTGTCCGGCGGGTCGTTCCGTGACCGCCGCGTCTTACTTATATTTGATGCCATTGTATCTAATAATATATATAGCTTTAGTAAAGAATGTCGTATCTATAGGCCTTAAAGCCTTCAAATTAGTAGGGTATCATTACAGGCCGACAAGAACACTCCTTAACCCAGACTTTCCGCGATCCACTATCGAAGGGGCAGTAGCCGATAGCATGAACAGTCTGACAATCGAGGGCTCAGGAGAGGTTTATAGTGAGGAGGTTACGAAGTACCCATTTCAGACCATCGGCTCTGTCCCGACTGAGAACCCCGTCTCCGTAGAGGAGGAGGGTGAAGGTTCGAATTGGGCTGGAAGGAAACTCAATTGCGTTTCGACCGAGTTCGATGATATCGCGATTTCCTGAGCTTCTAGAATTTTAAGATAGGCCCCTGTCGTACCGGATCAGTGAGTTCACATCGCCATTCTACACCGCATTCAAAGTACCTACCTCCAAGTCGCCACCTCGTAGCGATTTGTCCAAGGAAATGCTTGATGGTGCTGATCTGGTCCCGGATATTTCCGTCGGGGGAGCCTTGAGAGATTCTCAAGAGAATGGAACACACCTGATACATGACATGTATGAGGAAGATTGGTACGATATGAGGCGCATCTGGTACAGCTGGACAGGTGGCGCTATACGAGACGGCCGCTGCTGACAGTCGATTTAAAGCTGTGCGGGATTCTGGCCAAAGACTCTCGAATGATAGCCATGAGCTCTTGAAATCATCACGGGGGTTATCTTGGTGCGCTCTGTTCTCTTCGAGCAGCAATATTGCACTGGCTTGCGTTAGATTTGGATTTAATCCGGTTCAAGGTTGACAGACCTCAGGCTGAGTGCCGATGGAGCGCAGTATTCCAGCTTCCGGACTGTCGCCTCTCTATCTGCAACGGAGACGAGGGCAAGCAGTGTGCGTCGTAGCTGGGCGGTTTCGTCAGGCTGAGGCACATCCCTTTCCGAAGCTGACAGCGAAATCGACCGTAGCGCTTGACTGAGCAGATGCGTAGCTTGTGCTAGCCTAGCAAAGCTTCCCATCTTTAGGTTGAAACCTGCCGAGAACCTGATACTATCACCTGGTGCTGACGACTGCCACCAAGTAATTATTAGCCTTGCTTGTAGTGTTACTACACGCCTCGAGATAATGTAGGTACTTACCCAGTCGTCCCAAACAGAATCATCGACGGGCAGGAAGGCGTCAAAGGGCGGGTCCTCAGTCGATAGCGGCCTCGCAGAGTTGCTTAAACTTGAAAATCTGCATCTCTCAGTTGCCTGTCAAGTGATTGTGACCGTGATGCAGTTGCTTTCGCTCACCGGTCAAGCATCAACACCGCCCACCAGGCTCTCCTCCGCTCCTCAACCTCTTGCCATGTGCTTGTCCTGCTATTACCGTCACCCGCCCCATCCATCGGGAGCTTGTCTGCGCCCAGTGCCAGACCCTGACGCGCACAAGCGCCGACGGTGAGGTAAGCTGCCGGATAGATGGCATGAGCCATCTCGTAAAGCGCGATCAGGATATTCGCCTGAAGCGTATGAATAGACAGAGTGCCGGCAGTTTCTACTTCGAAGTGGAACTGCTTGGCTGCTCGATACAGCCTCGTCGCAACGCCAGCGTCATCATCAGGGGGCGTGCAACATAATTTCATACAGAGAGCAAGTAGGCTGAGTTCAGTGCGTCGCCGTGCCAAGGGGTTGAGCAGATGGAGGGAAAAGCCCCTTTTGGAAATGATGGGTAACCACCGGTGGACGGTCCTGAAGAATGTTGTTGAGATGTCACGGATGGAGGAGGCGTCGCCCAGTAAATTCAGTACCTCGGCCGGAATAGAAAGCTCTTGCCGTGGTAATTCTAGCCGCGCCTGATGAAAAATATGCGGCGCGATGAAGTAGACGGCATTGGGATCGACCTCTGCGGCGCGCGAGGGCCCCGGAGGTGCAGAGCAGGCGGGAGAGTCTGGGCCCTGATCCAGGAGACTGTGTTGCTGGACTGTCAGTCTTGGAGAATGGCTTGCTGTTTGCTGGCGCGTGGGATAGCCACATTCCACCTCCTTACGTTTACATAAGTTACAGCTGGGGAGCGTCCTGTCACAACGTCTCTTGCTCCGCCTGCAAGGAATACAGGCCTTGCGTGCATAACCCAGCGACTCGCTATCTGGAGACATGGTCGCGACGGCTGGACAGCTTGTCAAGGAAGAGTGCTTGTGGGAATTGGTGTAAATTTCCGGAAGATGCGGATGTCTGCGGATGTCTGCGGCAATTGTGGTGGGTTCGATTCCTAAACTCCGCTCGACTCGTGCCTCAATGGCTTATGTTCGTGCTGACAACAAGGGAGAAGAAGAAACCTGGTCTCTCCATTTAGGGCGAAGCCAGTGACCCATGAGCACTCAGCCATCTAAGATCTAAGCTAGCATGGACCGGACTTGGAATGACAAATTAGTAGCTCCATCTTGAAGTTGCTGGAGCATAGAATAACAGCTTCATTCTTCGTAGTATATCCTACAATTATGGACATTAGTCTAGATCCTATTGTAATCCAGCTTTGACGGGCTGGTTTCTCGCCGAAGATCTGATGAATGATTCGAGGTCCCTTGGACTGCAAATTAGGAGAGGCAAGGTCAATCAATAACCATAGAATTTATTAAAGCAAGAACCAAAAGATTCTATAAAAAAACTATAGAAAAAAAATGTCCATGTCCATCCCTAAACCCTCCCGAGTCCTCACTCATGCCTACCCAAACTACCGGCTAGGAGCCCCTTTGTTGAAAAAGAACTGCATGGCCATTCATACCACTCAGCTTATGAACATGTTGAGTTGTAAAGTTTAGGGAGATGCTCCCCAACATCGAGCTCGAACCACCCTCGCGACTCATCATTAGTGAGCTCCAACGTCTTGTTGATGAGACCCTGCGCCTCCTCAGTCGAAGCAGCACCGAGGTAGCGTCGTCCCTCCTCAGCCAGGTCTTCTAACGACGGCCGAGTCGCTGTGTTGACCAGTGCCTTGATATTCGCGATCGCGAGGTTGGGAAACAGCGCAATTCTCCTCGCCAGGTCACCGACAAACTCCTCCATCTCGCTGGCCTCCCCAAACGCCCGGTTCACCCAGCCCAGCTGCTCGGCCTCCTCTCCCGTGACGTCAAGGCCCGTGAGCAGGTACTCGAGCGCGCGGCCGCGCCCAATGAGCCGCGGCAGGTATTGGGTGGCACCGGCGCCCGGGTTGAACCCCAGGCCGACCTCGGGCTGCCCAAACATGCTGCTCTTGGTGGCAAAGCGCATGTCGCAGGACATGACGAACTCGTTACCAGCGCCCCGCGCGCGGCCATTGACGACGGCGATGCTAGCCATGGGCAGCTCCGTGATGTTGTAGAACAGGCGCCAGGCGTTGGCGACCTCGTTGCGGGGGTCGTCCAGGGCAAAGTTGGGTGTGCCTATAGGATTAGTTGGTTTAGTAAAGCAGATATCGCCAGAAGCGAGGGGTGCTATGAGAGCTTTCATGCTTTTTTACCTTCGCGAGCAGTTAACTCCCCATGGGCCAAGAAGAAGTCCGGGTTGGCGCTCCGAAACACAAGCACCTTCACGGTAGTGTCATTCTGCAGCTGGGAGACCAAGTCATATAGATCGCTCTGGATCTTGTTGTCATAGATGTTGATCTCGGTGCTGTTATTATCAAAAAGAACACTCAAGACAGCGCCTTGTTGGGAATGTGTTATCGTGCCATACTGCGAGGGTGATTCGCTGGTGACTTTAGCTTGGACCGGCAGGACCTGGAGGACAAGGCTGAGAGACAACAGGCAGAACTGAGTTATCGACATAATGGAAGTTAATCTGTAAATAATTATGTAAGGAGGAGATTATGGCTTAATGATATGTCTGATTTGTTTCAGAGCGGCGAGACGATGCTCTTATAGTAATTCTCTATCGACTATGTCAGGTAGGATGTCCTTCGTAGACTGATCCGAGTGAAACGAAGCTATGCCTTCCTCGACTGGAGTTCAGGGAACTTGTTAGAGTTCTCTTAACTCCGTTAGGCACATGTAAATAGCTGAAGTCATAGTTCCAGGCTGCAAGTAGACTTATCCTTGGCCTTGTCTAAGCTGTTAGCCATGTAGCACTTTTTTTATGAGTGGCATTGCGGAAAGTTGCGGTAAATTGCGGCATTCGATTCCGCAACACACCGCAGCACCCGCCCGAGTCATAGTACCGCAACTGACCCACGTGTATTATGGGCGGATATAGCAAGGATGAGGGTGAGGGAAGACTGCCGAAGCCCGAGTATCCACGCCAAGCCATCTAATCTCATTGAGAAAACTAGCCAAGACATCCTTCGCTCTTCTATGTTTTCTTCCCCCACAGGCATGGACAACATTATTATTATTTATGATGGTGATGATGACAACGCTGAGGATGGACCAGTGCACCAAAACTTCTTCCCACAACATTCAAACCAGTATTAAACCGGTGGATAGCGCTCTGATTTACCATCCGACAAACAGTCCTCAGTAATGACTTTGCTCCCAAGCAGTATTTTTAGAGCCTGTGGCCTCTCCTGTTGAGGCCACCCGCGACTTCAGAAAGGGGGCAGATATTTTCTTGTCACTATTGCCGCTAGCTTTGCCACCGGCACGACACAAGATTCCCTCATCCGAGCCACTGGCTCACTTACATGAGCTAGCAAGCTAATACTTAGATTGTACATCGTTATCCAGTTAGGTTGATCCTGTAATAGTAAAAGGTAAAAGCTACCTAGGTTCTCAGCCTCTAAGAACTTCTGAATTATTCTATTATGCTACTTTGTTGACAAAATGGCCTGTTATGAACATCATATACCATCAGGTGACTCAGTTTCCGCAGGGGCTATAATAGTTCGTAAATCGCTGCACCAGGCAGGGATCGATCATCCTTTGCCCTAGCTTTCACGTAACATCTTCCCCGCCTCCCTAGCGCTTATTACTTGCACTCCCCCCCTCAACAAGGAAGTCATTAATTGAGATGTAACGTGTTTTTCTTTCACCTGCTGGATCAAGGAACACCCCGCCATGTTAAGACGGATTAGTCAGTTCCTAGTGTAAGCAGCACAGACTCTTCATAAGTAGTGCGGGTAAGCGTTATTGAGCGCCATATTCCCTCGTACCTAGTTACCAGAGCCGTTTCCCAACATCTCCACTTCGGCTTGCAATTTACCTTGCTCATTCTCTCGGATCTTGACTCATCATGAAGCTATTTACGACTAGCTTCATATTGATTCTATCAACTCATGTCTTGGGTACATCCTTCCTCAACCACGGACAATTACTGAATGATGTTGAAGACCACGACTGGTTCGAGAGAAATATCCCATTCCTAGATATTCCGCATCAAAAAATCCAAAACGTTTATTATTATCGTTGGCAGATATACAAGGAACACCTCGTCTATACCGGTGCCCAGTATGGCTATATGCCAAGTGAATTTCTTTATCCAGCAAGCTACGGCGCTCCTTACGGGGGCATAGTAGCTGCTGCAGGGCACCACATAAACGAGGGGCGCTGGTTACGCGATGTCAAGTATGGAGAGGATTCTGTCAACTACTGGCTTTCGGGTCCTGGGCAATTTCCGAAACCTATGGAAGACCACGTCAATGCTGACACCTCGGATTGGGCACATGAGTACAGTTTCTGGGCTGCTAGCTCTGTGTGGAACCAGTATCTGATAACCGGGAACCGTGAGTTTATCGTCGGCCAATTGGACAATCTTATTAAGCAGTATCATGGTTGGGATAACCACTTCAACGAGTCTCTTGGACTTTATTGGCAGTTCCCTGTTTGGGACGCTTCTGAGTACACGGCTGCTTCCTACGAGTCAGGCGAGGCGTATCATGGCGGAGCTGGGTATCGACCCACGCTTAACGCTTACCAGTATGGCGATGCTAGAGCTATTGCCTCCGTTGCAGCTCTGAAGGGCGACAGAGATTTGGTTGACAAGTACACGACTCTATCCAACAACTTGCAAGAGGCATTGCAGAAATACCTTTGGGACGATGAAAAGGCTTTTTTCAAACATCGAGCACGTGATAACAACCCCTCAGGAGCTTTGCTTGTTGATCGTGAAATCATGGGCTATGTACCTTGGATGTTCAATATGCCTAATGTGGATACACATATAGCCGCATTTTCTCAGCTCAAAGACTCCCAGGGGTTCGGGGCGAACTTTGGACCAACTACGCTTGAGAGACGAAGCAAGTGGTACATGCATGAAGCAACAAACTGCTGCCATTGGGACGGCCCCTCGTGGCCATTTGCAACCGCCCAAACTCTCACCGCGGTGGAAAACGTGTTGCATAACTACCCTTCTCAAACATACATTACGGCTGGTGATTACTTCACGCTGCTTGAAAGATATGCTGCCACACAATACAAAAACGGCAAACCCTATGTGGCTGAGGCACACGATCCTGACACAGACAAATGGATGTACGATGGCAATAATCACAGCGAGGACTATAATCACTCCACGTTCATTGATAATATTTTGGCTGGACTCATGGGCTTGCGAGGCCAAGCTGACGATACGCTCATCGTCAACCCACTGGTCCCATCAGACTGGGAATACTTTGGCCTCGAAAATGTGGCTTATCACGGTCATGAAATCACCATCCTCTGGGATAAGTCAGGCTCCATTTATGGACAGGGGAAAGGATTACGAGTTTTCCTTGATGGTGCTCTTGCCGGCAGTCGCGACAGCTTAGGCTTAATCAAAGTGAATGTCGGTGAGGTATCAAGATCAAGAGCACAAGTATCTGTGAATATTGCTGCAAATGGACAGTCATTTCCCCAGCTTACAAATGCCTTTGCTTCATACACTTTTTCTCCAGTTGACAACGCTGCTCGAGTTCTTGACGGCATTGTATGGCGAACTGGGATCCCTGAAAACACGCGCTGGACTTCTTACAACAGCCAAAACTCACAGGACTATATCGGCATTGACCTCCGCCGGAGTCAAGTTGTCTGTGATGTTCGACTGTTTTTCTACGATGATACCGGCGGTGTCCGCATTCCGTCTAGCTACGACCTTCAATATTGGACTGGTAGTGATTGGGTCACAGTTCCGAACCAAAGTCGCACCGCCCTACCAACCACCTCTAATGTCGAGACCAAGATCACTTTTCCAGAGATCAAAACATCTCAGCTGCGTGTCGTCGCTCCTAATCGTGGTTCTGGGACAGGCTGGGGCCTTTCGGAATTTGAAGTGTGGACACCAGCCATTTTCCATATAAGAAACGAGAACAGTGGAAAGCTGATGGGCGTTGAAGCAATGTCAACTGCAAACAGCGCCAACGTTCAACAGTATGAGGACAACGGTACCCGTGACCATCTGTGGTTATTTGTGCCCAGCGCTGGCGGCTGGTGGAAGATCAAGAATCTGAATAGCGGTTTACTTCTGGCCGTCGAAAATGCCTCGAAACAAAATAGTGCGCAGTTGCAGCAGTACCAGGATAGCGGAACGGACGATCATTTGTGGAGGGTTGAATCCAAAGGTGACGGTTTGTTTTTTATCCGCAACAAAAATAGCCAATTGCTGGCGGGAGTAGACGGTATGTCGACCGCCAACAATGCAAATATTGTTCAATTTGAGGATAACGGAACCAAAGACCACCTCTGGAGCTTGCTTCCTGCCGTTTCAGAAGGATGCTCCAAGGGAATCGAGTAGGTAGTCGTTAGTACACTTGGCCCTGTCAATGGTCATAACTGGACGGGAATAATTCAGGTGTTCTGTTCTTCAACGTGAAAAACTGTGCTTCAAAATTCTCAAATAGCATTTATCAGTTACAGACTAATTCTTCTGTTGATGTTGGCTTCAATGATGTCTTGCATTGATGTTTTGTATGCACCCTCCTTGATGTTGTCATGTGGGCAGATACGTCTGCCATGTAAAGGGACGTAAACCTGACGACATCTCTAGCCGCACCAGAGGCAACGGGGGATATTCATAAAGGCTGATATTCCATAGATTTTATATAGTGAAAAAAGTAAAACCGAAGGAAAATAGAGGACAAATAGCCTAGTGTTCATAAAAGCTTTCGTAAAACTACTTATTAAGACCCGAAGTGTATTAGTATTAACTACCCCTCTAGGATCACTAAGTGCCCCTGGAGATAAATTACGAGCAAAAGTTTGCCTTTAACGTGGCGTATGGCTTAGGGTGGATTTGGTTTGAAACGGTGCATCTTCGTTGGCAATAAAACATGGGCACCCACGTAGACGCATTCAGTGAATACCAACCCCAGACTTAACCTGTTCCCAGTATCTCTCCTTGCTTCTGATCCTCAGTTTCTTACCCCATATATACATGGGTATCCATGAAGCAAAGAGTACCAGAACCAAAACTGCCCAAGTGATGAAGGTGTTTTGGGTACCGGTGGCATTCCACCATGGAGTCACGGCATACCCAAAACCGAAAGCCATTGTGCACCGCATTATGTTCAGCGAGGACATTGTGCTTCCTGCCAATTCTTTGTAGCAGTCGATGATGTATCCAATCATGATACCACCACCAGTCGTCAGAGCAAATCCTAGGCCACTTGATTTAGTTATTGGCATCAAATTCCCGGAAATGTCACTTACCCATCATTCCCATTCCGAACACAATGCCGAACCAATGTACATGCTGCGCAGCTCCAACGCCCCAGACAATCAAACCCACGGGTGGGACAATGCACAGCGCTATGGCCGCCCACAAGCGATACTCGGCTTCCCTGAGTCCGTCCTTATTGTTCCGGGCTATCCGGAGACAGATATAGTCACTAATCTTACCAGACCAGATGGCTCTATAGTCGCTTTAGCTGCACGTCGCCTTCGAAAGAATTAAGAAAATAGATGGGAAAATACCAACTCACCCTATTATTGCTCCAATAAGAGGAGAGATGTAGGCCAAACCGACATCGGTACTCGAGAAGTTATACGGCTCTGCAGATAGAATCACAGATGCGGTTGCGTTTAACGCATTGAAGCACAGTACAGCAACTCCGTGATAACAGCTAGCCCATAAGACAATAGGGAAGGTCCAAAACATTACCAAGGGTCGATAAGTGTAGACCCAAAACTCGTTCGGCCTTTCGCTAATGTAGTTAAATAGCTTCAGCTTCTGAAGATAGGTTTTGCGTGGTTTGTGTGAAGCTGCAGCCTCAGCGTCGTTCTCGTTGGTGGCGGTCAGATTTTGGCCGGATGCTTCGAATCCGGTGTGCCGATAATAATCTGTTTCCTCATAGAAAAATAAGAGTAGGACGAACACCACCGCATTGATGATACTGCACCAGTACTGTTTTGACATCAGTTAGCTTCCAGCCAGTTTCGCTAGATCAAACCGCTTCACTTACCATGACCCATTGCCAACCCATTTGGTCATTGATGATTCCACAGAACACTGCCGCAAGGTAATTTCCTCCCGCGAGGCAAAACATGTAGATGCCAATATGCAACCCACGTTCATGAGTAAAATACTTAAGTTCTGTCAGTAACTACTTTAGAACTGTCATGAACAAAGTCGCCCAAAGCTTACCAGATCAGTGACTACCAGCTCTGGCACCACCTCAATCGGAGCCCCTACAAGCCCAAGTAGAACTCTTGTTGAAACCCAGGAAGCATAACTAGGGGCGTGGGCGGTCCAAGCCGAAATTGCCTTTGGAGTGTCAGACATAACTATCTAAATGTCTCCCTTAGTCTCCGTCACTTACAACCGTGCCAAGTAGAGAAAGAAGGAAAACCCCACGACGACCATAAGTGACGGCTATTGGCTGCCATATCAGTACTCCCCATCCAAAGAACAACAGCATAGTCCCCGACCCGCCATTGAGGTCGGCAACTGATAAGTCTGTGCTAACGGATATCGGGACCAGAATTGAATAGACTGCTGCGGACGACCAAGCAATCGCAATCGTGTACCTGCGGTGTATGTCAGCTATGTGCTTTCCATGTTAGTGAATCCTCATAATCTAGACGAACAAGTGACTGAGCACAATGGCCTTCAGCTTTCTCCATTTTGACCAATTCAGGGGATCTTCTGGATCGCTGGTAGGCTGCGGCGTGAGAATAACATCACCGCTCTCTTGAAGTACCAACTCATTATTCGCGTCAACGAGCTTTATTGTTCCAGGTATGCCGCTTTCGCTGTCTGAGTCAACCGATGCCGCCACCGTTACCGGGTTGGTGATCTTTTCGGACATTGTTAAGAACGTTACGAGTTATCAGCATCTGACCAGGGATTCATCAGGCTGCGATCAGGGGCAGTTATACCTTAGATAAACAAGGCATAGCAGTAGATTGCTATAGTGGATCGTTATCATCAAGTTTACTCTCATATCAACGCTGACCAATCTAGTATACCTTGAGATATATTGATAAATTGCGCAACTATGGCGCAACATGATGTTTGACAGACTGAGTGGAGTTTCATATCCATGAACCAACTTGCTGGAACCCAGCAGCCGGCCTGGAATATGCTTGTCCATCAAGCTAACTTCAACAGTTTCTTCGCCCCGCTGTGGGACGGTTTCGCACGTGGACAGCATGTGTATCCACCAAACTAGGATGAACTATTGCACCAGCCGGGCTGATAACTTGACTCAAACTTCGGGTAGCTTGATTTGCGAGCCGAGTCATTATATATCATTAGCGTGTGACCCCTTGCTTTGTAGGAACCACTGGATGCAACAAATTCTCCCCATTGATGACGAAGCAAGCTGTTGAAATCCCTCGAAACCTAAATCCTTGACAAGCAGGTGACCGCCATGTCTGCCCAAGAAGAGCTAATCACTGCGGCTGAGTTTTCTCAGATACACTTTGACTTTCTAATTATTGGTGGCGGAACAGCAGGGATCGCAGTAGCGGCGCGGCTATCTGAACACTCGCAATTCAATGTGGGAGTCTTGGAGGCTGGGCCCCTGGTGAGTCGCCAAGATACAGTCGACATCCCCGGCCTTTATGGCCAAACCATCGGGACTGAGCACAACTGGGGGTTCGAGACTGTGCCACAACAAGGCCTCCATGGACGGGTTCTGCCATGGCCACGAGGCAAACTTGTTGGAGGTACCAGCGCCCTCAACTTTATGATTTGGAATCGTGGTAGCAAGGAAGACTACAACGCCTGGGAGCAACTGGGAAATCCCGGGTGGGGTTGGGATGACCTTCTGTAAGCTATCTACCCAGAAGGCTATTTTCAAGAATCGCAATGTAACCATTCTTGCTTGATAGGCCTTTCTTCAAGAAGTCTGAGACTATTCATAGACCTGAACTCAGGCTTCAGACGGACTATGGTGCAACGTTTGACCCCGAAGTCAGTGGAACGACTGGTCCGATTAGCGTGTCGTATCCCAATTACTACCCAGCTACTCACCAGCTCTGGCGTCAGGCTTTGAACTCACTGGGTATTGAATCTAATAAAGCTCACTTATCTGGATCTAACACTGGAGTTTGGACTTGCGTTAATTCCATCACACCTGGAGAGCAAACCCGCTCGTACGCGACTAACTCCTATTACACTCCGAATGCGCATCGAAAAAATCTCTTCTTACTAACCGGGGCTTTCGTTGACGAGATCACACTTGAACCAACTGACGATGGGGTGCACAAAGCCACTGGTGTTACTTTTACATGCAGCGGTCAAAAACACCACGTTTCGGCCAAGTACGAAGTAATTCTCTCAGCCGGAACCGTACAGTCACCCCAGATTCTTGAGTCATCTGGTATTGGAAATCCTGCAATCTTGACCAATGCTGGGAAGACAACCAAGGTAAACAACCCAAATGTTGGGGAGAATCTGCAGGAACATATTAGTAAGGGTTTCCACCAGCCTTTATCCGAGACCCCAAGTCATTAACATGACAATGACAGTGGCAGCGATTGTATTTGAAACCAAGGCCAAGGTTCAGAACGACCCCGAGGGTGGCAATAAAGGGCCCGATGCTGCCTTAGAAGAGTATCTACTACAAAGGACTGGCCCTTTGACAGCAGTCCCTATTTGCTTCTGCTATCTGCCTTTTGTTGAAGCATTGCCCAAGGGCAAATTTCAATACCTCTCTAGGCTCGTATCTGGTCTTCCTGGTTCTAATACACAAAGCCACGCCATCGCATGTGGACGTTTTGACACAAAGCAGCGATTGGGTCAGATCGAGTACATTCTAGATTTTGGGAATTGGAACCCAGCTTTTAGTCCAAGCGACGATGATTCCAAGAACCATGCCACGGTATTTCAAATTCTCCAGTACCCATTCTCCAAAGGCAGTATTCATATCAACTCCTCTCCGGACGGAGTTTCAGTCAACGAGCTCATTATCGATCCCAAATATTACAGTGGCCCCCACGGAGTTATTGATTTGGAGGCAATGGTTCACAGTATACAATTTGCAGAGGAAATTGTTCGATCTAAGCCACTTTCTAATCTAATTGGGCCTCGGGTGTTTCCACCCACATCAATAACAACAGACGATGAATATCGCGACTGGGTGGGAAAGACAACAATCACAGATTGGCATCCTGTTGGAACATGCTCAATGGGAGGCTCCCGTGGGATTGAAGGAGGCGTCGTTGACCATCGCCTTCGCGTATACGGCGTCCAAGGGTTGAGGGTTGTTGACGCAAGTATCATGCCCCTTCATATCAGCGCTCATATTCAAGCTACCATTTATGCCATCGCCGAGAAGGGGGCCCACATGATATTACAGGATCATGGTGTGCTAGCTTAACAGTATTAGAATCAACCATGATCATTGAGCTCATTATCTTTCTGGACATATTGGCAAAGGCTACTCCATAATCCTTTCGATAATTAAACGCCACGGTAAATTCAATCTAGCGTAGCGGGGTCCATCAAAGCACGTCATTGAGGGTATGTATCCCTGTTTCACCAAAGAAGCGAGTTGTTCCCGGCCTATGTCCATAGCTTCAAACTTAGATAGATACCTCATTCGTCTCCAAAACCTCGTAACGAGGCGCCAAGATTATCTTTGAGATAAAACGACTTGTGCGGTACTAACGTTGGTTGTGGAGAACCTCTCACGTGTATGTTTGATAATGCTGCTCCAATGAAGATACCAAAGTCACCCCTTGTTAACGTTCTTGAGATAAGCGAGTGATATTCCTCCAGTGGGATATTCCGCTGGCGTGGAAGGCTCGATGCCGTAAATCTAAGATTGTTCAACTTGCATCAGAATCTGCGTGTTACTCATACTATCACATGCAGGGGATTCCAATGATTAGCCATCAATACGGAGCATGACTCGCAGCTACCTTAGGTCAAGTGATTCACCATACTCGAAGGCAAATATCAAAACTAAATTATACGCAAATCATGCATGACGGTGGATGATACTTGCCATTTAATCGCAAATTGGCACGCAATTTTGGTTCCCGCTTGCGAATCATCACCCCTGTAAGCCCTTGACCCGAGACAAAGAGACCTCGTGCCTCGTTTTACCTTGCAGCTTCAGCAAGGCATTTCTGGAAGCGCTAATGATATACTAACTTAGATTAGCATGCACATGAGAAACCCAAGGGACAAACGGGGTTCTATTGATACCCATACGCTATATGAAGTCAAAACTAATGGCGAAGCTAATGACCAAACCACAAGCCGCTCAGATTCAGTCTTGCCCACCATGGCGGTCATTCTGTCAGTTGTTCGATCTAAATGAAACGGACATCGGTAGCTTGTTCGCCCACGAAGTTACGACCCAGTAAGGGCAGTCAATCAAGAGCATGAAATCTGTTATAAAAAGTTGGTGACCAACTAGACATTTTCGAACGACTAATACTTCATTGGATTGCAATGTAAACCCGCCACGACAGGCAACACGATACGAGCAGCTTGTTTGAAAGCAGGACCAGACCCACGAGCAAAGAATTTGGAATTCTTGAGGCACCTAGAGTAGGTGATCCACTTGCACAGACAGAACTAATCCGTCTATAAAAAGAATTGATGAATGTGCTCCGATTTAGGAAAGAGGAGCCTCCGTTGTGTCTATTAAGCCCATCTAATGCAATTATGTCATTTTCTGTCTAAATGGCAAGATTGTCTAGTCGGGTTTAATATCCACTCCATTGCCATCACTTACAACAGATATCACGAGATGTCATTAGACTGCTTTTATAAAATATTACCTACATCTACTGATATAGGTATTCAGAGCTTTTGTTGCAGACGCAAAGAATAATTCAAATCCGTAAAAGTTTGCCGTTCACGATGTCAGAGCCTGTACCTTTGATCATCAACAACCAAAACATTCAGACTAAGGTAAGTTTTAACGTTGACAACCCCAACGACGGGAAATTTCTCTGGGGTGTGTCTTCCGCAGGGCTTACTGAAGTTGAAGGCGCTGCCGCTGCAGCGGAAGCCGCGTTTCCTGCTTGGGCATCCCTGGGCTATGCTACAAGACGCGATCTTTTGCATAAAGCAGCACACGTTATCCACGAGTCGAGGGAAGATATTGCTACTATTCTCCGCAAAGAGACCGCCGCTGGCGAAGGCTGGGCCTCATGGGACATTGACGCAGCCGTAGCAACCATCAAAGATGCGGCCAGTCATGTCTCCTCAAACAATGGAGTGATTCCCCCGACAAATGATAGTAGTGAGTCACTTGCAGACATTTAAATTATATAATGTACCAAATATATGCTTATGTTCTGGATAGGTGATACAGCCTTGGTATTTAGGGTCCCTTATGGTGTGATTCTCACCATTGTTCCTTGGTAAGCATCAATGACCGACCATAAGAACACGGACTAAGAGCCCAACATCTAGGAATGCTCCAGGCGTTCTTACAATGTCTTCTCTCGCATATGCGCTTGCCGCTGGCAACACTGTTATCGTGAAATCGTCAGAGTTGTCACCCCGGACATATTTCCTATTAATCGATGCTTTCCGCCGAGCCGGATTTCCTCCTGGGGTGGTTAACCTCCTGACACACGCACCGGATAAGGGGCCGTTGGTGATTCCAGCCCTCATTCAAAACCAAGCTATTCGAAAAATCTCCTTTACGGGATCCAGCGCTACCGGTAGGGTTGTTGCAAAACTCGCTGGTGAAGCCCTGAAACCTGTCGTTCTGGAACTTGGTGGCAAGGCTCCTGCAATTGTTTTAGAAGATGCCAGCCTCAATGATGCAGCTCGTAGAATCTTGCAGGGAGCCTACGGTCACGGAGGGCAAATTTGTATGGCAACCGAACGCGTAATCGTGCTCCGGTCTATTGAAGAGCCCTTTGTCGAAGCGCTTAAGGTAGCACACGCAGAGCAATCTCGTGACAATACCCACAGCCAACCATTGATCTCCCAATTGGCAGTGCGACAAATCAAGGCACTTGTTGATGATGCAATAAAGAATGGAGCAAGTATAGTTTCGGGACCAGCGAGCTATGCTGATGAAGAAGGTCGAGTGTTCGGTCCGACTATACTTCGCTCTGTCAACAGAACAAGTGAACTCTACTATAAAGAGTCTTTCGGACCTGTTATCTCACTATTTGTTGTAGACACCGTGGATGAGGCCGTTCTGCTGGCGAACGACACCGAGTATGGGCTTGCGGCTAGTGTTTGGTCAAAGAACATCGGGAACGCGCTGCGAGTTGCTAAGAGGATACACTCTGGGTAAGTCTTCACGCCATGGCGACGGAACAATTACTAACAACATCAGTACTATTCAAATCAACGATAGCACGACACATGGCGAGCCGACTCTGCCTCATGGCGGCTTTGGAGCCAGCGGGTTTGGGAGGCAGTCAGGCCCGGACGCGTTAGCCGAGTTTCAGACCTTGAAGTATATCCGTCTTAGCCTCAAATGAGTTTTGGGAGCAACTAAACCAAAGATTTCACACCAAATTGCTACCGAGAGAGACACCGGAATCCGATTTACAACATTTAATTGTGTCCACTCTTCCCAACATATGTTGAAAAATGCTATGCTCGTTCCTTCGGTGTTACTAGTCTACAAACAGAGAAAGACTGTAAACTTTTGCTTAACCTGGAAGGGAGCAGTTGGCCACGATGGCATGGTCGTCCACCTACGCTTACCCTATAGTGACGAATCACGCTGTGACCATACGCCACATGTTAGGATCACCTGTTTAACACATGATGAATAGAATATTGAATTTCTTATTATATATAAAGGGTCTATGAATAAGTTATTTATTTATTGAATAAAGGGAAGGTTATCATGTCATTTATCCCGTCAATCGGGCTCCACTGCATCAAAGTATTATCGGGAACAAATCAACATCTATTATTTGTGCAAGGTAACTGTCACAGAGCAACCCGTCCTGCCAGCCGTATGTTTCTTGCTATAATATGAACTGCATAAAAATAAACAAAGGCTTTTTCTTCCTCTTCTCCTTCTTGGTCTCCTTTCTCAGATGCTTTTCTTTCTCACCCCTGTTCGGGCTGTTCAGAATACACATCGCCGGTGGCGCCGATCCCCCATCAAACGCTCCCCTGTTAGAAGCGCGGGATGTACCTATACCTGGTTAGGAATAATTTCGGCTGCTGCGAAGGATACCGCGCGCGGGGTCCGCGGAACTTTAAACTCTGAGGATCAGTCCTTGAAGGATCATCTCCTCAGGGAGAGCAGTCCATGAGCAACACCTGCTGGATGAATGTGGTATATCATCTCTCATCTGAATCAGCATAATGACGTTCTGAGCTGAGGTAAGACTTTCACAAAGTAGACTGGTGATGATTCATGCTTGTCAAGAATTCATTGGGTTATTTGGCTCGTGTTTAGTTCCGGGGTTCCACGAGCACAGGGCAGCAATGGACCCAATCCTGTCCTCATTTCCAATCCCATCACCTGCCAAGAGACGCTGTTTATGCAACATCCCTGTCCCGGCCCCGTTCGGCTAAGTTGATCGGCAGTTGTATTCGTATTTTTTTCTCCGTCGTCACCATGATGCCACGTGAAGAAGCAGAAAATTCTTACTCGTATTGCAAGAAGAACAGCTATTATAATGCTTTCATAAAATCTCGCCAGTTTCAAAATACGTAAGAGAACAGGGCCCATCTTCGTATATGCGGAAGCAGAGCCTTACTCTTGCATGTTTTAAAGTGCTGTGCACGAACCACCTCAGCTGCCTTCATGGGTTAGAATACGAAGTAATAATAAAGTGGCGGAGGGATGGGCCATGTATCATCCTTTGCTACGCATACAGTATAAATACTAAAGCTCGTCTGACCCAATTCAAGGGGCGGCATCGACAATCATCCAGACAATCCTCTCCATCACTCTTCCTCCCACCTCACAATCAGCCCACCGTTGTTTAATTTTCCAAGCCAATAATCAAAATGAAGTTCGAGCTTAGCATCTCTCTCCTGACCGCAGCCGCCTCTGTCGCGGCCGCTCCTACGGGAAGCTCTACGTTCAAGGTCAAGGCAGTAGCGGCTGGCAGCGCCATCGACTCCAAGAACTTCGCCGCCGCCCAAAATAACATCTACCTCAACCTCGCGGGCCAAAATGCCGTCTGCCAGAACGGGTCGCAGGATGATGCCACATTCTACATCCGCGACGGCCAGCTCTTCCTTTATGCCACCAAGGCTGCTCCCCAGCAGCTTTATGCAGACCGCAGCGGCATGGGTATGTTTAATGTTCTTTCCGTTCGTTGAGGAAGTGAATTTAGATCTAATTCCGTTTGACATAGGCCAAGGCAAACTGGGCTACATCCGCCCTGGCCAAAACCCCCCTAAGAATGCCGAGCTCACTGGCTGGTCTGTTGACGAAGCCGGTAACCTCGGCCTGAACGGTGCCGGTTTCATCGCCTGCCCTGGCGCCAACCTCGATGCCTGGAGTGTCTGGGTGAATGCGGGTGTCAGCCAGCCTGCAGGCAACAGCGGATGTGTTCCTGTCGTCGCCGAGGTCGTGGACGACGGACACCCTCTGAGCTGCTACTACTCCGAGTCATCTTAGGACAAATCATTGATGGATTATCATTTGTGGACAGCATTAAAAACATGTACATGCATAGCGATGGAAGTAATTATTCTCAGGTCTTAGCTCACGCGATAGAAGTTTGCATAGAAGTCTAATATTGTATAAAATGTGTACACCCACTGACCCCCATCCTCTTCGCCTCTCTGAAATGATGAAAGAAACACGGCTTGAAAGGTTTACAAATCATGTATGGTAACCATTAATTCTTCGTCATTTTTAGCTAGAACACACTCAACGTTCGATGGAAATGAAACGTCAACAAACAAGTTGGAAAATCGTACTCTATTATTCGCACACAGAAAGACTTTGACCGTCTCCCTTCTAGCCCTTAGTAACACTATTCTAAAATATCCTGATTGTTACCTCTGCTCTACTACCGCGATATTGTCTGAACATATATCTCATCCCTAGAGATGAACCGAGGGACTTCCATTAGAAGAGAAATTTGTCTTGAACCTTGACGAAATATTCAAACGCCTCCTGCCTGGCATCATCGGTAACCACCGCCGTGGCATTGTCCCTGAACTCAAGCATCTTCTTGCTGTCTCTATCCCACTGTGGCCAGTTGGGCAGGTCCCCATTATGGCCAAGCTTGTTGGGATCAAGAAAGTTGACGAAGCTGATGTAGTATCGAAGGATGGCTTCATAGGGCACTAAAGGCTGGCCAGTTCTCATCAAGCCCAGATCTGAACCATGAAAGGTTCCCAGAAAAGGAGTGGCTTTACCATATTTGGAATTGAAATTCCAGATCTTTAGCTTCCTAGCTATAGCTTCGTGGAAGGCGCGTTTCTTGAAATGGAAAGCTAAATCGCCCACAAGAGCAGCGTTTCGTTTAAACCCTGGGTAGAGTTGGTTGGCATTCCCAGTGTCAAATGGGGATCCCAGAGACGGCTGATCCGGATAGACGTCCAAAAGAGGTTTGAAAATATCAGAAGGGGCGACGGGGTAGAGGTCGTGAAGCGCTTTAGTCAGGGTAGCTGAATTCGTGCTATTGAGCATGGAAAGAGCGAAAAGTGTGCCTTCGTCATCTTGTGTGCCAGACAACACAGGGATCGGGGCAATCTTTTGGTTTTTGAGTAAATCAAAACTTGAGGAGGGCAAGAATGTATCCTTTGGGTCGGGGCGTGGAACAAAACTCATCCTGAGCCCGTCGGGGCTGAACATTCCCGGAATAACTGCCGTAGCGTTGTACAACGTATCGTAGGGAACCTTACGCAGGCACGAAAGACGACCGCCAGCAGCTCCGCCACATCCAGTGGCCGTGACGAGAGCGTCATAGAAGCTCTGAGCAGTTTGGCTGTCAACTGGCTGCCCTGGCAAAGCAGCGCCCGAGTTCATGATCGCCCCCCTGAAGAGCTTTCGGCCGCGATATGTGTTGTCACCGTTGTAGGCAATCGATTGATAGAATACCGACATGCTGCCCGCAGATTCGCCCCATATGGTTACTTTGTCAGGATCTCCACCAAAAGCGGCGATGTTATCCGCCACCCATTGGAGGGCGAGACGCTGGTCCTTCAAGCCGATGTTTGTGTTTCCCTCTTCTTGGAGGTCCTTTCCTGCGAGGAAGCCCCAAGTCCCAGTGCGGTATTGCATGCGGACGATGATTACTGGCTGGCCTAGGGCGACGGACTTGGAAATCATGGGTGAGTAGTCATAGTCTTCGTAGGAGCCGAATTGAAATGAGCCACCGTATATCCAAACGAGGACCGGGAGCTTGGCGTTTGGTGCGGTAGATGATGGCCGTTGAACAGCTAGATTCAAGCAGTCTTCACTAACGATGGTAGGAGTGTGAAAATATCCATTCACAGCATCAGACAATGGAGGTGGAAGCAGTTTGAAGATGTTGGGGTCTGTGACAATGGGGTGTGGCGGGCAGCTCGGGGGTGTGGATGTGGCGTTGAAAACTCCAAACGGCGAGGAGAGGCGCCGAGGGGACTTGAAACGCAACTCTCCGATGGGAGGATCTGCGTAAGGGATGCCTTGGAATGTATCGATGGAATTGTTAGAAAATCCAATGACAGTTCCATCGGCAATGCGTACTCGTGGTGGCGGGTTGATGCAAGCCGCCAGAACACCAGAAATGCTCGCAAGGACTAAATTCCCGGTAGAAAGACGCATGATGGGCTTCGGCTATTCTTGATCTCGTGTTCTGTATGCGGGTGAAGTGTATGCTGCAGAGTGACAACTGCATGATCATGAAGCAGCAGTGCTCCTTTTATGTTCATCTTGACAATGGATCAAGTAGCAACCAAGCCACGGATAGTTCGGCGTACCAGAACATATGCTTACACTACCTGAGCATTTCATTGGAAGAAGCGCGGTCTGCGTCCTAGTCATTCATGTTTCTTTGGGAGAGAAAACGTTGACCACGCGACAGGCAACTCGGGGACGTAAGCCCTTGTCCCCTGTGTAAGCCTCTTGCAGATCGGCAAGACCCTAAAAGAAACAGTGACCAATTAGGAGCCGCCAATCTGTAAGCCTTGGGTCTTCCTTAGTGCCCGGTTGGTTCCCTGCAGGTTTGATTTCCTTCAATTAATTCTGGAACTTAAGATGACATCAGCCTTTCGGCCTACTAAAGTGCTGTGATTCAACTCAGGCTTACTCCCTCAACTTGGGTAGGTCAAAGCACTGCATTTGGTGTCGCATCACCCGATATTAGGGTGGAGGGAGCCTCAGTAATACGGACGCCAAATCGCGTGGAGATGCCCAGGCATATCCTCAACGGAAAATCACAACCACTACATGAAATATCCATAGAATGGTTAAGAATGCTTCATCGAGCTACATATTCAGATCAAGATTAAGTGGTCTAGATACTATACATGTTTATGCAAACTTTAGGGAAGGCGTAACTGCCAGCTAATAGAACGAAAGCCCGTTTTGAACAATCGATCATTAGGAAACACGATATTGAGAGCCATTGTATTGCTTCTGTCTGCCTAGGCGATATTAATTTACATTATTTTGATACAGATCACTCTGGTAGACTCCTCTTGTTCCATGCCATATTACTATATTGGCTTAGTTGAGGGTCTTGGTAGCCCTGGACTTGCAAGATCGAGTCCGAGTTGAAGTGCGAAGGGTGCTCGTAGAGCCGGGAATAGAGATAGATGAGGAAACAGGTGTAGAGACTGGAGTTGAGACCGGGGTAGAGATTGGGGTAGAGGCCGGCGTAGAGACTGGAGTGGTGGTAGTGCTATTCCCACCAGGGATCTCAGCGACCTTCTCAATGCGGCCCTCAATCTGAGTGTTGATGGGGCTGGTCTGGTTAAAGTACCGGACGAGAACCTCGTCTTGAAGGTCGAGAGGGACAAACCCAGTATAGATTGGGAAGATGTTGTCGCCGCCACCAGCAACGAAATCGAGCGTCGCAATGACGTAGTCGGCAGCAGTATTAATGGGTTGCCCATTGATAAGAGCACGGACGAGGCAGCTACCGGCTGCCAGGTTGGGGTTGTACTGGACCTTGAGGGTTTTGGAGATCTGGAAGCCCGAGGTGAGAACGTTCCCATTGAACTGGCTGACGCGGGAGACGCAGCCTTCCAACAGACGGAGAACATCAGCACCCGACATGGTTATCTCGGTGACGGCGTTACCGAAGGGGAAGGAGGTAAGAACCTCGCCACGGGTGATATCTCCAGTATCGATGGCGGCGCGGATTCCACCAGCGTTGATGAGGGAGAAGTCGGCAAAGCCATCGCGGTAGTACTGGATGGCATCAGCCATGGCATTGCCAAGCGTGCACTCCTCGGTCTGGCAGGTAGACTGGACAAGCTCAACATTGCTGAAACCAATGACTTGGGCAGCAAGTTCCTCGAATGGTGCACGCCACTCCTTGATCTGCTTCTGGAGCTCCTGGTCCTGGACGGTGGTGTTGTCCAAGTGGACGGGGCCACCATCGTAAGAAATGGCACGGCCCTCCTCGTCAAAGGTCACATCAATATAACCCAGGTACTCGCCCCAGCGGTACGCAGTGACAATGAAGACCTCGTTACCGGCAGTATCCTTGGTGATGGTAGGATAGGCGCCCTGGGGGCTGGAGCCCATATTGCCGAGCGGGGTGTGCGAATGGCCGCCAATAATCAGGGACAGGCCTGTGGTGGACTGGGCAAGAATCTGATCCTGGTCGTATCCAATGTGAGTCAAGGCAACGATGCGCTTAATACTGGTAGTGGCCTTGATCTCGTCAATGGCAGCTTGGACATGCTCGATCACGTCAAGGAACTGGGTGCCCGGGCCGGGTCGTGAAATGTTGATTGTTGTTGGGGTTGTGCAGCCAATGATGGCAATGCCCTGCTTCTCAAAGATCTTGTAGGGAATAATTGTCTGGTTCAGGACAGGATGCTCGGAGCGGATATTGGCGGAGATGATGGGGAATGTCAGGTTGGCAAGGAATTCACCAAGCTCGTCATCGCCACCATCGAATTCGTGGTTGCCGAGGGTCATGGCATCAAATCCGAGCTGGTTGATGGTCTCGGCAATCTTCTCTCCCTTGTAGTAGGTATAGAAAAGGGTGCCCTGGAACTCATCACCGGCATTGAGCCAAAGCGAGTCCTCATGCTGGGGGCGGAGCTCATCAACCGCATGCTTGATCCGAGCGTAACCGCCGTAGCAGCCGCGTGAAGGGTTGGTGCAGTCGGCACCTGATGAGGCGAACTCGTCCAAATGAGCGTGGACGTCATTGACGTGGAAAAAGGCTGTCATTGGATTGGGTCAATACGTTGGCGTGTCGCATGGGAAAGGGGTGATATCGTCACTTACACATCACATAGTCGCCATCTGCATTGAGCCCACGCTTGCTCAGGTGAGAGCTCATGAGAGAATCCTCGTGCACCTTCTGCGGGCTGGCGGTCACGACGCTGGCGGCAGCCAGGGCCCATGCACAAATGCTCTGCTTCATCCTGACAGCTGGCGGGAGTCAAAGCCTTAATTCAGGACCTTTGCGCTGCTCACTACGACTTCGTTGTGATCGACACGTCTCAAACCAAGAAGAAGAGAAGTAGGGATATGGCAGAGAGGTAGTGGTGACCTTAAGTACGCAAACATTTGATTGCATGCGGCCTGTGAAGCGTTGGCATTGCGCAGATAAGCCCATCGGAGAGAACCGATGGATTGGCCCCTAGCACCGGCATCTTTGCCCAGGACAGTTCACCAGCGAGGAGAGATGCCTAATCGATCCGCTCGCCGAACCTTTGTTGGGCAAGTCATGTTGTGCCGATCCAATTGAAGCATATCTGTGGTGAACGTGTTTGCCCCTCAATCTGGACAGAACAAGGAAGGGCCCGTCATGCTTAATTGCCAAGCCCTGCACGTAAGATGGAGGCGACAGTTTAGGAAGGTCAGAAACTGGAGGCATCGGCTGGAGCTCGGAGGAGGCAGAGGGTATGAGGTGGTATTGATAATGTCACAGAGCTAGGACGTCTGTCTCCTACCTACAGAGACTCAAAGGGGGGAGGGTAGTCACACGGCTCGACGATCCAAAGAATACTGCAGAATCACCATCATCGCGAGGGCATTCTTTCCATAGGTAAGGAGGAGGAGCGAGAACTGATTTGATCAGGAAGCTGGGGGAAACGAGGTCCACCGAATGGATTTCACTACCAAGTAAGCATAGTGGAGCAAGCTTAACCAAATTAACTCTAATAAATTCGCACGCTGATAACAATTGGCACTAATGCCAGGGTCAGACATTGGCTGGTCAAGGCGTGTCCGAAGGCGGGGGCTTTGTTGTTGCTCTTATCGGCAGAGACCGATCCCGATCGTCCCGTCCTCCTCTCTCAATGAAACTGAAACGGTGGTGGTTCAAGAAATGTTGATTATTCTTGTGATTAGTCTGTGAGAACGAAGAGACTTTGGAGCAATGGCTAGAGGTTGGCATCACAAATCAGTAAATGGTTGATACTCTATTGGGGCGATGCTATTAAATGACACACCGCCCGCAGCATTTGACAGATTAAAGCTGTGGCACTCGTGGGCAAATGATGTATTCTCCCTTACAATATAACAGCATGTGTAATGTACAAGGGACAGACTGTTGGCCACTCTCATGTCCATGAACCTTTGCATGCGTCATGAAATGGTTCATCCTGATGGGCTGGGGGAACACGTTCATTGGATTTCTTCTGCGGGGTGAGTGGACCTTGCAGTTCTGGAATTCTGGAATTCGGTGTCTTCCGATCAGAAAGTGCCAAGAACGGTGCCGGGTGTTCCTGCGTTAGTTGGACTGGCCGGGAGGCAACGTGCTTCCAGATGCACGTGTTTCCTTCCATCCCCGACTGCACTGCCTTACCCATCAGAGGTACATGCCAGAGACTCGATCAAGTGTGCACGGCTCAGTGAGCAGCACGCGGTGGTCCTTTGCTCCCACTGTGTTATGAAATCTGTCTGCGTTCTGGCCTTGGAGACGAGCCTGGGACAGAAACCACGTTTTGGGGAGATTTGAGCTCTGCATTGTCCTAGTGGGAGCACTACATACTTTAATTACCCTCTAGTGCAGTGATCTTGTCAGAAATTGCCATGTTGGTGGGAAGAAATCGGCGCAGCAACTACTCCGAGCTCGATCCCGCGGGCCAATCAGCGGGCCAGACGAGGCCACGGAGACGCATCAGCCCATGTGCCAGGGACAAACTACCTTAATGAGAGGAGAGAGGCAAGATCCATTGACAGGCACTGGTCTGGTCTGGCCACATAATAATAAGAAGTGCACGCGCTGTCGGCTCAATTGCACTCTTTTCCTTCTCGTCCCCGTCAAGCGTAGGCTCGATACTAATTGTTAATACCCTTCACTCTTTTCCTGCCCCCAGTCATTCGCTCCTGAATTAATCATGAAGTTCTTCAATCTTGCTCTGGCGGCCCTGCCCATGGCTTCCGCCGTCAATGTTCGCGCCAACAGCACTCCTGCTACTCCCAGCAACAGCTTGGCCACCCCAACCCCGGCCTCTTCGAGCATCAACATCTGCGAGGGTCCTCATACTTTCATTCCTCTCTCCTCGGGCGGCGCCACTCCAGTCTCAAGCAGCGTTCGCGCTTCATCAGTTTCCACCAGCGCCGCTCCCGCCAACACCTTGATTGGTGGAGGCAATACTGATGCTTACTGCCCACCCAAGGACGATCTCCCTAATGGTTTCATTCCTATCGGAGGAACCTCACGTCCTGCCTCTAGCTCTACCTCCAAGCCTAGCACTCCCAGCAGCAGCGCAACTGGCACGGCTTCCACTTCTGCTGGTGCCAATGGTGATGGCAAGTCCTCGACCAAGGCCACCGGTGGCAGCGGCACCGTCCCTACTCAGACCAGCAAGCCTGCCATTACCGACCTCCCCCTTTCAACAAGCACCTACACTGCTACCCAGACTTATACCATCACCAAGTGCCCGCCCGAGGTCACCAACTGCCCCGTCGGCTCCGTCACAACCGCCACTGTGACCCAGTACACGACTTATTGCCCGGCCATCAGCACCCCGCTGACTTACACGGTCACCACCACCGTCGCCTGCAAGTCTTGCCAGGGCGGACAGACAACCACTCCTGTCGTTGTCACCATTGTTCCAGCACCCTCCAGCTCCAAGTCTGGCTCAACCACCACCCTGGGCGGCAACTCTCCTGTTGCTCCCTCATCGGTTCCCGCTGCTCTGTCGCCGAGCTCTGCTGCCAATCGCCCGGGTTCCAACGGCACCTTCACCTCTGCCCAGCCTTCAGCTAATGCCACCGCCTCTGGAAACCGTCCCGCCGCTTCCGGTCCCACTTCTGGCGCTGCTTCTTGGGGCGTCCAAGGCCTTTTCGCAATTGTTGCTGGTGCTTTGGTTGCTGCCCTCCTGTAATAAGAGTCTTTGGCGCGCCGGAAGCGAATGCCTGCCGTACACCTCAGCAAGAATTAGTTGCGTTTCTATGGTGGGTGCCTAGTCTTTAAGGGCGACAGTAATTTAAATGGCAAATAAAGTTTTCACCATAGTCACTGTTCGAATTGATGCTCATACGGTAAAATGCTGCTTTTCTTGAGGGTTTGGCTCAAGGAGCTCTGCAGCCCCCATCTGTACCTGTGAAATACGAGTGGATGCTTGCGTTTTCTCCTTCCGCTTTGGGCGGCCTGCCAAGAGGACCTTTCGCCAAGCGATTTGTGCTAAAACTGGGAATTGATACAAGCATGCACGTGGGATGGAATTCTAGACCCTCTGGACTCTGCGGAGCGTGAAACCCCTTGCCTTTCGCCCCTTGCGTTGATAACGGGCACCACATGCCCACTACTGACCGAGTTAGCCCACTGAAAGATCCTCTGCAAACGCGAGGTGAGGCATAGGGCAGAAGTAACTATATACACATAATAATTGTTGAGTATATAGAGAATTAAACCTACTTAGGATAGGTACTGCTAGATATAAATTTTCATGGAAAGTGACCTTTCGGGATTTGCGCAAAATTTTCTTCTATATCCTCTATCCTTCTCCGTTCAATTATTCCATTCTTCTATGACAGAACGGACCTCTGACGTGTCGGCCACAGGGACGTATTCGATATCCAGCCTATGACAAAATTGCATTAGTAGTTTGCCTTTGACGGGGACATGTAACTTACCCGAAACCCTCCGGTCCTCCATTCTTCAGTCCTTCTCCTGTTGTCCATTGTGAGCTACCGGCAAGAACCACAACATGGACTCGTAATCCATAACGATAGTCCTGAGTGCCCAGCGCCCTGCCGTCTTCAGCATCGAGCAAGCATATCAGGTCAGGGACGCTGGCCAAGGCAACTTTACTCTCCACATGATACGCAATTATGTTTTCGTTCTGGAAATCGACCTTGATGTCCTTAGAGGTCGATGATATCTTCTCCTCTCCTCCAAACACGCCAAATGGTGTGAGCTTCGCAGATCCCTCCGTAAAGCCATCTCGCACATGGCGGGAAACGCTGGTGATCTTGCCGGTCAAGAGCTTCCGTCCAGGGTGTATTGCTAGTATACTCTCCACGATGTCTCGTTTTTCCAGCCGTGCCAGCTGCGAGGCTCGACCCAGTCTCCATGCAAGGGATATCGATGACTGGGCCGCGTATTGCTTGACTTGGTGGCCGGTCAGGTTGCCGAGCGATATTCCCGCTGCCTGTCCCATTTGCACGCAAACGGCACGCAACATGGCCTCGATTTCGCGATTGGAGCTCGCTCGGACCTGCACAACAGTGTTTCCTTTGCCATCCGATGCGGCTGCCGGGGTGAGCACGATGCCCGCGTTGTTAGGCGTGACCTGCCAGAGGTTTGGATATGCCCGACCCATAAAGTCCGCATCGACAAGGGGCTTCCCCGTCCAGAGAGCGGCTTGGATGCCACGCATACCATTTGAGCCTCCAATCTCGAGGCTCATAATTGCCGTGAGGTCGTTGATGGTTAGACCCTGGGATGCCAAGGCAGCGGTCACCGAATTCTTCAGCTCCTCGCCGGAAGGAAGACGTTCGGAAAATGTACTCGGTGAGCCCATCACCGCTACTGCTGGAATGACACCATCATCCGGTAGCAGATCCAAGGGGATAACCTCTACCGAGCCACCGTGAGCCAGAATCCTCTTAGCACTGAGATGACTTGCGTAGACATCTCCCCCACCGCCGCAGCCGAGTATGGCGCAGCCTTCGGCGATGAAGTCAAGATCGAGCGGAGAAAGAAGCCATCGGCTGTTTGTAATTTTTGGACGATAAGATGCAACGTCAAAAGTATCTTCAGACACAGTCTCGTACGTTGGAGAAATCTCTGGACTTGGCGAAGGAGATGTTTCTGCTTCATCCACCTCGAGAACTCCATCACTGTTGACCAGAGCTGAATTCTCTTTCAGGGTGTCATGGCCAGTCCTTGACAGCCTCCCAACTGCCCGAACACTGATATGTGACGATCTCGTGTTAGTATACGGCACCGGTAAAATAGTTTCCTCCACAATCTGAGGGTTCTCGGCCCCGGCAAGGCGGGCGTTGAGGATCGCCTGCTCTCGAACTTGAGAAACTGCCTGCTCTTCTGACTGACTGGTGGTGAGATGCACGATTGCGTCTGCAGATCCAGATACCTTCGCCATTGCTGCACCGACTGCGTTTGCGACGTGGGCGAGTGGATGCCGTAAGATCTCGAACACGCCTTTGACGGACTCCGGGCAGAGGATGCTACCTCCTCCCACAAGGATAACGGGAATATCCGTCGCGGCGGTTTTCATCTCATCGATGACTGTTTCCAACAGCACCTGGATTCTTTTTCTGGCCTGCGAGATCACAGATGCCGGAACATCTGAGACCAGCGACTTATCTCCCAGCTCTTCCAGCCCGGAGGCTACGGCTATGTCCGTTGCGGTCAAAACCTGGCCTCCAAAAACTCGAGCCTCAGTGTTGAGGTCCTTTCCTACCGATCGGGGTCCGACGGCTACCTCACCCGAGTCAGTCACTTGAACAAGCGAGCCTCCCCCAAGGCCGATACTGCGGAGGTCCGAGACGGCAAAGTTGGTCCTCACGCCTGCAAAATAAGAGACTGCAGCCGCTGGACGCGGCAAGCCTGATGGCTCTACTGCGCAGACATCAGAGGTTGTCCCACCAATGTCCAGGACCAAAGCCCCCTGATCAATGCGGCCTTGAGTGTTTGCGAGGAATACCGCGCCGGTTAAAGAGTTTGTTGGGCCTGATAGAAATGTCGATACGGGCAGGCTTGCAGCATCTGCTGCTCTGATAAGGGTACCGTCATTTCTCGTGAGGAATCTAAGGAAGGTGTCAGCAAAGAGGGTAGGCTTGAGCTTGAAACTGAACTCACAGTTTTGCAGGTATGTCAAGTTCGCGAATTGATCGTTGAAACTGGCCAATTGTTTTCCGGGCAAAAGGTAAAATCGTGGCGTTCAAGATCGTGGCGTTCTCCCTCTCGATAAAGCCTACGCCGGCGACCTTGTGCGAGAGAGTGATGTTGACATCTTCTCCAAGGACTGAGCGGAGGATATCGGAAACATGCTCCTCTTGGTGTAGGGATGAGTCTATTGGGGAATAGATGCCAATGATGGCGATATTCCTGATGCCCGCGGCCCGGATCTCCTCAGCCGTCTTCCTGACAATGGCTTCGTCCACGGCCTCTATTTCTCTCCCATCAACTAATAAGATCTGAAATTAGCAAACTCCTGTACGAAACATGGGAGGAATATCACCGCACTTTCCAGGCCGCCTGGCAACGTTGCACTGAACCCTTCGACAATGTGTCTTAAGTCATTCGGAAGGCCGGCAGATGGAGGCACTTCCCTGCCATATGGTCCACCAAGACGCAATACGGCGACCTTGGCTAGTTTCCTTCTGTCTTTCTCAATGACGGAGTTGAGGAAGTGCTATAACTGGATTTTAGTGCCACTGAACGATGAATTTTCAAACTGTTTGGGATATAGTAAGCTAACAGTGGTGCCAACATTGACAGCAATAACATCGTCCCTGGCCTCTTCCGGAAGGTCACCCAATATCTTTCTCAAGGCCGTGTTGATGCCAAGGCTGGTGTCAGGCGTAGTAGGAGTCTTTGTCGTGCTCAAGATGCTTTGTGCGGGCCCGGTCTCACTCAAAGTAAGATCGATGGCCACGGCATCTGTGTTGGTACCCCCTGGCATAAAGCGTTACTTTAAGTTCGTTATCAAGGCCATGTTAGTGATACATACCAACGTCTATCCCAATTATGATCGGCATTTGTATCCTTTGCGTGAGGAACAAAGAGACGATTAGGGCGTTGATCTATACGATAGGTTATGTGATATGTGCCAAGAGTATGAGATACCTGCAATCTTTGACGATGTCAAACGAGTGGGTTATTTTCCCTCGCAAACTGGCGCGTAGCGAGTCTGTGTTTCATAGGACGTCAATTACTAACCCAGGTAGCAAGACCCAGCCCACCGGGAACTACCTTGTTCTTGACCCCATTTCCGAATCAACTGATCAAATGATGCCATCGCTTGGCAACCGATGTCGGCTCCCTGAGGAAATTACAGACATTAGATTAGCTTAAAGTATGAGTTTCTCCACTATAAAACGGACAATTTCTAATAAATCTTCCAATACTACCGGTAGGGCGGGACCTAGCAAATGGAATTTGCCGCTCTCCAAAGAGGGGGTGATATTGACTACATTTTGGACCTTGTCAAGCCAGCTACTCCTGCTTAACAGTAGAATAAAACCTCGGTAATGAGGTAGATAGTCATTTAGTTCAGCAAATAGATTAATTAACTATACATCTTCTCTCTATAGTTATTTTAGGGGAGCTGGAGTAATATTGGTCCTGTAGTAAATGAAAGTGTATTGCCTGTACAGTTAGACTCCGTTTTCTTTTTTGCTTAGGATCCAGTTGGACAAAATATCACCCTTCTTCAGAGAGCGGCAAATTCCACTTGTTAGTCAGACCCGTTGGGTAGGCAGCTAGCCGGACTAACTCGACAGCTGTACTCCGGATTGCAAGAAGGACATCAACAAATAAGAAAATATCTACAACCCCACGAGCTAATGCAGCTGTGACATTACATCAGAACGTCTTGAATAAAATATCATCTAAACCCAATCCGAGATGTCGTCAAATCAGCAGGCTCGGTATAATTAAGTGTACGATTCTAGATCTAGCTATATTAACGGTATGGGAAGAAAAATACAGCAGGTGTATTGATGAGACAGCGGCATCAACCACATAGATTTTATGCTAGCCATGTGTTATTTCTTTGCAAACTCAGGCATGACTAGGGTTAGGTGCCTCCTGCTCTTGATTATCGTGGTTCTCGGCGGTCCATGCTTTGAACTCCAAAAGGCCTTCGTCGTTGCGTATGGCCTTGCCATTATTCCTACACCATAATGTCAGCAACCGTCAATCGTATCAAGTGGAAAAACTCACAAGTCTCTCCTGATTTGGAACAGGATCACGCCAACAGTGACAATAGCGAGTCCAATCATTCCTGCGCAGACTTGGTATCCGTAATCGTAATGGGGTGCTATCGAAATAGTGTTAGTATTCTAATCAAAGCGAGGGAATTCTCTCATGTTGGGCCGGCATACCGTCGATAGCCGGGAAAAGCAGGACAAGAGCCCAGGCATTAATTGCGTAGACCATGGTGTTTCCAATTGACACGATAAGCCCACGGAGTGCGCCGTTACCCTGGCAGACCTCATTCAACCAGGCAATGGTGATGGACTGAGCGGGAAGGCCTGCGGTGATGAAGATGTACCCAGCAAACTTCAGGCCCTCTGGGGCTTCCCATACTGCCACGAAAGCATTTCCAGCTAGACATAGTAGCATATTTGCAACAATGACTACTGGACGGTTTTGCAACCAATCGGAAATGATTCCACTAATGATCGAGTTGATGAGAGCAGCTCCCTGTCCAGCTGTCGGGATATTGTTGAGCTGAGGCACAGTGTACTTGCCAAGAGATTGGAGCCACAGATTGAAGTAGCCATCTCCCCAAGAGAAAGCTCCGTATAGACTAGGGATAAATGAGTGATTTGTTGTCGGCTTCAACATAGAGTAAACGTACAAGTAGCAGATGACGAAGAGGTAGACATGCCAAGTTGTCCAGATGCTCTTGAAACGGGCCCAGGTAATTTTCTGGACAGGCTGGCGACCGACGCGTTCCATCCTATCAATGGCCAGTGTGACTTCCTATAGCATGAAGGTTAGAGAAGAAAGATTGGGAGTAATGGGACCCGTACGGCAGGCTTGAGCCACTTAGCTCTGGTATCTCTCGGCTGGTCGGGAAGGGCGTAGAAGCCCCAAAGAGCGATGGGCAGAGAAATTAGGCCGTCAAAAATGAAAAGCCACCTAAAAATATCAAAAGGTCAGAGGTATACTTGGATCATGTAGGATTCTTTATAGCCTTGCCTCCAACTAGCCATGCCTTTCCCGTTCATATTTTCGTAAAGGCCGGCTTGAATATAACCCGAAAACATACCCGCCACTCTCGCCGACACTTCGTACATGGCCATCCTCTTACCCAGCTCAGAGGGGGTGTACCATGAGCCAAGAAGCGCAGCAAAACCGGGGAACGCGATTCCTTGAAAAAAGCCAATGGCGAAGCGTAGGCCGTACACCTGGCATAAAGTCACGTCAGTGGCCAAGATTTTATTGTAAATGGTTTTGAAAAGCTTACCGCGCCGGCCGTTTTGGCACCGGCAATTCCCATGACGAGAAATGTCCAGGCGAGCTCACAGGTTGGCAAGATGATGGACGGTCTGACGTGTGTCGAAAGCAACATGAGAGGGACTATGCCAAGTTAGAGACTTGTGGAATCGACGACGGAAGTTCACAGACCTGCTCCAGCAATAATGCCACAATTGAAAGTTGTCGAGAAGTAGTTCAGTTCATTTCCAATAAGGGATAGCTACGACGTTGTTTAGAAACCAGTGCAATTAGCATTCGCTCTTGAACTCACATCTTCCTTCATGCCAGACACGTAGGCGTTGCTGGAGCCGAGATAGAGTCAGTATGTAGTATAGTACCGACATAGAATGTAAGAGTCGACGCACAAGATGTTGGTATTATCCAGAGTCTGCATAAAACAGGACAGCGTTGTGTATGACCTATAGAGGATTAGATTAAATTCCCATTTTCACGTTCTAGTATGAACATACAAAAGGAAGAGGTCGAGTTTCCGGACCAGTGTCCTATCTTCGTCCTTGTCGAAGTAACGGGGTAGTTTTATCCCGAGGAGGTGCTGCGGATGTTTCCCCACATGATCCTCCTGATCTGAATCTCGAACATCAACAGCAGTGGTTTGGATATGGTTTCCCTTGGTCGGAGAGACCCCAGGATCTGTGATTGTGGCCATAATAAAACCCAAAAAAGCCGTTGCCTCGAAAACAACGAAGATGTATTGCTGGGTACACTCTAGCTACCTACCCAACACCTCGGGAGATTGAATGTTTTATATCGGTCGGCGAACTCAGCAACAACCTCAGGGAATAAGACCAGGGTCGAAACTAGCAGGCCCATTTGAGGAATGGCTTAATAGACTCAGTAGCTTTTGCCCCACACATCGAGCCGCACCACGACCCAAGTATGTGGTTCGGACAAGGGTAGCTGCAAGACGCAACTTCATTATCTGATGACGTCTTAAGCTATCTGCTGGCATCAGCCATGCTCGCAGTGTACGCCATACTAAAAGGGGCGGATATTGATAACCCGACGCGCGGGTTCCGAAAAGCGACATCGGACTGACTCGCGATTATCACGCACGTGGACTTCATGTAGGATTACTTGGCCGATGTGGAGTCGTTCCTGTGGTCAAGATAGAAACGACGCAGTCCCAGGCCAGCACTTGGCCGACAGGAGTAATATTAAGCGCTCATCTGACGAATTTCAAGCCTCGGAATCTTCGTCCACAGCCTCCTCAACATCACCAATCATCTCATATTCGCCATTATGAGTCAAGCCGCTAAATCAGGCAAGAAGAGAATCTATCTCAATGCCTTCGACGCTTGCACCGTTGGTCATACCTGCCCCGGCCAATGGCGGAACCCGGCAGACCACTCGTCAGACAAACGAAATCTCGATTACTGGCTGGAGACGGCCAAAATACTAGAGAAGGGAAAGTTCCTATCGTATTTCCTTGCTGACACTGTTGGGGGATTTGATGTCTACAATGGAAGTCGGGATCCGGCCATCAAGATAGCCTCGGAATTCCCAGTCACTGACCCTTTCGTGGTAAGTCTTGCCTCCACCATGAGAGAAGGCATCTTGCTTAGCCGTCTTGTCAGCCCATCTCTGCCATGGCAGCCGTAACGAAGTCCTTGGGCTTCGGTGTCACCGCATCGACAAGCTATGAAAGACCCTTCCTCCTGGCTCGCCGTTTCTCCACGCTGGACCATTTCACAAAAGGCCGTATCGGATGGAATATCGTCACGTCATGGAACAAGTCTAGTGCGCTTGCAATGGGGTTGACCGATATCATCCCTCACGACGAGCGCTACGAGGCCGCGGATGAGTTAATGGACGTTCTGTACCAGTTAGTTACTCAGCAATTCCGTGTCTTGGATCGCGAATTAACATGCCGTAGATTGTGGGAGTCGTCTATTGCCGATGATGCTGTCGTCAAGGACAAGGCATCCGAGACTTATATTGATCCCTCCAAAGTCCGGACCATCAAGCACGAGGGGAAGTACCACAAACTCGAAAGCCCATTCGTAGTTGATCCAAGCCCCCAAAGAACACCGTTTCTCTTCCAAGCCGGTACATCCTCGTAAGTGTCCCCCATCGGCTGAACCCTTACCACACCTCTCGTCTGACTCCTACATCAGCGCTGGATCAGCGTTCGCAGCAAAACATGCCGAAGCTATCTTCGTGGCGGGTCACGTCCCAGGCACCTTGGCCCCGAAGATTGCCAAAATCCGGCAGCTTGCCGCGGGGCGAGGGAGAGATCCCCAGAGTTTGAAATTTTTCCAATGCCTCACACTCATCCTGGGAAAGACCGATGAAGACGCTCAAGCGAAGCTCGCTGAAATTAAGAAGTATCAATCTATTGAAGGAGGTCTCGTAATCTTCAGCGCCTTTACCGGAATAGACCTCAGCAAATACGAACTTGACGAGGAAATTAAGCCCGAGGATAGCAAGTCTTCTGCTATTATCCAGTCTGCTTTTAGCAATCTGTTCAACGAGGAACAGGGCACTGGAAAATGGACTCCCAGACGAGCAGCCGAGGAGCTGTCGATCGGCGGCAACGGAGCTGTCCTGGTCGGAAGCCCGCAAACTGTTGCTGACGGTCTGGAGAGGTGGGTGGCCGAAGCTGATGTTGATGGGTTCAATTTGTCACCGGTTGTGCAGCCGCAATCTTGGAATGATATTGTCGAGCTTCTTGTACCTGAGTTACAGTCACGAGGGATCTACTGGGACGACTACGATGCTCCCGGGGGCACACTCAGGGAAAATGCTCAAGGCAAGGGGAATAATCGCTTGAGGACCGACCATTTTGGTCATAGTTACACATAAATAGAGCACGAAAAGAAATATAATAGAATTTACTTTAGGTTAAGGAACAGTGGTTTGATAAATCAACACCCACCTATGTTAAAAACCTACCCTTATAGTCCTAAACTCCTTTGATAAATGAGATAGAATCAGACTTTAGGATAGGCTAAGCCTGCTGGTGCTGGTGCGGCTAATTGAGGGAGGGGAAACCTCACAAGAAGAAGCTAAATTAAGATAAAAACAACCTTTCTTCCACTATGCGGCTACGAGTTGGTCTTTCCATATTCGTAGATCCGAAAAAGCTGGTCAAGATCAGACAGAAGTGAACGCGCACCTTCACAAACCCCTAGATGATACCAAGAAGAGAAGAGCATGGCTTCACCTGAGATGGAATGGTGCGTACAAAGCTTGGTGGGCAGCTTTTACAGGCCATGCAGCCGAAGTTCGTGTTATGATCGAGGCCGGTGCGGACCGTGATCATGATGATTCTAGACATGGATTGAAGCCTCCTCATAAGGCGGCAAGCTGAAACTATTCTGAAGTCGTAAGAGCACTACTAGAACCTGGTGTGGCCCCCTTAACGCAGAAAACCGCCGAAATCGAGGTTATAGATATAGAAACGTGCCCAGGGCCACTAAAGATACACCTCTCATATACGCTTGCCACAATGGCCACCTTGAGTCCGTGGGCGTCTTCCTATCATTTACCGATGACATTGATACCATCCACCAGACACTGGCCTTGGCAACTGAAGAGGGTCGATCTTACATTGTGGCTAGGATTCTTCAGCCTCCGGGAGTTAGGGGAATGCTGTGGTTCGTGGAGACGCGCCACTAATTCATGCCTGTGGTGTATTGGATTTTGCGACCCTTGAGTGCCTTTTGAAGGCTGGAGCAGATCCCAACCTTCTCTGCGAGGGTGAAGATGGTGAAGTTGCTGGCTGTAGGGCTATTTCTATTCGCGAGGAGATATAGCGCCCTTCGTTCAACTGCCTCACCAGTATGTGGGGGGATCGCCTTGCCATTCGGCAAACAGGGAAGCCGACAACTTAAGAGCGATATTCTCGTTACTTATGGAAGCGGGAATTGGCGTACATAGGCGAACGCCATCAGGAGAGACTGCATTGCATGGAGCAGTTAAATCACCCGTCTTATCGAGGAGAGTATAAATGTGAACGCCACTCGACTCAATTGCTCTTCGTTGCTCCCCAGATCCATCCGTCCATAGACCCAACTTGCCGAGTTCCTGATACATCAAGACTTGGAATGAGAAAAGGCGATGTCAGAGTCACAATATCCATACTACGTATTGGACACAAGCTCAAGCGCCTCTCTGGCCTCATGCGTCGTGGTACTGATCTGCCAGCCCCTTTGATTGGTAAGCGTTCAGAGCGTCAGATCAGACTCGTCTTTCCCCCGCTTTAATAAGCGGCCAATGAACGCCTAATTTGCTAGCTTGAAAAAGATCATACATCAACTGGGTCCCCGCACTCCATCACCGTATCTATACGGCGCCTCGTGCGACCCCCAACGTATCTCTCCATGACACGACACGGCGGCTCATGACAAACATGATTCGAAGGCGTAAAACGCACAGAAAGTCTCGGGAAGGCTGTTTTCAGTGCAAGGAGCGGCACGCTAAGGTACGGTGAATCCACTCCCTATGCTGTCCTGGCTACTCGTCATGGCCATGCCGAGGAGACGCCCACGGCTGAACCCTGTAGTGCAACGAGGTCCATCCGCAATGCCTTCAATGCGAGCGGGCCAACATATCGTGCAGCTTCTCGTCCCCTACCCTAACTACGATGCCACTCAACGAGGACAGCCTAGCTGATCTCGAGCTGCTAGAGCACTGGCACCGGTATCCCGTCACAGGTGACATGACAGAGACCACGAAGCACCTGCAATACGACCTGGTCCGTTTGGGCTTCTCTCACCATTACTTGCTGAATAGCATCCTGGGCCTTACGGCCCTCCAGCTCTACAGTGAGGATCAGTCCCAGTCTAAGTGGTACGCTAGAGCCGTTGCACACCAGCAGGCCGCAATCACCCGAGCTAGGCCGCATTTCGAGTCCCTTGATCAGACGCAGCATCAAGCCCTGCTGGGGTTCTCTGCTTTCACCTCAATGTATGTGGTAGCGGAACCTGTCTATCGGCCCCCTCGCGTCCGCTCTATGGCACAGTTCGACCCTATCGAGGAGCTGTTAAAAGCACTCCAATTTAGCAGGTCTACCTTGGTGTTCGTGCAGCAGAACTTTTCCTCTCTAGTCGTCTCGGAATCGTGGCTACTGACTAAATTCCGTGCCAATAACCAAGACACTCGGCAGGATCTCGAAATAAGATATCCACAGCTTGCGTCTCTCCGGGGACGTATAGAGCGTCAGTGTGCGGGGGAACAGAAGTCAGCATGCGTCCATGCCGCCAAACTCCTGTTCCGCCGCATTGCAATGCTCTCAGGCAACCTCGGAGATCCCGAACCGGGCAAAGTGATCTGGGGCTGGGCACTCGAGGTACGCCAGACCTTTCTAGACATGTGCTCCGCGCGACATCCCGTGGCGCTCGTTATTCTAGCTCACTTTACTGTCTTGATGACCTTCTATCAGGAGCACTGGTGTCTGAGAGACTGGCCAGGCGGGTTACTGGGATATATCAAGGGGGTCCTTGGAGATGAGTGGGAAGATGCCCTAGAGTGGCCGAGTAGTCTTGTCTTTGGGTCGGGAACGTTGGCACCAAGAAGCCCACCGCGGCCACTCACATCGGCGTAAGGTATCAGGAGGCCTATAGAGGATGGATGCATGAGAATATCCCAGTCACGTCGTGTTAGCGCCAGTTCCCGTATACATACTGCGGTCAGTTCATTTTCCAAGCACCGATCCTCCCGGTACTCCGGATACCCATGTACTAAACGAGTAGCCCGAGCTAGGCCTAGCGTACCTGGCCGTATTAATACGGTCAGTGATCCACTCTGATCGCGACTGTCCTAAGCCTCTATTACGCTGAGCATCATGTTGCGGAGTGCATGGCTCAGGTACACTGACCAGGGGCATGAGGAAACAGCAAGGAACTCGAGGCGCGAGTAAAGTCAAAATTCCTGTTTGAGGCATTTCTTTCATCCACTTGCAAATTGGCTAGTAGCAGAATGAAGGTGGTGTGACAAACACGATGATAAATAATCAAAAGAAAGTGGGAGAAAGATTGTCATCTTATATAAAGGTTCAACTTGTCCGACCGATATCAACTGTCCCTCTAAGCATCAACTGGGTAAGCCTCTTCACTTTATTCTCATAAACATTCCAAATTCAACACCAATTTGCATGAACCATCATGTCTACACCAACAACCACGAAAGCCTGGACGGTTGAGGGCAAGGGCAGCTTCGACTGTCTTAAGTTTGACAAGGAGCGCGTTCTTCCTAAGCTCTCCGACAACGACGTGTTGGTCAAATTCCATGCGGCGTCTCTCAACTACCGCGACATCATCATTGCCCTGGTCACTATGCCTTCCTGCACATCCTGCAATGTCATATACTAACCCTCGCAGGGCTATTATCCTTTCCCGACGACGCCAAGTGTCATTCCGGGCTCCGACGGAGCTGGAGAAGTTGTGGCAGTTGGTTCTAAAGTCACCCGCTTTGAGAGAGGTTCCAAGGTTGTGACCCTGTTCAACCAAGCACACTACGGTGGACCGTTGAACCCAAAGGTCTTGGGGACAGGCTTAGGTGGTATCATTGATGGCACTCTGCGACAGTACGGTGTTTTCAACGAGAATGGGCTGGTAGACATGCCAAAGAACCTCAGCTATCTGGAGGCCGGGACACTATCTTGCAGCGCCCTGACGGCGTGGAATGCTCTCTACGGGCTCAAAGCAGTCCTTCCCGGCGATTGGGTCTTGACGCAGGGCACGGGCGGTGTGAGCATCTCTGGCCTACAGTTTGCTAAGGCGGCAGGGGCTCGAGTCATTGCCACAACGTCCACTGCAGCCAAGGCTGAGATATTGAAGAAGCTTGGAGCAGATCATGTCATCAATTACAAGGAGACCCCGAACTGGGGCGAGGAGGCCAAGAGGCTCACGGGAGGTGCTGGTGTTGAACATGTCATCGAGGTTGGAGGCGCGACAACTGTGACAGAGAGTCTGAAAGCCGTCGCCATCGGTGGTCTTGTCACCATCATTGGCTGGATCGGCGGAGAGGGAGAGACTGGACCGAGTTTCCCCCAGATCTTGTCCAGCATGGCTGTTGTCAGGGGAATCGTTGTCGGAAGCCGAGAACAATTTGAAGCAATGGTATGTACTATAGAAACGGATTGTCTCCCTTGGACGGCTTCTGCCAGCTTTGCAATTGATAAGCGGTTACTAACATGAATAGATCCGGGTCACTGAGGCCTCCAACATCAAGCCCGTTCTTGATCAACACGTCTTCAAGCTCGAGGACCTCAAAGAGTAAGGCAGTTCAATCTCGCAATGATTCCTATTACAAGCTAATGCATCATAGGGCCTACAAGTACCTGTCGGATCAGAAACATTTTGGCAAAGTTGCAATCAAGATTGAGTAGATGTAGCTTTCTATACCAGTCTATAGTAGGGATGCAACTAAACGTGTTGGCTTCGAACAAAGTCCCAACCATGATATCAGCCAGTAGTAGTAGGGTGCTAGGATAATTCAAGCACCCACAAAATCAGCTGCCCCGTTTTCTTCACACTGCCGACGCTCATCCTCCAGCCTTGATCCAGTTTCCACCTATCCATCGTACTGTGACATCGCGCTCGAGCGTCTCCGAAAGCTGATCATATTGTGGCCTTGTTATCTTCACTTCAGTCCACGACGCAGGGTGTTCTCCTTCGGTATCTATCTAGAATGCTCGACCGTCGATCCGAATGTAGTATTGAATATGCACATTAAGGTTCCATAATGATGTATAGAGCCTTTTATTAGTCAGAAGACAATTAAACCTAATATGGTAGGTCTATTTTAAATGGGAGGAGTAAAAAAGAAGAAGAAGAAGAAGAAAAGGGAAGATGATCGTCTCTTATATCCCAGATTGCACTGCTAGCATTCGCTCAGTCTAGAAATTGCTCCGCGGAAGAACAACCTTTTTAGTGGCGAGCAGAATCCGTGGCACCGATCATACCCTATATCGGCAACTTCAATCGGCTTTTCAGGCACTTAAGAGGATTCATTAATCACGATTATAACAAACCATATTTGTCCTTCCATGGCATCAAGGAATGACTACATTTGTTATTGCTCTCTGCCGCTATTTGGAGGCATGATGTAACGTTTTAGAAGGAAGCCTCCTAGAAAGCTTTTGAAGATACCATGTTTGCGATTTATCATTTAGCGAACTGATTACGGGTTAGACACTAGAGAGGTCGTTGAACACAGCTTACCTTGAATTACGTGTAAGGTCATGGCCACGATCCGTTGTCCTCCGAGGTGGAACTGTGTCAACTCCTTGGCGACCTGTCAGGCGAATGGCTTCAGCCAAGACATTTGTCGATCCGAAAGCCTACTTCTTTAACTGTCATAACACTTTCGGCATCCAAAAGAATGGCCGAAATCAAAATCTAGATTCTCAGCTCTTGAAGGTGTGTGCCTTTATTAGTTTCGGGGGCGACGCCACATCTCCCGTCTTTCCCGATGTTCCCGCCTTTTCCGCTGTTTCCATCTTTCCCGATGTCCCCATCTTGGTCGCGCATGTGTGTCAACAGCCAACAACATCTCAAGAAAGGACATATATAGAGGCATATATAGAGGCATATATAGAGGTTAATGAAATACTGCAAAGTAGCAGCGAGAGTCCGACGCTTGTCGAATCTTGAAAATGTCCGCCCAAACTCGAGTCGCCGCCTGCCATGTCGCCCCTGTGTTTCTCTCAGCGCTACAGACGACGGCAAAGGCCATTGGCTTGATAAAGGAGGCTGCCAAGAACAAGGCCAACCTGGTTATCTTCCCTGAGACATTCATTTCGGCTTTTCCTATTTGGAGCTCGCTGCGCCCTCCAACCGCCAACCATGACTTGTTCAAGCGCATGACCCTTGAGTCTATCTACGCGGATGGAGAAGAGATTCAATCCATTCGTGCTACAGCTAAAGAGCTGAATATCATGGTCAGCATTGGGCTCTCAGAGAAGGTTCACTCCAGTAGCGGAACTTTATATAACTCGAATATTCTCATTGGAACCGAGGGAGAGGTTCTTATCCATCATCGGAAACTTGTGCCGACATTCTTCGAAAAGTTAACCTGGTCTCCCGGCGATGGTCATGGCCTGCGAGTCGCCCAAACTCCGTACGGGAAGATTGGCAACTTGATTTGTGGCGAAAACACCAACCCGCTCGCCCGATACACCCTCATGGCTCAGGGCGAGCAAATCCATATATCTACATGGCCGCCGATCTGGCCAACCCGACTGCCACCTGTTTCACAAGAGAACTCGACCGACGAGGCGCTACAAAAACCCAACTATGACAACGTCACTGCAAACAGAACGCGGGCTGCTGCCCACTGCTTCGAAGCCAAGTGTTTCGGGGTTCTTTGCAGTGCTGTTCTGGGTGACGACGCGATCGAAGCTATTTCTGATGGGTTCCCTCACTTGAGACAGGTGCTCGAACAAGCTCAGCGTGGCGCGACACAGTTCTTGGATCCCACGGGGGCACCTTTACCCGGGTTCATTGTGGATGAGTCGCAGAGCCATGTCCCCACCGACTTTTTACAAGGCGTTGAAGGCATCTTGTATGCTGATATCAACCTGGAGGACTGTATAGAAGGGAAGCAGTACCATGACGTTGTCGGCGGATACCAACGTCTCGATGTCTTCGATCTAAAGGTCGACCGGACACGGCGGCTTCCGGTCACATTTACGGAGAAAGAGGACAAGTTTCAAAATGAACGGTTTTAAGTAGACATAGCGAGATACGTTGTTTTCTCTAATGACGTATTTTGATAGCTTGAATACAACTTTCTGAATCGAAGAATCATTTCATATTGTAGTAAATCAACATATTTACTTTGTACAGCCTCAACTGCTAGTTATATGTCTGCTTTTGGTCGTGGCATAAACTATACACATGTTAACAATAAAATTATTCATTGTGTTGAGATGTCGAGTCTGGTATCTTCTATTGTTGTTCTTAACTTTACACTCGAACTCTCTCCTGTTAACCATAAAACATCTGACAGATAATATCTCTACCGACTACAATCAATATTAACCACCATGATTGTGCCAGGGTTTGGCTATCGAAACGACCACTTATAGGATAAAACTAGAGCTGTAAACAAAAATAAACTAAAGCTAATGTACTTAAGGCTATCGTGTGTGCAGCCTCATACTATACTAATTCCCACCAATCTTGTGATAGTATGGTCCATTCTTCTGGAAGTCGATAGTTCCCTAAATGGTGTAAACGAAGTCAGGCCTTTTGTCTCCAGCGATCCATTTCTCCTCCTCCGTCATGTTATCCCACTTCGCATCCAGCTTCCCTGCCTGACGGTGGGCATTTGACGCCTTGAGGGAGAAGTGCATCAATGCCGAGACGCCAAAGAGTAGAAAAAATTGATAGCCGAGGACCACTCCGTGCCCAGTCGGGAATCGAGGTGACTCTCTAAGCAGATAGATATTGCATGAAACAATGCCATTCAGGTTTCCAAAGCCTGCAAGCATAGCCACAACAATCGCACGCTTGAGTGAGCCCTCGGTATTGTTGATAGCCCACGACATTGTGTTGGGCAGCACAGGATATAGACCAGCTGCTCCTAGAAAGGTTCCTGCGTATTGGATTTGAGGATCTTGTGAGGAAACTAGCATCACAAAGCCTGCCATGCCTACAACAACAGTCCCCATGTTCAACAGGCCACGCTGGCGGGTTCTATCGGCGAAATACCCAACTACTATTGTGCAGAGAGCAGCGCCAGCATAAGGCGGCACCGATAGCAGCTGGGCCTTGGTCCCTTGGTGACCCATACCCCGAAGAATCGTGGGTAGGAACAGCGAGAAGGCATAGATGGGAACAAGGGCGCCGGCATTGATCAGCATGTACCCATAGGTCTTCCAGTCACGTAGTGCGGCCCAGATATATCTCTTATCAAAGTCATCAGCTGTCTTACCTTGCTTATTGGCAAGGATACGACGCTGGACGCGGATTCGGTCGTCGGGGGTGAGGAACCTGGCGGTGTCGGGCCAATCAAACACCATCCACCAGCAAAGAAAGCCCACAGCAATGGTAACCAAGCCTTCGATGATGAAGATCCAGGCCCATCCGGGTTGGCCGCCAACCCCGTCCATTCGAGCGATGGCCGCTGCTAGAAGTCCACCGAAGGATCCGGCCAGGGCAGCGGAGGAAAAGAATATAGCCATTCGAAAGCCAATTTCGGTTGACTTATACCAGCAAGAGAGATAATAGCTGACACCTAACAGGAGACAGCATATTAGCAGATGGTCAAGGATGAATGTGAGAAGAGATTGAAACTGTATAGCCCTGACGTACCTGGAAGCAGGCCAGCCTCGGCCATACCAAGGAACCAACGCGCTGCGAGAAGCCCACTATGGTTTTTGACAAGGCCAGTCAAAGTCACGATGACTCCCCAGGTCATGATGATCGACATGAAGAAGAATCGAGGTTTGAGTTTTTTGAGTAGCATATTGGTCGCTGGCTCGAAGATGGCGTAGCTGACAAAAAAGATGGTCAAGGCGCTGTTGTAGTCGGCGCCCGACATGTTGAGGTCAAGCTCCATGCCCGCCAGACGAGCATTTCCGATATTCGTTCGATCGAGGAAGGAGAGAAGATAGAGGAGAGACAGCCATGGGATGAGCCAGAAGTCGATCCGGCGAAGAAGCTTACGGTCCTATACGCGTGCTTGGGTGAGTAACTGGCAAAGACCAACTGTAGAGTCATGGAGCTTACAATGGCTGCCCTTTCTTCCTCGCTTTTGCCAGTGTCGGGATCAGGCAATGCGTCGAGTGCTTGGGCGACTTCACGCTCAATATTTGTGGCGGTCTCCCCATTCATGACGCTGGGGCTTTGCAACTCGAGGTCGAGTTTCTGCTTGGTATCAGACTGCATGGCGGATAGCGCTCAGTTAGGGATGAATATTATTGCAAGAGAACTTGTCTAAACGGTCTGGCAACAAGATACCTGTCGCGAGTGACTGCTTGAAGCTATATACCGCGACTTTGAGACGTTTGATAATACTGGTATCAACCCAATGACAATGGTTTTTGATAAGGGGAGCTATCCGGCCCTAATTCTAGCTCCGTACCCCAGGTTCTAGGCCTCAGCCAAATCGAAGATAAGGTTCAACCAATGACCCCAAAAGAGCCAGGGGGGGGGGCCTTGGGTCTAGTATCTCGCCTTATCATGTTTGGTCACAGCCTCGTTTCACACCCGCTCAGGCTTACAGCAAACTACAATTTGGGGTCAACATATCGGTATGTTAATAATTCATTACAAAGAAAAAGCGAATTCTCTCAATTAAAGACAAAGTTGACTTAATAAGACAGAATAGATCCTTGAGTCTAGGATATTTCTTTCCTCCTCTTTTGATTATCCGTATGCCCGAACTACATCTCTAGTTGCATGACCGGTGCATCCAATCCTGTATCTTTATCTCGTATATGACGTGATAATCTATTGAAGCAATACTGTTATTATCCTTGCTAGTATCGGATCCCAAAAGTAGGATTAAAAGTTATTAGAGAGATTAATATATGATGGGCTGAGTTCTAACCCGTGCTATCCGCAACACCCGTGATATCCGTCGCGCTGTAACGCCCGCAGTATAATAGCGTTCCAAAGCCTAAGTTATGCAACAGTCAGTGGTTCATAACTTCGGCTAAATGAAGCGATTCAACAGGCTTAGCATACCATTTTACCAAAGACACGAATCTTTCAGGTCTCTGAATTTTCGATCCCTGCACCTCACAATGTCTTGCCCCGCCGCCAGGACTTACCCCCTCCGCAAACCAAAGGGCCACAAGCTCCCAATCCCAAGGTGGAAGCTCGTTCTAAACAAGGGTATCAGCCATGTCTTTACAGCTTACATCGGGGTCCAGCAACATTCCGATATAGAAGCTGCATCACGGGCCAAGTCTCAAGCTACCGCTGCTATCGCGGCGTGGCTGAAGACCGACACAGGACCATCGGCATTTGAGCAATTCAGCTTGATTGATGGTTGCGATGTTCACGACGCGGCTGTATGGGTGTGCTACTGGACCGAAGCGGCAAATTACAAGCAGAGTCTCGAGGCCCTGTCACTTCCCTCGCTCTATTCAAAACTAGAAACCCCTGGTCGCGCTTCTATCGGTCTATGGCGCGAGGCGTTTGCTACGGAAGTTTCGAGACTGGAGACCAACTACTCTGGCCTCAACTATCTCCCTGGCCTTGCAAGAATACCCGGCACGAGCACAACGGAGCATGACAACTCTGCATATTGGGGCGCAGCACGCGATCGTATTCCCGACTCCGCACACGACCTCTTCCCTCCCTCCACCAACGCAGCTCCTGTACAGACTGAAGATGTGCCTCGCGGTCTTGGACAGTACCTCGTTGGAACCAACCCCGAGAACGTAGCTCACATCAGATCAGGCCAATACTGGGAAAATTGTGCCCAAGACGAAGCGGATGCCTACGAAAGGAAACTCGAGCCAACCCTCCATGCCGGCCTTTCCTACTTATGGGAGAATCAACAGGAAACGGGCGCTCAAGGTTTACGATATCTCAGGAATAACGGACCTCTCGAGGGTTCAGACAATAACCGCCCGCAGAAGGAAACCTGCGGTGCCGGCTTCTTTACCAGTCTTGAAGCGCTTGAAACGTGGGCCAAAACACACCGTTCTCATCTGGCAATCTACCGCGGCGCGATGTCTCATTATAAGGCATTTGAAGGTCGGAGGGAGTTACGGACATGGCATGAAGTTTCTGTGTTGAGGAGCGGTGATGCAAAGTTTGAGTATCTCAATTGCGTCTCGAATACGGGAGTCATTCAAAGCGTCCCACTGGAATTGAAGGATGATGGTGTGGACAATTTATAGTTTCTGCCCAGAGAGTGTAACATGAACATTTCTATTTACTACCAGGCAAATGCCTGCCGAGTGTATTAAACATGATAGGCAGATCACAATTCAGCCCAGTCGACACTTGAGTTGCTGCTTGCTCCGCGTACCACTTGACCAAGATCATAAGCTCCTGCTTTTATATTCTCGACCAGCAAAGAGAACAAAATCCCCAAAATAAAGCTTGCAATGACAATCAAAACGGTGGTTTTCGAGGGGAATTTGATCATTGGGCGGAGATTCTTTGGTGCCAACGGGCCGATCATCTTTCTCTTTTGTGCAATATTTTGTTGTTGAGCGATGATCCCCGCTCTCTTCATGCCAGGTAAACCATCCATGCTGGATTGGCTATTTTGTGCCCAATATCTAAGTTCATGTGAGTTTAGGCCAAAAAGGAGATGAGCGTCACGAGCTTACAGATCCATGCTTTCTTTCTCATTGCCCCCCTTGAACTTTTCATCCTTTTTACGGTAATATTCATTGAGGGTATCTCTATGAGCCTTGAACTCATAAAATGGGACAGAGAAGCCACACGATGTGCCGACTTGGTGAATATCAACTAAAATGATCGATCTTGTGCCGGGAATGACCTTGACGCTGTTATCACGAACAAAGGAATCAAATTCCGGAGTTTTATTCTCCAGGACGCGACCTGATGAGGTTTGTCAGCAAGGGCCTCTTTATTTCTTTATTCCACTCCTCGTGCTGGGTATACGAATAGACGATCTTGTTTTACCTTTTCCCCACAGCCTCACTATTTTGGGAGCGCCTTCAAAGGCAGAAAGCATAATAGTTATTCGTCGGTTCCCTGGTTCATGAAGATGCGAGAGGGTTTCACAGCCACTTCCGGTAAGCTCCAGGAACCAAAACGTCCTATCATCAAGGAGTCCGAAATATTCTCCTCCTTTCGGGGAGACATTCACGTGGCCGGAACCCGAGAGCGGTGCTGTGGCAACCCAGAACATCCGCTGCTTGAGAATCCATGGGGATAATGTCGCCGGAATGGTTTCGTAGAAAACACCCATCGCTGTCTCTCGCTGGATATTTTAGATGTAAAGCGTGTTATGTCGACTTGCCTGATTTAATGTCTTGCAGTTAACCTCAAGGTGATTGACGAGGGGAAATGACGATTGATTGCCTGCTTAGTATTTATCATCAGCCTTCCTCATACGGATAAGCTCCGGGTAGAGCAACTACCGATATCGGGCACCATGATTCATTCCACGATTCAGCTGCGAATTGGGGAGTTTATCATAATGCTGTTGGGCCTAATGAAAAATTTAAATTCCATAGACTATGGAAATCATTTTGTTCATCAGTTTCCAGGGCCCAATTGGCATGGAGACTTTGTTGAGACAATGATATTTCTAAGCTCAGGGCTGTTCATTGAAGGAGCCGAACTCATGAAGTGGGTTTTCGGTCGTGACTGTTAAGTTACGAGGCAAAAGGAAATTCCTGATGCCAACTTGCTCATTGTGATCCTATATCATGTGACATTGATAACTACCGAAGAATCGAACTTTGAACTTCCGTGGAGCGCTCTTCTGGATAGTCACCAGCAGCAACTTATTCCCATCAACGACGATCTCGTCCGATTCCACCTCAGTATACATAGAAGTTTGTGGTCTCATCCTCCCGAGCCCTGATCTTCGTGTTCTTTCTCTGGCAGATAAACCTAGCAAGCCAAGCCATGAGTGCTGTGGCAACGCTGAAAGCTGCCGAACTCGCCATCGCAATGAGATAACGGGGCTCATCGCTCGCAGGCCAGAGATAGGGCGTCCAGACGAAGGAGACATTCATAATCATGGTCACGATACTGATGGCCACGGCCTTCTTCTCCTTTGTCTGACCACAGACGCTGCCGCACCAAGCCAAAATGAGGGAATTGACTCCGTAGGTGCCAATAGTGAAAATAACCATGGACACATACCGACCTGCAAGGTTCAGAGTGGCGCCGGCGGCCACAAACCCGATGGTGGCTACAGCCTTGGACAATGTAATATGCCATGTCCTTTCATTGAACTTGCCAGATGACCAGGAGACCAAGATGGTGACAGCTCCTGCGATCAGATAGGGAGGGCAAGTTAGAACAAGGGTAATGGTTTGGTTGAATCCCAGAGTTTTAACAACGGTCGGAAACTAGAAAGCAGAGTTAGCGATCAACAACATCCCTTTAGCCACCAAGCGTCCCACTTACGAAGTTCTTGAATCCATTAGCTGCCAAATGCATATGTGCCATAAAGGCAAAAACCCACACAAGAGGGTCTTTCGCTGCCTGCTTAAGACCGCTAAGTGTATCGGTTTCTCCCTTGTTGTCGACAGTATCCAGCTCCATCCGGTTGTAAGCAAGATCTCGCTCATCTTGAGTGAGCCACTTGGTGGTAAGAGGCGTATCTGGCAGTAAGAAGAAACCAACAAGAGCAATTACGAAGGTGACGGCACCCTGCAGAATAAAGAGCCACTTCCAGCCTGCCAGGCCCGCAAGGCCATCCATGCCGTGGAAGATACCTGCGGCAATCAGGCCAGCGAATGCAGTCGCGAGAATGTTGCCCGTGTAGAGAATGGCAATCCGCGTAGCCACTTCCTTACGGGTGTAGAACAGTGACAGGATGTAAACAGCGCCTCTAGAGTCCGTATTAGTTTAATCCTTTTCACAGTGGAACACAGGGGAAGACTCGCGGATAGTAGGGGCTCTCCGTAAGACCCAGAAAGAATCGAGTGAGGAGAAGCCCGATGTAGTCGTTTGCAACCGCAGTAAGCGCTGACACAACGGCCCAGAGCATCATCATGATTCCCTAGTTGGCGTTAGTCTGGGACATGAAGTAAAATGGGGGTCTACGCACCATATAACGACTTGGTCGGGTGCGAGTGATGAACATGTTGGATGGGACCTGGCCCAGAATGTAGCCGACGAAGAGAATGCTAACACAGGTTTGGTATTCTTTTTCTAGAGTTAGTGCACGGTCGTCAATTGCAAGGGAAAGTTAGGCTAAACATACGCTCTCCCTTTAAGTTCAAGTCCTTTTCCAGATTATTCAAACGAGCAAGTGCAATGGCGTTGCGATCAAGATAATTGAGCCAGTACATGCTCCACAACATTGGCTAAGCATTTGAGTGTTAGCATAAACATCTTCCTAAGAACATCTGGCAGGTCACCTACCATGATCCAACGGTCGAGCTTCTTTACAAGAGCGATCTCTTTTGGGTCGGTCTTCTCGTGTGCTCCCGAGTAGTCGACTTTGTCGACGATAGGGACTTGCTTCTCTGCATGCTCAAGCTCTGTGGCATGGCTCTTGACTTGCTCAAGAACCTTGCTTTCGGGATTCGCCATGGTGATCAGCTTGAAAAAAAAGGTTGATATCAGTGCTTGGGTCAAGTCTCAACACTAATGTCTTGGAGATCTTGATATTTTGGGAAAAAAAATCCCGAATGAGAGCAAGGGAGGCGGGTTTTATATACATTTCCTGGAGAGCAAGGAGCGTATGATGAATGCTCATCTTGCCCACAACGAAAGGTGGGGTAGGCTATCTGGGGAAGGGGTTTGAGCTGGGGACCTGGGGTTACCCCAAAAACTCAACTCTAACTCTGTTCGGTGGGTATGTGGGAGGGACTGATACCAGATGGTGTCCCACATAGCTAGCATCTGTTGGTTGGCTGATATGCTGTCTGGTGTAAATTTGCTCATAGTATTACTTACCCCTTCGGCTATCTCTCCATGCTTATCCCCTCATTCATGCAAAGCACAGACCCTCTTGGAGGCCTGTGGGATCTCTGTCCTGGTCTAGGCCTTCCGTTTTCTTCCTTTGCTCCTGAACTGCTCTCGATAGTGCCTCATCGAGTGGGGTATGGTTGTACCCTGGCGCTGCTGCTAGCACAATGTTTGCTGGAAAGCACTTGGAGATAGAGAATCATCACACTAGCCCTTGCCGTGCCTCACCAGACGAGGCTTGTTCGGATCCGAAAATCGAGCCAGCCTCATTTACTCCACAGCATGCGACTTGCAGCAGTCCATCCAATCCATGGACATTCATGAGAACTAGCCAATAATGAACCTGTCCTTTCCGAATCTCGGCATGAGTTAATATCTTGCAGCATCAGTCTGCGGGCTACATCCGGGTCCGATCCTTTCAACATAGCCGGGAGGTTCTGGTGCGGTTACATCTAGAACGACCATCACATATTCAGCTCACTAGATGCTCCAACACAATATATGATGCCCTGTTTCTGCAGAGTGCATCATACCCTGATTAGGCAGGTGCTGCAAAGGGTTAAGATACGAAGCCCCTCCCTGGACTAGAGTGACATTCCGGGGCAGCATGATAGCTTATTCGTCTTACGCTTATTATCAAGGCCGTAGCCGAGCTTTACTAGACAAGGATGTTTTTGCAGGAAGATGTCATTCTCCAGTTTTCTAGAACAGAAGTCGATATTTAGCTGCCTGGTGTTGCTTATCTCAGAATACTTGGTTGGGTCTAGACTCTCGGTGGCTGGTTTTGGGGTGTTTTAGACCCAGTTCTCATGTGATCTTCATTGCCCGCCACAAACCAGATTGTGGAAAGGGGGTCTGCAGTACCGGGCACGCCATGTGTCCAAAAGTCTAAAGAGGGAGAGATGCGTTGCATCCAGGAGCATCGAGTCTGCCGCTCTCCATCGAGCATCGCAACCGCTGTAGCTCTTGTGCCAAATCTTGATGGGAGGCGAATTAATGGCACCTGCATGTAACTAAACAGCGTATCGTGTCGGTCTAAGTTGGCGTGCTAGCTGGGATGAATATTGATCTGACGCAATGTAAGTACGTATCGCGGTATAGAACGCAACTTACGAACTAGCTCGTACGCTAGAACATTTTACGGGACTTCTATGAGCTTGGCAGCCGCTCAAGTGCGATGTGAGCGCCTATGACCAGGATCTATGATTTGTTGAGGGAGTGACAAATACGGTGTGAGGTGCAATTCGGCCCTTCATGCACGCCTGACTCGCTGATCATGACATGGAAGCCCGACTGGCCAAGACATTTAGTTCTGGTTCCAATGGAAGCGCCAAGATATTAGCCTGGGCGCTAGAATTTTCCCCGCCTTCTTCCACCAGACTGCAAGAAGCACGAAGCCAAGGAAGCATATCACGATGCGGGCAGCATGAGAATCGCCTCCAATAACCCCGCAAACCCCACACGATGACACTCAACTCTGTGACCATGAAACGACGTTGTCGGTCATCTTCCGAGGCGGACCACCACCACTTCCCGAAGGATTCTGGACCAACCCCTCGCCACGAGCCATGACCCTTGATTGGCATTCGGTAGCCTCCTGTGATGCGGGGTTTTCCTGAAATGGGGTTCTATCATGCTCTAATGAAAGAAATAAGCCTATCATGAAGTTTATCCAATGAATGAAGCGCTGCTTCAAATACTCTTGAACGAGCGACTGAAAAGAGCAAGAAACTTGACATGGAAAACAAGTTTCGGCCATCGCTCCGCATACAGGCATTGGACCAACTTGTACCTTGTCTTATTCTGTACAAACAACCTGGGGGCCTAGGAGACTTTAACGATGGACACCTGACCCGTAGACAGCGCTTAGTCGGCCACTCAAACGCCAGATCTGCCTCAAAAAGCGTCACAAATCAGAACGTAGGCAAGATAGGAGAGGAGATATTTCCAAGCGCGGATGCTCCCCGGTGGGGAAATATTGAAGGAGCCTTCAAGGGCTGATGGAATTTCCGCACCATGAGCAATTACCGCAAACTGCGGGTGCTGCACCACTCAGGAGCGTGGCTCCGGACAATCCCGGCGCCGAGGGCTCACAATTATTAGCATAATTATTCTATTACTAGAGCATATTCGAGACATAAAAATCCAATATGAGCGTATCAGGCGGAACTAGTGGCTAGTAGCTGCCTCGGGTCGATGTGTTCGCCCATTGTTGATAACGAGGACCAGCCAAGTACATTGAGGCCAGTCAGGGCGCCCAAGTACATGTCATGTTATCTTTAATGTCAAAGGAAGACGAAGTCTCGAATAATCTACAGCAAGGATGATCTTGACGTGTATTTTGATCAGATAAAGCTTCCGATGTCAATGCCATGTTTTGACGTTACTAGAATGCCGTTCGATGCCAATTCCAACTCCTCGCTCTCTTGCAAAAGCACCAGCTAATGCACACCCCTTTTGAAAACTTGGCATTGCATTATTCTTGGCATCGCATCATTGATGTGACTCCCCCACATCGGCTCTTCGATAAGAATGTCCGCCAGCGTGGAAGAGGAGGAGCATGGACAACAGTAGCCTTTTCCACGCGGTTCTTCTGTCTCTAGGATTCAAGGCATACATGGTGGGCGCCAGAGAATACGGCAAGGAATCTTCTAGATACGCAGGGCTTACACACTGCCTCAATATTGCCATGATTCACAACGTTCGCCACGCTGTTGACGTGTACTTTGGCGCCAAAGTTCCAGTAATGCCACTCAAACTCTCTCATAATCAAGTCCAGCAGCACTTGCGACCCGGTCAGATGCACGCACCGTATGGTAGTGTCCCTCAGGCCCTGTGTGAGGACCAGTGTCTCTAGATATATGAGCATCGTATCGACGACCAAGCCTCGTGGATTGCTCAATACGGTGTTCCAAATTTCGAATTGCTGCTTGAGGATATTCGGGTATTAAATTTTACTCCATCAAGAAGTTCATCAAGGTTCTTTACATAAAGTTTGGTTTGCGTGAGGCTCACCCAGCAGGATGAGTGTTATTCAAGCAGTCAGCCTTCCCATGACCACCAGGCCGTTGGTCATGATCATGGAGTGGAGACCAAGACCGTCGGGGCCATTGATGAGGCACTGTTTGTTGACGGGGACATCTTCAAATAGAGAAAGGGAGGACAGAAGAAGTGGGAGCGGACATTGAAAGATGAAGATGAAAGAGCAGAGATCCTGAGCCAATATTTCGAGATTCATCTAACGAGGGCTGAACCAAGGGCCATTAAAGGAACTGCCGCAGACATTTCTGAGCATCGATCGAGTGTCTCTCGCGAAATGGGGTTTTAGGCGTCAAACTAGAGGTAGTAGGGCGAGAGACAACATCACCTTATACTTATTATGATGCATCCAAAATGCTCAATCACACACTTGGCCTCTCGAACTTTATGCAGGATCAATCCATGCGGATGTCAACTAAATCCTGCCTGCACTCGACACTGTCATACATTAAAGTCTTCAAGACTAGTCGTGTGCGTTTAACATAATTGCGCCCGTATGCGCGGAAATAGCATATCGTGCAGATGGATTTCGACAGAGGTGTGCGAATGTTGTGATCCTTCCAGGCAAGTGGCATTCCAAATGGTTCCGTTGTGCTAGAGCTTATGATTCTGTAAAAGGGATAAAGGGGTTGGCACCGCCGATTCAGCGACCCGGTGATGGGTATGAAAAAAGTAGACCAGGGTCAATTATGAACTTGCAAGAATGAAAGGAATGACAAAGACTGAAGAATATCTTTGTAAGTAAAGGCAAGCATAAGAGTGACTCAATATCGACAGATGTGACAAATTCATGTTGAAAAAATCTAGCAAAACCAAAATCACTCGCGGCGGTGTAAACATTGACAACACGGGGGAGCTTAACTTTCGGGAGACACCGAGAATGCAACATGCAGGATCATGCAGCACGATGGCGAGGGGGTACGTAAGCTGCCGGTAGAATGCAACAGTAGCTTTGAGCCACCACGAGCCCTGGACGGATGCCATCTAAAGGCCACCTGCTATTTTGAGCGACAATGAGTAAAAGTGGACTTCGACCAGCCATAAGCTTCTTGATGGGAAGAAACCAATGCGAAACTAAGGTTGGGAGGAGAGAAACGTTTGCAGCACCCTGGTAAGTTAGACAGTCGGATCTTTGTACGGATAATTAACAGTCTCGGATATGGCGACGGTGAATTCTGTTCAATCTAGGGGAAATCTTCTAGAGTCAATTAAAGCCCTACATTTCTGTGACCTGGTCCGGACATGGATCCTGCCTCGAATCGGTTCGGTGACGAATGCCGCCAGCCGCTCTTATCCCTCCCCCTTTTGGAACTGCCTGATACTTGAGGGCTTGCATTGCATATAATGTAGCATTTAGAATTCTTCAGAGGTTGATTTACAAATCGCACAGGTTCTTTTGTCTCCTGCTTGCAGGGAATAGCACATGAACCCAGAACAGGGATGAAACCAAAGTGGGCGAAACGAATCTTTCCAGAAAGCTTATGTGCTGCCTGGTTTGCATTAGTCTCTTGGCGAAAGCTTGGATACAGACAGAGAGCCTGAGCTTTGCACAATCCGTAGGACGAACTCCTGGAGTATCACTGTTGAAGCCGGCAAAAGATATATAACAGTAACTGCCGACCATCAAGTCACGCTCAAGGACCCAAACATTATCCCTCCCGCGATATTCATTATTATTCCACTCAGTTAAGCAAGGCCCGAGTCCCACCCTCCACAGTGCACAGGGTCTTAATTACGTATGCTTCCCCCCTGCCCCCACCGAGAGGTCCCTTTCATTGAGCCCCTGGTGACTCCTTTACGCGATGACGGATTGGACGCATATGGTGGAGGACTGAGTGATTTGTTGTTCGCGATTGAAGATTTGACACCTATGGGATTGAAGCTCTGGGGTTTAACGGTTTCACCTGCGCCCGCATTAGTTGCCGTATTAGCATTCAGACCGATGAGTTAAAACGAGAAATATTGGGGGCTGCGTAAGCCTCACCCGAGGCTTGTGTAATTTTCGGCATTTGCATGCTGCTGGGGTCGTTCATTCTTGGTCAAGGGCAAGGGATATGCTTGATATTGTGCTAGGATCATGTGTAATGTTCTCTCCAATCAGAAAATCAGGGATATAATCTGCGAACAGGATTGGCTCGGGAGAGAGGATACAGCCCACACTGGCGGCATCGACAGATCCATCATGGGCAAAGATTCATCCCGGAGCTCTAGAATCCGGGTCTGCGCCTTGACCCCGGATGAGTCCCGGAGGGTTAACCGGATTCATAATTGCTAATATCTGAGTGGTAGACGCTGCTAGGACACGTCAGCTATCTGTCTACGCAACCGGCTTCATGCATCAACGAAAGGCTGCGGCTTCATTGTAGTCACCTCTATACCATGTTTACTAGCCACGCGGCCCGTGATATCGATGCACATCACCGTGATGTGGCATGGTACGCCATTATTTGAATCCATATTGGTTGGGTGGTTGGACCTTGGAAGGACTGTACTCATTTATATAAAGGCAGTATCGCCCACAGAGCTAAGAAAAAGAATTCTATAGCTTCAAACCAACCCTCCTTGGTCACATTACCCAACAACCCCATTCTTACCATTCGCAGTCGTTTTTCACCATGGTGTCTGTCAATTGGCTTATGAGCGCTGTTTTGCTCACCGGGATGACAACTGCTCATCCGGGTGAACCTCATGATCCTGAGCAACATAAGCGCGCACTGGTTGCTCGTGACTTTGCTGCTAAGCAGCACGCTCGCTCATACAGTCAATGCTCTAACTCACCACGTGCTCTGGAACGTGAAAAGCGTTCCATCAGTCGGCGTATGCAGAAGGTTAACGAACTTCGAAACAAACGTGGAATCAAATCGAGTTGGTTTGCCCTAGCTTCCTATGTTAAGCACCAGAGACTAATAGATTTCAAATAGTGGCTCGCAAAGCAAAGAGAGACTTGGAAGACCTTCAGAGCTGGGAGGCGATCAACCACAATCAGACTGGCTCCCTTGACTATGACATGTTCACTCCTATCGCCGATATCTTCGGTGCCAACACTAGCTGCATCTTGGCACCCGAGACAACCAACGGCCCTTACTATATCGTTGGCGAGTACATGCGTTCAAATGTCAAGGAGTCGCTCTGGAGTGAGGGCGTCGACCTATTCCTGGAAATCCAGTACATCGACGTCAACACGTGCGAGCCAATTCCCACCGTCGCCGTTGATGTCTGGAACTGCAACGCTACGGGGATCTATAGCGGCATCTACACTGACGGGAACTATGCCGCGGACGGAATCAATTCGACCTATCTGCGCGGGATCCAGCTGACCGACCACGATGGTGTCGTTCAGTTCGAGTCCATCTTCCCTGGCCACTACGAGGGCCGCGCTGCCCACACCCATATCTTGGCCCACATCAACGGTACTCTCAGCCCCAACGGAACTATCCAGGTCTGGGACGCTCCCATGGCGCATAATGGCCAACTCTTCTGGCCCGATGATCTGCGTGAGGAGGTCGAGGCAACTTATCCCTACACCCTCAACACCCAGAGCCTAACCACCAATGATGAGGACATGTGGTCGATCGTTCAAGCAGATGCGAGCTATGATCCCTTCCCTCAGTTCGTTTACCTTGGTGACAGTATTGAGGATGGCCTCTTCGCCTGGATCCAAGTTGGCCTCAACGCAACTGCTGACTACACCGAGGACGATTACTATAGCATCGGTAAGAGAAAGAACACATCACTCCATCAATGAGATCTTCCAATATTTACTAATATGCTTCATAGCTGGTTATATTGATGAGACCGGAGGCCACACTCTGGGCGGACAATTCGGTGGCAGCCCTGGCGAGGGTGGCCCTGGCAACGGCACTGGATCTCAACCTTCCGGTGTCCCTCCTTCCGGCACTGGCGGCGCTCCACCAGGCTCAAGTGAGACCGGTACTACCGGTAGCTCTTAAATCATTTCATGACCGATGAGCTTACTTGGTTCGAGGATGCGTTGGCTGTTCTGGTGAGAAATCTTGGCGACACAGTACTCATCAGACAATGCCGCTTAGAACCAGATCTCGGATGTGGATTATCCTTCTAAGATGTAAGATATATACATAGCTTATTTGGCTCTTTTGACAAATAAAGAAAAAGCTTCGGGGGTTGAAACCGTTTTTGTTGGTGCGCAGTTGACCATAGTGGGCTCGGAATCTACTTCTCACGGGTGTTGATGGTAGATGATAGGCTAATGGACACTATTCAAACTATGGCCACATAAGTAGACAGATAAATTTGATATTCGGAAATACGTGATCTTCCTTTATGTGTCTTTGCCAAATAGAGAAGGTCGCCTGCAACGCAGTCTAATGACTCTAGACAGGTTAAGCAGCTTTAGCTCAGGTCAAAAATCCATATTCTATCAACGTGATCAATCCCTCTCACATGTAGTTGATTACATCAATCTTTATGCTATAGAAAGAGATTACATTTGGAATAAAGGCTCCCACCTATTGTAAACGCTCCATCTCAAGATGCCTCGGAATTCTGAAGCGACGCATGGGAAGGGTAAAGGTATACCTTGGATAGCTGCCATTAACGCAGTTCGACTACGGGTTCTGCATTCATCTTCAGGCTTAATTATTACTACGATTTCAACTTTACGTTTCCATCGACACAGCTTTGCCAGGGTCCTTCTGGTACCCGTCTTGAACCCTTTCACAGGCCAAACAAGAAATCGATATCTGAATATAGCGGTTCTGATTTCGATACCATGGTATTTCTCATAAATGTAACACCGCCTATCTTATTTTCAATCTTTGGGGGCCGGGGCTGCTTCCGCGTCCTTGGCTAATATATTTTCGACTTCTGCGCCCCTTTTGCGCCTTTCCTCAAGAGATATTTCTTGGCTAGGTGAGGTAGACCAACCAAGGCCCAACTCAGGATATTGGAGGGGGACTGGCCCGTCACGCGGCAAGGAATCCAGGTAAATGGGCCAGGGTGTGCCCATCCAAGCGTTACGAGTTTCGTGATCGTCACGCTGACGCGTAGTTAGGGGATGGACCAAAATACTAGAATGATAATTAGAGAATCAGTCTATCTCGGTTCTCGTGATACATGGCCGCAATAAAAGCGACCTTGGAAAGATTGAAATGCAACTGAAATTGGGAAATCTCATATCGGTAGACAGCAAGACTCACCTTAGGTTTCCGCGATTTGCCGCCAGGTAGAAGAACACTTCAGAAAAGGATGAGTCAGGCACCCAGATTTCGTAAGAACCTGCTGGATGAGGGCCAATGGGGGACTCATTAACGCGGAACAGAGGTACGGCAACAAATGCTCCTATTAACAGTTTAGAAGAAAACCCAGAAGGAGTAATCCAAGCCAATTACCATCGCGGCGTAACCTCAAGACAGCGTCGCGAAGAGCGAGCGCAGCAGCTGTCTCTGTTGGTGATTGCAGTAAGAAGTAGATATGGAAATGCCACTCCCGAGTTCGAGCTTCAACAACAGTTTTTAGGTCGTCTGGAGGAGCTGACATTGCAGCGCGGGTAACAATGGTCATAGCTTTTGTTAAAGGGATATGCGCCGTGAGGTAACTAACCTCTATTTGATTTTTTTCGAGCAACTTGTTGATGATGAGGATAATCCTCCATGGACTGATTTCTCATGAGCACGTCATGTAACGCAATTCTTGCCCCGCCTCACAGCAGTGGGATAGCCGAAGGCATCACGTGATGGGAATGCCATTGCCGCCGTGTAATTAAATCTCTACACTTCCCTCACTTCTGAGTGTGTCATCCCATAGCGAAGTCATGCGCTATGGCGCCGACATCCTCAAGTTCGAGCGTACTTTGTTGAAGCAAGGCCATTGTCTAATGTCCGTCATGAAAGCCTCAATCATGTCTCCCATTTCACCACTCTAACACACACAGCGGAACGACGGCTAGATATTCCTGAACCACAAAATTTGAGTAGGCATGTAGAAATAGTATATAGCTTTTATGCTGCTGTATGAGCCGCTCGAGATAATCCACAGCAGGCTTCACGCGAAACACCAGACTGTATTTGCGATCACATGTACGCTACAATCAGTACCGGAAGTATTGATCAGGTTGTAGATCTTGAATTAAGGTCTTTGAACGACCATATATTAGTATCTTAAACCACGATCCAGGTTTAAGCCTGGAGTTGTCCAAGGATATGTCCCTTTCCATGTGAAAAGCCGCTTGTACCTCGTGTTGGTCACTTTCAGTTCTCCTGCATATTATTCTGGCTCTCTTTTCTTCTGTTCTGTCTGATTGTTGGATGAAATACTAAATTGTGTAAGCCGGCTGAGGCGTAGAGAGCGCGTATGCGATTCCGGATATTCGTACACCACTGAAAGTGGTCGGTTTGCCATAGATTGAACCGGCAGGTCTCCATTCTCATTCGCGTCCCTGAATGAGGAGCAAGGGAGGTCTGGCTCTAGCGGTGGAAGAGGCCGATACTCTTTATTCAATAACCCGCCTCCGTGTGGATCTGAACACTCTTTGCTTTGCATCTTGGATCCGTGCAAGGAGAACCTGTTCTCTTCATCCAAGCACATTGAACTGAATGATTTACCAAGCAGATCGAGGTCCTGCGCAGACGACTGTGGTCTCAAGAAAGCACTCAACCGCTCGGGTGCTGGATGCTCCTCTGGGCAAGTCGCGAGAATAGAGAACATATCAAAGCCCGTGAAACGCTTTTCATCGTTAAAGCTGAACTGTGACGAAGCAGGCCGACGGGACCATCGTCTTGGCGCCTCCAAGACTCGCGATGTTCGCCATCGCTTACCTTTGGTGAGTTTGAGCTGCCGTGGCTTCACTTCGCCCGAAGTGGCATCATCCCTGCACACATGGTAGCATGGGATGCAAGAAATGACCCTCATGAAATCCATCGAATTGATCTTGGTCTCCTTTCAACGAACTGCCGGCGACGAAATATATTGTTGAAAATAAGAATTCGGTCTGAAGTAATGATCACACATTATCCGTGGGTTTGGAGGTCTTGTTTGAAGGAGTAAGATGGCAGCACAATGCCCATGAATGTAGGCGTAGCATGACAGCGAAAGTATTTATCGACAGCAATGCTGTATTATGCGAGCATCCTCAATTCTGCATGCTACATGGCTTCCTGAGCAGGGGATGAGGCCAACCATGTTCACCCGATCCACAATTGCATTGAACATTATGCAACGCACATATCATGATGAAGACACTGAGCTTTCCACTTGTTAGGGATCGTTGTTTTATATTTCCGTTGGTATATCAGATCAGATTGACTACATGTACCAACCGGTTCATTCACCCCTAATTTGTGACTTGAAGCTTTTCTCTTGTCAATAACTCAATTCTTGCTCCTCTACTTGTAAGTTTTGAACCCTGGAATGGGTGCTAATACATGATACGAGCATACAATTCTACGAAATTACTCTTTAATTAGCTACTTTTCCCAAATACAGAGAGGGGAAGGAGAATACGAGTGCGCCATGGTGTGGCATACGCCAAGCTAGCTACGCATAGACTTGGGGAAATGTGCATAAATAATCGTACACAATTCGTAATGAAAGCCCCAGTCACTCCAATCATGCACCATCAGGGATGAACTGGCAAGTAGAACATGGCACACCAAAGCCTCGAGCGTTGAATGTCGGCACAATATCAGAACAGTTTACCTAGAAATGAACATAATATTCAGCTAACTATTATGCAATAAATTTATTATTATATTTTTATTGCGTCTGGCATCACTAATAAGAAAACGAGGTCCTCAGCCGGCGCGAAAAGAGCTCTGGTGTGCCATGTTTTGTCTCAGTTGCTTGACTGGCATCCATTCCCGTGCACCAATCAGCCCGAAGCCCTGGAATGATTAGTCACAAGGGCATTGAAACCTGCCATTGAAAGATTTTCGTCTTCCATCTTGCAAAAAAACATCAGCACCACGCGAAAATGGCCGCGGAAGACTGTGTGATCAGTCCTTGACATTATGACAGCTGGTAGGTTGCCTTTAATTGTCCTCTTTCCCTATTCAAGCACATGATGATCGTTTCCAACTTGTGAAATACCGCGGCTTATGACACTCGCTCGCGAGTCTTTGATTACAAGCTTTTTTAACAACAACATACCTGACATTTTGCTTTCTTTCTTCACCCATCGAGCAATCTCATGCCCATATTCGGCTCTGACTAATGTCTCTTCTTCAGATTTCAATCCAAGCGCCAACCCCCAACGCGGGAGAACCGAACTCCCATGCGGTCGAATTATTTCCAAGAGCTGAATTGCCCACCAACCCGACAATCTCGACCTTGCCCCGATTTGTGCCGAGCATTAAATACGCCTGCCGACAGTCTCGGATCAGGCATCTCCGTCGCGAGCTTCTCAAGGGACCTGTACGATGGCCACTCACCACGATGTCAACAGCCATGCAGGAGAAAGGTGAGGGTCAGCATACAAGGCTACTCACCTACTAAGCGCGGCAGAATGTATGTGAAAGAAGGCATAAACCCGATGGGATAATGGCTCGGGGAGCACATCCGTAGGTGCAAACAGGCACGATTCGTAGCGGGAGAGACGAGTGTCGTTGATTTATCACACGCGTACTTGTCGTAGATCCCTACAGTTCTTCAATCGCGCTCGCCAGACACAATAAAAACGAATAAGGACAAAAGCCATTTGAATGTCCCAACCGTAGTCCACCTAATCCTCAGAGGCGTCCCACCATCGCATTATTATATGTAGTTGCCAATATATCGCGTGCCAGCTTATACTTGAACGTCCAAATAGACGTCCTGATGCTCTCAGAACTAAATGCTGGCTTGCGTGTACTAGAACACGCCATCCATCGGATCCCACTCCCAAGCACCAAACAGGCCTGCACCGAAATCAAAGTCCATGTCAGTATCATGGTACTCCAACTCATCGAAACTCTCTTCGTGAACGGTGATCCCGGCCAGCTCTCGAAGCAAGCCCAGGCACTCGGTGACGCGTGCACTACAAGACCTTTCAAACAGCTTCTCGGTCTCTTCTTCGGTGAATTCGGAGTCGAAGGCGTCGAAATGGGCCTGCAGCAATACCCCGATCGAGTGTCCCTTGATATTTGTCTCCCCAGACCGTATCCGCGAACGTGACCAGTCGGCATATCCCTCGAAAATCCTGTGAAGCTCAGGCTCGATCATCAGCGGCATCGTGGGTCTGTTTTTGTTCTCGGCCTCCTTCTGGTTGATAAGTTCGAGCCCTATGACCAAGGCGCTCTGGATGGGAACACTTCGAAAGCTTCCGGAGGCATTGACAGTGAGCCGACGGAAATCTATCTCTGACTGCTGAGCTGATATGTCGATGGCACCACTTGATTTTTCGGGCAGCAAGTACGCGGATTGGCAGATCCGGAGCGCTATTTCCATGCAAATCATCCGAGAGTAGGAATATAGAGGGTTGGATTTGGCAAGCGGGGTAATCGGATGGTGCAGAGCAAAGAAAAGGCGGTGGGTTGCCAGCTGGACGAAACGCAGCTGGAAAGACGATGTCTCCGGATGTGCCTTGAGTTCTTTCATCAGAGACTGCAGAGTTTTCCTCAACTCGCCGCTCTGTCTCAACGTTTCCTCGTATATGGTATCAGAACGCAACTCGTTCACCCGTTTAGCGATAGCGAGACGAGTAGGGAAGGTCCTGAAGAGGGCAAGTGGAATCGTCATCTGGGTAAACGCGTTGTTAGACTTTGGTCGAAGGTTAGGCATATCCGCGCCCTCGATCAGACACTCATCATCGAGATTAGCCGGTATCTCTGTGTCATAATCAGGTATCGAGATGCTCGGTGGTCCTCCTGCGTCAAGGCTAGACTGGAGGCATATTTCCAGAATCGTGACCCAAAGTCGTCGTCGCATCTCGGCACGATATGGTGTCATTTTCACAAGATTCTTGGGGTCTCTATGCAGCCCCATATACATTGCAGTTGTGACCAACGAGCTTGCTCCGATCCATGTAAGGTCAGAGCCGATATTCACTGTCTGTCGCAAATAATGCAAGAGACAGCGGATCTGCAAACCGACGATTGTCATTCTCGATTTTTCGCAAGGCGTCAAGAGCCAGACCATCCCTTCCCAAAACCAATGGATGGCCTGTGTCCGAAGTGTGAACAATTCATCATGAAAGGTGGCGCCGATTGCCATGCACAATTGCATCAGAATGAGGAAGTGGTCAGGCAACTCAGTCGGGGTTTTCCAGTACTGCTCGTAGTCTGCTTTGAAGCTTGGTATGTGGAGGATACGATGAATGGACTCAAAGGTCCTGAGATAGCAGTCTATGAGAGTGTCTGCCAGCTCCCTGGTAGGAACATTTTCACCTATGGTGATGGTATTGAACTTGGGGGTGCGACGAGACTTGATCAGGCGGCCCAAGTTCTTGCATGTTCTGAGGTCGTGGCAAATCTGAGATGTCTCATCGGTCTCCAACTTTCTCGCAATATGTCCCAACCGATACAGCTGTCAATCATACCAGTTAGCCACGATATGTTGCGTTGGACGCTGGGCAAGGTTTGACAAGCGTTGGGTACTGTAGAAGGCAATACCATATCTGAGTCATGGAACATGGAGCGTACCATATCTGCCGAGTTCATCCAGTGACTCTGGCCGAAGAATCGAGTCTTGCTGACAGAGCCGCGGCTGTATCTCAATCCCACTGAAGGAGTAATACCATCTTCGAGAAGGTCCCCGCCTGTATGCTTGCATTGCCCTTTGAGGTCTGCTACCTGCTGTTCAAGCTGCCGGATTCGGTCAAGCAGAGCATCCTTGGGCCTGGATGCCCGGGCCGCTGAAGAAGAAACAGGGCGAACAGGTTGCCACAGGCCAAAGTCTGCCGGACCAGAATGATCATCGGGGCTAGAGCCTGCAATGGAGAAGTGCCCGGCTGTTTGCGGGACAGGCTCCTCGTTTACCCACGGGTCAGATCGTGTTGAGTGCCCAGGAGTTAGGATAACCGGCAGCTCCGATACCCCCGAGGTGGCTTCATGCAGTGCAACGAGACCAAACTCCTTGGAGACAGATACCGGATCGTCTTGCTTTTGAAAACCTCTGTCAGGGGTAGCGACCTTCTGAAGCGGGACGTAGGTGCAGTCGACGTGGTTGGTGCGGACGCACGTGCTGCACGGTAAGCGGCGGTCGCAACGCACTTTGCGACGGCGACATTGTTCGCAAGCAAGTGCAGGTCTCCGTCGCTTCTTCTGTCGGGAATGATCTGTCAGGTCTGTTACACCGTCCATGATGGCTTGTGCGTTTGATGCTCCGGGTGGTCTGTCTCGGCTTTTTCTACAGCTGCACTATTGAGCATTAAACTCCCCAAGGTAAGGATAAAAAAACAACATATGCAGGAGTAACTGGAATGGAACGCAGAATCTTATCAGATCATCTGATAAAAAAAGAGAGAAATATCATGGCCGATGAAATTGCCGATTATGTTCGCGTCTTGCGTCGGTGATTTCTCGGGCTCGGCGATAACTCAGCCTCTCGGCAGCTACTCACACTTCTTATCCCCGAGCACTGGGGCAAAAACACCGAAGTGCCTAGCTTGAATTTCAGTATCTTCCAAATTCTAAGTGGAATCGGCTACTTGCTGCCAATAACCCGCCCGGGCCGTTCTTTAAAATTATGCCGTCTAATCTAGACCTGTCGATTAGTGTGAAATCAACCTTGCTTCCTCATAGCGAAGTAGATAAGTAGATAGGGATCATTGCTTTCCTCAGGTTGCGGCCTGGTATGTGCTTGGTCACGGTATCACCACCATGAATCACGATATGTCTTCTAATTCGTACTCATTTCATTACTACAGCGGAGAAACATACACCCAAGCGTATTTTATAGTACCAAAGGATTATTGTTGCATTATTGTTGTACAATATGGAGACCATGAACTAAATCCTACTCCTTCACCGAACATTAGTGGCTCGGAGAAGTAACAGACGTCCAATCATCCTCTCCCGCGTTATCTGGAGAGATTTTGGGCCAGTAGAGACCTTGCGAGATATCCTGGAAGAGTGTGCTATCGATAAACTCAAGGTCGAGGCTGGGAGGCATAAGCAACTCTTGCAGAGACTGCCCCGGTAGACTAGCAGTATGCCCAGGTGTGACAATAGGGTTGATGGCAAGTGCCGCAGCCGTTGAAGGGCTATTAAAAGCAGTTAGGTTCTTCAAGATGGATGGCGGCTCATCCGGATCGCCACGAGTGGCTGATAAGTTGTTTGTCAAAGACTTGATGGCTTCGAAGTGCTGGCAAAACTCCGCTGCAGCAAGGTGCCCGCTGTCACGCAACTCCATGAGCACGTCTATGGCAGAATCAAACTGCTCGCTGTCCTTCTCAGACTTGTCTTTCGATCTGGGCAATAAACTTGAGACTGCCACAATCGTGCCGGCAGAGAAGAGATACTGTGGGTAAAAGTAGTCGAAGGTAGGGAATGATCCATCGACCCAGCGTTCGGTAAGCAAATTCAAGGATTCACGCGCGCATCTAGAACAGGCTTCGGCAATACTGGCAGCAGACGCTGGGATCTGTGGCTCAGGTGCGGTGGAATCCTTCCAGGAGGAAGCATATGCCCGAAATATGTAGAGCAAAATAGGCCTCGTTGCCACAATGACACTCTGCGGATGCATCATTAGCTCAGGGTTCAGCTTTTTCAGTATCTACTACTCACTTGGTTAAAAGAAAGATACAGAGACAGCGAAGTCGACTTCAGAGTAGAACCCTCCAGTGTGTTCTCGAGACGCAAGGAGGGTGGTATATTCTCTGCCCACTCATGTAGGTCCTTTAAAATTCTTTGCACACGCTGCGATAGCATTACTTCTTGTTGTGTCGTGTGGGTTTTCCGGACGTAGATGGACTGAACCATCCTACCTGATATTTCTGCAAGGTGGATTCGGGCAATGTAATGGGCGGCATCTGCAAAGTCGCTTGACTCAGGCAGAGATGGGTCTGGATCAGAGGGCATGGCCACGTCAACAGCCTCGTCTGGCACAGCGATTGGATTCCCGAGATTCAGTGCCCACATCCGGTCAAAGGTGTATGCCGTCCACCACACTCTAGTGCGATGCTCTCGAGCCAGTACATCGCTGAGCTGGCTTTCGGGAACATTAAGATGAAGGCCCATGACAACTGAAAAGCGCACTGCAGAGCCTGCCAAAACATATGCTGAGTGGCGACGGTTGATTCCCAGTGAATAAAATGACTGATTTCTACTTAGACAATGAAGAAGAGAGAGGATATGGTCATCAGACTTACCAGCAGCAGTCGAATCTCGATAGCGTCGATGTGTGGTCGTTCGCTGATCACAGCAAGCCCTTTCGTCGCCTTGGCAAAGTACAACATGCCAGGGTATCCGTACACTTTGTTAACCGTATGAGCAGAGTAAAGTTCTCCGATGGCAAACAAAGCCCAGAGTTTACTCTTCATGAAAAAGCTAGCTGAGGCGGAGTTCTGCAACACATTCTCCAGGCCTCGCAAGATCTGACTTTTCCGCACAATGTGATAGTGCCCGCTGACATGCCTAAAGGCAACATGAAGCAGCATCCGAGCCTTGGACGCTGCAGGCCATGCGCATTCGGCTTCAGACAGCCCCAGCAACTGTTCGTCCGAAGGGTAATTCAGTCTTGGAATATGACCATGGGTGTCGGATAATAATGATTGACGGAAACGCGTGGCGAAGCCAAGATCAGACGCTTCGCCGACTAAAATAGGGGTATGGGGGATATTTATACTCAGGAACCAAGGTTGTTCATCCATTGAGGGTTCTGCAACTGATGGCTCCGCTGCCAGACTCGAAGGTCTCTGCTGGACACTCGATATAGTTTCTTGATTTCGGAGCTGTTTGTTTTCTTCGACCAGCCTCTCCAGATACCTTTCGCTCAATGTTAACACCGAATTAGACGACTTGGCAGATGTTATCTTACCTTTGGTCTACTTTGACCATGCGCTGTCTTCGGGGGTATGAACATTCAGATTCCTTCCTAGATTGACGACAGCCATCGCAGGGCTGCCCACCTGAGCATTTGACTTTCCTTGCATGGCATCTACGGCAACTTCACAATTCTACATTTAGCAATAGGCACGAGACTTGTGGCTGAAGGTGCTGCTGCATTGTTGCACACTCACGCTGTCGATACCGGCCGCTTGCCTGGCTTCTTTGGTGATAGGATATCCGAGCTGCCATTGGGGCTATTTCCAGCCAACTCGGCTTCAGACATGTCCAGTCAATGTTTTCAGGCCTATAGCAATGCCATAGGGGTCACGTTGTTGGAGCCACGGGAGATTGGCTAAAATTGCCGCAATTGCAAAGCGCCAGGATTCGGCGGCCGGAGATAATGGCCGAGAAAGGTCTACTGGAGAACTCGTCACGTGCATGGCCATCTCGGCAATCGCTTCCACACGGCCGAGGTCTCGTCATCTAGCCTTGGTCTCTCATTCTTAGCGTACTACCTAGCTAAATAATGCAGAGCTTCTTGAGACTCTATTCTTATACATACAGAACAAGCTGATCAAGTATTCTAGCTCAAAAAGATCGAGATCCACCCTTGACGCAATCCTGGATCTTAACCTTGATACGCTGTTCCGGAGGAGCTTTTGCTGAAATACAGGAATTAAAAGTAAAATACGATCAGAAGCTAGACTAGCCCCCCAAGCGACTGACATAAAATACGGCACACTAGAGCCCTTTCTACACAAGGTAGGGACCTAACTTTCTTACCAATAACACTAACTTTAGTAACAAGAAACTGATTAATTATTCTATATTATTTAGGATAATATTACATCTATTACGAGCTTAATTATTTTGATATTCTGCTTATTACTAGGTTGATTATTTTCATATTTTGTCGAAATTCAACGCTGGAACTCGGAATACAAGTTATGTAAAGGAAGCGCGAAGCTGTAATAATAAAGAAAGAAGATCAATTATTGATGGCAAAGCAGACGAAAAAAAACTAGAACTCCTGATGTGCCGGTCCCTCTAAGTCCATCACCGTTGCCTAGCAAACAGAATAAAAGCAGTGATCATGACCACAGGCTCCATAAAGATAAGCAAGTTAGCTGAATCAAGACTTTGTTGTCGTGTTCCCCATTGGAGTGCCGAGAAGCCACGCCAGCAGCCTCCTGAAGCGGTCTTGGGTTGCTTCATCGGTAAGACCTGGAGAAAGGTCCATAATGTCCGATTTACGAATCTCGACCGTGTTGGAGCCCAAGCGTACAATGGCCTGAACAATTCGAACGTTGAACATGCACGCAGACACAATCGTCACCTACGATGTAGAGTTAGTCCTGCAGAGCCCAGAATTGTTTCAAAGTTTACTTACAGGGAAAACCCAATGTTGCATGTAGGCTGGATCAGTTGCGGCCTCGCTAGCTAGCCATAACACGCTTTGCATTTCACTTGTCGATAAGCAGTCCTCTCTAAGAGGCTCATTGTCCGCGACAAAGCAGTTGACATGCGGTTTGCCGGTATCTAAAACAAGGTTGAAGGTATTGCTGCCGCTCAAACAAGGACGAAGCAGTGGCTGGGCCTGCCATTACAAAGTGTATTTTCCATCAGGGCCCCGCTCACGAATGCGACGCAGCCGCTTGTTTCCGTTACTAGATTGAATATCAGCAAAACGAAGCCAATAGTCCCAGAGAGGAAAGCAATATCTCCTGGCGGAGGAGAGGGAGGGGGTGAGGGAAGGGGGGAGCTGCAATACCTGAAAAATTTCCAATATGTGTAGTTCTTTATGATAGTTTTCTGTTCCGGATCGCCCGTTCCGTTGCGTCCCATGTGCTCGTCGAGGGCCCTCCAAAGAGCTCGCGCGTCTTGGAAATTATCACCCCATCGGTCTGATGTCGAAAAAGGTAAAGGTATGATTAGATTTTTGATAGTCTCATCAGGTATGAAATCGCTAAGGACCCCATCGTCACGCCAAGGTTGTGTATGACGTAGGAGTTTTTCCACATGATCCCGGGGGAGGGGTTGGAGAAACTGCTCATACGCGGGTGGAAGAGTTCCATCGTCAAAGGACAGCTTATCGCGGCAAACCTTGATATTGGGAAATGCCTTGAGGAAGTCGGGGGAAATATAAGGCTGCGAGTGCTTTGTGAGAGGGAAAATGGTGCTAAGAGCAAAGGGCATGATGCGTGCTTTCGCTGTAGCTTTATCAGGCACTTCTCTCGGAGTAGTCCGAGCCTGACGAGGGACTGTAGGCTGATCATCGCCCCTTCGCTCGGGTTGACACATGGACTGGCGAGAGTTGGACATTTTGGATTCGTGAGCTGAAAATGATTGTTCTGGGGAACGAGTGTCTGTGAGACGGATGAGCGTCATGATGGCTGGTATTTAAAACGATGGCTCGCCGGAGGACACGGGCCAGCTTGATGTTGCGGCTTCGGAGGCTGTTCGCTCGTTGGTTGAGTGGGTTGATTTGGTACGGGATGGATGATAGATGATGGAGATGGAAGTGGAAATGGAGCAAGGGGATGAGGACGGGCGCTTTGTTTATGATGCATTGGCCGAACATCATTTACCGGCGACGCTGCACGTTACTTAGCCTCCACCCTTCAGCGCCTGCAGATGCTGTTTTCAGCGCTGAAGCAACAAGGAACAACATGGGAGTCCTGAAACAGGAGCCAGATTCACAACAGCCCTACTTATCCAGAAACTCGCCCTGCTGAGAACACCGAAAAATGACATAGACGTCTCAGGAAGCTTTATCTCAAATACTCCCTTTTCGATGGTCGTTGTTGGCTTAGAACAGGGTTACTAGGGTAACCTCTCCACTTTGATGCCCCCTCCAACTCTCCCTTGTCCCCATACAAGACTCACTTCACACCGAGACAACATGCAAAGGTGTTTCCATTTCAATTTGCAGACAGGCCACCATGTTGATAGAGAAGATCCTATAACATTAATATTTTTTGGGGGTAATTATTAGGTAGTATTATGTATTATTACACCATAGCAAGCATTATTATCTGACTTGGCACACCGTTGCTAGTTTAATACATAAGGTATGTAGGTATTCATAATTCCTGTTGGTCGTCCGCCAACACCAGAGCCAAGAGTTTAGGCAGAAGGAAGCAGTCACAACTAACACAATTCTAAAACCGCTCGGTCTTAAAGATGTGAAAGGCACAGACGCAGAAGTGCTAAATTAGTCAGGCGGAATGCGCATGCGCTTCCGCGCGTCTCAACTTGCGCGTCACCCGTCCCTTCACCCTGCATTCACTTCACACGTGTGTGATGAGGCTGTGTTAGTGGGTGCCAATTGTGATATCTCATGCAATAGCGTTACAATGATAAGCGGCGGCTAAAAATGACGGGCGAGAATGAATCGTGAAAGCCAATCTGCTCGTTCAGGGGGGGATAACGACACTTAACCATCATTCCATGAGAATTTCCCATTGTCACCGATGCCCTGAGGCTATGTTCGTTTCAGAATTAATTTTCACGCATAGATCCTGAATTGGAATTGGTGGCTACACCGAGGTGGCAGGCAAAATATATGTCTGGCCCATCATCGCCCAATCCAGCACCCAGGCCAGTCACCAATGCTCAACTCTTCCTTCCATCACACCACGGTCTGGACATTATTTTGTTGCCATCTTCATTAATCATATAATCAGGCCATTTCCTTACACTACTGCAAGCATCACCATGGCGGCCATCATAACTGATACCAACAGACTCCCTGCAACTGCAACTCTTTGGAAAAACCTCATTGCAGATCGCCATCCAGAGCTTCAGTATCATGAGCTGCTTCCGGCTATTCCTATGAGCTCGGCATTTAAAATGACTTTTGATCAATTTCTTTTGCTTCGAGTGATCTGGAAGCAGGCAAAATCGCCCGCGGACCTGTGGCAAGAGTGTACACGCGGTGTTTACACCACACCGGAGGTCGCGCAACAGGCAAAGGACTTTCTTTCCAGGGTCCAGTCCTGGAAACAGTACTTGGATATGATCGGGAACAACACACCGTTTAAGAAAACATCAAGGGTCCCTAAGGAAAGGCCTCCTATGGATGTGGCTGTTACTAATTTTCCTGAGAGGCCGCAAGTCTTTGCAACCGCTCTTCATCAACAACGATGCTGCGAGAAATTAAGAACACCATTAGATGAGGACAACCTGACTTCAAAAGTCGATGTTGCTACGGCACCCCCGCCGCAATCCGTTTCCGCTTCAATGGCTGCCCTGTCCATTAATCCACAAACCCCAACTCGCAAACAGGTCGACGACACAGATCTCGCTGACGACTTTGACTTCTACGTGAGCCAGACTCCTGGGACAGGGTACACCGATCGGCTAATAAACCTTTCGCCAGTGGCTCCCATCTCCAATGAGGAAGCTATTAACTACGCGGCAGTGGAGGATGAACAGGTCGTGAACAGTGCCCTCATTTCATTCCTGCAATCAATCACCCTATATCATCCGTATGTACAGGGAGAATGGGACTACTTCCGCCACCCATTTGTTATGAAAAGCAACCTCAATGCAAAGATTTACGAGGCTCGAGTGGATGGACTTTTCAGAACCTATGGCTCTTCAAACCCGCGAATGATCGTCGAGGTCAAACCATTTCTACGCTACCTGTCATTTCCTGTTTTGGATAAGATTCGCATCCAAGAAGGTGCTCAAATGGCGTCCTGGATTGCCCAGCACCCCCCCGTCAGCAAAGATCGCAAGACGGTGTTTCGGTAAGTGACCAACCATCTTTTGATAACCTCCTTTTTGAGTTATTGCATGATTCTTTACGTCATGAAAGTGATCATGAAAGTGATTGTTAACACTGCTTTCAAGGCGTTTACTCATATCTCAGGATCAAAACGAAATTTACATCACTGTTGCCTCTTTCCGCTCCTCATACATCAATTTTGTCCAAGGCCTGGGTACAGGAGACACTTTCCTCGAAATGGAAGAATTTGGGCCATTTTCTCTTCAGGACCCTGGTTTAATGGAGGCTCTTAGCCTTACAATGCTTGCCTTTCCCCTAGAGGGTGGTATTTTATCGAGTGACCTAAAGGTATGGTAGCCATGTCATGCAGGATATCACTCTATCTGGTACAAGTATCGGGTTGTGTATATTCGTGTATGGTTTTCTTTTCGAGGCGGATCTTCTTCGTCTTAGGAGAGTCGTACTTGTTCCAGTCTTTGTTCTAGATATAGGATAGGCAATTCTTTAACGCGTCACTTTGCTTGAATATATCTAAATAATTAAGGTGATAAGATAAAGTCAATTTGAATAATTGTCAAAACAAATAAAAAAACAACTCAGAAGCGAAAGAATATCGAAGAGAATGAGCAGAAATATCCAGTTTGAAATGAGTGTGAGATGCTGTAGATTCTTCAAATACCGCTCTTCAATCTTCCAAAAGCTAAGAATCAAACCTACATCACACTTCTCGTATCCCTTGGTGATGTTTGGATGAGATGGAGATGTTAGTAAGGCCGACGCCCATAGATATTTCCAGAGGGAGAGTATCGAGCAACCGTGTACCACTCATTGTTTCCCGATGTAGCAGTGGCAATTCCAACTCTAGTTGTGGTGTTCCACACGCATTGTGCTAAATAAATTTTGTCAGTAAAGGCTTCCATCTGTCTACTTCAGCTTATATGGCCTTACTATAATGTCCGTAGGCTCCAAAATTTCCTTGAGGAATAGGCTCGTTATTATAATATTGTTCTTCGGCCAGCCTAGATAGTATAAGTTAGTTTACATCCATTATCTGAAAAGTTTTGAAATAAAAATTCAGAGGTCCAGAACCAACCAGAGTCCGGTTCCAGCTGTAATAGGATTCAAAATAGGACGCGATGATCTGTGAGTTCAAGAACATGTTAGCACTCGAACCTTATCTAATCGATGTCTATCAACGCCTTATTCATGAACTCGCCTTTGGTAAGCAAGGTTCTCTCCCTGTCCAGGGCGCTGAGCAGAACTAGAGTGTTCGAACTTGCGATCTCTAGCAAGCTCCTGGGCCCATGCCAGAGCGCTTGCTTCGAGGGTAGAGTCCCAGACAAGCGCCCGGACGCCTCTTCTGGCCCGGACGGCGTTGTGCATACGCAAAGCCTCAGATTGATCCAAGCTACTCTGCCTAGCTACAAGCTGAACGACCTGATCCCCATCTTCGAGATCTCGTTTCTCAGATAACGCAAGATCTGGCTCTCCAGCAATAAGAACTTCCTCCTGTCCACTCAGGGCTTCAAGGGCCTCATCTTTGGTAGTGAGAGGACTCGCCAGCGAGTAGTGGGCGGCCAGAAAGAGCAAGGAAGTTGTGTAGAACGAAGTGAACAACATATTTTGTATCGTTTGGGGCGGGAGATGTTGACTGTTGGGATTTCCGTGTTGTTTGCTTTGGTTATTTTACGATAAGCAAGAACACAATATTCCTTCCTGGCGGATGAAACACGCTTCTTATAGTTTCAACCGTAGGTACCCGGATATCTCAAGAGTTGATGACATAGTTCGGGAGAGAGTTCGAGTATAAAGTTAAAAACAGCAATGAAAGATGCCAAACCCGACATCTCAACACAATGAATACGAAAGGTTAAAAAAAGGCTTCATTAGCCCGAGGCTACAGTCATGCAGAAGGAAAAGGCTGTAAACCTTGACACTGATGACTCACTTGCCGTCGGGACGAGCTACTCGTAAAATGATTATTCAACCTACCCTCTTTCACCTGGCTTCCTTCATACTCTTGTCTTACACTAATCCAGACACTTCAATACACCAAGCTCGAGGCTTTTCGGCTTGTAAGATAACTAACCTGGTGAGTACTAGTGGCCCTTTGGTCAGAGCACTTACACTGATATGTCCGCAGCCTTCGCTAGTTATCCCCATAATAAGGACACATCATGCCAAACAACACAATCTTAGTGCCTTCTCTCAAAGGCAAGACGATCATATGGACTAAGATGACGAAGTCTAGGATCAGCATCAGCGATCCGAAGTAAGCTGGTTCCGCAAGGGCTGTTACAGTCAGCCAGCTTGATCAAATTGATCAATCAGAGCTGAGCAGATGACATAGTTCTATGCTCCTATTCTTGTTGTTGAAAGATTATATGTAGTTAAGATCATCGTTATCATTGCGACGCTAGGCTAGCAACCAACCATGATCAGCCGTTGCTTTGCCTCCTATGATGCCTTCTCCGAGTTTAATCTCCCTTCTTGAACAGATTTGATTTCACTATGTGCATGGCTTGACTGGAGGGCCTCATGAGAGGAATGTTATAGTCCAACCGTACGGAGCAGTGATATACGTCAACTGAATTCCAAATGACCATTTACAATCTTTAGTAAATGCATTCCTGATTGAGCCACTCTGAGCATTAACGAGGAAATAAATCCAATGATGAGTCGACTCGAAGCAGGTATAAAATATGACCAACTTGATTACAGAAAACGAGACTTGTATGCGGTTTTCTTTCTTCCTATTCTCTTTTAAAGAATATTGAGGTATCATCCTCATGAATATTAGAATTCGGATTTTCTCGAGTTGATGCCTCTGGTCATTCGATGTGATCTCCGGATGGCGCTATCAACGCTTGCCAATCCCTAGCCATGAAATGTCAATAAGCATTCCTACATCGTAACGTTTCAAACGATAATGTGGGGGTCTGAAAACTCAAAATTGCCAATCCGTAGCGCCAGACTATGTGACCATGAGTTTTCCAGTTTTTGGCTACGCTAACGTGGCGGTTGGACAGGCCAAGAAAGGTATGAGTGAATCCCATCCAAGCTAGGATATACTCTGAGGAATGCATATATTAGTACTTGCACTAGTTGACAGCCGCACGTTATTCGTTATGGAATATTTCCACACAGATAGGATGGCATGATTCATACTCGATATGGTTTTACGTTGTGATCTAAATTTAAGCATCATAGTTAAGTATATCGGCCTTTCACTCATTCCTAAAGCAATCTTCTATATGTGATATAGTTTATTTGCCCCCGTGGTTTCATAACTATTGTCATGATGCAATCTCTGCTGGGCAAGCTTCCAGATCAAATGAGATCACCACCAGCGCCACATGGGCCCTCGTGACTGTGGCCATCAGCGGCTGCACTTCTCTTGAAATGTTGGGCCCTATCAGCATTCCAACGTCTTTCGTTTGAGCTCACTGATGGCAGGGAGTCCCAGCTGGTGGCGTACTTGGCCACTGAATTAGCAATACTTTTCGTATTGAGAAGGAAGGCGTCATGTGCCAGGTTATTGATGTCATCACCAGCCTTGTGGTAGTTGATATCATAGGCAACGCCAGCCTCGCCTCCAAAAAGCTTGGCCTCCTCTTCCGTCTTAATTACTTCGGCTCCTGTGAAGAGGCCACCGGATGGGATTCCATTCTCGATGAAACCAGCGTAGTCTGATCTCCCTGACCAGATCGCAGGCACATGAGAAGCACCATTGCGCTCATAGAACTCTTCAAACTCCTTCTCAATCTCAGCAGAGCCAGCAGGGCCACTAAAGTTGAAAGCACCGCCATCGCCATCGTAAATACCGTAGACGTAGTTGGGGCTGGCGATCTGTGAAGGAACCTTTATTAGCACTCGAACATTACTTGGTTTCACACAGGGGATGGGTGACCAACCATGTCAAAGTTAAGGTAGGCTCTCATTTTTGCCATTTCCGTATCAGAGCTATTCAGTTGTTTGACGTAATAGAACGAGCCCAGTTTTCCGTATTCTTCGGCGCCCCAGAATGCAAACCGAACAGCATTCTTGATTCGGAAGTGTGAGAGGGCAATAGCCACGTTCAAGACCCCAATTGATCCAGAGCCATCATCGCTGTGCAAGTATTAATACCAGATACAACATGCCGCACGTAGGATACCCGACTTACTTGATACCAGGGCCCGCATATACGGAATCAGAGTGCCCACCGAGAACAAGAACGTTGTCATGGTCTCCGCCCTTGGTCTCGGCGATGACGTTGTAGTTGACACGTTGCTCTGACAATGCGGTAACGTCAAAATCTGCAGTAACTTCCCCGGCCTCCAGAGCGGCCAGGATTGCTACTGAATCTTCCTGGCTAATGCCAACAACTGGAGCATAATCGAGGTTGGGGGTTCCCAACGTCCCCGAGATAGGACCAGGTTCATTATTGTAGACGACGGCAGCGGCAGCTCCAGCAGATTTGGCATTGAGAGACTTCTGCCCAAAGCTGCAGGTTCCTCTAGAGATAAAGGCAATTTTCCCTTCAACTTCGGAGGGGAAGTCATCCACTGAACACCCAAGATTGGAGACGCGGACAAGGGGTGCAGAGACAGTACCACCAGGTGTATACGTCATGGTTAACATGGATTCAACCTCTGCGCCGTCAATGCTGAGGGTGCCCCCTGCTGTGTGAAAGAGCTCAGTGAATGGCTGCTTCACCACATCAAAGTAGTCCAGTGCGGTCAAGGTATCATAAAGCCAGTCAACGGTAGCATTGTGGCCCCCGCCACCAAAGGCGCGGTTACCGCCGTTGGCATCAGCAATATCCTGGAGTTTCTGAGCTGCGCTGAGAAGATCCTCGAGGGTAATTAGTTCTTGGAGCTTCTCTGAGGTAACATATGGCTTGCACTCTTTCGCACTGGCAGCAATGGGCAATGCCAATGCCGCCGTGATGATTGAGCTGACGGATCTCATCCTTAAGGCAAGCCGAAAAGCAAATCACTAGGCTAGAGTAAAGGTCGGTCCGTTGGGAGGTTGAGGAAAGGAGCAACGCAATCAGTGCGAAGAGCTGGAAGACGAGGGGTTCTTTAAGTACCAAGTCTTGCCTACAGCCTTGGACATTGCTCAAAATCAATAGTCTGTCGCTTAGGCGGCATACAGGACTCGGTATGGATGCCAGGTATCTCTTGCTGCCGGAATCGGACAATCCAAGAAACTTGCATGGCGTAGAGAATGCACTGTTACTGTAACCCCTCGTTCCGCCAAGGGTTGCATGCGGGGACTTATGAACTGCCTTGAGAAACTTCCTCTCTGGGCAAGCTGGAGGGTCGTATTTACTAGCAAGCAATAAAAGCTCAGCACATGCTTATCTCGCCCAGCCAATAGTAAGCGTTGATATGCATACCTAATGCGTGATATGGTTCTAGATTTACCAGAACAGGGTTTCGTTTGCACTAGAAGTTTCTTCCCTCTGCAGTCAACAAAAGGCCCCTACATACATCCTTGATAAGCAGCTGCCCTGCGCAGCTTCCATAACAGGAGTGCGGGAGAATTCTAAGTTTCCTATCTGAACCCCGCTCAATATTGTATCCTGCTTCCAGCAAGCCAAAACCTTAAACAGCTTTGTCGTGGTGGCATCTTCATCTGCTTAACCGGGGGCATATCCCCACCCACCCAACCTCGTGGGATTTTTACACAGAGCAACGATGCGACAGAATCTAGTCATCCCTCCGATTGATGTCCCGTGATCTTTTCAGAATCTCTCAATTCTCAGCTTTTCAATGAGGTTGATAACGAGTTTCCGACCCAACCTTTCTTCAACCCATGACTTATCCAATCGCTAGAACCTGGCTACTTTCACTTAAAATGTCACCAATACGTTATGATTACACAGTCATTCCCAGCTCTCATGTTATCCAGGCATAGATAAATTGAAACCATGAAGTCCAATATTTGTACAGATCATTATCAATAGGTACTCGCCAGCATCAACTTATCGGGCGGTTTGGGAAGACCAGCTATTGGGTCTTGATTATGGGAGTTCAAGGCGTTGCTCTCTGCCTTTAGAATGCAGTTAAAATTAAATTCGCTTGGAAGACTGATGCATGTCTCGGCTCTGAAACATTGTTCCAAAACTCCAGAGCCCCAATTGCTAGATCATGTCGGGAAAGGGAAGTGATCTAAGGCGGTTCTTTAGATCGATACAACTCCTGCTCAGACCAGAAAATATTAGTCAATAGACAAAGATTGACGCCCTATTTCTTGAGGTTAGGGATTTAATAAGCCATGGTATATTCATCAACGGTTTTCGTAGCCATTTGCTCGAAATATAATAATGTGTTGGTGATCACGGGCTTCAATGGAGAGGAGGATTATTTCGTTACACAAAAACCAGGGGGAAAATACAGGGTTTCAAATTTAAGAATGTAACATTGAATATGATTCCAGATTTTTTAATATCCATTTTTCAGTTTGTCCCTTTTCAATTACCCCACGAAAATCGCAAGTGCCTCCTCCCTGCCAGCTGGTTGCCGACTTTTAGGGCGTGCTCCACAGGGCTGTGAATTGAAAATGTGCTTTTTACATCTGCCTGTGAAGAAAGGAAAGGCGGGAGGGCAATGATTTACCTCGATGATGTAATA